TCCTGGTGGAGGAACTCAGTTTCATTACCTGGGGCAGGGCAGGGCTTCTATGGTAAACTCTGTGATATTGCCAAGATCATTGATTGTGACCATAAATAACAATAACCCAGGGTATATGAGGTGTTAGAGGAGGAGTAATACCTCTGGTGGAGAACATGTCCTGCTCCTTCTGGGATAGTTTGCCCGCCTTTGGTCCCCACCCTGTCCTCAGCTCTTACCTGTGGCTCCTAGATGCTGTCATCTTGTAACAGCAGCCACACCCCATTAAATTACTTTGACTGGCTGGCTAAACCAGGTGAGAGTAGCTGATGTATCTCAAACCCTTGATGAATTAGGGTAGAGGTTTCATGTGCGTAGGTGTGTCGTATGAACACTCCTCACACTCCTTCCAGGGCTGGAAATTCACTAGTCTAACCCCTGCTTTGCTAGTAAAATTTAATTACTGTGTCACAAAATGATGCACGTCTAAAAAGTGTGTCACCAGCATGAAAGGTTTGGAAAGCTCTGAGTTAGGGACTTCAGATGAGACCAATAGTGGGTCCAACGGTGAAGAAGGCAGTTTCTGCATGTGCTGTAGAGGGAATTAAGGGGCACATGGGGCTCATCAAACCTCCACAGTCTTGCAGGATATCTTGGGGAGAAGAAATGGTTAAGGAGCAAACCCTAAACACATCGAGTGTAGTCCCTAAGTGAGTTGGGTAGCCTCTGTTGCTTCCAACCAGAATCCAGCTGCTCCCTCATTTTTATTGGAGGTTTTTAAGCAGAGCTTGGATAGCCAGATGTCAAGGATGCTAGTTGGGATTCCTGCATGGCGGGGGTTGGGCTAGATGGCCCTTGGAGTGCCTTCCAGCTATACAATTCTGATCCTATGTGAAGAAAGCTTGCATACTAATCAGAGCAGGATAACTGGTGCTTAAATTCTAGGAAGGCATGGGAGAACCTCCCTTCTTCAACCCTTCTGTTCACCAACTAATCAATCCTGAAGCAGATTCAGTTTCTGCTGCCTTCCAGAGTGTGCAGGTTCACCAAAGGGGATTGATTGATTGATTGATTGATTGATTGATTGCTATTCTATCCCACTTTTCTTCCAAAGTGGTGCACATAATATACTCACAGTGGCCAACCAGATGCTCCAGAGGGAAGCCCCTGAGCAGGATCTCAGTATAAGAGCACTCTTTTGCTGGGGTCAATCAAGTGAAAGAGGGGCAAAAGGGAGGCAGTTACAAGAGGACAAAAACCACCACCTGCTTTGGGCAGCAGGTGGTGCCAGAGAGCAAAGAACCAAGTACCTTACAGGTAAGAAAGAGGGGTGGAATCAAACATGCAAACTACATCCAGGGGGTTGGACTAGATAGCCCTTGCTGTCCCTTCCAACTCTACGGTTCTGTGATTTAAATGGAGGCCGTGAAAGCAGCACATAAAAAAGGGAAGTGAATGTGGCTCGTAACTCAAATAGGAGAAACATGCAGATGGCAGGTTAGAATAATAGAATTGTAGGGTTGGGAGGAACCCCCAAGGGTCATCTAGCCCAACCCCCTTCAATGCAGGGATCACAACTAAAGCATCCCTGACAGATGGTCATCCAACCTCTGCTTAAAAACTCCAAGGAAAGAATGTTCCTTGAAAACTTGGTAGCTAAACACCATGTGGATTTGCAAAACTGCCTGCAAATTCTCAAAACAAAATCAGAACCACAAACCTCTTGAGATCAAGCTCCACTGACCACAGGGAAGCTCACTGCACACCCATTTCCTTTTTCTAAAACGTTGTCCATGTTGGAAGGGCCTAGTCCACAGCAGCCTTTCCCATGTATTTAAAGCGTGTGGCTTCTCCTAATAAATCTTGGGATCTGTTGTTTACCTATCACAAATCTAGTTTCCAGCACCCTCGACAAACTATAGTGTCCAGGATCCTTTGTGGGAAGGCTTAGGGTTTAAATGTCCACTGTGTCTGAAAGATTGTATTCTTGGTTACTGCTCCCAGACAACTTTGGCACTCCCATCCTAGTGAAATTAGACTGGGTTCTTCCTTGCTGTCCTTCCCCTGGAAGGTAAACACAGTATTATTCCAGCAGGTCTTTGGGAACTGAAAATAACAACAATGGCTTCTCATACTGCTGTATGTGCCTTTGCTTTGTTTTAATCTTTTATGGTTTAATTACTTTTTACCTATTCATAGAATCGTATAATTATACAATTGGAAGGGACGCTGGGGGTCATCTAGTCTAACCTCCTGCAATGCAGGAAAATCAACTAAAGCATCCATGACAGATGTCCATCCAACCTCTGCTGAAAAACCTTCAAAGGAGAGTCTACAACCTTCCAAGAAGTTCCAAGCCGCTATAGAACAGCTCTTACTGCCAGAAAGTTCTCCCTGGTGTTTATTTGGAATCTCCTTTCTTGCAGCTGGAAACCATTGGAGTCCTACATTCCAGAGCTGTTAAGGCCAACTTCAATCCCTTTAGTAGGTTTCTGGAGCACCAACTCAGTTTCTTGTGCATTGATGAAGCTATTATTCCCAGAAGCAGGTGTTCCTCTGAGGTCTGTAATACAGTGGTACCTCGCGTTAAGAACTTAATTCATTCTGCAGGTCCGTTCTTAACCTGAAACTGTTCTTAACCTGAAGCACCACTTTAGCTAATGGGGCCTCCTGCTGCCGCCGTGCCACCGGAGCACGATTTCTGTTCTCATCCTGAAGCAAAGTTCTTAACCTGAAGCACTATTTCTGGGTTAGCAGAGTCTGTAACCTGAAGTGTATGTAACCTGAAGCATATGTAACCCAAGGTACCACTGTACATGAATCTAGAGGAAGGAGTTGTGGTCAGTGGGCTTTATAAGACTTGGCAACTTCTCTGTCACATTCTTTGCACCTGGAAAGCAGCTTGTCTGCCCCCCTCTGGGATATACTGTTACTTCCACACATTCTGCCTCTGTCCCCCTCAGCTGTGAGTCACCTATTACCCCCACACTTCTCTTCCTCCTCTGGGGAGTGACAGGTTTGTTTTGTACATAGTATCTCCCACAGCCTCCTCAGTGTGTTCTGAGGTCTGCAACTGCTATCCTTACTCCCTTGGTGCAGAATCACTGTCCAAGGTGAGGGCACGGCATGGATATTGCAGTTCCAGTGACAGAGCATGGCTGCCAACAATTCTGCTTCCATGTGCCACATTCCTCCAGGGATTCATCTCCTGGAATGGGCAATCTTCTTTCTTTTTTATTATTTAATAAATTTGTGTAACAGCCTTGATCTGAAGATCACAGGACAGTTCACAAATGCAAAATGAGAACACAAAATACACAATAAAACAAAAACAATAACCCTCCTCCCACAAACACATTTAAAAGACCATATAATGTTAATCAGCCAAAGGTCTGGTTACTGGAAAATGTTTTTGTTTGGTGCCTAAAGATATGTAATGAAGGTGCCATGTGAGCCTCCTTGGGAACAGCATCCCACAAGCAGGAAGCCACTGTGGAAAAGACCTGTTCTCCTGTTTCCAGCATCTGGACCTCTTGTGAAAGCACACAAAGGGCCTCAGATGATGATTGCAGGGTCCTAGCTGGTTCATAGGGGAAGAGCTAGTCCTTGTATTCTGGTCCTGAGCCAATTAAGGTTTACAAGTCAAAGACAGCACTTTAAATTTGGCCCAGAAACTAATTGGCAGCCAGTGCAGTCAGGTCAGGAGCAGTGAAATATGTTCCCAACAGTCTTGTCCCAGTGAGCAACCTGGCCGCTGAATTCTGCACCAGCTAGGTTTCCAAACCATCTTCAGAATCAGCCCCACATATAACAGGTTGCAGTAATCTAACCTAAAGATTACCAGAGCATAGACAAACGAGTTAGGCTATCCCTGTCCAGATAGGGGTGCAGATGGGCCACCAGCAGAAGCTGATGGAAGGCACTCCAAGCCACTGAGGCCACCTGATCCTCAAGGAACCACAAAGGATCCAGACGCACCCCAAAGATATGTACAGTGGTACCTCAGGTTAAGTACTTAATTCGTTCCGGAGGTCCGTACTTAACCTGAAACTGTTCTTAACCTGAAGCACTACTTTAGCTAATGGGGCCTCCTGCTGCCACCGTCCCACCAGAGCACAATTTCTGTTCTCATCCTGAAGCAAAGTTCTTAACCTGAAGCACTATTTCTGGGCTAGTCTGTAACCTGAAGCATATGTAACCTGAAGCGTATGTAACCTGAAGCATATGTAACCTGAGGTACCACTGAATATGCTCCTTAAGAAGGAATGTAATCCCACCAACAGCAGGCAACCTCCCACCCATACTATTTAGGGAACCACCCCATAACAGTGCCTCAGTCTTACTGGGATTGATGTAAAGGAGAGTAGAGCTGTGTGTCATCAGCATATTGCTGACAACCTACTCGAAATAATACCACAGTCTACTCTGCTCAATTGAGAAATTCCTGATCTTGCCCAGTAGTTCCAGGGGTGGATAGGTCAGCCTCAAGTTGCTGGACCTTCTCTTCCAGCAAGGCAACCAGCTTGCACTTGCTGCTAGTGTACTTTTGTACGTTCTCCAGCAGAAATACAAACATGGCACAGGTGTTGCAGGTCACTGCAGCAGCTCCCTCACGCTCCATGTCTCTTGGTTCTACACACACCATGAGACAGCACTCTGGGCTTCCCCTTTAAACTCTCCCACTAAACACCCTCACAAACACCCTGTCCAAGAGCTCCCAGAAGCTGCAATCATTTAAGCAGAACTGCTGCTGGCTGCTAACTCCTCTTCCAACTTACTGCCTCCTTCGGCCTGTCTTCTTCTCAGCAGTGGCCACAGCCCCTCAGACCATGTGCTCTAGGAGAGCACACAGCCACACCCACAAACTCACAATCAAGCTTCCAAACAGCTCAGACAAGCAACCAGCCTTAATCCAAAAGAAACAAGCTCACATTCTTCAGTCTCCTCCAATCCCCTGCCATACGTCCCTATTTACAAGACTTGGTCACAAACTCCCAGAGGCTGTAATCAGCAAAACAGAATTATCTTTTAAATAATATATTTTAGATGTTTTTGGCTTTTCACATTTCATCCATGTTGTTTTAATTTGTGGATGTCGCCTAGAATCCCAGTCTGGGAAAAACTTGGGATATAAATTTAATAATAATAATAATAATAACGTAATACTATTATTGTTTATAGTACTTTCTCAAGCTGCTGCCCCCTGGCTGCCCCATCATTCCAGAGTGATCCATGTTTCCAACAGGTTGAGCATCCCACCTGGGGCATCCTGGATTGGCAAGCCTCCCCACAGCAGAGTATTCAGGAAATATTTGCTATAGAAGAGGAGTATCTATGTTTCCTTCAGAAACCTGTTTCAAAAACAAACTCCCTACACTTCTTCAAGAAACCAAGGTGTGCAAGACCAGTGGAAACACTTTAATGTCTGAAACACTTTAATGTCTGTGTGATGTGTGTGTTTGGCAGTTACAGGCACATGTTTCAAATCCAGTCCATCCCACAACAGGGAGTTCCAGGAAGAGCAGCAGATGAACACTTGGAAGGAGGGAAAGCCCTTTCCCAGAACAAGAAATACTGCTTTTTGAGAAGAAGAAGAAATCCCTGATCAAAAACCTTAAAGCTGCAGGCCAAGAGAGAAACTGGGGCTTCCTTCTGGCCTAAACGTATGGACGGGGATGCCACAATTTCCGGCGCTTGGACCTCATCCGGAAAAAAAAGTACATGATCATCAAGAAGAAAGAGGATGCAATGTAAAGGACAATGCAGAGGCTCATGTCGACATTGGAGAACCCTATCCCCAGGAAGGAGACAGCTGACTTCCTTTCCTCCTTGGCCAAAGGCTTGTTTTGGTCTTTGGCTAGCAATATGTCCAATACGTGAGACTCAGGATCCAGCTGTTTTTCCACATTAGGGATCCATTCTTCATTCTTTCTGAGGTTTTTCTTATGGGAGTTTTCGTCTCCCTCTTCTTTGGATCCCTCCTCAGTGTAGGTGTAGAGAATGTTGTCGCTGCTGTAGTGGCGCTTCAAGAACTGAAGGACTTGGGCTTCGTTCCAGGCATGAAGGCCATTTCTTTTTTCGTGGCAAAGAGGGCAAACGTCTGGTGTCGGCCACTGGAGTTTAGGGAATTTTGGGTCTTCGTTCAAGCCGCCTGTCAAGAAGGGGCAGAGAATTAGTTCAGGAGCCCTGCATGAATCACAGAATCATATAATTGTAGAGTTGGAAAGGACCCAAAAGGCCATCTATCCCAATCCCCTGCAATGAAGGAATTGCAACTAAAGTATTCATGTCAGATGGACGGATTACAAACCAAAGAATAAAAAAGTGAATCTGCTTTACGAATCATTTGTCAAACTGCCAATATAATAATACTGTTAATACAAATTTTTGGTGCAATGACGTTTGGAAGGCTGCAGACAGTTCTGGTAGGCTTACCTTAAAAGGGAGATGGAAAAGAATCAAGGGGATGGAGTGACTCCCTTATGAAGCAAGTGGAGAAATGGGGAGGGCTCTTGTGCTTGGATCCTGCTTGCAGGTTTCCCATTGGGCCAACAAGTTGGCCACTGTGAGGACAAGATGCTGGACTAGATGGGCCACTGGCCTGATCCAGCAGGCTCTTCTTATGTCTTTATGCTGTTGTTTTTAATCAAAGTTCCACTTTTGGAGCTATGGTTTTCACTCTTTAATACTTGGTGTCCACGCAAGTGGGCCCTGCAGTCCAATGGTGCTGCTTGGAGTGCCTCTTGTTCAAGGTTCCAGTCTGCCATTCTGTTTCCCAGGACACTTCCTTCCATTCTCAGTTTGGAGGAAGAGACTGCCATGGCTTGTTAGACCACAGCTTCCTGTGACTGCTTGAATTGGGAAATTCTGGTTTAAGCATGGTATACAGACCAGGCATAGTTACTTTTGTGGGTCAGTTAGAATTACTGGATGAATAAATATGTTAATATAAGAATATAGAACATAAGAGCCTGCTGGATCAGGCCAATGGCCCATCTAGGACAGCATCCTGTTCTTACAGGAGCTGAACAGTTGCTTGCGGGAAGTCAGTGCAAAAACCCTCTCCCCTCCCACAGTTTTCAACAACTGGGATTTCAGAGGCATTGCTGTCTCTTACTGCGGACAGAGTATAGCCACTGTGACTGGTGAATTTGTCTAATCCTCTCTTAAAGCTATCCAAGTTGATGGCTGTCATTGCCTCCTTCGGGAGCAAGTTCTGTAGAAGTACTTTCTTTTCTCTCTACTAAGCCTTCCGACACCAGATGCCCATGAGTTCTAGCATCAGGAGAGAGGGAGAAATATTACAAACTCTTATCATGTTGCTTCTTACTTGTCTTTTCTCTAAACTAAAAGACCCAAACACTGCAACCTTTCCTCATGGGGGAGTCACTCCACCCCCTTGATCATTTGGGTTCCCCTTTTCTGAAAGCCCAAGGAAAGACTGGTTATCTTGTCCCAGTTCTGCTTTCACACCTGCCAGACGGGCGTTCACAACGTTGTGCTTCTCCCAGAGCCACAGCACGGCCTCATCCAGGGTATTCACATCCTTCAGTGACTCCTCAGCCATCTCTTCAAAGTGCTGAGAGCATGCTCGGCACCCAAAGAAATCCCGAATGTACTTCCTCAGGACCTGCAGCACCACCTGGGGGTTGCCTTCAAAACCTGCAATGAGAGGTAGAAGGCCAGCAAGGCTGAATCAAAACCAAACTCTAAAACAAGCGGTGCCCATCAACATCCCCCATTGCATTTGGGCTGATTCACCTGCAGCTCAATAGAAATGGGACTACAGGGTGATTTGTCATCCCTCATGAAGGAGGACTTGGAAATGTGTGGAATGTGTTGGCAATAATCAGACAAAGTCCACAGATTCGAAAAGGAACACAAGATATAGATTACATTAACATTTTCAAATATTTTTAAATAATTGGTTGTGAAATTTGAGAGATGCCTTAAGCTAGGCAATTAAGGGAAGAGTTTTGGGTGGGTGGGTGGGTGTCACACACATACATACACAAAAATATTTTTTTAATTTTTAAATTATTTTTATTAGCCTTGCTCTGCTTCTCCAGGACCCCCACCTTCTGCAGGCGTCTATTCCACTGTCAAGTGGCTCCTACCATAAGAAAGTTACTCCTAATGTTGACTTGGAATCTCCTTTCTTTTAATTTCTCCTCATTAGCTAATGCCATAGAAGACAGAATCAGGATTCAAGATGACCGTAACTGTTTGAAGAACTGGGTCCAAAGTAACAGAATAAATTTTAATAGGGACAAATGTCAGGTTCTGCACTTAGGTGGGAAGAACCAGCTGCACAAATATCAGATGGGGGACACCCAGCTTGCTAGCAGGACGTGTGAAAAGGATCTAGGGGTCCTAGTATGAGCCAACAGTGTAATGCAGCAGCAGCAAAAAAAAAGAAAAAAAAAAAGGCTAAGGCTATTCTAGGCTGAATCGACAGAAATATAGGATCCAGATCAAGGGGAATCATAGTACCACTCTATTCTGCCTTGGGTCAGACCCCACCTGGAGTCCTGTGTCCAGGTCTGAGTGCCACAATTTAAGGAGGATATTGGAAATCTCGAACATTAGCAATGGAGGGCGACCAAGATGATCAAGGCTCTGGAAACCAAGCCTTAAGAGGAACAGTTGAAGGAGGTGAGTATGTTTAGCCTGGAAAAGAGGAGACTGAGAGGAGATATGATAACCATCTTCAAATATCTAAAAGGCTGTCATATGGACAATGGAGCAAGCTTGATTTCTCCTGCCCTGAAGGGCAGGACTCGAACCAATGGATTCAAGTTACAAGAACTTGAGTAAACAAGGAAGAACTTTCCAATAGTAAGAGCTGTTTGACATTGGAACGGACTCCTTTGAGAAATGATAAACTCTCCTTTGGATGTTTTTAAGCAGGGGTTGGATGGCCATCTGTCAGAGGACCTGTCTCTGATGCTTTGGTGGAAGTTCCTGCATTGCAGGGGGTTGGACTAGATGACCCTCAGCATCCTTTCCAACTCTACAATATTATGATTCATTTAAATCCATTGGATTAGGTCCTACCCTGTGGAGCATAGAATCATAGAACAAGGAGGAATACAGAATCATAGCAATAAAGAATTGTAGAATTGAAAGGGACTCCCAACTGTCATCCAGTCCCCGGTCTAACACCCTGCAAAGTGGGAATCATAACTAACGCATCCCCGACAGGTGGCCAAATTCTGCTTTGAAACTGCCAATGAAGGAGAGTCCACTGCCTTCTGAGGGAGTTCAAAATCTCTCCACAGAGCTGTTTGGCAGTAAGATTTGCAGAAAGATCTTGGGCAGCAAAGCACAGGGCTGTTCATCTGGATAAATATGGGTGAATTATTCAGAGGGGATTGCTTGGATCACCATTTCTCTGCACCACTCTTGAGGGGTTTAAGACAGACGGAAAAACTCCACGAAAAAGGCTCCTTCCTTTGACCAGGCGAGGGATGCATCTTGTGTAAACAGCTGCCGTCACCCGCCCCCGAACTGCTACGATTCAGGGTAACCCTAATCTTTAAAGTGGGCAAGTCCCATCAAAGCCCACCTGCGGCTGGCAGGATTAGGGGGAGAATCCGGCTTTTTAGTAGATGGGATTTAAAAGCAAGCAATAAGGGGGGGGGAACACCTCCCAAGACCTAATCCGGCCGCCTGACCCAATTCTTTTGCCGTAAGAAGCGATAAAAAAATGTGGCCTGGTTTCAACGGATGGCAAAGTATGTGGAAGACACACAGAGACATGCAGACCTTCAACTTTCAACCTTCCTCTGGAATGGAAGAGTTGGCAAAGGAAATTCAATAGGGACAAATGTCAGGTTCTGCACTTAGGCAAGAATAACCAGATGCACAAATAAAGCATGGGGGACATCTGGTTTGACAGCAGTACATGTGAGAAAGATTCAGCAGTCCTGTTATGAGCCAATAATGTGATGCAGCAGCAAAAAAACTAATGCTATTCTACATTGCATCAATAGTAGAGTCTCAATCAATGAAAGTAATAGTACTATTCTGCCTTGGTCAGACCCCACCTGGAGTCTTGTGTCCACTTAAGGGCACCACAATTTAAGATATGGTGAAGCTGGAATGTGTGGAAACAAGGACTTATGAGGAACAGTGAAGGGAGCTAGGGATGCTTAGCTTGGAGGACAGGAGACTTAAAGAATATATGATAGCCACCTTCAAATATCTAAAGGATGTCACACAAATATGAAGCAAGCTTCTTTTCTGCTGCTCTGCAGGGGAGGACCCAAACCAGCACATTCAAATGGCAAGAAAGGAGATTCTGACTAGAGGACCTTTCTGACAGTAAGAGCTGTTTGACAGTGGAATGGTCTCCCTTGGAAGGTGGAGGACTCTTCTTCACTGCGAGTTTTTAAACAGACTTTGGATGGCCATTTGCCATGGATGATTTTGTTAAGATTCCTGTTGGGTGGGGGGGAGGTTGAACTAGATGGCCCTTGAGGTCCCTTCCATCTCTACAATTCTACAGTTCTATGATACTGAATTGCAGCTCTAGCCTGTCATACACTCCTCATCTTTTTATGACGCAGCCTTTTCTGCGACTGAGCCAAATGTTTTTGCAAACATGCTCATCACACAAAGACAGCACTTAGGCAGCTCCCTTACTTTGCTCCTGTGCAAACAAGTGATCCAGCTTTCAGTGCATGGTTGCAAGAAGCAGGGAGGCTAGTGCTTTCCCCAGAACCCCAACACTTTCTGTTGCACTTGAGCTGACTGCTTCTAACTGCAGTGCATGCCCAAAGGATGCCAGACCCACTCCCCCACTCCTAAAATCAGCCTTCCTGTAACTGGTGCCTTCCAGAGAGGCTTTGGACTACAGCTCCCATCAGCCCCAGCCAGCAATGACGCTGAGGCTGATGAGAGTGGTAGTGCAAAGCATCCCTGGAGAGCTGCCTTAGACTCTCAGAGGGACCAGCCATCTCCTACCTGTGTTGAACAGGACCTGTGGCCGGACAGCCGCCTGGACAGTCAGCATATGAAAGAGCTTCCAGAAGGAGCAAGGGTATCCCCGCAGCTCTGCCCGGCTGCCCTGGCACCCGACCCACTGGATGCGGCTGGGCAGGAACAGCCCAGAGATCTAGAAAAAGCCAGTATGTGTTAAACAAAACTACCAGTATCATCATGCCATTATACAAATCTTTGGAAGACAGTATGCAGTTCTGATCACCTCAACTCAAAAATGGGATTACAGATTTGGAAAAAGTTTGGAAAAGGCCAACCAAAATGATAAAGGGGATGGTACATGTTCCCAAGGAGGAAAGGTTGCACTGTTTAGGACTTCTTAATCTAGAGAAAATGTTTGTTAAGAGGCAACATGAAAAGTTTTTCTACCTCTCACAACACTAGAACTCATGGACATCCAATGAAGCTGAATGCTGGAAGATTCAGAACAGATAAAACAAAGTCCTATTTGACTGTGGAATTCCTTCCCACATGAGGCACTGAGGACCACCAACTTGGATGCTTTTAAAAGAGGATTCAACAAATTCATGGAGGGGAGAGTTATCAACGGCTACTAGCCAGGATGGTTATGCGCTGCCCTCCACAGTCAGAGGCAGCTATGCTTCAGAATCCCATTTTCTGGAAACCGCAAGAGGGGAGACTGCTCTTGTGCTCAAATCCTGGTATCCCACAGGCAACTGTTGGGCCACTATGAGAACAGGAAGCAGAGCTAGAGCTAGATCGGCCACTGGCCTGATCCAGCAGGCTCTTATGTTCATAAATACCTGGACAAGCTGGGATTATTGTAACTGACTGTCATTCAGCATCTCTTTAAAAGGCTCAAAACACCACCACCACCACCGATATCAGCAATAGTGACAAGACCTGTAGATGATTCTGCCAGGAGACCATGATGGACATGTACAATCACCAGGGCAAATTGCTTTGAGGTTTTCTTTCCATAAACAGTGAACTGCAAATTTTCTAACCAAAATAAATAAAAATATCAGGCACTGGGAGGTGGTTACACCTCTCTATACTGGATTGCTGGAATCGGAAGTGGGGCGACTGTGCTCATGGTCCAGCTTGAGGGCTTTCAAAGTGGTACCTGGATGACCACTCTGAGCACAGGATGCTGGCCTAGAGGGGCCTTTGGTCTGATTGAATGCAATTAACAAGTTAGAGGGTGTGCAGAGGAGGGCAAGGAGAAGGATCAAGAGCTAGTGGAAACCAAGCCTTAAAAAGCAACAGTTGTGGGAGGTGGGTATGTTTAACCTAGAGGGGACAGAGAGTTGAGATCACAGTCAGCTTCAAATGTCTGACAGGCTGTCAGACACAAATGTCACGTGGAAAATGGAGCAAGCTTGTTTTCTGCTGCTTCAGAGGGGATGACTACATGACCCTACATGGCTCTTCCAACTCTACAATTCTATGATCCAACTGCCAGGCATTATGGGACACACAGCTCACAAGGACTGTTGAAAATGCTCTTTGTGAAGCAAAGTTGTCAGGCAGCAGTGCATTGGATCACACAACTCCATCCCACATTTGCTATAGCAGTCATTTATGCCAAGAGCTAGTTGGGGCTTACCCGCATCTTGTTGTTGAGCAGATCAAGGATGGCATCATACGGGATTTTGTCCAGTGGGAGGCTGAGTAGCCACACTTGCAAGGTCTCCAGCAACTTCATCACAGGCTGCTGTCCAGGAAACAGCTGCATGAAAGATGAGAAAGTTAACCACATCTTAGAGCTTATTCTCACAGAGGGACACTGTCCACCATCTTTGCTCCTTCTATGAAGATTAAACAGAATTGGAAAAAGTGGTGATGGAAGGCAGTGCACGCATGATCCATGCATTGAAAAAGCGGCAAAAAAGCAGTCCTGCTTACTTTCTACACTAGAAGGCAGATGCAGGAGAGGCAAAACAAGAAGCTGTTCCTTCAAGTAATGAATAATAATTTATGGAACTTGGTGCCTCAAGGTGCAGTGATGACCAGTGTCTTTATTTCTGTCTAAGAAAAATATTTATCTTATTTATTTCCTAAAATTTATACACCACTTGAGTGCAAAAAACCACCCCACCCTAAAGCAGATAAAGATAAACCAAGAAAATCAATAGTTTAAAACTTACAAAAAATTAAAATAATAAAACAGATTAAAATCCACACATTCTAAGCATCTTGGTAGGCTTGTCTAAACAAGAATATTTTTAGCAGGTGCTGAAAAGAATACAGTGGAGACGCCTGCTTGGTATCAATAGGCAGGGAGTGAGTGACAAAGCATAGCTGCTGCCACACTAAATGATCGAGTTCTGACACAAGCAGAACAGGTATTCTGTAGCAATGCCAGTTTTGCTAACTGAAGCAGTCAAGCGGCCCCATGTCATAAAAGAATGCCAAGTCATTTTTAAAGTGTCTGGAGGTTCTACTTCTCATTGAAATCTCCAATTATGCGTTATTTTCTCTATTATTGCTCTGTTCTATAGCAAGTGGTACCAAGTGTCCAATGTAAGATTCAGGGCTGTTTCCCATTGAGTAGCAGTGACTATTCAAGCTGCCAAGATAAATATATCTTGACAATATATCTACATTAGTATCCTCAAAAAGATTCAGTCTCATTAATTTTGGATCAAGCTGATCCAGAAACCCCTGAGTGGTAAACAAGTGGGTTGCTCCACTTTTCCTTGACCCACCAGGAACCCCTGCTGCATCCATGATTGTGCACCAGGTTTTGCGGAAATCCTGAGGTCAGGCAGCACCTCCTCTTCATGTTGAACTTTTGGCACTTAGTGAAGACTTATTTATTCTAGCAGACTTTTTAGCTGTATTCTGATTTCATAGTTTTAACCTATTTTTAGCCTTACTGTATTGGGTTTCTTAGATTGATTGCTGCAATGTGGGGCTTCCCTTGTGCTTGATCCAGAGGGGCTGCAGTCAGTGCAGAACGCTGCAGCATGATTGCTGACAGGAGTGAGTACTTGTCAGCATATAACACCCCCGCTCAGAGATCTGCACTGGCTGTCCATTTGCTACCGGGTCAAGTTGAAGGGGTTTCCATTAGTATACAAAGCCCTTAACCTCTTGGGACCAGTTTACCTTTGAGATCATCTTGCCCCACATGGGGCCACTTGACTGCTTCGGTTGGAACTGGACTTGATTATTAGATAATGATCTTCTATTATAAAATGAAACTTTACAGCAACAACAAAGAGAAAGAGAGAAGGCAAAGAATCAGTTTGATCCTCCTCCCTCTATGTGAAATAAGGAGAGACAGCTTTCAGGCAGCAAAATTCACACCAGATTCCCCACACAAATCTCAAAGAGCACTCAGAAGGCTTCTCAGAGGGAGCAAAAAGGAGCTCAGGTCTTAGGAAGCAGAGTTGCTGCAAGCAGCATTAGCAGCCAAGGAGCTAATCCTGCAATAATCAAAATCCGAAGCCTGAACACTGAGCAAAGATCCCAGCGACTTAGCGATGCTCTGAGTGCTATTCTTTAGAAAAAGCAAGTACAGTATAAGACACCCAGTAATCTGGCATCAGCCCAGCTGTTTTCACACTGAGATATTTAGGCTCAACAAAATGGAGTTAAAATCTTAGGGATAGGGGAGGATAAAGCCCAGGTCACATCAACAGAATGCAGGCTGCAATTCCCACTGCTCTATTGGGAGAAAGACATGTAGTCTTAATTTCAGAAAATGAATGTCTGGATTTTTCATAGAATTATAGAACTGTAGAGTTGGAAGGGACCCCAAGGATCATGTAGTCCAACCCCCTGCAATGCAGGAATCACAGCTAAAGCATCCCTAACAAATGGTCATTCTGCTTAAAAACCTCCAAGGAAGGAGAGACCACCACCTCCTGAGGGAGTTCAAACCATTGTCAAACAGCTCTCACTATCAGAAAGTTCTTCCTAATATTGATTGAAATCTCCTTTCTTGCAATTTTAATCTATTGGTTCAGGTCCTAACCTCCAGAGCAGGAGAAATAAAGCTTGATGTCATGGACTGGTTGGACACAGAAGAATGGTAGGAGGAACCACTGGAGCCTGGGGGGTGATGGTTGGAAAACCATGAGTGGTCAGAGGGAGACTAGGAAGAGAAGGTGTCAGAAGCTGAAGAGATGACAGGCTTAGTGAGCAGGGAGAGTCTGTGGCAGAGAGAAGTCCAGAAACAGAGGCAGAAGCTGAAACAGGATGGTGGTAGGAGAGAGGCCAAGAGGCAGAGAAGAGTCAGGCTGCTGAAGAGTCATGGGTGTCTCCCCCTCCTGCTGTGACAAACTCCCTACCCACCAGTCTCTCAGAACCAGAAGAGGCATGAACCAGGAGTAGCAAAGACAGGCACGCTGGCACAGTCATCTATTGCTTTGAAAAAATTCTGGAGAGGAGACATAGGTGGCTGTGGGGAGGCAGGGGCCTTAAGTCTCAGCCAACTAATTCATGGGGCACGACCTAGAGGTATAAGTTCCTGTGCTCATTAGGCCTGACATTTTGCCAAGTCTGTGCAGTTCCTGTTCTTGCTTATAAAGAGTTAACTACAATATGCACAGTGTGATTTACTGCTGGCTCGCTCCTGCCAGTTGCTCCATCTTCCACGTGACAAGCCCTATAGATATTTGAAGATGGCTCTCATATCATATCCTGTAATCTGCTTTATAAAGAAGCCATTTTCTACAACTTTTTTGATTTGCTGCTTTTGCAAGGCAGCAACAAGCAGCCTTGGTTTTAATTTGACCTTTGCGATGGGCTGCAGGGTTGGTGGCTATTAATTCTTCCCCTCCACATAAACACATCAAAGTTTACTTTATTGGATGTTTACTTCGGCTGATGCAGAGTCCTCCATGGGGCCAGATTTATGGTGCTCTTACCAAATGCAATAAAAAAATCTGAAACGTTTACCTTGGCAAACAGTGTAACAAGATCCTTGAAGGTCTTCAGCTTGGCTCCTTCCAGAGTCTTATGAGTGGCGAGCTCGATCCTGAGCAAGTAATGCAATCCGGACTCAAGGTCAGCCATGTACAACTTGGATCTGGAAAACAGGCGACACACATGGTGAATAGGAATTTTAAAAGGGGAAGATGAGTTGGTTTGCCAGGAAGAAAGCAAAAGCACCGGAGAACTGACATTACAAACATGTCAAAAAGAGGGTTAATCCTTAGCAGTCTGTGCTCTGAGGTTACTGTATTTTCCCAGAAGTAACCAATATGTGCTAAGATTCATTCCTTGCCTCAGAAGTGGGGGTCTTCCCCTCTGGAGCAGCAGAAACTGTCTTCCATGTGACAGCATATTAGGTACAGTGGTGCCCCGCAAGACGAATGCCTCGCAAGACGGAAAAACCGCTAGACGAAAGGGTTTTCCGTTTTGAAGTTGCTTCGCAGGACGAATTCCCCTATGGGCTTGCTTCGCAAGACGAAAATGTCTTGCGAGTCTTGAGATTTTCTTTTCGCTTTCCCCTTTATCTAATCTGCTAAGCCTTTAATAGCCTTTAATAGCCTTTTAGCAGCTAATCCCCTAAGCCTTTAAGCCTTTAATAGCCGCTAAACAGCTGATAGCGCTAATAGCGCTAATCCGTCAATGGGCTTGCTTCGCAAGACGAAAAAACCGCTAGACGAAGACTCTTGCGGAACGGATTAATTTCGTCTTGCGAGGCACCACTGTATTTGAAGAGGGCAATCAAATCTCTTCTCAGTCACCTCTCCTATATGGTAAACATACCCAGCTCCCTAAACAATTGCACATAAGGCTTGGTTTCCAGACCCTTGATCATCTTGGTCACCCTCCTCTGCATGCATTCCAGCTTGTCAATATCCTTCTTAAATTGTGGCACCCAGAACAGGACACAGTACTCCAGGTGTGGTATGACCAAGGCACAATACAGAGGTGCTATTACTTCCCTTGCTCTGAATGCTATTCTACAGTTGATGCAGCCTAGAATTGTATTAGCTTTTTTTGCTGCTGCACCACACTGTTGGCCCATGTTAAACTTGTGGTCTGCAGCAATCTTGGATGGTTTTTGTATACCTACTTGCTTCAGAGGGCTGATCTCAATGGACAGAAGAGTTGCCAGGGCATAAACTGCTTCTTTCACCACAAGCCTCAGCTGCTCAGAGACATCCACGTTCCTCAAGGCTGGATACGGTCCAGACAGCTATTAGGGTTTTTTTAGTGGCTTTTGAAATGTCAGTTTCAAAACTTTTGCTGGGGGTCATCCAAGCAAAAGCAAATATAATGGAAATGCTTTCACAATAACCTGGCTCTTAGGCAGAGTTCTGAAATGGTGATGTGCCCTCATCTGCTGCAGGTGCATGAGCAAGGGGGCCACCACCTGCAAGACCTTTCCACTTCATTTCAGTATCAGGCATGCAGAATCACTCTCCCTCTCTCACACACACAAATGCCTGGGGGAGATCTGCACACCCCAGGCCCTTTTGTATGCTGCATCTCGGGGCAAATACTGACACTACCTCCTCCCTTGCAATAAACAAAGCATGTAAGCAGCAAGTCTTCCTCCCCCCCCCCCCAAAAAAAAGTTGGATTATACAAAACTTTGGTGTCACCACATTTGCAACACTGTAGATAGTTCTGATGGCCTCAAAAAGGTTATTGTAAAACTGGAAAGGTTCAGAAAAGGGCAACTAAAACTATCAAGGGGATGGATTGACTCTCCTATGAGGAAAAGTTGCAGTGTTTGGGACTTTTTAGTTTAGAGAAAAGGCAAGTAAAAGGTGACATGATAGTTTTAAAAATTATGCCTGACATGGTGGATAGAGAAAGGTTTTACACCCTCTCTCATAACAACAGAACTCATGGACATCCAACTAAAGAATATTTGACAGATGTCCATATCTCAGGCCTTTTCATTTCAGGGGGTCTACTCTGAGCAGAGGTGAGCTGTACTCAGCCCTTAGCTGTTTGCCATGAAAGGGGGAGCCCAGCAGCACCACTTACTTGTCAAAGTCTTTCCATTCTTTGATGTCCTGGTTTTCTTCTTGGTTTTGCCTGATGGGTGTTGGTGGAGGTTTTCTTCCGACGCCAGGGAGTGACTTTAAATAGGAAGAAAAGAAAGACCGAAGCGGCTTCAAACTGTGTATGGAAGGACAGTGCAAAAGTTAAGAACAGCTGAAGCTCAACAGGCAGAGAGGAACAACAGTGTATCGACAGAAGACAGAAGCTTCATTGGGCTCAAGAGAAATTCTCCTCTGAAGGTTACAGGGGAAAATATTGCCTCTGAGAAAATATCTCACTACACAGATTAAGGCATGATGCATATTTTATTACTATCATTATCATTTTTTAAATTTATACACCACTCTCAACCTGAAGATCACAGGGCAGTTTATGGTACAAAAACACAAAAATACGTAACATAGTTACAAACAAAACAATTACCCACCAACCCCACACACAGTTTAAAAGGCCAGGGAGAATAAAAACGCTTTTGCCTGGCAGCTAAAGATATGTAATGAAGGCGCCAGGCGAGCCTCCCTGGGAACAGCATCCCACAAACAGGGAGCCACCACAGGAAAGGCCCATTATCATGTTGCCAACTTCAGGAACTCTTGTGAAGTGAAGAAGGGCTTCAGATGGTGATTGCAGGGTCTTGGTTGGTTCATATGGGGAGAGGTGGCACTTGAGGTATTATAGTCCTGAGTCATTTAAGTCTTTATAGGTCATAACCAGCACTTTCAATTGGGCCTGGAAACCAATTAGCAGCCAGTGCAGTCAGGTCAAGATTGGTGTTACATGCTCAAACTGCCTTGCCCTAGCGAGCAACCAGGCTAGCAAATTCTGCACTAGCTGAAGTTTCAAACCATCTTGAGAGGCAGCCCCACATGAAACATGTTGCAGTAATCTAACCTAGAGTCTTCCAGAGCATAGACAACAGAACTTAGGCTATTCCTGTCCAGATGGGGGTGCAATTGGGCTACCAGCCAAAGCTGATGAAAGTCACTCTGCACCACCAACATCACCTGAGCTTCAAGCAGCAACAATGGATCCAGAAGCACCCACAAGGTGTTTACCCATTCCTTCAGAGGGAGCATAACTCCATCAAGAGCAGGACATCCCCATCCATCCACTCTAGTAAGCTATCCACTAACAGTGCCTCAGTCTTATTGGGATTGAGCTTCAGTTTGTTAGCTCTCCTACAGCATATTACCGAAGCAAGATAACAGACCAGCACTTCCACTGCCACACCTGCAGATGTAATGGAGAGTACAGCTGTGTGTCATCAGCATATTGCAGACAACATACTCCAAAACTCCAGATAACCTCACTCAGCTGTTTCAGGTAGATATTAAAAAGCATGAGGGAAAAGATCAAACCCTGAGGAACCTTGAATTGAAGGCTGCACGTCCAAAGAGAACTCCCCATACATCACCTTGTAGAAATGACCATCAAAGTAGGACCAGAACCACTGCAAAGAGAAGCCACCCATCCCTAACTCAGTCACTCCAGAAGGATCCCATGATCAGTGGTATCAAAGAGGTCAAGGAAAATTAACAAGAAAACATTTCCCCTGTCTCTCTCCTGACAGAGATCATCATATAGGGTGACCAAAGCAGTTTCTGTGCCATTTTATTAAGGTAGCTGTTTCTAGATCCCATTTCTCTTCTCCACAATAATCACTGGCAAAAGGTTTATTAGCTGTTCACAGGGCTGGGGGTTGCTTTCAAGAATTTGCACATTTGCAACAGGAAATGTTTACTAACCTCCACATTCTTCTTACATTCAGAAAATTGTAGAGTTGAAAGTGACCCCAAGGGTCATCAAGCCTAACCCCCTGCAATGCAGGAAGCACAGGTAAAGCACCACTGACAGATGGCCACCCGACCTCTGCTTAAAAGGAAGGAGAGTCCACTAGCTTCCGAGGGAATCCGTTCCACAGTCAAACAGCTCTTGCCCTCCTAAAGTTCTTTCTAACGCTTAGTTTTAATCTCCTTTCTTTTCATTTGAATCCATTGGTTTGGGTTTTCCCCAGAAAACAAGTAGCAGAAAACAAGCTTGCTTTGTCTTACATGTAACAGCTCTTTAAATATTTGAAGATGGCTATCCTTTCTCCTCTTCTCCAAGCTAAATATACCCAGCTCCCTCAACTGTTCCTCATTAGGCTTGGTTTCCAGGCCCCTGATCATCAACTGGACACGGTACTCCAGGTATGGTCTGACCTAGGTAGAGGAGAGCAGTACTATCACTTTGCTTGATCTGGACACAATACTTCTGCCAATACTAGAATAGCATTAGCTTTTTTTTGCTGCTGAATCACACTGTTGACTTGTGTAGTGTGAACTTTGCGGTCTACTAAGACCCCTGGATCCTTTTCACATGGACTGCTGGCAACCCATCTTATATTAGTGCATCAGGTTATTCCTGCCCAAGTGCAGAACCTCACATTTGTCCCTATTGAAATTCACCACATCACAACTCACCCCCACTCACACTTACATGTTGATTAATCCATGGGATCCATTGGGATAGATCAGGTAAGATGAAGGGACAGAGGTAATGCTGAGCTTCTTGAGAAAAGCCGTGTTGGAATCCAGCACTCGTTTTACCACAATGTTTTCATACTGACTCATGTCCAGTATCACCTGGTGTGGGTAGAAACACACACAGGTTATATGCATGCTGCTGCAAGTTGATCTTTCTCACTGCAAAGAAAGCCAAAGCTTACCCAAAAGATGTAGACATGCTATGGTTCACTCGCCAGAGAGAGACCAGGACGAAGAACCCACACAGTGGGTTTGGACTACATGACCCTGGGGTCTCTTCTTACTCTACAATACTATGATTATATTCAAAACCATTAGCTGTGATTCCTGCATTGCAGGGGGTTGGACTAGATGACCCTGGGTTCCCTTCCAACTCTACAATTCTAGGATTCTATGTTTACTCTCAAGTATATCCCACTCTGCTCAACAGGATTTATCTGCAATGATGCACAGGATTATAGCCTTGAGCGGCTAACCTAACCCCCCATAGGCAAAGGGTGACCTCAATTCCTTGGCCAGTTCTTGGAACAAAATGTCTTAATATAGGGACATAAACCCAAACACAAATCCCAGCTTCTTTCCACTTCCTACTGCCTCAAAACCTTTTATCGTCACGTTTTCTAATGCGATTCTGCATTAATGAGGACCAGAAATGGAAGGTTAAGTCTCAGGTCCCAGTAATAAGGCCAGATATAATGTCATAAACATCCAGCTTGCAGAAAGGGCTCCAGTCCAAAGACACACAAACACTCGTAGCCAGTGACCTTCCTTGCAGTCAATAAGCTTTCCTTAACTCATTGAGGCATTTCAAACACCACAAAAGCTTTTTCCAACATTGGGCACACACAATAGCATGCTTGCCTGCTGCACCCCTTAATGAATTAAGTAATGCATACTCAAACCATGGAACTCCCTCCCACAGGAGTTGAGGCAGTAATGGCCACCAACCTGGACAGCTTTAAAAGAGGATTAGACAAATTCACAGAGGAGAGGGCTATTAATGGCTACCAGCCACAATGGCTGCGCTTTACCTCCACAGTTGGAGGCAATAATGCTTCTGAATACCAGTTGCTGGAAACCACAGGGAAAGTGCTTGTTGGTCATTGTGAGGACAGGATGCTGGCCTAGATCAGCCACTGGCCTGATTAGGTAAAGATTACATTACCTCTCGCCCAATGTATGAGTCTGCGCTTTCAAAGATGACAGCAGTGTAATGCTGAAAGCCTTTATTGAAGAGAGAAAGCATTTCTTCTGGCCTTAAAAAAAAAGAGACAACAGTCATTTGACAGGGAATTTAACGGTTTCACAAGTGCAGGATCATCTTTCTTGTAATTACCAGTATGCTTTAACAGATCATTCTCTCTCATTCTCTCTCTCTTGACACACACACACATACACACAGGTTTATTTCTTTTCTATGTTTTCTATTTTGTCTGGAAGCCTCCTTCAGTCAGTCAGGGAAAGAGGTGGGATTAAACAGAATCCTAGAATTGCAGAGTTGATAGGGACCTGTCAGGGAACTGCCATCGGAAGGAAGGGAGGTGAAAGGACTCAGACAGGTTGGAAGAGACTCAGCAGCTGAAGAGGGAACCAGCAAGGGGAGAGAAGCTGAACTGAGGGAGGTGAAAGGGCTCAGACAGGTTGGAAGAGACTCAGCAGCTGAAGAGGAAACCAGCAGGGGAGAGAAGCTGAACTGAGGGAAAGGGAGCTGGGGGATGGCTCAGAGATACTTCCAGCGAAAACAGTGGTGAGGTTTCCGGACCTCCTGTAGGGACACCCACTCCTCGCCGGAAACTGTCACGCAGAGAGTCCAGAAGACGTGTTTCCGTTAAGGAGCTTTTATGTTGGAAGCGATTACGAAAGCAACCACTGTCGGAATCTTCTAGTGACTAGAGGAGCCATGTCAGAGGGGCTCCGTCACAGACAGAGGTTTGTGGACTTGAACAAACTCTGAGGGAATACGATTTTACGCACAAGCAGCTCATCTTCCCATCACAGCATTCCGACAGTCCTTGAACGCAGCTTGTGCAGGAGAAGGCATAATGAGCAACCCAGCAGGAACCGGAGAAGCAGGGGCTGGAGCGGGTCCAAGCCTGGAAGAAAGGTACCGGGTGTTGGAGGTCCAGCTGGCGCTGCAGACGGCGAGGCTGGAGGAGAGGAGGGCTCAAGATGCAGACAAAGGGAGAAAGCCACCCAGCTCGCCAGAAAGGTACCAGGATTGGTGCAGAAATTTGGGGGGGAGCCCAAAGACTATCATAGCTTTCGGACAGAAATGCAATATGCCCTCAATCTGCAGTTTGATGATTTCCCTGATGAGGAATCACGAGTGGCTTTTGTGATTGGGCATCTTGAAAAGGGGGGCGAGAGACTGGGTTAGACCCCTGATGGCAGCGCATAGTGACGTCCTAAAGGACACGATGAAGTTCTTTCGCGCCATGGATCTGATGTTTTCCAGCGATATTGAAAAAGGGAGTGGTGCGCAGACAGTTAATGGCTTGCAAACAGGGGAGCCGATCTGTACGTGAGTACTGGACTGAGTTCACCATGCTGATACACAGATTGGGGTGGGACTTATCGGCGGAACCCATTCAAATGCTCTTTGAAGAAGGGCTTTCTTCGGCTGTGAAAGATGAACTTTCCCGGGCGCCCAGGGCGGAGTCTATGGACCAGCTGACCAAATCAGCGCTGGCCATAGGAGCGCGCCAGGAGGCGAGAGCATTGGAGGCGGGAAGGGAAAGGGGAACGTTGGAAGGAGTTCCGCATTCCAGACATTCCAGAGCCAACTTTCCCGCCGGCAGAGCCGATGGAAATCGGAACAGCGCGCGCGCGCAGTTTCAAAGCCCAGTGAGGGGGGGAAAAAGGAGGGAAAAGGCGCCCGGAAATGCTATCTCTGCCAACAGCCAGGGCACTTTGCCAGAGTCTGCCCCCAGAGGAAGGAATGGCAAGGGATGGTGGGAGCTGTGGAGGGAAGAGAGGAAAAATACCGGAGCAACTAAAAGCCAACGCCTGGCTGCCATTGTCGGGGCACAGCAGCCAGGCCAAAGAGCAGTGAAAGTGCCCACGCCAGAACCTCCTAAACCCGCCCTAGTGATAGAAGTGACACTAGAGCTGCCAAACGGACACCCTCTAAAGATAAAGGCGCTGTTGGACTCAGGCAGCTCCTGCAATTTCATGAGCAAAGAGTTTGCAGCTGAACACCAGATACAGACGCTCCTTTAAGCAACCCCCTGCAGGTAACCACGATCGATGGCAGGGAGCTGTTGGGAGGAGAAGTCAGCTTGCAGACCGTCCCAATGATAATGAAGGTGGCAAGGCACACCGAACTAATAGCATTTAATGTGGCCACCTTGGGAGGAGCTCCCATTATATTGGGGATGAGCTGGCTAGCGTTACATGATCCGCTGGTGGGCTGGCATCAAAGAGTGGTTTCTTTTGGGTCAGCACATTGCTTAGAACACTGCAAAGAGGGAAAGGTTTTGGCAGGGGCCCAAGCCACCCTAGCAGGGACTGAAGTAACGGAGAACGTGAAGGTACCACGACAATACGCAGATCTCCGCGACATCTTCAGCGAAAGGGAAGCTGACCAACTACAACCGCATAGAGCCTTTGACTGTCAAATCAATTTGCTCCCTGGGGCACAGCTCCCTGTGGGCAAGCTGTACGCCATGTCAGACAGAGAGATGCAGGAGCTAAGAGAGTTCATTGACAAGAACCTGAAGAGAGGGTTCATCAGAGAGTCCAGGGCGGTGGGGGGCAGCCCAGTGTTTTTGTGGACAAAAAAAAACACGAACAAGCCGAGACTGGTGTGTGACTTCAGGGCCTTAAATGCAGTGTCAGAACCAGTGGCCTTCCCGATGCCCAGGATTGACGACATTTTGACAAGGGTGCGGAAGGGAAAGATTTTCACCAAGCTGGATCTAAGGGGGGCGTACAACCTGATACGAATAAGGAAGGGGATGAATGGAAAACCACCATGTTCACCCCTTTAGGGGCATTTGAATACTTAGTTATGCCCTTCGGTCTACAAGCAGGCTCCGCAACATTTCAATCGTTTATGAACCACGTCCTGGGGCCGTTGCTTTACAAGAATTGTGTGGCCTTCTTAGACGACGTGTTGGTGTATTCTGAGAATGAGGAGCAGCATGTGAGAGACGTCAGAGAAGTGTTGAGCAGGCTGCAAGCCAACCAGCTGTGGGTGAAACTGGAGAAGTGTCAGTTTCATACCAAGGAGGTGGAATTCCTGGGGTATCGCCTGTCTGACAAGGGGTTGGCCATGGATCCCGGCAAGGTCCAGGCGGTACTGGAATGGAAAACACCCAAAACAAGGAAGGATGTGCAGAGGTTTTTAGGATTTGGGAACTTCTATCGTAAGTTCATCCCAAACTTTGCCCACCTGACGGCGCCCATTACGGACTGTCTCAGCAGTAAGAAGAAGTTCGTTTGGACGGAGGAGGCGGAGCAAGCATTTGAGGAACTAAAAGGGCCTTCGCCTCGGAACAACAGCTCCTGCATGTGGATTTACAAAAACCGATGAGAGTGGAAACTGACGCATCAGACAGAGCGGTTGGGGCGGTGCTTCTCCAGCCAGGGAAGGAGGAGTCAGAGTGGAGACCGTGTGCTTTTTTCGCGAAAGCTGAACAAATCCGAGAGGAACTACACGGTGTATGACCGAGAACTACTAGCCATTCATGAGGCGTTCCGGAGATGGAGGCACCTGCTAATTGGCGCACAACATAAGGTGCAAGTGTGCACTGACCACAAGAACCTAGAGTATTGGAGGACGGCACGAGTGCTCAACCAACGGCAAGTGAGGTGGGCCCAGGAATTCTCCAAATTTAACTTTGAGATTTGTTACGTGCCAGGCCCAGAGAACATTAGGGCGGACGCTCTCTCACGCAAACCTGAATATTTGGAGGGGAGGGAGCACCCGAAGAGAGACATGTCATTCCAGAGGACCGCTGGGTGTGTGGGGCGGCATTGGTGGGACAAAGAGAACTGGTAGAAGAAACAGAGAATGATGAATACGCCCAGAATAAGCTCAGAGGTCTTAGGGATGAGGGAGAGGAATCAAGGGGTTTCGAGGAAAGAAATGGAGCTTTGTATTACAAAGGGGCACTGTATATCCCTGAAGGAGACTTAAGGGGAGGGTACTCAAGCAGTTGCATGACAGCCCCACGGCGGGGCATTTTGGGCAACACAAAACCAAGTGGTTGGTCACCAGGGAATTTTGGTGGCCTAAGGTGAGGAGGATGTACGTGAGTATGTAAGAGGGTGCGAGCAGTGCCAGCGAGCCAAACGGGAAAGGCGGGCGCCGGCGGGGCTATTAGAACCCTTACCAACACCAGAACGACCTTGGGAGGCAGTGTCGATAGATTTTATGACTGATCTGCCGAAGTCCAAAGGGAAAACAGCCATCATGGTGGTGGTAGACCTACTAACAAAGATGTGCCACTTTGTAGCTTGCTCGCATGCAGTCACGGCGGAAGAGACAGCGAAGTTATTTGTAGAACACATTTTTAGGTTGCACGGGGTGCCATTGAGGGTGGTCTCAGACCGAGGAAAACAATTTACTTCCAGGTTCTGGAGGAAGCTCATGAGCTTACTGCAGGTGGAGGTCAACTTTTCGACTGCCCGGCACCCTGAAACCAACGGGCAGGCGGAAAGAGCAAACGGTGTCCTCCAGCAATACCTGAGGTGTTATGTCAATGACAGAGAGAATGACTGGGTAGAAAAGTTGGCGCTGGCGGAATTTGCCTACAACAATGCCGAGAATGTGTCCACAGGGATGAGCCCCTTCTTGGCTAATTATGGGTGTCATCCCAGGGCTTTCCCAGGGGAGAAGGGGAGAGATGGAGCGTACCGGCAGCCGAGCATTTTGTAGAAGAAATGGAAGCAATCCACCGTCAGCTCCAACTCAACTTAGAAAGGGCGAAGGAAGAATACAAGAGGCAGGCAGACAAGAACCGAAGGGAAGGTGAAACCATAAGGGTTGGAGATAGGGTGTGGCTGTCAACCCGAGGGTTGCCGTTCAAAGGAGGTTGTAAGAAATTAAGACCCAGGAGGTTGGGTCCCTTTGAGGTCATTCAACAGGTCAACCCAGTGGCTTTCAGGCTCCGGTTACCCAACCACATGAAACTGCACCCAGTATTTCACAGGTCGTTACTGTCACCGTACGAGGGGACGAGAAGGGATGGCCACTCGGGGACCGGTCATAGAAGAAAGAGAATGCAGCAGTCATGTGGCAGAAATCCTTGATGCCAGGTGGAAGGGGAATCAGGTGGAGTATTTGGTAGCGTGGGAAGGAGAACCGGAGTCAGAAAACACGTGGGTAATGGCCGAAGATATCAATGACGAGGTATTGATAGAAACGTTCCATCAAAGGTTCCCGAGGAAACCTCAGCCTGTGGAGAGGTTCCGGAGGGAATACTTTGGGACCACTGAGGAGGAGGAGGAGTTGGAAGGATTCCCAGAATCGGAAGGGGAGGGGAGATGGACTCGGAGGAGGAGGAGTGCTTCGAGACCAGGAACCGCAACAGGTGGAGAGAAGTGTTCGAGACATCGGAAGATGAAGGAAGTTCATTCCGGGGTTTTGCCTCCTCACCGCCCGTAGAGGAGAGGGCGAGAGGGGGTGAAGGGGGCCCTGGAGGGGAGGTGGATGTCAGGGAACTGCCATCGGAAGGAAGGGAGGTGAAAGGACTCAGACAGGTTGGAAGGGACTCAGCAGCTGAAGAGGGAACCAGCAAGGGAGAGAAGCTGAACTGAGGGAGGTGAAAGGGCTCAGACAGGTTGGAAGAGACTCAGCAGCTGAAGAGGAAACCAGCAGGGAGAGAAGCTGAACTGAGGGAAAGGGAGCTGGGGGATGGCTCAGAGATACTTCCAGCGAAAACAGTGGTGAGGTTTCCGGACCTCCTGTAGGGACACCCACTCCTCGCCGGAAACTGTCACGCAGAGAGTCCAGAAGACGTGTTTCCGTTAAGGAGCTTTTATGTTGGAAGCGATTACGAAAGCAACCACTGTCGGAATCTTCTAGTGACTAGAGGAGCCATGTCAGAGGGGCTCCGTCACAGACAGAGGTTTGTGGACTTGAACAAACTCTGAGGGAATACGATTTTACGCACAAGCAGCTCATCTTCCCATCACAGGACCCAAAGGTCATTTAGTCCAACCCTCTACAATGCAGGAATAAATAAAGATAATAATAAGTAACAATAATTTCTCCTTCACTCTGCCCCACTGCCAAGTCCACTGGAGTCCAAATCAACTGTGGAGTGATACAACCGTGCAGTGATATTAATCAACAGTAGAAAGGATTCTGGGAGGTTTGATATGAACAGTCAGCAAACGGTTTGGCAAATTTGTTTGCTTCCCAGGAGTAAAAGAAAGTCTCCTGTTTTCGCCTGGCACCTAAAGATATGTGATGATTGTGCCAGGCGAGAGCTTTCCACGAAATGGAAGACTCCACTGAAAAGGCCCTGTTCTCCTCCTGCCCCCCCCCTCCCATAGAAGGGGGACACAAAAATGGGCCCCAGGTGATGATTTTTTTTAATAAGATATTTATTAAGATTTTTTAAAATATTACAATAAAAAATGAAAAAGAAAAAGAAAATACAAAATAAAAATGATTAAAAACCACTCAATTTTTCCATTGCTTATTTTTCCTTAGCTTGTTTCCCGGACCTCCTCATACCTCCCTTATTGTATTCCAGTTCAGTTTGTTGGTTCAGCAAATCCTTACCCTCTTTATTTGTCCTAATCTTTGGTCTTAAAATAGTAACGTTAGATTTTTACCTCTTAACAACCCATTTTTCATATTCCCTTAAAGCATTACAGCTGGAAACCACTTAATTTCTATCCAACATCGTTCTAACATTCATTAATTTTACAATATTTCTGTAGATAATCTTTGAACTTCTTCCAATCTTCTTCCACCGACTCTTCTCCCTGGTCTCGGATTCTGCCAGTCATTTCTGCCAGTTCCATATAGTCCATCAACTTCATCTGCCATTCTTCCAGAGTGGGTAGATCTTGTGTCTTCCAATACTTTGCAATGAGTATTCTTGCTGCTGTTGTGGCATACATGAAAAAAGTTCTATCCTTCTTTGGCACCAATTGACCGACTATGCCTAGGAGAAAGGCCTCTGGTTTTTTCAAGAAGGTATATTTAAATACCTTTTTCAGTTCATTATATATCATTTCCCAGAAAGCCTTAATCCTTGGGCACGTCCACCAAAGGTGAAAGAATGTACCTTCAGTTTCTTTACATTTCCAACATTTGTTATCGGGCAAATGATAAATTTTTGCAAGCTTGACTGGGGTCATGTACCACCTGTATATCATTTTCATAATATTCTCTCTTAAGGCATTACATGCCGTAAACTTCATACCTGTGGTCCATAACTGTTCCCAGTCAGCCATCATTATGTTATGTCCAACATCTTGTGCCCATTTAATCATAGCAGATTTCACCGTTTCATCCTGAGTATTCCATTTCAACAGCAAGTTATACATCTTTGACAAAATCTTAGTTTTGGGTTCTAATAGTTCTGTTTCAAATTTTGATTTTTCCACCTGGAAACCAATTTTCTTATCCAAATTATATGCCTCCATTGTCTGATAATAATGAAGCCAATCTCGCACTTTGTTTTTTAATTTCTCAAAACTCTGCAATTTCAGTCTATCTCCGTCTTGTTCCAGAATTTCCCAATATTTCGGCCATTTGGCCTCCATATTGAGCTTTTTCAGAGCTTTTGCTTCCATCGGTGACAGCCACCTTGGAGTTTTATTTTCCAATAAGTCCTTGTATCTTATCCAGACATTAAACAATGCTTTCCTGACAATGTGATTTTTAAATGCTTTATGTGCTTTGACCTTATCATACCACAGATATGCATGCCATCCAAATACATTGTTGAAACCTTCTAGATCCAAAATGTCAGTGTTTTCAAGAAGCAACCATTCTTTCAACCAGCAAAAAGCTGCTGATTCATAGTAAAGTTTAAAGTCTGGCAGGGCAAATCCACCTCGTTCCTTTGCATCTGTTAATATTTTAAATTTTATTCTAGGCTTCTTGCCCTGCCAGACAAATTTAGAAATATCTCTCTGCCACCTCTTGAAACAGTCCATTTTGTCCACAATTTGCAGTGTTTGAAACAAAAACAACATTCTAGGCAATACATTCATTTTTACCGCAGCAATACGGCCCAGCAGTGAAAGCTTCAAATTTTACCAAATTTCTAGATCTTTTTTCACTTCAGCCCAGCATTTTTCATAGTTGTCTTTAAATAAATTCCCATTTTTTGCTGTCATGTTAATCCCCAAGTATTTAACTTTCTTAACCACTGTTAAACCTGTCTCATTCTGAAACATCTCTCTCTCCATTGGTGTTAAAATTTTCTCTAAAATCTTGGTCTTTAACTTATTCAACTTAAATCCTGCAACTTGACCAAATTCTTGAATCAGTTCTAAAACTCTTTTGGTACTAGATTCTGGCTCCTGTAACGTCAATACTAAGTCATCTGCAAATGCTCTCAATTTGTACTGTTTGGCTCCGACCTGTATACCTTTAACCAACCGGTCCCTTCTAATCATGTTCAGCAGAACCTCCAGGACCGATATAAAAAAGCAATGGGGAAATTGGGCAACCTTGTCTTGTCCCTTTTTCTATCCTAAATTCTTCCGTCACCACATTATTTACAATTAATTTAGCCTTTTGTTCTGAATAAATTGCACTTATACCGTTTTCAAAACCTTGGCCTACCCCCATCCCCTGTAGGTTCTTCTTCATAAAACTCCAAGAGATATTATCAAAAGCTTTCTCCGTGTCCACAAATATCAAAACTGCTTTAGTATTTATGTTCACTTCTAGTTTTTCCAAAATATCAATTATATTCCTCAAATTATCGGACAAGTGTCTTCCCGGGAGAAAGCCCGCTTGGTCTTTATGAATCTCTTCCATCAATACTTTTTTCAATCTCTTGGCCAAAATGTCTGCAAAAATTTTGTAATCCACATTAAGTAACGATATGGAGCGGTAGTTCTTAAGCTGAGTCTTTTCATTCTCTGTCTTCGGTATAAGTGTAATGTACGCCTCTTTCCAAGACTGGGCCCCAGGTGATGATTGCAGGGTCTGGGTCAGTTCGTTCAGAGAGGCTGTCATTGAGGTCCTGGGATCCTGGGTCACATAAGACTTTATGGAGGAGGCAGCTACTGATGGCTACTAGCCACAAGGTCAATGCTCTGCCTCTGCAGTTTGAGGCAGCAATACTTCTGAATACTAGTTGCTGGCAACCACAGGAGGGGAGAGGGCTCTTATGCTCAAATCCTGCTTGCTGGCTTCCTACAAGCAGCTGTTTAGCCACTGTGATAACAGGATACTGAACCAGATGGGCCACTGGACTGATCCAGCAGGCTCTTCTTATGTTTGTAGGTGAAAACCAGCACTTTGAATCAGGCCCAGAAACTAATTGGCAGCCAGTTTAGTCAAGCCAGAATTGGTGTTATATGCTCAGACCATCTTGCCCCAGTGAGCAAACTTGCTGCTAAATTCTGCCTCAGCTGAAGTTTTAAAACTATATTCAGAGACAGCCCCACCTACTACACATTGCAATAGTCTAATCTCAAGGTTACCAGAGTGTAGGCTGTCCCTGTCAATACAACTTATTATACTGAATGCAAAATACTCACATGATTGGCTCCAAAGGGGGACAAGCAGGAGGTTTCGTTTCCCGGGAGTGATTCTGCAGGAAGTCGATCATGGTCTGACGAACTGTCTGAACTTCCCGATCAGAGCCTGCTAAGGAGAGAGAACAATGAATCATAGATTTCTAGAGCTAGAAATGTCCCCAAGGGTCATCTAGTCCAACCCCCTGCAATGCAACAACAAGACACCTCCACGCAGATTTCTAACATACTTTGTTCTTCCCCCTGATGACAAGCAGAATGGATCCATTTACAACTTTACTCTGATCTGGTACAGGAGGCACACAGAATTAAGGCACTTAGGTGCCTTAATCACTCAATGCCACTTGGTGTCTCTGAGCAGAAGATCTGGAGGTGGCTACATCTGCCAAGAAGACCCTGTCAAGAGTCCAACACAGGAAACCCTATTTCAACATTAACCTATGACAGTGGTTTTCAACTGGTGGCCTCTGTCCCTTTTTCCTTCCCTCCCTCCTCTAAGGCCCTCTCGCGTCTCTGCCTCCCAAAGGCTTGCACGGCTGTTTATTGCAGCAGCCCAGGCTACAACCTGGTGCCTTTGGAGCTGGTCAGGGGGTGATGGTTGCCAGGAGCTAAGGTGGCCTTGGAGTGAGTGAGCAAGTGGGAAAGGGAGCCCAGTCAGTCCACCAGCAGGACTCCCAAGGAGAGGGGAGAGGAGGCTGAGGGAACACTCCACAAGGGAGGGTGTTCAAGAAAGGGTAAGAGGCTGCCAGCTCTGCAGGCAACGGGTGACATAACTCGGCTCCTGAGCCCCACAGGGTTGCCACAGAAAGAATGTAGCTGGTCAAGGGAGCCATGGACTCAGAAAGGTTGAAAACCTCTGACCTTTGAGATCACATTAACCTATGAGATCACCTTACTCTTCATGTGCCCACTCGACCATTTTGATCAGTGGAACTGGTGCTACTATAGGTGCCACATAATAACCATTCTGCATTTGTAAGGTCTTGATCATATAGCATGGCAGCACCTGCACTTTGGAACTTACTGCCTATTGATATCAAGAAGGTGCCTTTACTGTATACTTTTCAACACCTGCTCAAAACATTCTCATTTAGACAAAGCTGTCCAGATATTCAAAAAGTTGATGTGGATTTTAATCTGTTTCGGTATTCTACCTTCTGTATGTTTTAAAGTATTGTACATTTTTATTGATTTTCTTGTTTTATCTTTTTATAAACCAATCTGAGGGGTTTTTTTCAATCAAGTGGTAAATAAATTTAATGAAATCATAATAACCATCTTTTACTTATCAGGCTTTGATGATTACTGCTTGAGCATGTGTTTTAAATGTTATGGGCTTAAACTAAGTTTTCTCTTAAGCCAACTTGAGTATTCTTTAGTCTTTTGATACAGGAGTCCTCAGTGCTGCTGCTTTGAGTAAATAAAGAGAATTGGTCTTACCATGGTGGTTTTCTCCTGTCGTGAAGTCTTTGGCAAAAGCCCTGAAATACTGGAAGAGAAAAGAGAGGAGGGTTTTATTAGAATAGCCACCATCACTGCTCATAATAAACAGAAGAACGTTAAGAAGATCCTGCTGGATCAGGCCAATGGCCCATTTAGTCCACCATCATGTGGCTGAACAGTTGCTTGTGGGAAGCCTGCACAAGAGCACTCTCCCCACTCCTATGTTTTCCAGCAATTGGCATTCAGAGTATGGTTACCAGATTATTTTCAAGGAATCTGGGGACACTCTTTTTTTTTGGGGGGGGGGGAGATTTCATGCTTTATTTTAGGAAAAGGTTGTCCAGAGTTCTTGACCTTTTTTTAGGGGAACCCCAAAGCTGTCGATCACACACCTCGACACAAGGCAGGCAGAGAAGCCCATCTACAACACACAAACGCCAAAAAAAGAGGGGGGGAGAGATTGAGTAAAGGCGCTCGCTGGTCTTGGGAAAACACGCATTAAAACACACACACAAGGCACCGGCTTCCCATAACCGGGAGACCGCTGGAGGGCGAGTTCAGTCTCTACGGAGATTTAACTGGCGTGGTAGTGTCTCGTTACCAGAGGTGGACAAACAGCGGACTCACACACAGCCCTCCTCACAAAAGAGAGGCTGCTGGTGCTGGAGGAGGTGCAGAGGGAGGGAGGGAGGGAGGGAGGGAGGTTGGCTGGAACATTGACGTGGCCAGGACCTCCGGTGCTGCTCGCTGCCATGGCACCCGCCATGTTGCCTCACCAGAAGTCCCCAGGCATAAATCCGGGGACATTCCGGGGACACATTTTGTCCTTGGACAGATTGGTGAATCCGGGGACTGTCCCTGGGAACCGGGGATGTCTGGTAACCCTAATTTCAGAGGCAAAACCCAAACGCTGCAAACTTTCATCATAGGAGAATCACTCCACCCCCTGGATAATTTGATTGCAATCAGGTCAAGCACCTCTAGAGCAGCTCAGCTCATTAGACACCAAGTCTTTTAAAAAAAAAAAGCAACCTTGAAGCCTTTTAAAATTGTAACTTGCAGGAGAATCACTCCCGATAATCATTCCTCAAGACATCCAAATGCAAATGAACCGCCTTGTGAATTTTTGCATGTTGAAGCTGGTTAGGTAAGCCTGGCAAATGAGAGGATGAGTCTTTGCACACTCATTTGCCCCCCCCTCCCCTGAAAAAAATATCATCTTGCAAATCTCCCCCTCCCTCATGGCTTGCCCAGCCCTTTTCCCTGGTTGGGCAACTTCTGAGAACAGGATGGAGGACTAGATGGGTTAATGGCCTTGATCCAGCAAGGCTCTCCTTATGTTCACCTGGGGAGCCCTAATAACTGGCTTAAGGATCAAACTGTTACCACAGCTTGTACAACAAGATTCAAAAGGTGGGGGAGAGAACTCACAAACATCCCAGTCTGTTTAACTGAGTGGAATAAGCAGAAATGTTTCTAGGCATGTGTGTTCCTGGAGTCACTTACCCTAAAAGTGGGATAGTACTGAACCCCATAGTCTTTGCAGGTCTCATAGTTCACCTCATCCCCGCAGTCCAGCACCCCAATTCTGATGGCAGGTTCCCACTCTGAAAGGAAACAGGCAAAGACTTATTCCTGCATTTCCAGGAAGCAACCGCACTCCATTTCCCCTAAAGACCCTTGAATGAAACGCATAACCACTTGGAACCAGTTTACCTATGGGTCGGAATATATGATCCTAGGGTTCTCTTCCAACTTTACAATTCTAAAATGAGCCGATGTGACAGTAACATTTTATGGTGCTCCAAGCAATCGGCTTAATCTCTCCCACTGGAGAAGGCAAAGGCTGCAAGACTCATTGAGTCAAAATCCCCTCAAATTCTCAAGTTGCATACATCAGACATGGCACAGTTAATACCCCCCTCTGTCAGTGCAGCAAATGGCAAGTCACAAATGGTGGGGTGAAGAAAAAAAGCTGCTGGAGGTGCTCCTGGGTTTCTAGGTGAACCAGAAGCAAAGTTCAACAGACTTAATATTGTCCCAGCAGACAAGTTGTGACATGATAATCTGCACAGGAGGAATTAGATGGTCTCTCACAAGATCTACCCACTCTGGAAGAATGGCAGATGAAGCTGATGGACTATATGGAACTGGCAGAAATGACTGGCAGAATCCGAGACCAGGGAGAAGAGTCGGTGGAAGAAGATTGGAAGAAATTCAAAGACTATCTACAGAAATATTGTAAAATTAATGAATGTTAGAATGATGTTGGATAGAAATTAAGTGGTTTCCAGCTGTAATGCTTTAAGGGAATATGAAAAATGGGTTGTTAATAGGTAAAAATCTAACGTTACTATTTTAAGACCAAAGATTAGGATAAATAAAGAGGGTAAGGATTTGCTGAACCAACAAATTGAACTGGAATACAAAAAAGGGAGGTATGAGGAGGTCCGGGAAACAAGCTAAGGAAAAATAAGTAATGGAAAAATTGAGTGGTTTTTAATCATTTTTATTTTGTATTTTTTTCTTTTTTTTCTTTTTTATATTGTAACATTTGGAAAATCTCAATAAATATCTTATTAAAAAAAAAAAGGAATTAGATGGTCTCAGGAAGAATGGACAGAGGTATCCACCACTCTAAACTCTGCCAATTCCAGCAGTTATAAAATCCAGATTTCTCTAACTGGTGTAAAATCTGGCAATGAGAACCTAGTTGGTCTGGTTTTATTATCTCTTTGCCATCAACAATGATCCTGCAAGGTAGGTCAAGCTGAGAGTTCCTGACCAGAAATCACCTAGCAAAGCTTCATGGCTTGAGCAGAGAACTGAACCCAGGTCTAACTTGTGAAAACTCCAACCACTGTATCACCACCTGGTGAGGGGTGAAATCTGGCCAAATATCAGAGGTGTGCGAATCAATGAAAAATGACAAAGCATTGTAGCCAATTACAGATTTCACTTTGAGGTCCAAGGGCCTCTGGTTGTATGCATGCATTTGAGCCCACCCAAACAAGAACCTGAACTTCTCGTTTTTGAGGATACAGTGGTGCCTCGCAAGACGAAATTAATTCGTTCCGCAAGTCTCTTCGTCTTGCGAGTTTTTCGTCTTGCGATGCACGGTTTCCCATAGGAATGCATTGAAAATCAATTAATGCGTTCCTAGGGAAACCGCCTTCAGACCAGGTCCGGGGACAGTCTGTCCCCGGACCTCTTCTGAAGGCTGGGGGGCAAGGGCTTTTCTTCCCACCCCCAGCATTTTAAAAACCCGGGACAGCGGAGGACTTCTCCGCTGTCCGGGCGATCTTAAAATGCTGGCGGGCGGCATTTTAAAATCACCCGGGACAGCGGAGGACTTCTCCGCTGTCCGGGGCAATTTAAAGCCCCTGGGAAGGCAGGCAGGGGGACAAAGACTTTGCCCCCGCCAGCCTTCAGAAGAGGTCCTGGACCTCTTCTGAAGGCGGGCGGGGGCGAAAGTCTTGCTCCCCGCCTTCAAAAGCCCTCCGGGACAGGCAGGCAGGGGAGCAAAGACTTTCGCCCCCGCCCGCCTTCAGAAGGTCTTCCCTCCCCCCGCCCGGCTCGGAGCACCGTTCCGAGCCGGGCGGCGGCGGGAGGTGTTCCCTCCCCCCGCCCGGCTCGGAGCACCGCTCCGAGCCGGGCGGCGGGGAGGTGTTCCCTCCCCCCCGCCCGGCTTCGGCGCACCGTTCCGAGCCGGGCAGAGGCGGGAGGTCTTCCCTCCCCCCGCCCGGCCCGGAGCACCGCCCGGGCCGGGCGGCGGCGGCAGGTGTTCCCTCCCCCGCCCGGCCTCGGAGCACCGTCCGGGCCGGGCGGCGGCGGCAGGTGTTCCCTCCCCGCCCGGCTCGGAGGAGCCTCCGAGCCCGGCGGCGGCGGGAGGAGGTGTCCCCGCCCCGCCGCCAGGCTTCGGAGGAGGTCCGAGGACAGTGGGGAAGACGCGCTGCGCTTCCCCGCTGTCCCTGAGATTTCCCTATGGGCTGTCGTCTTGCGAAGCAAGCCCATAGGGAAATTCGTTTTGCGAAGCGCCTCCAAAACGGAAAACCCTTTCGTCTAGCGGGTTTTCCGTCTTGCGAGGCGTTCGTCTTGCGGGGTACCACTGTACAATGTTGCCAATAGTAGCTCGAATAGTAATTGCAACTCAATGGAAAACAGCTCCAAATCTTACACTGGACAGTTGATACAACTCACCCTGGAATAGAGCTATAATGGAGAAAATGATGCATAATTTTATATCAATAAGGATTAGAACCTCCAGATACTTTTCATGATTTGGCCTTGTTTTACGACATATTATAGTGGAAGCATAATTTTCAAGGCAACCCTTGTCCCAAGCCTGGCAAACCTAGAATTAGATCATGTTGATATTCCTGCAGTTCAGGGGATTGGATTAGATGACCAATGGGATCCCTTCCAATTGTATTATTCTTTATTGGGACTTTATTACTTTAACCCATATGCAACCATACTTATGCTAAACGCCTATTTTCTAGTTGTTTGTTTTTCATCCTTTAATTTCCCCCTGTTATAATTGTTCTGTCTGTTTTATATACATTATAAACTGAAATTTTAAAGAACTTTACACTAAAAAAGAACCTGAATTTTTCTTTGTTAGCTTAAACACTATAAAAATCCAAGGATCTTCTAGGGAACTTGCCCTTTCGAGTTTGGCGAAAATGTGTGTTCCTAACATTATGAGCCAAGCATTCTGTTCTTGCTACATAATGAGATGGGTAGGTTTTCACAGAGTGGGAAAAGTGTAAACTGTAAAACTTTTTTCCATATGGTGTTGGGATGAGCCTAATCCTCCCTACCAGACACAGTAAGACCTTTTTGAGCCTGCGGACTGCATCTCCTCACTGCAGCCCCTTCAGGGGTCACCCATAAACCAAAGAGAGGGAGCTGCCACCCACAAAGTCCCTTTGACAAACACAAACACAAAACACACACAAACTGCAAGTCTTTGGATGCTTGGCGTTTATAGAAGTTTTTCTTAGAGAAAACAAGATTTTTAAAAAAAGGAAAAGGAAAACACCCATTTATAAAATTATAGATGGCCTGGAGAAAGTGGGTTAAGAAAATTTTTTCTCCCTCTCCCATACCACTAGAAATGTGTGGGCATCCAGTGAAGCTGAATATTGGAAGAGAACAGAAAAAAGAAAGATCTTCTTAGTTAAATTGTGCAGGGAGGCAGTGCAGGTGGCAGTGATGGAAACCAACCTAGATGGCTTGAGAAGAGAGGACTTCTGATGTGATGGCTATGCTATGGCTACACTGCCCCTATGGAGGCTTCTGAATAGCAGATGCTAGAATCCACAGGAGGGGTGAGGACTTGTGTGTTCAAATCCTGCTTGCTGGTTTCCCACAGGCAACAGTTCAGCCACTAGGAGAAGAGGATGCTGGACTAGATGGGCTATTGGCATGATCCAGCAGGCTCTTCTTATGTTATGTTTCAGAAAAGGGACAAGTGAAAATATGGAAGCTTCATCAGCCAAGAGGAAGGACTCTCCTTCGTTATAGGTTTTTAAGCAGAAGCTGGATGGTCATCTGTCAGAGATGCTTGTGATTTCTGCATTGCACGGGGTTGGGCTAGATTATCCTTTGGGGTCTCTTCCAACTCTAAAATTCTATGAGTCTATGAAACTTGCTGAAGAAATGCCTCCTTCCCTTGACTTTTATTTTCCTTTGGAAAAGCTGCCACACTGACAGCTGAGCAGACACCAGGCTAGCTACCAACATCCCAGAGCAGATGGGGGAGCGTTCAGGCAGCCACACAATAGCCACCAAGCCACATTTGTCCCAGGAAACACAAGCACAGAAAGTTTGGCTTGGGGTGATCTGCCTCATTCATGATTCAGCACTGCACTCCCCTTCCCCACCTGTCTCCTCAGGCCTCAAGCAGAAAATGAGCCAGGGGCATCACAAAACCAATGCAAATGGCTCGCCTCCCAACAATGCCAGCCCATCTCCAAACAAATACTTGGTTAAGTGCAGCAGCTGGGAGATGGGTTGCTCAGCCTTCAACAAAGGGAGGGGGGTGGAAGAAGGCAGCCATGCTTCAGATCACCCTCCCAGCCTTTTCACAGGCTCATAGTTATGTTGCAGGCTAGAGAGTTAGATCACAGAAGAGTTGGACAGAACCCCAAGGATCATCCAGCCCACCTCCTACAATGCAGGAATCACAACGATAGCATCTCTGACAGACTGGCATCTAACTTCTGTTAGTCAGCACAAGCTATGTTACAACAGCAAACATATCAACAAAAATCAAGCAAACCTAAATGCTAAAGTTGGGAGATGGATTAACGTGATTCATTTGTCATGGAGCAATGTAGACAGCCAGCTGTTTGCTTATGGCAGAATCCCAGGCACGTATACTCTGAAGTAAGCTCCACAGAGTTGAAAATCCATATAAACAAACCCTAACTGGCACATAGTTATCTATAAAACTTGCTCCCAAAGGAGGCACTGACCACCAACTTGAATGGCTTTAAAAGAGGACTGGGAAAATTCATGGAGCAGAGGGACAGCAATGGCTACTAGCCATGATGGCTATGCTCTGCCTCCACAGTTGGCAGCAGTAATGCTTCTGAATACCAGTTGCTGGAAGTCACAAGAAGAGAGTGTGCTTTTGTGCGCAAATCTTGTTTGCTGCCTTCCCACAGGAAATTAATTGCTTGGCCACTGTGATTCTGGACTGGTGTGATCCAGCAGGCTCTTCCTATACTCTTATGTTCTAATAAAAATCAACATGATTTATTTGTCACAGAGCAAAAACAATGCTATGTCACATATCCAATCAATTGTTTGCCAATGGCACAATCCTAGGACACCTACTCAGAAGCAAGCTGTGCAGAGTTTAGAGACCATATATGCAAAAATGAGGCAGGTGAATTACAAACAAGCTTTAACAATGTGAATCTGAAATTCAATTGACCCCCAAACCTCAATTGCCTCTCAGCCAGTAGTGTCTCAGAGGGGAGTGTCAAAGCAGGGGCCCCATCACCAAGAAGGACCTCCCACATATGAGCATACCACAATCCTGAGTTGGAATAGCCAAAACAAAAGGTGTATATGGGAATAGGTCTCGCAGGTATCCAGGCCTCAAATTGCATATATAGCTTTGTAAACCAATACAAGTAACCTGAAGTGTGCTCAGTAACACATTGACAGCCTGCGTCACCCTTTCAGGATTGGCACCGTGTGTTCATGGCAGGTCACCTTGACAGCAAGCCACAGCTTTTGAGTCAGCTTCAGGTAAACTACATAAAAGGACAGCTCCAGGTAAAGTACATAATAGTAATCCTATCTCAAAGCTAGCAGCATACCTGGCAAGGCTCTCTCAATCCAAGGACAGTGATAGCCAGCAAACTATATTTTGAGAAAATTTTAAATTCCTTGACAACTACCCTTGGAGATATGTCGGTTCTGTCACCATGATGTGCACACAGAGAATATGATATACTTTCATGCTGCAAAGACCAAGTTCTGAACTCTTGAGGTTACCAACAACAAAAACTTGAAAGCACAAAAACAATGATCTCTACAGCCACAGCAGGCACTGCAACTTTCCAACAGCTTGACCTCACTCTTCTATTGTCTCACAAGACAGACAAATACCAACAACTTCAAGATTTAACTATCTGGAACCCCTATTGTTTACTGGAGAAGCTCTTTTGGTCAACCCAGTAAAGAATTTCTTATTATTATTTTTCCAGCATCTGCACACAGCCACCCTGGAGAACATTTAAACTGGGGAAAAACACAAAATCACTTTGGAATGGCCTTCAGTTTTACACCCTTATTGCCTACCTGGCATGCAGAAAGTCGTGGGCTCTTCTTGTGTTCTCATGTTTTAAACTAGATTTGGGCTGTATACACACTGTACATATAAACCACATGTAAACCCCCAAAGGATTCTGGGAACCACAGTTTATCCCTCCCAGAGCTACAATCCCCAGTGCTTTTAATAAACTACAATTCTCAGAATTCTTTGGCTATATGCTTTAAATGTGTGATGTTTCTTGGTCCAGACAGCTCTCTCAGCAGACAGTTTTGCCTTCTGCATAATGACATCCTATGCAGAATTTAGAGAGCTGCAACCTCTGTGGTTACTAGCCATGATGGCTATGCTCTACCTCCACCATCAGAAAGGCTTCTGAATACCAGTTGTTGGGAACTGCAGGAGCAGAGTGTGTTCTTGTGCTCAATTCCTGCTTGTGAGTTTCCCTCTGGAGCATCTTGTTGGCCACTGTGAAGACAGCATGCTTTTCTTATGACAGAAGTCTGCTGAGCTGGTTTGGGCAGGGTATGTAATCAGTTAAGCTTTTAAAAGTGGTAATCACAACATCCTCAGCTGGGAAGCCCCAGGGGAAGGTGGATAACTTCACTGCTTTCTTTCTCACACCCTGAACCAGGAGCTGGAGGAGAATTTCTCATGGTAGAGCCATCAGGAAGCTGAGAAATGAGAAGGGCTGGGGGGTAAAGAATGGCTCCTCACCAGGTCTCATATAGGACAAGAGAAGACTACAATTGTTAAAGCTATACACTGTCCTCCTCCTGTTCGCTGGCAATGTCTTCTCAATTTGGACAGAGGCCATCATCACTGGCGTCATCTCAGTCCTAGAAATGGATCTAAGATTCGCAAACAAGTCAGCTATGGTGGCCTCTCTGTCAGCCATTTAGAACCTGCAGCAATAAACCCTGATCTGTTACATCCTCCAATTAATATGCCAAATGCATTCAGTTGTAGCCCTGGAGAAACAAGAACTCTGCAAAGAAAGCTGCCTTGCATCCCTTCAGACTATAAACAGCTGCACACTGCTCTGTTATCTAGATATCTAGATATATCTAGATCTGTATATCTATATATACATACATTTGGTAAGTAGCAATAAGCAAAATAAAAGACCAGTTTGTTGTCAGCCGTCCACAACCTGCGGGCTCCTCCAAGATGTTCTGGACTCTACCAAGCACCAACTTGGGGAAGGACTGGGGCAGGAAGCGCCAGGTTTGAATCCCACCCCAAGACATGAAGCTGACTAGCCTATGCACTCTTCTCACTTTGGCCTACGTCATAGGGCTGCTGTGAGGATAAAAAGGCTCAAACACTTCCCTCACAAACATCCTTCTCCTCCACCACCACCAACAATGATGCTCACTAGAGTGGCCCCTGCACCAGCCACTCTCCTCCACCACCACCTCACAGCATAACCTGCTTCTCTAAGGGTCCAGTGGGAGCCAATGGTCGCGTTCTGGTTAAGAGTGCCAAAATAGGATCTGTGCTACACCAGTTTTCAATTGCACAACCCTCCCCCTACTCAGCCATGAAGCTAATGGGGAGAAGATAAATGCATAATAAATAAGGCAGAGAGAGTAAAGGGGAAGGGGAGGGGCGCGCCCCAATCTATTAGGGGCCCCCGTCCTCTTAGCTCGCTCACCGCGGACGTCCCCGGCCAGCGCCTTCCAAGTGGGCGCGAACGCGACGCAGTGCCCGCAGGCCGAGGAGTAGAACTGCACGAGCCAGGCCGAGGGCGAGCCCCGCAGAACCTTCCGCACGGTCGCGGCCTCTAGCACCCACACCGGGTCCGTGCCCGCCTGATACAGCCGCGCCCTGACGGGAACCACAGCAAACATCATCGACGCCGCCAACAGCACACGCCATAGCGGCAGCACTTCTTGCCACCACCCCCATCGCCGGCGCCCGTAGCCGCCGCCGCCACCAGCCTCCATGACCGGGTGAGCCTGGCTGCTAGGCCGCCCTTAGCAACGGACAGCCTGCCTTGGAAACAGGTCTGGTGAGGACCGAAGGGGCGCGGCTACCCGCCCGGGTCACCTTTATCCACTCAGAAGGCGAGGACTGGAGAGGGGGCGTGGCATCTCCGCCCCCTTTCTCAATGGCCTTCTCTGTTTGGATGTGAGAGAGAGACAGAGGAGGGAGCCCGGCTGCTAGGCCTCCCTTAGCAACTGGCCATCCCCGCCGGTCAGGACCAAGGGGGCGTGGCCACGTGTCCGCGTTCCAGTTGCCCAATCAGCGGACGAGGGGGGCGTGGTGCGGAGTGGTGTGGGCCGCCCCCCTTCGCCGCTGCCGCGAACTGGCACGTCGAGGCGTCTGTGGGTTCCGCAGGGACCTCATGATCCGCAAAAGCCTTGTCTGTTTGTTTTTTTAAAATGATCAAAAATTAGTATCTCCATCCTCAACAGAAATAGGTTCATTATTTCTGGTGAATCGGAAGTACCCCACCAGCTGATACCCAAATACAAACAATGCATACTCATATACATACACAAGCACACATGCATTGTTATGAATTTGTGGGTGCTAGGCACCCTAAGTTACTGTGTTCAGTAGGCATTCGAATTTAATTAAGGCTTAGAATGTTTTAAACTCTGCAAGACCCATGGGTATTTCCGCCTGTGTATTAGACACTTCTTAATCCTCAGGAATTAGCATGTGTTAAGGGCTAATTACCTCCTGTGTTGAGATAATCACCTGAGGGACAGGTATTAGGATCCAAGTTGGGGCTGCTTTCACTCTAAAGACAATAGCTTACAAAAGAGGAATGAAGTAATGTGAGCCAAAAAGCTTAGAGAGCAGGAGTTATGTGACAAGCAGAAAGAAAGAGGCAGATAAATGGCTGAGGGCTGTTTGAGGACTCCAGCTATGGAAGAAGCCAGACTCTCTTGGAGTGTGGTGCTGGAAACCTCTCCATCATAGGCTCAGGTTGTATATATGGGTAAATAAACTATAAGTCATAAAGACACCACTGTCTCCACTGTGCCTTGTTTTTCCAAAAGGAAACACAGACCTTGGATAAGTGTACCGGGGACCCCTGGAATCTGACACCACTCAGAGACTTGCGTGGCGTGTAACAATATACACACAGAAAGAGACACAATCTAAGTTGCTATTTAAGTTCTGCGATTTTCATTTCCCCCCTTTTTATGTTGTAGCAGGAACCCCCCACCCAAATCATTCAGTTTGTACAAACTTCACACACTCACACTCACACACTACATATGCCACACTTCTGTTATAAATTCATAGAAAAATCAACCATACATCGGATTTGCACTGTTCCATTTTTATTTTACTCCATATGACAAGGACTATCAAAGGGGGGTGGCTTGGTTCTGGTCAGCCATAATCCCTTCACCATCCCAGCACATCCACAGGAGCCCTGCCCAGTTGCTATGCCAACCCTGATGGTCCTAGACAGAAGACCATCAAGATCACAAAGAACTTGCATATGGGAGTGGATTCAGCATGGACTGAAACAAAGGACAATGATCAGATCTCCCTCTGGGGGCAGGAAACTGCCAACTCCCCTTTGTCTCCTGGAAGTGACTCATGGGGAGGGGGAAAGGAGGAACCAGCCAGGTGACAGGACACTCAGGTTACCACCACAACTCCTCCCTCAACCCCTCCTTTCTGTAATGTATGCATGATGTCAATCCCTCCTTTCTGTAATGTATGCATGATGTTTCTGGGGGTGGGCTTGACCTAGAGGATGGGAATTTCAAAAGTTTTTATAAGGTCTTGCACACCATCTTTCTGGGTCTTTCCTCTCTCTCGCAAGTGAGGGGAACACCCTGTTGCAACAGTTCAATAAAGGCCAAGCCTACAGGCTGCTGTTTTGCTCCAAGTTATCCTGGTTGGTGTCTTTATTTTGTCCAAGAGAGCCCTCTGATTTTTCCAGTAACAATGTGTTACTGTTTCAGATTAGTAATGTATTAGTCTCGTAACATTGCTCTACAATGCTTAAAATGTTAACAAGTTTGATGTGATTAATATGTTAAAAACACAATAATAAAAATGAAACGTCTGAAGGGCACCAGGTTGAAAAAGGCTATAGTAGCACATACAAAAATCTAGAATGGCCGTGTGTATGCGTGTGTGTGCAGTATACAATAAAACAGGACATACAAGCACATGGTATAAAAAGAGCAATCTTAGTTTTTTTTCAAATAATTCACTATCCCTTGTAGCTGTTTTTTTTTATTCCAACACTTTATTTATTTCTATACTGCTAAATTACCAAACATATCAAAGAAGTTTAAAACCTAAAAAAAAAACAACTATATGATAAAAGCATTTTTAAATTAATAACCATTTTAAAGAGAGAGAAAATCTGACAATGGCATGAACTCCCTCAGAAGGTGGATAGGACTCCCATTTGTTGGAGGTTTTTAAGCAGAGGTTGGATGGTCATCTACCATGAATGCTTTAGTTGAGATTTCTGCATTGCAGGGGGTTGAACTAGATGGCCCTCAGGGCTCTTCCAACTCTCTGTTATGATGTGAAGCACCACACCATACATTTAAACACACATTCAAAATGCATGACTTCCTCCAAAGAATCATGGGAACTGTAGTTTCCACCCCTCACAGAGCTACAATTTCACACGTCCCCAGGAAGAGGGGTTGATTGACAGTGGAATGGACTCCCTCAGAAGGTGATGGACTCTTCTTTGTTGAAGCTTTTTAAGCAGAGGTTGGATGGCCACTTGTCAGAGATTCTTTAGCTAGGATTGCAATATTGCAGGGAGTTGGACTAGGTGACCATTGGGCTCTCTTTCAACACTACAATTCTATAATTATTAAGCCACACTGGAAATACTGTAGCTCTGTGAAGGAAATAGGGGCCTCCCAACAATTCTCAGCACCCTTAAACTACAGTTCCCAGGATTCCTTGAGGGAATCCTGACTCAAACGGCTGGTGTGGAACCCTTTTTCATTTCAAGCTTAACCAAGAGACTTCTCTGCTTCCGTGTGAGCCGCTGCTTCTTTTTAAAACTGTTCTCAGTGCAGGAAACCACTTTGTGGTCCCTGAACAGAATTTAAATGAACCCAAAGCATTTTAAGGGATGGAGAACAGGATGCCGTTTATACCTCATAGAGGCCCTTGTTTTCAGGAAGGATTGCTGCGTGCGCCAGTGTCTGAAAAAGATGGATGGTGGGCAAATGAAATGCAGAGTTTAACGGAGAAATAATCATTTCCTATGAAAGCTAATGACTCCTCTGGAGGCCGCTACTAAGATTTATTGACCCAAGAGGTTAATATTGATCAAAGGCACGGCAAAGAAAATATTAGACCTTGAAAGAAGGAGAATCACGAGACGGAGGCCTCGCTGGTAACGATATATCTGGCTGTCAGCCTGGAGAGTGCTGGGCACATAATGGTAAAGGGAGTTTAATATGTCTCCCGTGTTCCGCAAGCCCCATTTTGACTCTCCAATCCGTTATTTTATAGCTAACTCCTTCCCTGGCTCAGCTTCCTGATTAATCTGTTCTAAAGGGCCGCTCTCCAATTGCACCACTTGCTCGAGATGGGTCCTTTATATCCTCTTCGTTAATTTTTTAAAACTATAAATCGCCCCCCTAAAATGCCACCCTGGCTTTTGATTATGCCATACCTTAAAAAAAAGAAAAGCATGGGTCAAACTTTTCCCCACACCAACAAAGCACTTGAAAATTGCTAAGGGTCTTGATGGACCACTTAATGATATTCTCCCCCTGCCCGCCTTGGCAACTGTAGATGCTGTACGATTCTTTAGCTGTGATTCCTGTATTTCAGGAATCAGATCAGGTGGCCCTTTGGGATCCCTTCCAACTCTACAGTTCTATGATTCTATGAACCTCCTCTGGCCTACACACAGATGAGGACAGGTCATTTGTTTCCATGGATTTCATGTAGGGAACAGAAGTTGCTCTGATGGAGACTCAGGGGGTGCGGGAAGATCCTCGCCTTGGGAGGAAAAGGAGACATCTTGTTCGGTCAGAGATGGCATATCATTGCTTCCATATGTCAGAAAATCGTCAACAGGTGATAACAGATCTTCCTTCATTTGAGACAGAAGCTCATCGCTGAAAGTCCCTTCGTCGCTTTGCAAAAGGCAGCTCTTAACTTGGGGTTCCTCCATAGGTTTGGGGGAACTTGAACCAGGCACTGCCGCCCCAGATTCCTTTTTGCTTTGACTATGTATTGCATTTTGATTTCCTTCTTCTGCCAGATCTGTGGTTTCAGGGGAATGCAAACAGGTGCTATCCTCTTCATCGCCTAAAGATACTCCAGTGATCTGTGCAGTAGCACCTTCACACGGCCTGCTGTTGCTGGAGCAACTTTCATCACCTGAATTTTCTGTATAACTTGTAGCACTCTCCAAAATGGACTGGGATTTGGAGGAACCAAGTGAATCCTGGAGCTGGTCAGTGATAGGATTCACACTTTTCAAAGACACTGTAGGTGCTTCTCTTACAGGCTCGTGTTGGCTTTTAAATTTGGATGTGTTTTGATCTTCACCATCTCCTTCAGCTTTGCTGAGGGTTGATAAAGGGTCCTGACCCTCAGAATGCTGAAAGGCCCAGCTAGGTGAGGAAGTGCTCTTCTCTGCCCCAGCCCATATATGAAACAACATCTTGCCCTTGCTGTTTGCATTAGGCCACTGGTCTGAAACTCTGGAAGAGTTTGTGTCTTCTCTGGTCTCTGGGGTCTGGGCTTGAAAGAGAAGGGGTCTTGGCCCTCCACTGTTTGATAATACCACAAAATCAGATTCGCTCTCTGGCCTGCCTTCCGGGGGCTTTTCCTGGCTGCACATAGGTGGCATGCCATCTTGATTTGAATGGACACTCCAAGAAGCAGCTCGGGAATGGTGTTTGCTGCCAGATGACAGCAACTCTCCATCCACACCAGTTTCCGCCTGTGGCACAGCAGAGATTATAGGAATCCTGTTGCCACTACAACTGTCAGGGGGCTGTTCCTGGAAGGCAAATTCCTCTGGCAGGCTCACATCCGTGTCTTGAGAGGAATCTTCCTCTTCGAAATCAGAGGCAGAAAGGGAGCTTCTGGAGATATTGACTAGAACCGCATGGGCCTTTAGAAATTCAGAACCAGACCTGGGACTCTCCAGCATTTGAGAAAAGCCAAATGATTTGGCAGAGGATGTTGCAGAAGACAAACTCCCAGGACTCCTGTCTGAGGTTGAACTACGAGGATTGTTATCTTCTTTGGGATTCTCTGTCAGGCAAACGTTCTCCCTGCAATGCTCTTCCTCATTTTCCACATGATCTGGAAGGAAACAGAAGACAGGCAGTTCTTACTTGCTAGCTGATTTTATTTTATTTTTTTGAAAATTATTTTGTCACAAGTAACAATGCAAATGTTTGAGAGGCGCAGAAGAAAAATCAGCATGCCTGTTTGACATTATCTGGTCCACAACTTAAGGATGCAGAGTGGAGAAATGGTTATTGCACAGAGAGAGAAATGATACTGCAAATATAAGGTCATGGTTTTGTGAAAGCACAACCAAGTGGTCAATAATACACCTAGAACACAACCAAATCCAGATAAAATAGGAAAAATTATGGCCAACTGGATGGGACAACTGCAGGCAGGATCTAAGCACAAGAACCCTCTGCCTCTACTGTGGCTTCAAGCAATAGGTATCCAAAAGCATTGATGCCTCCAAAGGTGGAGGAAGAGCATAGCCATTATGGCAAGTAACCATCAATACACTTCTCCTCCATGAATTTGTCCAATCTTCTTTAAGCTATCCACATTGGTAGCCATCACTACCTCTTGTAGAAGCAAATTCAATAGTTTAACTATGAAGGACTTTCTTTTATCCCTCCCGAATCTTCCAACACTCTCCATTGGAGTTCTCATGGTATGAGAAAGGGAGAAAAAGTTTCCTCCACTTTCTCCATGCCATGCATCATTTTATAAACGTCTATCGCATCACCTCTTGCTCATCTTTTCTCCAAAGTAAAAAGTCCCAAATGCTGTAAACTTTCCCCATCACAAACACATCCTGCAATGTGCCCCACAAGCACCTTTTCTATCCTTACCTGTGATCTCCAAGCCACCAGGCTCTAGGATGGGACCTGCAGATCCTTCTTTGGAAGAATTAAGATGCTCAGCCTCTTGACACCCCAGCTGTGGCTTCCAACCAGGGGATGCTGCTGCCATCACTTGATGCCTGTGTGATGACACTTTCCCACACTTAGTGCCAAGGCTGCATACAGAGAGAGGGCGACAAATCAATTGTGGTGTTATGGAATCATAGAAGTGTAGACTAGATCATCTAGTCCAAACCCATACAATGTGGGAGTCCTAGCTACTACTAGTCCTGTGCCCAGTTATCACAGCTAACAACCATTGAGAGGCCTCTATATGCCAGTATTTGGTTACTGTAATTTGTTCCATGTGGGGTTTCCCTTGATCCAGAGGCTGCAGTCAGTGCAGAATTCTGGCCTTATCAAGGAATGAGGATTTGTCAGCACCTGTGCTCAGAGAACTGAACTAGTTATTGATCTGCTACCGGGCCAAGTTCAAGGTGTCCCATTAGTCCTTAACGACTAGGGACCAGTTTACCAACAAAATCCCCTTACCCCACATGTGCCCACTCAACTGCTTCAAATGGTGGAATTGGCATTCCACAGGTGCCCCATAATCCCCCTTCTGCGTTTGCGATAACATGAATCTTTTAGTGCAGCAGCACCTACACTTTGGAACTCCCTGCCTATTGATATCAGGCAGGCACCTTCCCTGTATTCCTTTCAATGCCTGCTCAAAACATTCTTGTTTAGACAAGCCTACCCGGATGCTTAGAAAGCAGGTGTGAATTTTCACTTGTTCAAATATTTTAACTACTTGTATTTTTAAAGTATTTAATTTTTTCCTTGGTTTTCTCGTTTCATCTTTGTCAACTGCTTTGAGGGTTCCCCTCCCACACACAATCAAGTGGTGTATAAATCTCATGAAATAAATGAGTCATGAAATAAATGAGTTACGGAAACGGAATAAGGCATCCAAACACTTCCAAGGACAGTGTGTTTGTGGTGGAGCTGGGTTAGCCATCTCTCCCCATTCCTCGCCCCATCAACAAGAAGCAAAAGTGAAGGCAGCCATACTTTCGACAGGCCCGGCTGACCTATAATCAATAGTGACGTGACTTATAGATCAGCTCCATGCAAAGATTTATTGGAGAGCCTTTCCATTAACAAAACATGCAGCCTTCCGCTGGCTCCCAATGCTTGGTTTATGGGAACTGACAGTACATGAAGGGTTTGCGGGGGTAGGATTTGTGGTGGGCTTGTGGAGCAGAGAGGGTGGGCAACGCCTGCAGCCTCCCCACTGGAACATCGTAAAGCGCCCTTAGCACTTGCTCAGTGTCACACAGGCAGGCCCTCCTGACTTGACCTGTTCTGGGGAGACAGTGACAGGCAGAGCCAGAAAATGGAGAAATGGACAGCTGTTGGACGGGATCAGACCAAGGGTCCATCTCTCCTGGCGTAAGAACATAAGAAGAGCCTGCTGGATCAGGCCAGTGGCCCATCTAGGAGGAGAAAACCATGCATGACACCCTGAGCTCCTGGGGAAGGGGCTAGAACATGGGTAGGCAAACTAAGGCCCGGGGGCCGGATCCGGCCCAATCGTCTTCTAAATCTGGCCCACGGACGGTCCGGGAATCAGCATGTTTTTACATGAGTAGAATGTGTCCTTTTATGTAAAATGCACCTCTGGGTTATTTGTGGGGCCTGCCTGGTGTTTTTGCATGAGCAGAATGTGTGCTTTTATTTAAAATGCATCTCTGGGTTATTTGTGGGGCATAGGAATTCGTTCTCCCCCCCCCCAAAAAAAAATAAAGTCCGGCCCCCACAAGGTCTGAGGGACAGTGGACCGGCCCCCTGCTGAAAAAGTTTGCTGACCCCTGGGCTAGAACTATAACAAATAAATAAAAAGAAGTAAATAACTAGCACATAACAATGGGGAGTTTTTAACTTAAGTCCTTGTCCACTTGACATCGCAGACCAGCGGCCACTTTTAAGCAAAAAAAAAAGGGGGGGTTGTCTTTTCATTCCTTACGTGTTGTAAGCCTCATCCTGGAGTCGTCGTTGGCTGCTTCTGCCTCCTGAACTCCCTGAATATGCTACACTGAAGGATCCTGGACCGGAGGTCTCCTTCTTGCCCCCTTCCTCCTCCTCCTCCTCCTCCTCCTCCTTCCCCAGCACAAGAGCTCTTTCAAAACAGGTTGGTTCTCCAGCATCCTGAAATGGGAAGGGAGAGAGTTTATTTTGAAGTAATAAGGCTGAAGTTCCTGCATTGCAAGGGGTTGTGCTGAGACTACCCTTCCTTGGGGGTCCCTTCAACCTCTCCAATTCTATGAGCTTGGAAGATGGTGGCTTCTCTGTCGTTGGAGGCTTTTAAACAGAAGTTGGATGGCTATATAATCCTCGTTCTGCATTTGCAAGAATTCAATCTTTTAGTGTGGCGATCTTTGGAACTCCTTGCCTGTTGATATCAGGCAGGTGTCTTCCCTGCATTCTTTTCAGCACCTGCTAGAAACATTTTGTTTAGGCAAGCCTGTGTTTAGAAAACTGATGTGAGTTTCAATCCATTTATTACTATTTTAACTTTTTGAAAGTCTCCAATTATTGTCATTCATTTTTTTGTAAACGGCCTTGATATTTTTGTTTTGTTTTACGATTAAGTGATGTATGAAATGAATAAATAAATAAATAGATAAATAAATGTGAAATTAGCATCCTGCAAACAGCAGGAAGGGAGACTCCCCGATGGGTCCCTAACATTAGTTAGGTACAGAGGTTCTGTCTTTAAAGCAGTATATTTATGCTCATTTTTCACTGTATTCATGACCATTTGAAAAAAGGGTGCACAATTTTTCCAAGGACTGGAATGGAATAATGTTGGTAATATTGTGGGTGCTAGTCATAAAGTGGTCTCCACTCCACAGCTGGTGTTTCTCTGGTTAAAACAAAACAACCTGCATAAAGTAAGTATCAAGGCATTAGCTTTTTAGCATCAGGTGAATATCTTTTTATTTTGTATTTTCTGGGACGTTTTAATCTTTGCTGCCTGTTTTTAATTTTTGATACTGGTTTTTTCATTTCATTTTTATTTTTCCAAATCAAATAATAGTGTGGTGTGATGGTTTAGAGTATTGGGTTATGACCTGAGAGACTAGGGTTCGAATCCCCACTTACCTATAATAATAATAACAATAATTTATTTGTATCCCGCCCTCCCTGGGTGACAGAGCGGCTAACATCATGAAAACAACACAATATGCATAAAAACAGGCATCAATTAATTAAAATACATCTTAAAATTAATTCAGACAAGTTAAAATCTGGGCAGGTGGCAATTATCAGGTTGGAACTGAGAGTGGTTAATACTTGCCAGGACCAACTGTTTCCACTGATGATACAAGGACCTGTAAGCAAGTTGGGGGCCTCCTTCAGGCTTGTTTTATACAAAGGAAAGTAAGTCCAACTGCATGCTGCCCAAAGGCTTGGCTATGAAGCTCACTGGGTGACCTTGTGCCAGTCACTGCCTCAGCCTAACCTACCTCACAGGGATGCTGTGAGCATGAAATGGGGAGGAGGAAGAGAACCATGTACACCGACTTGAGGTCCTTGGACAATGAAGGTTTTATATAAATGCAATAAATAAATAAATAAGAACTCGGGGCCATCTAATGAAGCTGAGTGTTGGAAGATTCAGGACAGATAAAAAAGCACTTCTTAGTTAAACTATGGAACTCACTGCTACAGGAGGCAGTAAGGTGGGTGGCTTAAAAAGAGGACTGGACAAATTCGTAGAGGAGGAGAAGGGCTAATGATAGTTACTTGCCACAGTGGCTGTGCTCTTCCTGCACTGTCTGAGACAGAAATGGTTGAAGCTGCAGCAGGGAGAGAGGGGTTTTGTGCTCTGATCCTGCTTGCAACTGTTCAGCCGCTGTGAGAACAGGATGCTGGACTAAGTGCATCATTAGCCTGATCCAGCAGGGCTTTTCTGATGCTCTTATGGAACCTCCAGATGCAGAGGCAGACTATCTGAATTACTAAGTCCTATGAGACACTTAGCCACTGCAAGAACAGGATGCTGGGCTTGGTAGCTCATGGGCCTGATCCAGCAGGCTCTTCTTATGTACTTATGTTCTTAACTTCCATCTCAGGGCCCTCCTGTAAAAAAACCCAAAAGGATCGTCTCCTGCCCAGAGGCCAGAGGGGCGTCCTCTCTGCCTGCCTGAGCAGCTGCTGCCAGCACTGCGCTGTCTACCTCTCCTCCTGCAGGAGCTCATTCTGCTGCTGCAAGAGGAACTGCCTCTCCTGGTGGGAAGACCTGGAGAAGTTCTGCAGGTGCTGGATTTCTGCCTGAAGGGAAGCAGAGGAACAGAGGGAATAAGGCTGCCTCCCCTTTGACCTAAGAAGAGCCTGTTGGATCACAACAGTGGCTCGCCTAATCCAGCATCCTGTTCTCATAGCGGCTGAATACCCCTAAGAACTTGGGAATCGAGATAGAGTGTTCCTGGGCCTGGGGGTTCCATAAGATGACCCTTGGCCACCCCGTCCAACTCTACAATTCTATTATTCGATGATGATGATGAAGATGATGATGATGATGATATTTTATTTATATCCCGCCCTCCCCAGCTGAAGAGTGGCTAACAACAGTAAAAGTAATACAGCATTCTAAAATCAATTCATTCTAAAATCAATTCAAAATCAAATTAATGACAACCATTGGGCTAGAGTTCTATGTTGTTGTTGTTGTTTAGTTGTTTAGTCGTGTCCGACTCTTCATGACCCCCTGGACCAGAGCATGCCAGGCACTCCTGTGTTCCACTGCCTCCCGCAGTTAGGTCAAACTCATGCTGGTAGCTTCGAGGACACTGTCCAACCATCTCGTCCTCTGTCGTCCTCTTCTCCTTGTGCCCTCCATCTTTCCCAACATCAGGGTCTTTTCCAGGGAGTCTTCTCTTCTCATGAGGTGGCCAAAGTATTGGAGTCTCACCTTCAGGATCTGTCCTTCCAGTGAGCACTCAGGGCTGATTACCTTAAGAATGGAGAGGTCTGATCTTCTTGCAGTCCATGGGACTCTCAAGAGTCTCCTCCAGCACCATAATTCAAAAGCATCAATTCTTCAGCAATCAGCCTTCTTTATGGTCCAGCTCTCACTTCCATACATCACTACTGGGAAATCCTCATAGAGTTCTATGAGGATTACCAAAGGAGGGGGTCAGGCTGTGCCCTGGCCAAAGGCCTGGTGAAACAGCTCTGTCTTGCAGGCCCTGCGGAAAGATGTTAAGTCCCACACGGCCCTAGTCTCTTGTGACAGAGCGTTCCACCAGATTGGGGCCACAGCAGAAAAGGCCCTGGCTCTGGTTGAGGCCAGCCTAACCTCCCTGTGGCCCAGGACCTCCAAGATGTTTTTGTCTGAAGACCGTAAGGTTCTCCGTGGGACATACCAGGAGAGGTAATATAGAATATCAGCACCTCTGAAGGGGGCCCCCCTTTCATAACCCCCAAATCATATATGGCTTAGAAATGAGTGGGAAGTACAAGCCCCATACCTGGCTGGTGGGATCCGTTGTCTCACTCATTTCACCAGATTCTTTTGCAGGGATGGTTCCGCCAGGGAGCTGGTTGGTGGGAGGGGACCTTAGGCCAGAGACCTGGTGCTCCTGGGGGGGGAGACTGCCAGCAGATGCCTTAGGCTGGAGCCCTAAAGAAAGAACATATGAGCATCAGAAGAGTCTTCTGGATCAGGCCAAAGGTGGCCCATCTAGTCCAGCCCCTGTTCTCAAGAAGGACCCGAGTGCAAGAGCACCCTCCCTTCCTGTGGCGTCCAGTAACTGGCATTCAGAAGCACTGCTGCCTCCAGTCAGGGAAACAGAGAATAGTCACGGTGGCTAGTAGCCATCAATATCCCCTTTCAAAACCACCCATCACTGCCTCCTGTGGGACGGAGTTCCACAGTTTAACTATGTGCTGTGGGAAGAAGGGCTTTCTTTAGAATCTACCCAATAATATTTGTGTTTGGCAGTCATCAGGTGGTGGCTTTTCTCATCCTGTTCTGACATTTGCCTACGTAATGCCCTCCTCTCCCTTACGCACGTGATCCTGAGTGTTTTAGAGCACAGAGAGTCTCGCATTAACTGTCTGAAGTGTCACACGCCCTATTTAACTCCCAGGAGAAGCAGTTTGCATCTCAAGGTATTATTCAAAAACCACTCTCCAGCCCCAGTCTGCTAAATTGCTTCTCGCTGACACCCTTGCAGGGTTTAAGCAAAATCCAACAAAATTCCTAATTAAGATAAGCAATGGAGGAAGAAAAGATTAGGTGTTTTTTTTCTTATTTTAGGCCGGACAGCAGTCTGTTCCATCAGTGGCAAATTCTCTGCCCTGTTTTAAAAACAGTGTCAGCAATAATCACTTAATCCAAATTCATGAGGCTGCACTTTTAAAAACATCGCAAAACAAGCTGCCTTCTATCTATCACCACTGGCCCATCTAGCTCAGCATTACCTGCACTGACTGGCAGCAGTACCTCTGCGGGTATTCCCAGCCCTACCTGGAGGAACCGCAGGGGATTGAATCTGAGACCTTCTGCACGCAGTGGCCTTCTGCAGCAGAGCAATGCCCCATACCCTACAAATAAAGATCATAGTCCTTGTGGTTCTGGGGAAAGGGCTGAAGATGCTGGAACTGAACCTGCAAATCAGGTGTCTTGTCATGGAGTTGCAGCTGCAGCAGGACTCTGCTCCAGGGATGGGAGGCTATTGCTCTCTGTTTGGGATAAGTGGGTGGTTTAAACCAGGGGTAGGCAACCTAAGGTCCGGGGGCCGGATGCAGCCCAATCACCTTCTCAAACTGGCCCGCAAATGGTCCAGGAATCAGCATGTTTCTACATGAGTAGAATGTGTCCTGTTATTTAAAATGCATATCTGGGTTATTTGTGAGGCCCCTCACATGGTCTGAGGGACGGTGGACCGGCCCACAGCTGAAAAAGGTTGCTGACCCTTGGTTTAAACCTTGCCAAAGGCACTACAGTATTTTATAATAACCTTGTGCTTAACTAGTAAGAGAACAGCGCTCTCTGGTGGCATAAAAAAGACAGTGGAGCCCCTCCAGGGGGACATATATTACTGTATAACTTGCATTAGTGGAGAACAGTAGTTTAAGAGGCACCTAATGAGTTCAGATATTGGAATTTTGGAACTCCCGGTCTCTTGATATCAAACAGGTGCCTACATTGCACTCATTTTGGTGGCTACTAATAACATTCCTGTTTAGACAAGCCTGTCCGGATGCTTAGAAGGTTTAAACTATGGTTGCAAATTTTTTTTATTGATAATTTATTTTATCTCTTTGTATACCTCTTTGAGCTTTTGATTTGTTTTACAATCAAGCAGTATATACATTTTATGAAATAAATATAAAAATAGAAAATATATGCTGTCTTAATTAATAAATATTTTATTTCTCCTTTTTGCTGTATGAGTTTGATAAGCAGCAAGTTTCACATTAAAAAGTGATTGCTGCATTGCAGGGGCTTGGACTAGATGACCATTGGGATCCCTTCCAACTTTACAATTCTATGAACTAAGTGCCTTTACAAATTGTCTGCAGGCAATAATAATAATATGTTTTTTTCATTCTAAGGTCCGGCACACAGAGAAAGGTCTCAGATGATGATTGCAGGGCCCAAGTCAGTTCATATGGGAAGAGAGGGTCCTGAAGGGATTCGGGTCATATGTAGGTCAAGAGCAGCACTTTGAATTGGGCCTGGAATCTAATTGGTAGCCGGCACAGTTTCTGAACTGTCTTCAAGGGCAGCCCTACCCCACCCTAGGCTAGGCAACAGTCTATCCTAGAAGTCACCAGAGCATAGACACCAGAAATTAGCTGTGACTGGCTTGGGTGTAGCTTGGTGGAAGGCACTCCATGTAACCGAAGAAGGGAGGGAGAGAAGAAAAGGTTTGGGAAGAGCATCTCCTCACCCTGAATCTTCCTATGATAGGGCTTCTCCCTGGGGTCTTCCATTCTGAAATTCTGGTGGGGGGCAATGAAGGTTTCCATCAAGGGGCTGGTTTGTGGCCTGATATGAACAGAAAGGGAGAAACATAAGCTGCATTTATTTATTTGCTGGACCATACTGATTAAAAACAAAGACCCTTTGGCAGGCAACGTAAAATGAAAGATTCCTATGAAAAATCACAATAATAAAAACAGGCTTTGGAAACTAGGGGATGTAAGCAATCAGTCAAGTAGTGCATACATTTTATTAATTAATATGAAATAAATATATCAATCAGGTTCCTCTCCAATAATTAAACAGAGGATTTGTTTTTAGTACGAGAAAGAACAAGACAGCTACTCATCCAGAAAGCAAGGGAAAGTGATTACTTTCTGACTTTAGCATGCCACACACACTCAGCATAGAAACCTAGAATTGCAGAGTTGGAAGGGACTCCCAAGGCTCATCTAGTCCAACCCCCTGCAATGCAGGAATCTCAACTAAAGCATATCAGACAGGTCCTCTGCTTAAAAACCTCCAACGAAGGATGGCCCACTGCATTCTGAGGTTTTCATGTGATGAAAATAATAAGAATAATAAATTTTTCATTTGCTGTTCTGCGCTCTTTTTCTCTGGCCCTGCCTACCACTGGCAGGTGGCCTCAGAAGGCTTCCGAGAAGACAATGTGGTCCTCAAGTTGTATAAAGTTCCCCCCTGGCCATCCCTGTACAGAAGACGGAAGAGCATCTGACATTCCTGGCAAAGATACCAAGGCCAAGTCTTGGAAGCCCCAGGGAACCTCTTCAAAGACTTGACTGCCAAGCTGAGCTAAAAGGATTAGAGTGAAATGTGTGAAAAAGCTAATAATAATAATAATAATAATAATAATAATAATAATGGACATTTTATGGAGCTCCAAAAGAAGGGACAGAACAGCAGCAGATAGAAGGGAAATGTTTTTATATCATCCACAATTAACTAGTAAGAGAACTGAAAAGGAGAATAAGAAGGAGCTCTCCCACTGAGCTATGACTCCCTAAAATAAAGTAAGACTCTATTTCTCATTTTTGCTGAATTAAACAGGGAACACAGGAAGGCACCAGCCCTACCTAAGGATGCATTTGGGGACTGAATCTGGGACCTCCTGCACCTGGGATGCTCTGCCACTGCAAACCCCCTTTGTTGATGGTAAAGGAGCAGGGTGCCATGGCCTCCCGCTCTCACCCCCCTGCTCCCAAAGAGAGCACCTTAATACCTCTAATCTCTCATCCCACAAAGGATGTGGAGTTCAGAAGAGACAAAGTAATCACACTGATCGGGGAAAAGAAAACCCAGCTCAGCTTTTTCTGTCTGGTTTCTGCACTTTGTCTCCCAAGCCAGGTCAGCCACAGCAGAGGATCTCTTCCTCCATCTGGACAGGAAGGAGTTTCATGGGCCTGAAGACACCCAGCTGTTGCTGTCATAGAGACCCCCCTTTTATGTGGGGGGGGGGAGAAGGAATAATAACCCAACCCCCTGCAAGCAGGAATCACAGTAGAGAGACCAGGAAATTCACAGTTGTCCCAACACAGCTCAACTGAAAGAAATGGAAACCGTACGGATTGACCACAAGATCTATCCCAACCTCTTCTTCTCATGCAGCTGCCCCAAAGGCAAGTCCCTGAACAGCTGTGGGGATCCTTTGGCGCACCCAACTGGCATGGCCTTTGCACGGGCTGGCAGTGCCACCCTGTGGTCAACTGTAGAACTGCTCTTCTTTCTTTATTGCATTTATAGCCCCCCTTTTTCTCCAGTGAGTTCAAGAGTGGTGTGATTAGTCCCCTTCTCTTCATGGAGTCCCCACAACAACCCTGTGAGGTAGGTTAGGCTGAGAATGAGTGACTTGTCCAAGTGAGCTTCATGGCTATGTGGGGATTTGAACCCTGCTCTCTCCCAGGGTCCTAGTCCTCATTTAATCCCCAGGGTGAGTTAGGCTGAGAGGCAGTGACTGCCCCCAAGGATACACAGTGAGCTTCATGGCTGAGTGGGGAATTGAACCATGCTCTCCCAGATCCGACTCTGACACTCTAACCACTACACAACACTGCTCCTCTTCTCTGGGTTCATATTAAAACACCCACACAAGCAGGCACTACACAAAGTCGAGCTTTCCAAATTATGTGTTACGACACATGTGTCAGCTGCACTGTGTAGTTGTGTTGTGTGAATGCTCCCCAAGCTCCTCTCAGGGCCGGAAAGGGGTTAGTGTAACTTCCTGCACGCTGGTAAAGATGGATTACTGTATCGTGAAATGATGCATGTGTTAAAAGTGTGAGAAGTTTGGAAAGCTCTGCCATAAAGGAACTGTTCGTGAACAGAAAGTCACTGTGCTTCCCAAAATCCTTGGACTACCATTTGCAGAAGCTGAAAGACGGAAAGGAGCTCTCCGGTAAACTGGAGCACCCAAAATCCTTTTTTAAGATATTTGCATTTTGCAAGGAGAGTTTAGAACATAACAGCATAAAGAGAGCCCTGCTGGATCAGGCCATCTAGCATCCTGTCCTCACCGTGGCCCCCAACCACATGCCCCCAATGGGAAACCCAAAAGCAAGATCTGAGCGCAAGAACTCATCCCTCCTGTGGTTTCCAGCAACTGGCTTTGAGAAACATTGCTGCCTCCATCTGTAGTGTCAGAGCACAGCCATCGTGCCTAGTAGCCATTGATAGCCCTCCCCTCCATGGATTTGTCTAATCATTTTAAATCCATTCATGTTGATGGCCACACCTGCCTCCTGCAGCAGTGACTTCCATAGTTTAACTCTGTGCTGCAAGCAGATTAGACCAATTCATGGAGGAGAGGGCTCTGGATGGCTACAAGCCACAATGGCTCTGCTCTGCTTCCACAGTCAGAGGTAGTACCGGTTGCTGGAAGTCACAGGAAAGGAGAGGGCTCTTGTGATTGGGTTCTGCTTGCAGGTTTCCTGCAGGCACCTGGCTGGCCACTGTGGGGACAGAATGCTGGACTGGCCATTGGCTTGGTCATGCAGGCTTTTCTTGCATTCTGATGGGGCACCACAGCAGCAGTGAAGGTCCATGAGGGTCAGGAGGTGCTTACCTTTGGGTGAGGAACTGCAGATGTGGTGTGGCAGGTGAGGCACCTGGCATCTCGGGGGAGGGTCCTCTTTGACGTCCCCTACTTGCAAGAAAACCTTTAGAAGAAAAGGAAGGGTTATGTATGGACGGATCTGAGGCCTAAGACCCAAGCTCACTTTTTTCACAATGAGGATGACGTCTAGGTGTCAAATGGGTTTTAATGGGTAAGAATCGTAGAGTTGGACGAGATCCAGAGGATCACCCAGTCTAACCTCCTGCAATGCAGGAATGTGCAGCTGTCCCATGCGGGGATCAAACCCACAACCTAGGCATTATCAGACCCACACTCTAACCAACTGGGCACCTTCAGAGAGGATATATTAGTTGCAATTTATCCCTCCAGGAACCCATGTGTGTGGGTTAAAGAGAGTTTTTAAATCCCATCCTTGGCAGCAAAATTAGAAGTATAGGAATTAGGCTACAAAACCTCTTCTTGAGCAAGTCCAGCAACAAAGTAAGCTGGCTTCCACCTTTCTTACCCCTCTAAGCAAAGAAATCAGACAACAGACTATGATTACTAACTCAAGAGTCTTGCATTGGTCTTCAGCTACAGCAGCAATACAAACAATGCAGGTAAAATACTTATATTTACAGTCAAAACAGTTTCAGGCTTTTGCTTGGGAATGGAGCAAGCATAGAGCATGTCTGGTTGAGGAGAGAGTAAAGGGAGGAAACAGGAAGTTACATATTGAGTGCTGGGATAGCTCAGTTGGTAGAGCAGGGACCAGCAACCCAGGAAACGCCTCAGCTCACCTTTCCACCTTTCCTTGATGTTTTTTGCACTGGCTGCATGTTGCTCTTCCACCTCAGAGGAAAGATCCCTCTGCGGTCCCTCACCATGAACTCTGGCAATGGACAAGAAGGCCCAGATCCTCTCCATGGCAGCCTGGGTTGCTACTGCTGCTGCTCCTTCTGGAAGGAGAGAGTTCTCCTGAGCATGCAGTGATGGACTACGGAAATAGTTGGGCTCCCAAAAGGCATTTTCACATGCTGCAGGTGGAGCCTCAGGCTTTGAGGTGGCAGAAGGTCCCTCTGACAGCAATGGGGGTCCCGTTGGCCACCCTTGGTCCCCTGAAGATTCAAGTGGCCTGTTTCTGGCCCTCAGCCTTTTTGTCTCATTTTCCAGCCGTTCACTGAGGCTCCTGGCAAGAAGGCCAATGGCTCTGACTTTCTCTTGTTTGCTTCTGTGGGGAGAAAGTCTGGACAGTTCCAATGGGGCAACGTCCAGGTCCCTCAGCCTTAGAGGGCTGTGACTAACACTAGTGCGAAACAAATCTGAGCTTTCAGTCACTTCTGCTGTCTTGGACGCCTCTGGGCACTCCTCACTGACAAGACAAAAGAACCAGAGAGGAAGGAAAACATTATTCAAAAACCCCAAAATAGCACTAGTTGCTTCAATCCTATCCCACTCCTCAGCACCTGGGAGCAATGGCAACCATCTTACCTGGGAAACCCCACCTCACCCCTCAGAAGAGCACGTGATGTTTGGCGGACCCAATGTGAGACTTCCGGTTCCTGAAATGGAAAAGAGCATCCACTTTGCAAAAATGCTGGAATTATTTTATAGGGCGGGCTTTCCCCAACCTGGTGCCCTCCAGTTAGAATCTCATTTCCTGTCATTGGTTCAGGTCCTCCCTTCCAGAGCAGCAGAAAACAAGCTTGCTCCATTTTCCATGGGGCAGCCCTTTAGATATTTGAAGATGGCTATCATATCTCCTCTCAGTCTCCCTTTCTTCAGCCTACCCAGCTCCCTCAGCCATTCCTCTTAAGGCTTGGTTTCCTTTATCAGCTTGATCACCCTCCTCTGTCCACATTCCCATTTGTTAATATTCTTCTTAAATTGCAGCACCCAGAACTGGACTGAGTACCCCAAGTGTGGTCTGACCAAAGCAGAATAAAGCAGTACTATGACTTCCTTTGATCTGAACACCATACTTCTGTTGCTGCAGCCAAAAGTAGTATAGAGGGGTTGTTTTTTTTGCTGCTGCATCACACTGTAGACACAAGTTAAGCTTGTGGTCTACTAAGATCCGTAGATCCTTTTCATAAGTCCTACTGGGAAACCAGGTGTTCCCCCATCTTATATTTGAGCAGCTAGCTATTCCTGCCTACATTTGTCCCTATTGAAATTCATTTTGTTAGTTTGGGCCCAGTTATTCAATCTGTTAAGACCATCTTGAATCCCAATTCTGTCTTCTCTGGCATTAGCTACCCCTCCCAGTTTGCTGTCATCTGCAAATTGGGTGAGCATCCCCTGAATTCCTTCATCGAAGTCATTTATAAAGACATTGAGGAACACTGGGACCAGACAGAACCCTTCTGCATTACCCTTTTTTGCTGCTCTCTCTTGGACTTTTGAATTACAGCTCACCAACCACTCTTTCCACCAATCAAACACACATCTTATATCCTTACCGGGCTCCAGTGACTCTTGGCGCACTTCATGGACGCGCTTCCCCGGTTGAACTTCCCGCCCACTTCCTCCTCTGTGTAAGCCTTTCTCCTCCTGCTTCTGCTGAAGGCTTCCTTCTGCTTCCTCTCCACCTCTTTTAGCCTCCTCTTCCTTGCCTCCTGCGCCTCCCTTAAAGCTCGCTTTTCTTCCTGGGCCATCTTTCTCCTTTCTGCCATCTTCTGCACCATAAATTCCCGTACCTCATCAATATTGTAGGGGATCCTCTTCCTCTGTCCATCCAGCCTGGGCTGGTTCTCCATTCGGGAGGTCTCCTTCACCCTCCCCTTGCGGATGGCCGAGAGTATTCTGGGGCACATCCACCCAGTGTCTGCAGATGCACTGTGGACCTTGGGGGAATCCTTGGTTTCCATCCCATCAGAGCAACCTGCTTTACCCTTGCTTCCAGTTTGCCTTTGCAGATTTCCTGCCTCCCTTTCTAGATATGGATATTCCTGGTTCCTGCAGCCTTGGCAGATTTTGTTCAATCCTGCAGCACCATCTGCTTCTCCAGCTTGTGCTGTTCCTCTCTCCGTGGCATGATCTTTGCGGTGGGTGCCACCTCTTCTTCCTAAAGAGCTTTGTTCTACCTGGGACAACAAACCTTTTTCCGGTTCTGTGGAAAGCATAAGAACATCAGAAGAGCCTGTTGGTTCAGGCCAATGGTCCAGGTAGTCCAGCATCCTGTCCTCACAGTGGCCAAATACCCTTAAGAACCTGGGAATCAAGACAGACTGCCTCTGGAGCTGTCAGTTCCATAAGAATCATCAGTCCAAAGGGGGCCCATCCAGTTCAGCATCCTGCCCTCACCATGGCCAACAAACAGGACCCACTTTCCCTTTCTCTGGTTTCCAGGAACTGGGTTTATTTTGTTAAACCACCAGTTAACAACGAGGCAGCAATGCAACAAACCATGCTTGTTTCAGTGGAGATCTATTTTCACAATTATTTTTAAAGCTTTGCTCTCAAGAAATGGGAGTGGGGAGGAAATGTCAAAAGAGGACATACCTGGGGTGCCCTTTGCTGCCATCCATAGAGAGCTGCTGTTCCCCGGCCTTGGGTATTTCTGGGGTTGGCCCAGGATCCTCCTGGCCAGCTTCTGGCCTTCCCTCCAGGCAGAAGGACCAAATAAATGGGCTCCTAGATTAAACACAGCTGGAAAAGGGTCTTTGAGGAGTGAGACACTCTCCAGACAGCTGCATTTGTACCTGCAAAAACTCTGGAACTCCCTTATTGACATCAGGCAAGCAGCTTCACTGTAATCTTTTCAGCACCAGCTAAGAACAGTTTTCTTTAGACAAGCCTGTCCAGGTGTTTAGAAAGCTGATGTGAGTTAGAATCTATTTTCACACTATTATTAACTCTTCAGATGTACTAAATTATCGTTGCTACAGATAGGTTTTTTTTTTAATCCTTTTTTGTAAATCATTTGGAGGGTTTCTTCTAGGATCAAGCAGGGTTGTGAACAACGTAAGAATAGCCTGCTGGATCAGGTCAGTAGCCCATCTAGTCCGGCCTCCTGTCCTCACAGTGGCCAACCAAATGCATCTTGGGAACCCTGCAAGGAGGATTCAAGCACAAGAGCCCTCTCCCCTCCTGTGGTTTCCAGAAGCAACTGGTATTCAGAAGCATTGACCATAGAGGCAGAGTAGAGCCATCCTGGCTAGTAGCCATCCTGAATTCTATTCCTTGTTTAAAGCTCTCCTTCACTGGAGGTTTTAAGTGGATGATGGATGGCCATCTGTCAGGGATTCTTCAGCTGTGATTCCTGCATTGCAGAGGGCTGAATTAGATGACCCTTGGGTGTCCCTTCCAACTCTGCAATTCTAGGATTCTTTGCCCACCTACCTGAGCCTCCTTTCCCGTTCCTCCTTCCCATGAATAGATGAATATTTTACAGCCAGTGTGGCTTAATTTTTCATTAACTACTTCAAATCACTAATTCATCAAGGTGCTAAGCGCTTTGCCTCTGACCTCTGACCTCCCATCCATCTCACCACTGACAAACGATGAAAGGGACCTTCCTGAGGACTGATGCTGACAGTTCCCTTGGTGAATGTGGGTGGCGGCGGCCCTCCCTGCAAGGGAGGCACACTAGTCATTTTTCAGGCCACTCGTTAAAACAAAGCAGGAGGGAGGAGGAAATTATTGTCTATTGCATACATTTTAAATAGGGTTCAGCAAGCAAAAAGCCCCCTCCGCTGATGGAGCAGGAACAGGGGATAAGTTTACAAAGTTATGCCTGGCACAGGGAAAAAAATAGATAGAGAAAAGTTTTCTTTCCTGTCTCATAACACCAGAACTTGTAAGCATCCAATGAAGCAGAAAGTTGGAAGGTCCAGGATGGATAAACGAAAGTCGTTCTTAGTTAAACTGATGGGCCACCAACTTCAATGGCTTTAAAATAGGACAGAAAAAATTCACGGAGCAGGAAAGGTTAATCAATAGCTAACCCTCATGAGGGAACCCATGTGGAGGATGGAGTGGTTAGAGTGTTGGTTGGGAAACTAGGCGAGCAGGGTTCAAATCCTTCCACTTGCACATGAAGCTCGCTGTGTGGCCTTGGGACAGTCACTTTGCCTCTCAGCGTAATCACCTTGCAGGGTTGTCGTTGTGGGGATTAAATGAGGGGGGACATGCTTGTCTTGGGAAATAACTGGGGAATACCAGTTAAGTCCTGCAAAAGAAAAAAAAATGGCTGGCTGGCTGCACGGATTCAAAAAGCATGAAATGCAGGAATGAATGAATGAATGAATGAAGAATTGGTCCAAGCAGCACACACACAGTCCACCATAACTTTACCTCTCTCTTTCTGAGACATCTCAGGGGGAGGAATCATGTGCGATTTGCGCCTCTTCTCCTTTCCTGACGTTCCTCTGCGGCCTTCACCAGTGAGAAAAGTCACATGATACATTAAACTCAGATTTTGGCAATGCACCACAAAACCACAAATAAATATATATTCTCCAGCAGCCAAATCCTGCTATCACTTGGACATTCCAGCACCTTCTTTCCATCAAAGAGTTCTGGGAACTGTAATTTACCTCATGTTGTTGTGCAATTGTATACATACAATTGTGTATCATCTGACCCATCTACTGCAATTATTAAGTTTGCAGGTGACACCATCATAATGGGTTTAATAACAGGTGGAGACGAATCAGCGTATAGAGGGGAGGTCCAAAAAATATCTACATGGTGCCTAGGGAACAACTTGCACCTTAATATTGGCAAGACAAAGGAGATGGTGTTGAACTTTTGGAGGAAGAGAGGAGAACTAGCCCTGCTGTACATCAGAGAGGGCTGTGTGGGGAGAGTCTCTTCCTTTAAATTCTTAGGAGTTTATCTCAGTGAAGACCTTACTTGGAAAATCAATACAACCCAGGTGGTTAAGAAAGCCCAACAGAGACTCCATCTCCTCAGAGCATTGTGAAAGAACAATGTCAATCAAAATTTGCTGATCTCCTTCTAGAGGTCCACAATAGAAAGTGTCCTTTCATACTGCATCACGGTGTGGTACGCTGGTTTGACATTAACTTGTAGGAAGTGCCTACAGAGGGTGGTGAATACAGCACAAGATATAATGGGCTGTCCCGTGAATCTGCTGGATGAGATGGAAGAACATTGCCTCAGGAGAGTGAGTTAAATTCTCAGGGATGATTCACACCCTGGCTGGCACTTTCTTGATCTCCTGCCCTTAGGCAGAAGATATAGAAGTATGATTAGTTGTACCAACAGGGTAAAGAACAGCTTCTATCTGTGGGCTGTTAGGCTGCTGAATGAAAATATAACAACAGGGCAACTGACTTTCAGGTTTGGTGGGTGGGTGTCAGTAAACGAGGGGAAATAAGACTAAGAGAGCTGAGTGGGGGGTGCTCATGTAATCTCACTGTATACAAGTTGTACAAGTGATAATAAAGTATTTCAATTTCAATTTCAATTCCGAGCAACTATCAGCAGATTACAGTGCCCAGAATTCTTTGCATGGGGAAATGTGCTTTGAATGTGCACACAACCTTTATAAGTGAACTGGTGTAACATTAACAATAATTTTGACAAACTGGGCAAATTCCTGCGCGAGACAGCTATTAGCCATGGTGGCAGAGCTTTATCAGAAGCAGTGGTCCTTTGAATACCAGTTACATGAAGCCGCAAGAAGGGAGGCTGATCATGTGCTCGCATCCTGCTTGTGGGCTTCCCATAATGGGCATCTGGATGGCCATTGTGAGAACAGGAGCCTGGACTAGATGGGGCCCCTTGGCCTGATCAACCAGGGCTCTTCGGGTGCTCTTGTGAAACCTCCAGGCCAAGAGGCAACCTATCCATAGCTGTCAACTGTCCCTTATTTGGCGGGAAATTCCCTTATCCTAGCGCCGTGTCCCGCTGCTGTCCCTTATTGATGATGTCCCTTAAATCTCCCGGGTTTCAAAGGAAGCAGCTCCTCTCCCTCCCTCCCTGCTGGCCAGGGAGGAGGGAGGCTCCAGCTGTGTTGCTTGGCTGCGTTGCTCACCCAATAAGGAGTCTAAGAATGACTGGGGGGTGGAGCTTGTATGCCGATCAAATCGGCCGCATTGCCTGGGGACTCGCCTTTGCTCAGCGCTTCCCAGCGAAGAAGTGACAGTGGTTTTCCTTGCTGCACCCCCTTTGCGGGTTGCTGCACTGTGGGAACCACCACTTGAGGCTTCGTTTGGCTGCTGGACTAGCTGGGCTTTCTGCCTTTGGCTGGGGAGCTGGTTGACTAAAATCCCTTATTTTGGCTGCTGGTCCCTTATTTTCAAATCTGTAAGTTGACAGCTATGAACCTATCTGGATTCCTAGGTTGTTAGAGGCATTCGACCACTGTGAGAACAGGATGCTGGACTAGATGGGCCATGGACCTGATCCAACAGGCTCTTCCTATTCTCTTAATAATAATCCTTTGCAGGGATTTCTGCACTGCAGGAGGTTGGACTATATGATCCTGGTGGTCCCTTCCAATGCTACAATTCTGTGATTCCAAAGCAACTAGCTGTGTTAACTCACCTTCAGAAGCTGGATCTAGAGTGTCAACGATGTGGGCAGCTGGCTTGCCAACCTTCCTCTTGAGAGTCCTTGTGCCCAGAGTGGGGGCACTCCCCCCTCCCAGGGCACGGACAAGACACCGCCGTTGCTGCTCCAGTATCCGCTGCTGCAACTCCTGCAGCTTCTTGTCTGGAGGGGACTTGCTTTTGAGAGCCTCCAACAACTTCTGAGCAATATGGCAATGTCCTGGGATGCTGGCTTTAGATTTGGCCAGGTGGCTCCCACCCTCCATCCCCCAGCCTTCAGCTGGGGGGACCAAGGAAGATGGATGGAGCTCCATGGACCCCCTTCCGATGGATGGATCTTGGCAGGATGGGAGTCTCGTCGAGAAGCCAGCCTCTACCCCAGAGTCACAGGATCCAAGGTCCCAATCCTGGGTGGAGGGGTGTCTTGTCCATCCCAAAGGAATCCTCCTTCAGCCTAAGGGAAAAGCCAGGAGGGTCATTGCAGAGTCCCACCCACCCATTTGCAGGAAAGAGGAATCCAACAGGTGCAGCTTCCCAGGCAGGTAGGAGCAAGGAAAGGAGCTGAGGAATTCAGAGCTGGCCCTGGTGTTTGACTGCTGAAGGGGAGGTCAAGGTTGCTCTCTGCCCAGACTGGTGGTGGGAAGCAGAAGCTCTGAGACCCTTAGCACCATTCAAAACTTCATTAAACACAATGGGTAGAAGGGGAAAGGATTAGTTTCTGAATTGTATATATATTGCTTAATGTAAATTATGGATCTATAGAACCGCTTAAAAGATACGGGAGTTGGATATTGGCACACAAATTGTTCCTGAGGATTGCAATAAAATTTCAGAACTGCAGCCATTAAGGTCTGTTTCCAGTTTTCTTAGGGAAAACTCCTTGAAATCACTACACAGATGGTACTGCATTCCTTTGCAAATGTAAAAAAAAAAAAAAAAGTTTTCTTCTGTATTACCTTATTGTTGGAGGGATTGCAATAAACTTGGTACATAGAGCCATAGAATCATAGAATTAGAAGGGAACCCAAGGGTCATCCAGTCCAACCCCCTGCAATGTAGGTTTCATTTATTGTGTGGGAATGTCAATTTGTGCAAAATTTTTGGAATTTAATTTTGACAGAAATTATAACTATTACCAAAGACACTATTGTTTGTTGTCCAAAATCAGTGTGACTGAATATTTTTGATGATACCAATATAGATATATTGTCAAAATAATTGGTCATATACCATATTTTTCCGTATATAAGACTAGGTTTTTTCCTTTAAAAAGAATGTCAAAAACCAGGTGTTCGAGAAGGCAGAGCTCTATATATTATATATAATATTTGTCAGGGAACTGCCATCAGTGCCGGAGGGAGAGAGCAAAATCCAGAGGGATTCCAGAGAGCGTCCTGAGATTGGGAGAGGCAGCCCATCTTCTGGGGAAGAGAATCAGTGTAGCACCAGTGGAGAAGGGGGGCAGATGGGGGAAGCGGCGAGGCGGTCCCATGACTCCTTGCCGGGGACCAGCAGGGAGAGTAGAGGTCCTCCGCTGCCTACGCCCTCCTTGCGCAGAAGGCTTTCGCGCAGAGAGAGTAGGAGGAGACTAGGCGTCAAAGAGCTTCTTTGCTGGAAGAAGTTTAAGAAACGCCCACTGACGGATTCTGCCAGCGATTGAGACAGCCACGGGTGAGTGGCTGTCCAGACAGAAAAGGTTCACTCAGGCAACCCAGCCAGGTATTTGCACTGGCTTACGCACGGGCAACCCCTAGAACCACTACAATATTGTATAAGTAGAGAGTATATTTTTTACCATATATATGCTGGCATCTGCCTATCTTGGGAGACAATGGAACACCCACCATATATATATAGTATATTGTATATATACTAAGTATACATAATAAGATCCTGTGTAGTGTAGTGTAGTGGTTAGAGTGTCGGGGTAGGACCTGGAAAAGACCAGGGTTCAAATCCCCATTCATCCATGAAACACACTGGGTGATATCTTGGGCCCGTAACTCACTCTCAGCCTAACCTCCCCACTCCCCATTTTATCCTCCAAAGGCCAAGGGAGCTTCATGGCCAAGCGGGGGGATTTGAACCCTGTGCTCTCCCAGGTCTGAGCTTACGATGGAAGGGTTCACAGCATTAGCACCCCTGAAGGTAGCAGGCTTGGATTCAAGCAGAAATCAGGCATGGCTCTGTCTCCCAGCTGCCCAGCCTGCAATCTCACACAACTCAACTCCCAAATGTGGCTTTTGTCCTTCTAACTAACAGGCAGTTGAGGGAGGAGGGGCCCACCCATTAATCATCTGGCACAGAGCCACTTCCTTGGTTACTTTAACTACCAATATTTAGTCCATTACCTTGCTAGGAAGCTAGCTTGGCCATTCCAGGAATTACATCAGTACTGGATCCAGGAATTAGAAGGGGGCTCAGGCCAGGGATGCCAATCTGAATAAAACATGGGGTGCAGGTAAACCCCGTCCCACATAATTGATCACATGCCACAGCAATACCCATTAACTTGGGGGAGGCCGGCCCCCTCTCAAATTTTTTATTGGGGGGGAGCAGAAGGGACCTTGGTCCCCAGGAATTGGCTCCTATGGGTACAGTGTAATACCCTCCCCAAATAAATAACAATATTTTGAAACAGCAGAGAGGCAGAGACACATAAATAAATAAATAAATAAATAAATAAATGGGATTTCCTTGTGAGTTACCTGCCTCTCGGGACGCGGGTGGCGCTATGGGTTAAACCACAGAGCCTAGGACTTGCCAATGAGAAGGTTGGCGGTTCGAATCCCCGTGACGGAGTGAGCTCCCGTTGCTTGGTCCCTGCTCCTGCCAACCTAGCAGTTCAGAAGCACGTCAAAGTGCAAGTAGATAAATAGGTACCGCTCCGGCGGGAAGGTAAATGGCGTTTCCGTGCACTGCTCTGGTTCGCCAGAAGCGGCTTAGTCATGCTGGCCACATGACCCAGAAGCTGTACACTGGCTCCCTCGGCCAATAAAACGAGATGAGCGCCGCAACCCCAGAGTGGGTCACGACTGGACCTAATGGTCAGGGGTCCCTTTACCTTTACCTTTTACCTGCCTCTCACCAGGACTTCCTGCTGCAGGATTTGGCTAACATTTCATGCCTGGGTCAGCAAATGCATTTCAGGATCTGTCTCTCTGCAACGCTATGGACTCCTGCAAGAGGCAGGGGTGGCTTGCCTATTTAGATGGCTTTTTAAAATTAATGGAGGAGCGGACTATTGATGGCTACAAACTAGGCATGATAGCTATCCTCTGCCTCCATAGTCTGCAGGAGGGCAGAGGGCTCTTGTGTTCTGGCTCTGCTTGCTGGTTTCCCACAATGGGAATCTGGTTGGCCACTGTGAGAACAGGTTGCTGGGCTGGATGAGTCCCTGGCTAGATCCAGCAGGCTCGCCTTATGCTCTTAACAGTTAAAACAGATAATAGATTCATAGAACTGTAAAGGCTCCAAGGGTCACCCTTTAAAAAACTGATAAAATAAAGATTTACTTGCAGGTTACCTGTCTCTCGCTGTGACTTCCTGCTGCAGGATTCGGCTAGCATCGAATGTCCTGGATCAATGAATGTGTCTTGGGATCCCTTCCTCTGCATATGTGGAGAGCATATGTGGGGCATTTCATTGCTTTTTCTCTGCTGGCAACAGGCAACACACGCCTCCGGTTTATGTTTTCCCTGACAGCAGCTGTGTGTATCAACACTTGCCTGCCTGGGCTTGCCAGTCCCTGGCACTTCCTTCTGTTGGAAGGAGAGAGGAGGAGGAGGACCTTGGCAGCATGCAGAGTCAAGCCTGCACACCTCCCTCTCTGCTGCTCTCTTGTCTCAGTTTATTGCTCGGGGAATAGACATTCCACAAAGCTTAATGTTAAACTGTGGAACTTCCTCCAGCAGGAGGCAGTGAGAGCTACCAACCTAGATGGCTTTAAAAGGGGGATAGTGGGTTAAACCACAGAGCCTAGGGCTTGCTGATCAGAAGGTCGGCAGTTCAAATCCCTGTGACGGCGTGAGCTCCTGTTGTTTGGTCCCTGCTCCTGCCCACCTAGCAGTTCGAAAGCACATCAAAGTGCAAGTAGATAAATAGGTACCACTCCGGCAGGAAGGTAAACGGCGTTTCCGTGCGCTGCTCTGGTTCGCCAGAAGCAGCTTAGTCATGCTGGCCACATGACCCGGAAGCTGTATGCCTTGGCCAATAAAGCGAGATGAGCGCCGCAACCCCAGAGTCGGTCACGACTGGACCTGATGGTCAGGGGTCCTTTACCTTTACCTATTGACGGCCCACTTTGTCTATGCTCTGCCTCCAAGGTTGGAGGCAGAAATGCTTCTGGATACCAGCTGCTAGGAATCGCAGGAGGTGAGAGGGCTCTCCTGCTCAAATACTGCTTGTGGGTTCCCCCCCCCCCCCAAAGGGGCATCTAGCCCTGCAACGCAGGAGCCACAACTAAAGCATCCCTGACAGGTGGCCATCCAACCTCTGCTTAGAAACCTACAGTGAGGGAGAGTCCACCACTTTCGGAGACCACAAAATCACAGATCTGTAGGGTGGGAAGGGACCCGCCAAGGCAGGAATCCTAGCTGGCCCAGGCTGGGGAAACGGCGGCCACCTGCGGCGAGGTCCCTGTGCGATCAGCAGTACAGCAGGCTATGGCCGTTGCTCCAAGCGGAGTCACTTCTCTCGCGTAGGGGCTCCCAGCACAGAAAGGTGGGAGGAGGCTGGACAACAACCCCCTTCCCGTAGATCGAGACCGTTTCGTTCCAACAGCGACCAAGATACCGGAAATGAGGGTGCTCTAGGCGACCCCCGAAGGAGGGCGCCCCGTGGCGGCAGTGGGACCTTCATAATATTTATATTTTAAATCCAAACCCGGAGATGGGGTAGAATGGGAAAGACGTTGCAAAGGAATCAAGTCCTTTAAATTCAAGACAAGTTTCCAGTCCTCATGACCCAAGAGGATTTAATTTTTTTATTTTTTGGCGCTCGGGGTGGTGGTGGAGAATATAGCCCTGCGTCAATAAGCGCCCCCAACTTCAACGTTACACTTAAGCTTACTTTCTGTATTTGAGGCAGGGAGACATAAGCACCCGCCCTCCCGCGAAAGCGCGCAGGCGGGCGGGCGGGCGGGCGGAGAGGTGGGCGTTGACGTCAGAGCCGGGGGCGGGTCGCCCTGCCTCCACGGAGTCGGGGGTCCGGGTGAGCCGCCGTTGCCGGCCGGCTGGAGGCGGAGGAGGCGCTGCCCGCCCCTGCCCGCCTGCCTGCCCTCCCGCAGCGATGTCCCTGCTGGCCCCCGAGAACGCCCTGCCGGAGCCCCCCGACAAGAGGTTGCATTCCAGGTAGGGCAGAGTGGGGGCTGGACTGACAGCCGAGGCGAGGCGAGGGGCGCCTCCTCCTCCTCTTCCTCCTTTTCGCTGCCCCCCTCAGCGCTTTGCGTTCAGGGGCGAAAGCTTGCTGGGTTCCAGGAGACATGGGGCTCCTCCCCGCTCGGGCCTTGGGAGGTTTTCCAGGAAAGAAGGTTGCCTCCCTCGCCCTCCGGGCTGGAGGCAGCCCCCTCCCCGTTTCCCCTCTGCGGGGTCTCCCTAACCCCAGGACCGTCTGCATCTCGCGTGCTCTCTGCGTGGTTCTCAGCCATTATTAGGAAATTGGTCTATTTCCTTTTGGGGTGTGTGGAGGGAAGTGTCATCTAGTTTCCCAAGGAACTCTGTTGCTGGCTGCAATAGGTAGCCAAGGGTCTGCCGAGTCGGACCGCTGCAGGTTCCAGCACTCACTGGCAGCAGCTATCCGGAGTTTCGGACAGAGGAAACTCTTCCCCCCTCCAAAAAATATAAAGTAAGGTTCTGCTTCTCCTGGGATGAATTAAATAGGAACAAAGGATTGCACCTTCTACCGAGCCAGACTGCCGTCCCATTTAGCTCAGTGTAGTCTACTACACAGAATGGCAGTGGCTCTCAAGAGTTTCAGGCAGTGGGGCGTGCTCAGACCTTCCTCTGAAAAGTATAGTGAAGTTCTAGTCCTCATGGTTCCAAATAAAGGACTGAATTAAACAGGAAACATAGGGGCCTTTGACACCCTAGCTTATGGGTGCACCACTGGGGATGCTTTGCAGCCCACGGTGACCCCCAAAATAAATTGGGTGAAGCAGGGCTGGACAGCAGTGGGGATCCAGAGGTGCTTGACTTTTTCTTAGGATGTCCTAATGAGATCCTGGAGTCATAGGCTGCACCTGCATTTAAAGTGCTGCAATACCACTTTAAGACAGCTTCCCCTAAAAACTCCCGGGAATTGTAGTTTAAGGGTGCTGAGAGTTCTTAGGAGATTCCCCCATACCCATCCCAGAGCTGCAGAACCTACAGTACCCTGGGGAAGAATTAAACCACACTGGGAACTCAAAACCCCTGAACAAACAACGGTTCTCATTATTCTTTTTTGGGGGGGGGGGGAGAGCCACAGCTGTTTAAAATGGTATATAATCCTGCTTTAAATGTCTAGTGCTGGCAAGGCCTCAGAAAAACTGCAGGTGTATATCTGTGATTCTTGCATTCCAGGAGGTTGAACTAGATGACCCTTGGGTGTCCCTTTCAGCTCCATGATTCCATGATGATTAAGGGCCTGATTTTGCAGAGTCAGAAATGCTGGGGTGTGCTTTAATTGTGTATTGCAGTGGAACTCCAGGATTTCTAAAAAGGCCTTGGGTGCTGGGTCTGGGTCCAGGGTAAGACCACCCTGCAAGGGGGGTTGGGGGTTGGTAGAGAGAGCATAGCCATTGTGGCTAGTATCCATTGATAGCCTTGCTTGCCCTCTGCCATGTCACCTCTTCCCTCTCTTTTTCTCTGCCTGGAACCCCAGAGAGCTGTTGATGCTGCCGGCCAGAGCAGGAAATGCTCATTTGCATAGGAAGCCCAGCATTACTTACTTTGACCATCAGCAGCTCTCTGGGTGAAGTCCTAGTCCTCATAGTTCTGAAGAAATCAGAACCTGGGGTGTTCTGTATGCAGCACAGATATTCTGCCACTGAGCTACAGCCCTTCTAGGTCAGAATGAGTCGACGGCCTGCGTTCCTGTGCCATTTGGAAGCCATTTGCCATGGCCAGAGAAGCCTAGACCAGGGCTACTACCTCGCTGCTGGATCAGGCAGCTGTTTCTCTGGGCCACAAGCTGCTTTGCTGCCCCACCCCAAGGCCCAGAAACCACAACCATGTTGGATTTGGAACCTGGTCCCTAGAACGTGGGCTCCTCGGGGGGGAAAGAATGTCAGGCGGGAACGGAGGCGAGCAACCACTTTTGGAAGGGACCAGTGTTTCCTTTTCCTTTGCAATCCTCTACTTAGTGAAAATAAAATTACAGGGTTCATTCCAGGGACCTGCAGTGAGGCAGCTTCTGGATTTACAAGATTTGCTAGGAGAGGAGAGTCCATGATCCCCAAGGCCCCGTGCAATGCTTGCCTGATACTGGAGCATATTTCTCTCTCCTGTTATAATTCCTGGCTCCCCTTTAAACAGAAAAATAATTACGGGGGGGGGGGGCGAGGGGAGTTTTTTAAAGAAGAGTCTGCTGGATCAGTCCAGCATCCTGTCCTCACAGTGGCTGAACAGTTGCCTGGGGAAACCTGCAATCAGGACCCGAGCACAAGAGCAACACTCCTCTCCTGCGTTTCCCAGCAACTGCTGAGAAGCATCACTGCTTCTAACTCTGGAGGCAGACAATAGCCATTGCGGCTAGTAGCCTTGACAGCCTTCGCCTCTTCCAAGAAATTACCTAATCCTGTTTCAAAACCATCCAGGATGGAGGCCATACTGCCTCCTGCAGGAGGGAGTTCCATAGTTTTGGGCCAACAACGTTCCATCACGGGATGTGAGTTACTTATCTGATTGTGTGTATGTGTGTGTGTTTTAAAAAAATATAGATGGGTTTTTTAATGGCTTTCAGGACAGATAAAAGAAAGGGCTTCTTCACGCAGCAAATAGTTAAATTACGGAACTGTCTCCTGCAGGAGGAAATGATGGGCACCAACTTGGGTGGCATTAAAAGAGGATTAGGCAGATTCACAGAGGAGAAAGCTATCTGTGGCTGCTTGCCAGGATCCCAGATGTTGGAAACTGCAGGAGGGGAGAGTTGCTCTTGTGCTTGAATCCTGCTGCCCATAATGGGCATCTGGTCCTCCGCTTATGTGGAGAGGATGTGAGGGTAGATGGACCACTGGCCTGATCCAGTAGGGTTCTGCTCTTTTGGAACCTCCAGGTCCAGAGGTAGCTTAACTGAATTCCTAGCTTCTATGGGGCATTTGGCCACTGTGAAGAAAGGATGCCATTGGCTTGATCCAGCAGGCCTTAAGTTCCTCTTGTTTGCATTGGTGCTGTTCCTACCCCCAGCCCTTTCCAGATCCTTCCACGTCTCTTGCGTATTGAGCAGCTTCTGAAGGAGCTTGCACGAAGCCGGATGCAAATCTTCGCACGATTTAAACAAAGAAGAGTGAAGCAAACACATGCAGGCCACTCATCCGAGCTGGGAACAGAGATGGCATTATGGGATTCCGGGGGATGGATGCACAGGGTGGGCAGAGGAGCATTCCCAGAAGCATGTTGGCAGCATCAGAGAAACAATAGTGTCTTTAAGAAATGTGGACAGAAGACAGGCTCTTGTCAGAATTTGGCCGGCTGGGAAAGGGTCAACAGGGTGACTCTGTCAACTTCAGTTTGTCTGGAGTTTCGTATTTCCCTTCTCTTATCTTTATGAGTTTACTCCTGCATTGCAGGGGGTGGGGCTAGATGACCCTTCAGTTCTACAGTCCCATGAGCCTGTTGACGTAAATGCAACAAATGCAATGGGGAGGAAAAAGAAGTGCAAAAAAAAGCAGTGTGTGATATCTGGGAGAGACTTCCTATTAGGTTGAGAGAGGACTTAAGGCCATTGGCTGAACTAAATTTAATGTTGTACTGTGGAGAGGGAGTCCTCTGTGTCTGTATTTAGAACCACAGAACTAGAGCTGGAAGGGACACCCCCCCCCCGCCGCCGCCAAAGCTCATCTAGTTCAATGCCCCACAATGCAGGGAATCACGACCAAAGCGTCCAACCTCTTTTTAGAGATCTCCAATGAAGGAGAGTTCACCACCTTATGAGGTCATGGAATCATCCACTTGCAGAGTTGAGGGAACCCCAGAACAGTCCAGCACTCTGCAATGCAGGAATCACAGCTAAATCACAGCTACTTGTGACATACAGTGGTACCTCGGGTTACATGCACTTCAGGTAACATGCGCTTCAGGTTACAGACTCCACTAACCCAGAAATAGTACCTCGGGTTAAGAACTTTGCTTCAGGATGAGAACAGAAATCACGCTCCGGCGGCGCAGCGGCTGCAGGAGGCCCCATTAGCTAAAGTGGTGCTTCAGGTTAAGAACAGTTTCAGGTTAAGAACGGACCTCCGGAACGAATTAAGTACTTAACCTGAGGTACCACTGTATAAAACAAAATCCTGCCAAAAGAGCACATAACTTTCCAGGACCCTCCAAGCCTTTTGGCAACACTTGTTGTTGTTGTTGTTGTTGTTGTTGTTGTTGTTGTTGTTATCACCATCCTCTTATTTCATTTCATAATGTATGTAAAACAGAGAACCATTATAACAACAGATGAAAATTAAAAGATGGAAAAACAAAACTATAAGGCACGTAGAATGAGTACAGTTGCACAGGTAGCAAAGTTCCAGTAAAGAATAATAGAATTGGAAAGGATCCCAAGGGTCATCTAGTCCAACCCCTGAAATGCAGGAATATCAGCATTATGAGATTATCAAGTCTAGTTCCAGATTTGCCAGGCTTGGGATGAAGGTTGCCTTGAAAATGAAATGTCCGCTGTATATGTCCTAAAAGAATGCCAAACTCTGTATAAAGTGCCTGGCGGTTCTAGTCCTCATTGATATCAAATTAGGTGTCATTTTCTCTATTATAGCTATATTCCAGAGTGAGTGGTTCCAAGGGCCCTGTGTAAGATTTTGGGCTGTTTTCCAATGATCTACCCCATCGTTTTGGAGGTGAGGCGGCCAGGACTTTTGTCCCCTTTTGCAGGGCTGTGTTTACTCTGGGGAGGAAGGAAGGCTTGCGCAGCGAAGTCTGTTGAGCATCTGGTTGCCATTAAAGACCCAAGTGGGAGCTGAGTGCCTCAGAGAGAGGAACAGGAGAAGCTCCCCCCTGTAATTATCTGGAGCAAATCCTGACCATGTGATCTGCAAACGGATGTACAGGGCCTGGACGCCGTGTTCCCGGCGAGATGAAAAGAGCAGCTCCCTGGCAGCCGGCCGGACTTGGCGAGGGCTGTCATCATGGATGGATTGAGCCCAGCCAGAAGCCAGCCCAGGCACCACTCTCTGGGTTGCCGTGGTTAGCTAATACAGCTTCTGATTCCTCACACTCAGAGGAGCGGCCCAGAGGTTGCTTGGTGTTGCAGAGGCTGCTTTCGGGAGTAACCAGAAAGCTGGAGGACCAATTTTCAGCATCCTTAAGAAAATGCCGTCCAGTCCAGTATCCACTTCTCAAAGTTTCCAAATGCCCCTAAGAGCCTAGGAGTCCAGATAGACTGCCTCTGGGCCTGGAAGATAAACCCTGGGGCTAGTAACCATTGATGGCCTTCTCCATGAATTTGTCCAATCCTTTTTTAAAGCCATCTAGTTTGGTGGCCACCACTGCCTCCGAAGGCAGTGAGTTCCACAGTTTAACTGTGCATTGTGTGAACAAGAACTTCCTTTTGTCTATCCTGAATCTGAATGATGACCTTCTGCTATTTCCCTTCTGGGCCACACATGGCTTGCAAGTAAGTCCCCTTTCCCGTGACCTTGAGGCACCCTCCTCCATTTCCCTTCCCCATGGGGGTTGCAATCAATCAATTCCCCATCTCGCGCCAACCTCTGTTACTCAACAGTGAACTCTGTGTTTGATCAACACAGCTTGTTGAGGTTAATCGATTTTGGCTAATGTGACACCCAATGAACTGTCTTCTTTGCTGTGCTTGGAAGTCCTCATTTGCCATTTATTTTATTTTTAAAATTAACACCCTGCCTTTCTGCTTGAAGGACGAGCTTCCAGAGCGATGCACAATGATGGATAATCAAAACGTGTTAGACAACAGCAGGTGAAAAGGAAAAGACAGCAATGAGTTAGTAAAAACATACCATTTCATTTCTTCAATTTATATACCACCTTTAATCAAAAGGCACAAATCTCAGTATCTATACATGTTGATAATGTGATCTTGGCAGCACACATCGTCATGGGAACTCAATGGAAAAAAGCCCAAAATCTGACATTGGGCATTTGGGATCACTCACAATGGACTATAGCTGTAACAGAGAAAATTGCACTTAACTGAGATTTTGATGAGGACTAGAACCTCCAGACACTTTCTAAATGATTTGGCATTCTTTTATGAAGCCATCATTTTCAAAAGCAACCCTTTTCACAATCCTGGCATATCTGGAACAAGATTCAGTCATCAAATATGCTGATATTCCTGCATTTTCAAGGGTTGGACAAGATGACTTTTGGGATACTTTCCGATTCTGTATTCTTTCCTGAGACTTTGTTATTTTAACCCCTGTGCTACTAGACTCGTTCTACATTCTAGTTTTATGGTTTTGCTTTTTCATCATCCTTTAATTTTCATCTGCTGTTCTCATACATTTATATACGGTGATATATATATATATATATATATATATATATATATATTCCAGAAATATCCAGATGTCAGTGCACAAAAAACTTAAACAAGATAAAAACCCAAACAATTCTATCTTCCGGGGTGGCGCCTCCGGAAAATGGCGGAATTCCCTTCGGACTGAAGGGAACCCGCTGCACGGAGGCTTGGGTCCTGCCGCTACGGCGCAGCGGGGACCCGCAAAAACCACAGGCGGAAGAAGCCTGTGGACGTGGGACTCGGCGGGCACCGAGAGCGCTCTCTCCCCTGGTACAGGAGCCCGGTAACGGGCTCCGGAGTGGGAGGTGCGTGGTGCTGTGAGTCGTCTGCTTCCTCCGTGCAGCAAAGCCGCACTGCCGTTATCGGAGAGCGCTGCCTTTTCCTGGACAATTTGGCATCTAAAACATCTATCCGTGAGTACCTGATCTTAGAAGAGCTGAACCACTTTTAAGACTGGTGAATAAACAAACAATATTGGACTTGAAATTGAACTTAATTGGGACTCGGAATGGGAAGGTCTAAACAGGAAGTCGCCTTCCGTTCTTTTGTTGTGTGAAGAAAGCAAAGACAAAATATACTAAAGCCTGAAAATTAAATTTTAAGAGAACTAGAATTCAACATCTAAGATTTCTGAACCCCCCCTTTGACAGCAGGAGAAAAAGGGGGTTGTATTTGGACCTTTCAATCCTGCGGAAGTGAGTTTAAAATAAAGCAATTTTCCACCGCCCTGAACCAGGAGCGGGCTGTCAGAATTGACGTTCTGAAGTTTATCCAGCTCGACAGTTAGTTAAAAGAAGGGTAACATTTTGATTCTACTGTTGCCTCTTGAATTTGGAAGGGGGAATTTTGGATAAAGTGTTTCTGGAAAAAGAAAGATTGTTGCTGTTGCTTTTATTCCTTTTAAAAAAAAAAATTCCATCTAGTGGAATTTAGTGAAATTGCAACGCAGTGAGATTAAAAGAGAAGGACTATTGGACTACTCTCGTGGGAAAGAATTTTCTTTGACCTTGAAGGACAATGCTAGTACAAAGGCTTGAACAATTGTTCCTGGAAGGTTTTTCAAAACTAAGTGCCCAGCTGGACCAGATGCGTCAGGAGACGACCTTGAGGATGGAAGTTACCAGAGCACAGCAGCAAACAAATGAAATTCAGTTAAAGGCTATACAAGCATATGAACCTGCTGTAGTGATGGAGGCTTCAGAGATGGAGGGACCTTTGGACGGGCAAGATCAGCCTTTGAACTTGATAAATGAACTTGGGACAAACCAGATTCGGAAAGATGAAATGTGGTCAGATTTGGAAATGGGGGATGGATCGACCCCCTCCATATGGTTATTTGGACCTTCCGAGTCTGGTGATGGGCTATCAGAGGATTGGAGTAGCCGAAGTCTCCAAGCTTTGTGGAAATTTGAAGTGGTATTATTTGCTGTCTGGCTTGGGCAATGGGTTTGGGATGGACTTGCTGCAAAGGGTCAAAAGCATTTTCTTGCTGGAGCATCCACGACTGGAAAGGAATCATCAACAAGAGTGGCGAAAGGGGCAAGAAAGAGACTTGAGGGCCTCGGATACGAGACAACCAGGTTAAGGGAGGTTAAAAGGACTGACAATCCCAGGTCCAGGGGAGGGGGGTTGGAAGCTGACTGGACTGAATTTGACTTATTAATTTTTCTTTTCATTTTTTAATATTGGGAATGCTTACAAATGTTTGAAGGATGTTGAATGAAATTACATGGCTTAAGTAAGGATTGGTAAATGATTCGTAAAAAGGTAATGATGCAAGAATTTGGTAAATATTGAATATAAGCTATGAGTTTTAAAGTTTTTATATGACAAGAGGGAAAATAGAATAAGGAAACGTAATGACAGATTGTTATGAAAAACAGAAAGGATTTGCTGTAAAAATTAAAAATTAAGAAACAAAAGAGGGGAGGAGGAGGAAGTCTAGAAAGGAAGTCAATAGAGATTGTAAAGGACTTTATATTTTTGTTTTTCTGTTTCTCTTTTTTTTCTTTCTTTGCGGCTGGGTTTTCTTTTCTTTTTTGTTTATGCACTATTTTTGTTTTTTGTATCCTAAAATTTTTTTTTTTTGGAAATTTTTGTTGTTATTTTTTGAAAATTCAATAAATATCAATTATAAAAAAAAAAAAACCCCAAACAATTCTAGTAATAAATAATTATAATAATATATTTGCTGTACATGTTTGCCCCCATAGGATGGAAGCCTCTTGCTTGGAGGTGGCCCTGGAAGGAGAGTGTTTGTGCAAAGCCGGGGATTTCAAAGCTGGGGTGGCCTTCTTTGAAGCGGCTGTTCAGGTGGGAACAGAGGACCTGAAGACACTCAGTGCCATCTATAGCCAGCTGGGCAACGCCTACTTCTACCTGAAGGAGTATTCCAAGGCTCTGGAATACCATAAACATGATCTCACCCTAGCTAGGTAAGTGTCCTGCTGCCAGAAGGATGTATTTATTCTCTCATTATGAACATCGGAAGAGCCCTGCTAGATCAAGCCAATGGCCCATCTAGTCCAGCATCCTGTTCTCACAGTGGCCAAATACCCCCAAAAACCTAGGAATCTAGATAGTGTGTCTGGAGCTCTTGAGGTCCCATCAGAGTGTCGGAAGAGCCTGGCTGCTGGATCAGGCCTGTGGCTTGTCTAGGCCAGCATCCTTTTCCCATGACGGCTGAACAATTACCTCTAGGAGAAATGAGCAAGCAGGATCCGAGCACAAGAGACTTCTCCCCTCCCGTGGTCTCCAGAAACTGGTGTTCAGGAATATTGCTGCCTTCATTGTGGCCAGTATCCATCAATAGCCTTCTTCATCCTTTAATCTGTCCAGTCCTTTTTTTAATGCCATCCAAGTTGGTGGCCATCACTGTCTCCTGCAGGAAGGAGTTCTGTAGTATCTGTCCAGCAATGGTCAGCTTCATCGGATGACCATGAGTTGTGGTGGTATGAAAGAGGGAGAGAAACTTCTACCTGTCCAATTTCTCCATGCCATGCATAATTTTTATAACTTTCCTGCATTGCAGGGGGTTGAACTAGATTTCCCTTCTGAGCTGTATATATTGCCTATACAGTTAGGACTGGCTGTTATGCTCAGTTTCCTCGAAATAATGGATAGACGTTTGTGGTGGTGGTGAGAGCAACAAAAATATATATATAAAATACAAAGATTATATAATTTGCCTACGAAATCAGCAGCAGGCACCTTCAATGTATTCCGTTCAGCACCTGCTGAAAACATTCAGGTGCTTAGAAAGTGGGTGTGAATTTTAATCTGTTTTAGTATTTTATCTTTTTGTATGTTTTGAAGTCTAGTAGTGTCAACTTTTATTGTTTTACCTTTTTGTAAACAGGTTTGGGGTTTTTTCCTTACAATCAAGCGTTGTGTATACATTTTGTGAAATATATATTCCACAATATTTAATCGATATCTGTTTTTAACTTCTTATTCTACAATTTGCGGGGGGGGGGGGGGGCGAGTTGCTGTAAACCAGTTACATAGTCAGAGGGAAGGGAAGAAAGGACAGGAGGAGACAGAAGGAAGGGAAGGGAAGGGCCCTGTTGGGGTGCTTCATTCCTTCCCAACCCTGCCTGGGTCTTCTTTGTGGCTTTGCTGGAGTGGAGCCACCCAGAACCGCCTTCTGCTTTCTCTCTACAGGACCACTGGGGACCGCATCGGAGAAGCCAAAGCCAGTGGCAACCTGGGAAATACGCTGAAGATCCTCGGGCAGTTTGATGAGGCCCTGGTCTGTTGCCAGAGGCACCTGGACATCTCCCAGGAACTGGGAGACAAGGTACCTGCACACTAAAAAATAGCATCACGAAACGGCAGGCGCAGGAGGGGAGAAATGTTCTTGCCCTCGGGCCCTCCTTGCACAGGGCTCCCTATGGGGTTTCTGGGTGGCCACCATGAAGGCACCCCTTGGCCTGATCCATCATGGCTCCTTATATGGATGTCAACAGTGATAGCAGAGCTTCCATGCCCAGGGGCAGTCTTGTGAATGACAAGTCGGGGTGGGTGCTGCTGTTGAGCTCAGGTTCTGATTGTGGGTTTTCCATAATGGCCATCTGGTTAGCCAATAAGGACAGGAGGCTGGACTAGATGGGCCATTGGCCTGATCTGGCAGTGGCCAGGCTTATGCTCTTATGGCACCTCCAAGTCCAGAGGCAATCTGTCTCAATTTCCAGGTTCTTAGGGGCATTTGGTCACTGTGAGAGGAGGGTGCTGGGCTATAATGGCCCGTCTGTGGCCTGATCCAGCAGCCAGGCTCTCCTTAAGGTTGTCTCTTTTGATAGCAGACTATGTATACGGAACAACTGTGGGAGAGTTGCTTTTGCACTCGGGTCCTGCTTGGGGGCTTCTCTTTGGGGCATCCGGATGGCCACTGTGAGGACAGGATGCTGGACTAGATAGGCCACTGACCTGGTCCAGCAGGGCTTTTCTTATGCATCCATGCTGAAATCAACAGGGATGAGGACCTTGGTCCATACAACCAGTGTAAGAGAGAAACCCAAGGCAGCATGAATACCTTTTCTCCCCCACCTCTTCTAGGTTGGAGAGGCGAGGGCGTTGTACAACATTGGGAACGTCTACCACGCTAAAGGGAAGCAGCTGTCTTGGAGCTTGCCCCAGGAGCCTAACCACCTGCCCGAGGAAGTCCGGGAGAGTTTGGAGAAGGCGTCCGAATTTTACGAGTGAGTGACAACCCCTTATTGAGGCAGTGAGGCTAGAATTATAGAACCGTAGAGTCATCTAGTCCAGCTCCCTCCAGTGCAGCTCCAGTGCACCTGATGTCCAGCAGAGTCTTTGTAAAAATGCCCCATTCTCTTTCAGCCGCACTTCATTCAAAGATGCTACCCTTGTTGCTCCCCTGCTGTGCCTCAGTGCCCCCTTTCATGCGAGATCTTCAGTCTTTGAGGATGGCCCCCTCACCAGAAGAGCCTGCTGGATCAGGCCCATGACCCATCTGGTCCACCAGACTGTACTTGCAGTGGCTGAACTGTTGCCTGTGGGGAACTAGCAAGCACCATTTGCTCACAAGAGCTCTCTCCTTCCTGTGGTTTCCAGCAGCTGCTGTTCAGAAGCATTACTTCTTCTGACCATGGAAGCAAAGCATAGCCATTGGGGCTGGTTGCCATTGACAGCCCTCTCCTCCTCCATGAATTTGTCTACTCCTTTTGTAAGGCCATCTAAGTTAGTGGCCATCGCTGCCTCCTGTGGGAGGGAGTTCCATAGTTTAAGTAAGAAGTATTTACTTTTATCTGTCCTGAATCTTCCGCCATTCAGCTTCATTGGATGTCCATCAGTTGTAGTCTTAGGAGAGAGAGAGGAAAACTTTTTTATATCTGCTTTCCCTATGCTATACATCATTTTCTAAACTTCCTGCCCAAATGCTGCGACCTTTCCTCATAGGGGAGTCCTCATTCCATCCCCTGGATCATTTTGGTTGCTCTTTTCCGGACCTTTTCCAATTCTGCAATATCTTTTTCACAAGGGGTTGCTAGAACTGTACATACCGTAGTATATTCCACATGTGGTCGCCTCATAAATTTGTTTAATGGAATTATTATCCGGGCTGTTTAGTTTCAGTTCCTTTCCTAATGATCCCTAGCATGGAATTTACCACTCAGTGTGTCATCTTCATCAAGCTCTCTGCTATGACCCCAAGCTCTTCTGGTCTGGCACCGCCAGTTCGGAGGGATGCGGTTGGCGCTGTGGGTTAAACCACAGAGCCTAGGACTTGCCGATCAGAAGGTCGGCGGTTTGAATTCCCGTGACGGGGTGAGCTCCCGTTGCTCGGTCCCTGCTCCTGCCAACCTAACAGTTCAAAAGCACATCAAAGTGCAAGTAGATAAATAGGTACCACTCTGGCGGGAAGGTAAACAGTGTTTCCGTGTGCTGCTCTGGTTCACCAGAAGCAGCTTAGTCATCCTGGCCACATGACCCGGAAGCTGTCTGTGGACAAACGCCGGCTCCCTCGGCCAATAAAGCGAGATGAGTGCCGCAACCCCAGAGTCGGTCACGACTGGACCTAATGGTCAGGGGTCCCTTTACCTTTACCTTTACCTTTACCTTTACCTTTACCGCCAGTTCGGACCCCTGGAGCAAGTACATGAAACTCAGATTTTTTTGCCCCAACATGCATCACTTTACACTTCTTTACATTGAATTGCACGTGCCATTTTGCCTCCCATTCACTCAGTTTGGAGAGGTCCTTTTGGAGCTCCTTGCTATCCCTTTGTTTTCATGACTGCTGTTTTCCCCTCATTGATTTTGTGTGTGTGTCACATTTTTCTTAAGCTTTAATATTCTTAATTGTAAATTTCACTTTTCCTATACGTTCCCCTTTTAAATTTTGACTTCCTGCCGTTTCTTCCATGCTGCTCTTAATCCCATCCCATTTATGTACATATTATAATAAACACTTCACCTAGAACATATTACTCTGTTACATATATTATCATTTCCCCCGCTGCTCATATTTCAAATCCTGCATGCGATTTCATCTGATTATGATATTTTTTCTAGATATTGCAACAAGGGCTTCCATTCTCCCATGCTTTCCTATTTTTGCTGTTAGTTTTGCCAGTTCCACATTGTTTCCCCCACATTTATTGATTGCAAAACAAGAACAACATCAACACATTTTCCTTTTGTGGGGGATTCCAGGAAGAACCTCTCTCTTGTGAAGGAGCTGGGGGACAGAGCTGCCCAAGGCCGGGCATATGGCAACCTAGGCAACAGCCACTACTTGCTGGGCAACTTCAGTAAAGCCATCATCTTCCACAAACAGGTGAGGCTCAGTTGGGCTTTGTGGGGGGGTGAGAGCCTTTCATTCTGTGGGTCCCTTGATCCGCCCCCAGCTCCTATGCTGTGATCTGATGACAGGGAATCTCAGTGTCAAAATGCAAACATAAAATAAAGCCAAAATGTTTTTCTTTCTTGCTAAAGCACGTTTCTAGTCCTCATCCATGCAGAGAGTAACTTGGCCTGGATTGGCTGAAAGTTCCCAAACTGAAGAGCCTCTGGGCAGAGGCTGTTCACCATTCCCTTGGAGGGGAGCTGGGCAACACACCCACATCTCAGTCACGTCCAGCCCTTTCTTCATGAATTTGTCCAGTTCTCTTTTAAAGCCATTCAAGTGTGTGGTCATCACAGCCTCCTATGGGACTTCTGTAGTTTAACTCTGCGCTGCCTGAAGAAGTCCTTCCTTTTCTCTGTTCTCCATTTCTATGATTCCCACATTCAGCTTCGCTGGAAGCCCATGAGCTGCAGCGTTATGAGAGAAACTTTTATCTGTTCATTGCCTTTACTCCCTTTCATACCAAAGCGGCTTATAAGTGAAAATACTTTTAAAAGCAAAAAGTTATAAAATTTATAAACTGCTTGTTCAAAAAAGTAAAATGAAACCTTCAAGCAGCAAACATGTCTGATTAAATACAAAATATTTCACCACCAGAAGTTGGAAATCCCTAAACCAATGGTATGATACAGTGTGTTATTAGAAGAGTTATCTCAAGAGCAGTAACAAGGGGACAAAAGAAACATGACAATTTTTATGCTATTCTAGATTGTTCAAATGTTCTGACTTGTACAAATTCATCTTAATTTTTTTGACCCATCACCATCTGATTCCTATAATGAGGAAAGTAGGGAAACAATTAATAATGGAATAGCTGCAGTAATAGGAAACCAGTGTATTATAATTCACCTGATTCAAATCTGAAGTGGGTTTCCTGTATATACAGAAATTCCTTTATGACATCTCATTACCCTGTATCTAGTTGATTTTGAGATTGTTTCTAGCTATGCTTCTTTCATTTTAAGTTCTCTTTGCTGCACCAAATTTTCAATTAAAAAACCCCCCACACAATTCTGTATACAAAATGCACTAAACACACCCAAACAAATGAAAAGCAAACTCGCTTGAGATGGCAATTGAAAATGGAGATAAAATCAACAAATGCAACTGACTCATGTGTGGTCTTATTTTTATTTATTTATTGCGTTTATACCCCACCTTTGCTTTCAAGGAGCTCAGAGTAGTATCCGTGGTTCTCCTCCTCCCTATTTCATCCTTGCAGCAACCCTGTGAGTTAGGTTAGGCTGATAGGCGATATCTGCCTAAAGGTCACCCAATGAGCTTCATCGCTGAGAGGAGATTTGAACTCTGGTCTCCCCCAGGTCCTACTCCAAGACCAGTACACCCCACTGCCCAGTGTTTTTGCTGCAGCCGTTAACCACCTCTCTCTCTCTACCTGCCTCCCTTCCAGCGCCTGGCCATCGCTAAGGAGTTTGGTGACAAAGCTGCAGAAAGGAGAGCCCACAGCAATTTGGGGAATGCCCACATCTTCTTGGGGAGGTTCGACATCGCTGCAGAGTACTACAAGTAAGAAGATGTCTCCCTGCCACTTCTCAACCTGCTATGTGATTTTATTCTTATTTACTTATAGCTCACCTTTTTTCCCCATTGAGCTCAAGGGGGTGTACATGCTTGTGTTCATTCCTCGTTGAATTCCCCACAAGAGCCCTGCAACATACATTAGGCTGAGAGGCAGTGACTGGCCCTCAAGGTTCTCACACCCAGTGAGCTTCATAGCCAAGGGGACAATCGGAACTCTCATCTCCCAGGTCCTAGTCCAACTCTCTAACCACTGCACTGTTTCTCCCTCTCTGCATGTGTACAAGTGAGAAATGGCATACACCTGTTGTGGTACAGCTCAGCTATTTGTGCAGAGAGGTTGAACACCCCTAGAGACATTATATATGCATTGGGAGAGCAAATTCCTGCATCACAGGGTGTTGGACTGGGTGACCCTATTAAGAATTCTGTGATACTATGCAATCCCAGGAAGCACTTTACATTACTGCTTGGCTGGCTGGCCGCAACCGTGTTCATTTCCTGTCTGCCGTGCCATCCTGTAGAAAAATCTAAAATGCAGGAAATATTTTATTCGCTTCCATTCAGAGCATCCTGCTGCCACCTTCTGGTATCCAAGAATCTCCTCTGATTCCCTGTCCGTGAACTTTAGATAAGCTCAGACAAACAAATCCTCAGCAGGCACAAGAGCTATGATAATAATAAAAATTAAATATTGTAACATTGGCCTGGATATCTATTTCAAACCTATATTTACGGTGATATATTAATTCAGCCAACCAAGATAAGTGTAGAGGCTTTTGAGAATTTGAAAGGCTTTCACGCTTTGGTAACATTTCCTTGGTCTGAATAAAGATAATAACGCAATATATTTAACAAGGAAGAATCTAGTGGGAGCCTAAGGTTTCACCAGTATAAGCTTTTGGGGGCCGCAGTCCGCTTCACCATCAAGTCCACGGAAGCTTAAGCTGCAATAAATTAAATTTATTAAAATGAAAGATAATAATTAGTAAAATGATTAATAGATTGAGGTGCTGCAAGACTCTGTGCTTTGCTGCAGGATTCTGACATGGCTATTCTATTCCGTTTCCTGCAGGCTTACCTTTTTTTACAGTTTAGAAGGGGGAAACTATCTCTACTCCCTTCCAAAAGAAACCCACCACCACTTTACTATCCTGTTTTAAAAAATGTAGTTTGAGCCACAGAGTTGTTAAACAGGGCTTTAAAATGTTTGAGGTCTCCCATCCTTTGTGTACATCCTGGAGAGCCCCACATGGGCTACCCTGCCACTGAACAGAAGAAAAGCCTTCTAGATCAGACCCCGGACACATCTGGTCCAGCATCATTTCAGTCCAGCCCAGCCATCAGGGTGCTTTAGCTGTGATTCCTGCAGTGCACAGGGTTGGGCTAGATGACCCTCTGGGTCCCCACTAGCTCCGCAATCCTAGGATGCTGTGAAATCAGCCTAGCAGGTTTATGGAAGAACAGGTCTTAGTGAGTAATGTTTTGGAACAACACCTTCAAGGATCATGTCCAACCTTATGCCGTTTTAAACTTTTTCTTTATGCTCTCTATTTTCGATTTACAGCATTTTGCTTAATAAAATATATTTTTTAAAAGAATCTGCTTTTTAATGCAGGAAGACACTGCAGCTCTCCAGGCAGCTGAAGGACCAAGCAGTGGAGGCTCAATCCTGCTACAGCCTGGGGAACACCTACACCCTCCTGCAGGACTACGAGAAGGCCATCGATTATCACCTGAAACACCTGGCCATCGCCCAGGAACTGGGAGACAGGTGAGGTGGCAGTGGTGCAGCCGGGCTTAGAATCATATCATAGAATCCTAAAGCTGTATTCCAGGGTCATCTAATCCAACTCCCTGCAATGGGACTTGATGGAACTTCTTACAAGGAGCCCCCTTTGAACAGCCATGTGCATGGCTGGGTGGGCAGGATTTGTTCATTTAACTATGCTTTCAAATGAGTATTTCCATTTCTGTTGATCGCTGTTTTCAGACCTGGTTTTAATGCCTCTGTTATGCCTCTGGCATTGCAGGGAGAGATCAAGGCGGTTCTTCCCATGGCCCATGAACTTCAAGTGGCCCTCGATGCCATTTTGACAGCCCTTGGCAATTTTCAAGGGGGGGGGGACATTAAACATGAATTATGAATATATATTTTGTGCCATGCTTCATACATCTGTCTGTGTATTACATTTGTTTCATAGTTAAATATATTGAATCTAGGCCTAGCTCAGTACTGCAATACCTCAAGAACCACCTCTCCCCATATAAACCATCTCGGGCCCTGTGTTCATCTTCTGAGGCCCTTCTTCATGTGCTTCCTCCTTGAGAGATCCAGTGGGTGGCAACATGAGAACAGGCCTTTTCTGCAGTGGCTCCCTGTTGGTGGAAAGCTCTCCCCAGGGAGGTTTGCCTGGTGCCTTCATCATATATCTTTAGGTGCCAAGTGAAAATGTTCCTCTTCAACTAGGCCTTAGGCTGATTAATAAATAGCTGATTAATAAAAAGCTGATTAGCCTTTTAAATGTGTCTGTGGGACTGGGGCAGGGGGGTTGTTATTGTTTGGAGGTTTTTTACTTAATTACTTATTTTTATCCTGTTTTTTTATTCTGTGAACTGCCCTGAGAAGGGTGGTATAAGATTATTATTATTATTATTATTATTATTATTATTATTATTATTAGCAGGTGGGCGAATAAGGGTTGATTTGGGATATATCTACACTCATGTCGATAGTCAGCTGAGGCCACAAGGGGGAGACAGAGATTTTGTATGGAGTTGAATTTGCCAAACTCTATATCTTATTGAAGCAAGAAATCACTTGTGGAATTCAGCATCATAATACTAAACTTGTGCAGATGGGAAAATCCCACTTCCCATCACCCCAAAGGCTGTTTCAGGGGTTCTTTCCACACATGCAACCCAGTTTTGGGAGCAAGACGGAAAGTCTCAGAGTGGTTTACAGCCTACATTAAAACATCAAATCAAAGAATCCCAAAATAAAGTATTCCCAAAGAAAATCAAACCTAGTACAGACATGCCAAGCAACGCAATTAACGGGAGACTAAAATATTGTCTTCAAGATTACAAAAGAAGACATTGCAAAGGTCAAGTGTAACACTCACAATGAATGCAAGAAAGTTGACATACTGTACATCAGGAAGACCTTTCTGACTGTAAGAGCTGTTCAACAGTGGAACGGACTCCCCTGGGAGGTGGTGGGCTCTCCTCCCTTGGAGGTTTTTAAGCAGAGGTTGGGTGGCCATGTGTTAGGGATGTGGAATTTCCTACATTGTCAGGGGTTGGGCTAGCTGATCCTCAGGGTCCGTTCCAGTTCTACAATTCTATGTCTATATGTCATTCTACCTGACTGGGTGGTGCCTGGCAATCTCTGCAAGCCTTGAGTTGTCATGATGCAGGGAGGGGCATGATAGGAACATAAGTGAATAAATATACCTTTCCTTTTCAGAGTGGGAGAAGGAAGAGCTTGCTGGAGCCTGGAAAATGCCTACATCTCTCTCGGAAACCGTGAACAAGCCTTGTACTTTGCAGAGAAGCACCTTGAAATCTCCCAAGAAGTAAAAGCATATTTTTTTTAATTTGTTGGTGGTCTGTCACATTTAATTATTTTATAATGTTGGGGGTGTCCATAGACCTTTAGCAGCTGTTCAGTGCTCCTTGGACATTAGGATTCCTGCTCTGCAGGGGGTTGGGCTAGATTACTGCTGATTGCATGACTGCTAATTGCAGCCTCTGGGAGCTTGTGACCAGGACTTGTAAACAGGGGTGTCTGCAGCGGCATTTAATGGGGGAGGCCAGGAATGCTGTCTCATGGGTGGCATAGGACCAAGGGACATGGATGGCAAGGGAGCTGCTGTAGTGACTTGCAACGCCTTTGCCATGTTTGTCTCCCTGCCTAAGAATGTTCAAAACTACACCTGCAGCAAGTGTAAACTGGTTGCCTTGCTGGAAGAGAAGGTAAAGCAACCAGAGGCCCACCAAACAGCACTTGGAGCTACTGGGCAAGATGAGGAATTTCTCAATAGAGCAGAGTGGACTGTCCTGGAACAGCGACACAAGTGGGGTGCCCCAGTGCAGAATTAAATCATGGCACTCGCTCCCGCAAGAGAGGATGATAGCCAACTTGGATGGGTTTGAAAGAGGATTGGACAAATTCATGGAGCAGAGAGTTATGGAGGGCTAGTAGCTACAGTGTCTATGCTCTGCCTCCACAGCTGTTCACAGCAATGTTTCTGGAACATTGCTGGAAACCACACAGGGGCAGGGGGCAGGGAGCGCTCTTGTGCTCAGATCCTGCATGTGGGCTTCCCAGCTGGGCATCTGGCTGGATTCCCTCCCAACTCTACAATTCTATGATTATTTGACCACAGGGTTGACTGCTACAACTCAGAGGGGTTCAGGCAGAGATTTGTCCCTCTTTGGGGTCTGAGTTGGGAACAAATGTGGGGCTTTTTGGAGTGCACGAGGGTAAAGAAAAAGAGCTCCAAGGAGCAGGTGTGGTTAGAAACTGGCCTTTCAGGATGAGGCCCTGTGGACATATGTTGGAAATCTGGGATGCCAAGACCCAAGTTTGGGGCAAGTACTCTTTGGTATGAGAACCCCAGTAGAGATTTAAAATGACAGAACCTGCAGCAAAGAAAAGTGTGCAAACATAAGCTGTATAACGTTTAAAATGTTACATCCCCAGTTGCTTGGTTACAAAACAGTAGAAGCTCTTAAACTATTGGTATAGGAAAAAACTCATTTCAAACTCCATTTTGAAACCAAAGAGAGTGGCATTGTAGCTCAGTGGTATAGAGTGCTTGCTTTGCATGCAGAAAGCCCCAGGTTCCTATTTATTCAGAACCATGAGGACTAGGACTTTCCTTTATTTTTAGGGGAAGGGTCCTAGCTCAGTAGCAGAGCACCTGCTTTGCATGCAGAAGGTCCTTGATTCAATCCCTTCTGGCTTTTCCAGGCTGGACTGGGAAATGTCTCCTGCCTGAAGCTTCAAGGAGCCACAGCTGCCAGTCAATGTGGACAATACTGAATTCAGTGGACCAATGTCCTGACCTGGTATCTTCCTCTGTACCATTACAGTTCAGCCCTTTATTGAGAACTATGAGGACTAGAATATTCCTTAGTTTTAGGGAATGGTAATAAATCTGCCTGAAGCTCTTAATGAGCCACAGCTGCTAGTCAGGGAGGAGCTAGTCACTGTGCTAGATAGACCAGTGGCTGGATTCAGGATCTTATCATGACAGTTGAGGGCATCCTCAAGAGTGTCCTGATTTTACATGGTTTCTGCTCTGCAGGGGGTTGAGCTAGATGACACGTGGGTGTCCCTGTCAGCTGTACAGTTATATGAAATGGGAAAGGAAGACAGGGCAGAGCGAAGCCTGAGGACCTTCTCATCAGTGTTACATCCCCTATTATTAACCCTTCAGCTGTTCCAGATAAATACACTTTGCTGTCCTCTGAGTAGCACAGATTACTCAGCAACAGATGGGGAGAGAACAATGGGAGGTTTCACGGAGGTGGGTAGCTGGGTAAGGGCTTGGATGCAAGGAGGAGGAGGAAGAGGAGAGTTCCCTAGATCATATAATGGTAGAACTGGCTTGAGGTCAGGTATGCTAACACATTTGCTTCCTGTCTCCGTTTCAAAAGAAGACCAAATAGGTTTGGCTGCCACACTGGGGAAGACAATCCAGAGTCTTGTACATTTCAGAGCTTTAGATAGACTGCCTCTGGACCTGGAGGTTCGATGAGGGCATAAAAAGAGCCCTGGAGCTGGATTAGGCAAAGGGGGAGTCCAGCTTCCTCTTTTCATAGCCAAGCCAGTGCCTCAGTGGGGGGACTTGAGCTCAACAGAATTCTCCCTACTTGCAATTCTCAGCAAATGGCATTTCTGCCACTTAATTTATTAATTATTTATTTCCTAAAATTTATACACCACTTGATTGCAAGAAAAGGGGGGGTGCAACACCCTCTGGTTTCCAGAAAAATTAGAGCAATAAAATTAACACTTTAAGAAAAATGTACAGCAATAATTTGCAGCATACAAAAAGTTAAAACAACAGTAGACTGGTTATTTGTTCTGTTGTGATTCCTGCATTGTAGGGGTGTGGACTAGATGACTCTTGGGGTCACTGCCACCTCTGCAAGTCTATGGTTCTATCTTAACTTATATATTGTATTCATCCATCTTTGCTGTATTGCATTCGCTTGACTGTTACTGGCTCAGAAATGACCAATATCTGGACTGATGAAGACATTTTCATCATTCTGTGTCTAGATATCATTACAGTATTGAACATATATACAGATACACACACACATACATAAATAGCAAAAAACAACAACCAGACAGTAGCAAATTAAAACTCGCATCTGGGCAAACTTGTTGAAACAATAATGTTACAGCAGTTTCCGAAAAGAACACAGCAAACATGCCCAAAGATGTGTGCTTGTTCCATTAATTAATGATGGCTAATAATACTTTGCAGGTCGGAGATCAAGGTGGGGAGGCCACGGCCTGCTTGAACGTGGCAAAGCTGAGGGCAGTCCTGGGCTTGAAGCAGAACGGAGAGGATCTGGAGACCCCCATGGCAGGAACCGGTTACGAAGAGCAGGGTGAGTCTCTACAAAAGGCAGCTTCCTATCTCCCTGCCTGATTCAGAATCATGAAGACAAGAGAGACACTTTATTTATAAGGGAAGGGGCAGAGCTTTTGACTGCAGAGGGTCCCTGGTGCAATTCCTGGCATCTTCAGGTAAAGGGATCGGAATTGTCTGCTGAGCCTGAAACCCTGCTGGTCAATGTACTGAGCTGGAGGGACCAATGGCCAGATTCAGTATTATATATTCATTTATCTATTCCATTTATATCCTTCCTATTTTCCTCCAAGATGCTCAAGGTAGTGTTTGTGGTTCTCCCCCTGCCCATCCAATCCCCACAACAACCTTGTTAGGTAGGTTAGGCTGAGAGGCAGTGACTGGCCTTGAGTAGGGCTTTGGTTGAGTAGGGCTTTGAACCCTGATCTCCCAGGTCCTACTCCTCATTAAAGCCCCACAATGATTCTGCAAGGTTGGTGAGGCTTAGAGGCAGTGACTGGCTTTAAAGGTGAGTTTCCTAGCCAAGCGGGGGAATTCGAATCCTGATCTCTCCCAGGTCCTAGTGTGGCCACATAACCACTGCACCATGCCCGCGTGGTAGAAGGCAGCTCCCTGTTTTCCTCCAAACTATAAAGATTATAAACTTTATTTTTAAGGAGAAGGGCTGTAGCTCAGAGGCACGGTACTACTGGCTTTGCATGGAGAAGCTCCCTAGTTCGGGGACCTCCTTGTGCATGTTGAATTACTCATGCGGAGAACTTCTCCTGAGGGAAAACAAAGTTTGAACTCATACAAATATGTCCCGTACAAATTGTGTGTGTGTGTGTGTATTCTCCACCTGTGAGTTCCATCATTGTGAGAACAAGGGTTCTATATGGTCTGAAAGGTACCAGACATTTGCATTGTGGGGGTTCAGCTAGATGACCCCTGGAATCCCTTCCAACGCTACAGACCAGTTGCACATGGGTGAAAATAACAAAGTGCAAGTAAAGATCATTATCTGATTATCAATCTAATTCCAGATTTGCCAGGCTTGCGATGAGGGTTGACTTGAAAATGTATATGAATAAAGGAATGCCAAATCATAGTAAAAGTGTCTGCAGGTTCTAGTCCTCATTGATACAGGAATATGCATAATTTTCCCCGTTATAGCTGTATTCCAGAGTGAGGGGTATTGAGTGCTCACTGTAAGATTTTGGGCTGTTTTCCACTTGTTGCCATTACTATTCAAGCTGTCAAGATCATGCATCAAGACAAATTCTTTTGACAATATATGTCTACTTTGGTGTCATCAAAAATATTCAGTCACTTTAATTTTGGGCAATTTCTTTAGTAATAGTTATCATTTCTGTCAAAATTAAATTCCAAACATCTTGCACCAACTGACATTCCTGCCATAAATGATAATATGTACCAAGATCATTGCGACCCCTCAGACAATTAAGCAGTATTAGAGAAAACATATTTGACATTTGCAAAGGAGGACAAGACCATCTTTGAGGGAATTTTAGAAGATTTCAGGTGCCTCAATATTTGTTTATGAAATAAAATCATGCCGTGTATTTATTTAAAAGGTCATTCAAGCTCTGCCCTTTAGAGCTTTTTAGTTTCTTTTTCATCCCAGATGACAACCGCTGACAGCACTTCCCAACACCGCAGAGTCCAATTTGGCCTCCCTCTCCTTTTGATAGGAGCAGCGCTAAGGACTGGGCTTGGGTGAACTTGAGTGCATGATTTCTGGCGTGGGAAGTGGATTTGGAACTGCATCAATCCAGCAGAGCTCTTGATCTGGAGCTCTCAGTGGCAGCAGTGACCTCATTCATCAGGCCCTTGAATGGGCTCCCATGTTCAGACCACATCAGGAGGACAAAATGTTCCTGAAAAGGAAAACAGAAAAGAAAATGCAAAGTTATTTATTTTGTTTATTTTTTTCAAAGTGGTTTACAAAAAAAGAGAAAATAAAGGTTTACAACAATACTTTAAAACAGACAAAAAGTTAAGATATTAAAACAGGCTAAAATTCACATTCTAAACAGGAATGTTTTTGGCAGAAGGAGTTCAGCAAAAGGAGTTCAGCAAAGGCACCTGCTTGATATCCATAGGCAGAGACTTCCAAAGTGCAGGTGCTACTGCACTAAATAACAAGAGGTTTACAAATGCATTTTGGTGGCCCAGAGAGGCGGAACTTAAGGGGCATTGTGCAGAGGTGAAATTAGCTGGTGGCTTTTTGGCCACATTATTGAAACAGAAAGGAGAGGAATGGAGGCAGGCTTCTAAACGATGTTGGTTCCAGCTCCTAGCAGTCAGCATGGCCAATGGTTAGCAATGATGGTGGGAGTTATAGTCGGCAACATCTGGAGGGGAGGTACCACCTTGAAGAATGCCATGTGAAGATGTCCCTGCTAGGAATTTTATTGTCTTTCATGCTCTGATACTGTGAAATTTTGCTTGGGATTGCAGGGTGCGAGGGCTTCAAAATTGAAGCCTCCCTTCTTTTGATTTGTGACCTTCATGGCTTTGGTGAAAAGTTATCTTTGGAAATGTGTGGCCAGTTGCTGCTGGTGTCATTCTCCTGAGAACTGGAGTAAATCCCTAATATTGGATAAGAGACGTTCTCCTCACCCTCTCATAAAGACCACAGCCCCTTCCTTCTGTTTCATGTGGATCCAAACAATACTGCCAGATACAGCCATGTAACAAGGGACTATGAGACTCTGGGCAGGAAGCTGAAGAGCCTTGGGGCACAGGTGGCCTTTTCATCACTTTTTCCTGTTGAAGATCATGGCCCAGGAAAAGAGGAAAATAGTGGAAGGTGGTGTCATCAGGAAGGGTTTGGCTTCTTGGACCATGGTCTCTGCTTCCTTGAGGAAGGCCTTCTGACAAGAGATGGGTTAGCAAGAATGTGGTTGCTAAGAGTCTTGTCAACCTGATCAGGAGAGCTTTAAACTACAGTGGTGCCTCGCAAGACGAAATTAATTCGTTCCGCGAGTTTTTTCGTCTAGTGAATTTTTCATCTTGCGAAGCACGAAATCCCATAGGAATGCATTGAAATTCAATTAATGCGTTCCTATGGTCAAAAAAAGTCCAAACAAAGCCAAATTTGGTACAACAAGAGTTTACTAAGTGCTCTTTAAAGTCACACATACTGTAAAGAGCATTTCAAAAATTGAAGGAACAATAAATTCAAAAATTGAAGGAACAATAAAAATCATAAAAATTCAGAAACAAACCACACAAGCTTCCAGATTCTTGCAAACCCCTCCTCAACTGTTCCCCCAGCCACCCACCACACCGAAATTCAAATCCAGAAATTTTTTTAAAAAACAGCAGAGTGGCCCAATGGTCACAGAAAATCATAAAAATGCAGAAAAAAACCACACAAGCTTCCAGATTCTTGCAAACCCCTCCTCAACTGTTCCCCCAGCCACCCACCACACAGAAATTCAAATCCAGATTTTTTAAAAAAAAAAACAGCAGAGTGGCCCAATGGTCACAGAAAATCATAAAAATGCAGAAAAAAACCACACAAGCTTCCAGATTCTTGCAAACCCCTCCCCAACACCAAGTCCTTGAATTCCAAACACCCCAACCCAAAATCCAAAACCCCCCAAAAGTTTTAAAAGTTTAACTTACCAAATGGCTGCAAAAGAAGTTTTGGAAAAGCTTCAAAAATCACCAAAGTCTTCAAAAACCTCAAAAAAGGCTACCACACTGCGTGCTATGAGTTGCTCCTCGAAGTCAAGTCGCAACTGCACCTCTTCAAGCAATGCACCCTGTATTACTGTAACGGTTTTAAGAAAAAGGAAACAAACTTGCAAGACGTTTTCGTCTTGCGAAGCAAGCCCATAGGGAAATTCGTCTTGCGAGGCAGCTCAAAAAACGCAAAACCCTTTCGTCTAGCGAGTTTTTCGTCTTGCGAGGCATTCGTCTTGCAGGGCACCACTGTAAATCTTGAGGGAGTGGGAGACAATATTACAGACCACTGGGGAACACCTGGTACTGGGGATAGTAGCTTCATCTATGCACAAGAAACTGAGGTGGTCTCCAGAAACCTGCTAAAGGGCAGGAAACGACAAGAAGAAAGCAGCTGGAGGTAATGACTCATGGTTTCAGTTGTTTCTATGCTATTGCTCAGAATACAAGAAACAAGCAAGACAAATTTGAGCTTTTAATACAGGATGGCAGATATGATTTAATAAGCATTATTATTATACAGTAGAACAGGCTCCTGCAGGAGGTTATGAACTCTTCCTTGGAGGTTTTTAAGCAGGGGTTGGATGGCCATCTGTCATAAATGATTTAAGTGAAGATTGCTACTTTGCAGAGGGTTGGAGTAGATGACGCCCAGGGACCCTTCCAACTCTACAATTCCATGATAAAACCAGAACTCACAGGTATCCAACAAAGCTGAAGGTTGGAAGAATCAGGACAGACAAAAGAAAGTCCTTCACACAATGCAGAGTTAAACTATGGAACTTGTTCCCGGAAGAGAGGATGATGACCAACTTGGATGGCTTTAAAAAACGAGAGGAGAGGGCTTTCATGGAGGAGAGAGTTATGGAGGACTAGTAATCACAATGTCTATGCTGTGCCTCCACAGCTGTGCACAGTGATGTTTCTGAACACCAGTTGCTAGAAACCACACAGGGGCAGGGGGCGGGGAGGGGTCTTGTGCTCAGATCCTGCATTCTGGCTTCCCAGTTGGGCATCTGATTTGCCACTGTGAGAACAGGATGATGGACTAGATGGGCCCTCTTTGCCATGATCTAGCTGCTGTTGCAGGGCTCTTCTTACATTCTTATGTCCTTCTTGGGCACAAAGCACCTTCTAGCCAGCCTCCTCCTCTCCACGGCATCCTCCACCTGCTGTGAACATGGATCTGTTTCTTCTGTTTTGCACTTGCCACTCTGGACCAGACAAAACCACGGGGGATTCCATTCTGTATCACATTTACTGCAAGCATTCTCTGAACGCCGGGCTGCCATCCCCAGTGCGACACAGCAAAGAGCTGTCTCCATGTGCTCAGCATGGCCATGGGAGCTGGCTGGTATTCTGATGCATTCAAAGTCAACAGACGCGCCCCAACCACAGCACTAAAGTGGTGCCTTTCTCCGCCTTGTTTGCACACCTCCAAGGAGACGCAGGTCAGCAAATGCCACTTTTTGCACCTTCAAGCAGGGAACTCTGTTCTACTTGGGGCTGCTCTGAGAACACGCTGGAGCTAAACAAGTCCCTGTTTGTCCCCTGACAGCCAGACTCTCTGAATTGTCCCAGCTTTAGTTATGATTCCTGCACTGTTGTCCTTATCCTTCCACTGGCAAGTGAAAACTTTCTTTTTCCAACAGACTTTGGGGAACTGGCTGCTTTTAATGAAAGGGCTGATATCATGCTGTTTTATTGTAATTATTTGTGTGGTTTTAATAGGAGTTCTCTCTCTCTCTCTCTCTCTCTCTCTCTCTGTGTGTGTGTGTGTGTGTGTCTGTCTGTGTGTGTGTGTGTGTGTGTGTGTGTGTGTGTGTGTGTGTGGTTTTAATTCAATCAGTGTTTAATTGTTTGTTACCGGTTGCTTTCCCCCTATGTTTTTAGCTGTTCTTGTTTTTATCTATAAACTGCTTGAGTCCCTATCAAGGAAAAAGGCAGAGTACAAATATGTGGAAATATGCTGCATATGCTTGCACTCCCGGTTATAGAATTGTAGAATTGGAGGGTACCCTGGGGGTCATCTAGCCCAACCCCTGCAATTCAGGGCAGGGACCCTGCAGCCCTCTGTCTAATTTCATGCGGCCCTAAGATTAAGTCCCAAAGCTCCTTGTAAATGATCAGTTCTCAAGCATTATATCCCTTCTTCAGCTGTCTTATTGGTCAAGGGGAAGAGAGTAAGTGGGGTGGCATTGCCAAATATTGGACCTTGCCTCATTCACTGCCAATTTTGTACCGTGTTTGTAGGGAGTTGCCCAGTAGGGAATGTAGGAAAAGGTTGCCTACACCTCAGTGAGAGGCGGTTGAGGCTCTTCAACCTGGGAAGGTAGTCCATCTAGGAGAAGGAAAACCCATACCCAGCCGGCCATCTCAGTGCAGAGCCGGTTGTGACTAATAGGGGTTGTGGTGGGTTGTGAGGCAGTGTCGTGTGGTGGTTAGAGTATCAGACTAGGACCTGGGAGTGTCCAGGGTTCAACTCCCTGCTCAGTCATGAAGCTCCCTGTGTGTGACCTTCAGAGGCCAGTCACTACCTCTGTCAGCCTAGCCTACCTCACAGGGTTGTTATGGAGATTGAATGAGGAGGGAGGAACCCCTCTGAGCTCATTAGAGGTGGAAAGGTGGGATATAAATGCAATAACTGAAATTAATAAATTTTGGGGCAAGTGCAGATTTGGAAGGAGGGCTGTGTTTCCATTCACCTCTTGCATTGATGAGTGCAAATTTGGGAGATTCGCTTTTCAGTACAAACTCCAAACTTGGCTCCTTGGCTGTGACCTTGCCAGGGCTCTGGCCTCCAACAGAAGCAGGGAGATGCAAGGGCTGGCCTTATCCTCTCGGCTCTTTTGTCAGCGAAAGATGTAAGCTGTGGGCTTCCTTTGACAGGCCCACTTGTTTTTCTCCATTAAGGCCTCGGTTTTGTTGCTTTAATTACAGTTCTTTGGCTGATTCAAGATGCCGTCGGACTTAATTACAGCTTAGCTCAGAGGCGGCTGGGATTTCTGGGGCGGCTGGGGTGCTATAACTCCCGCTTATTTTGAGAAGTGTCTTTGTCACTGGTGCAAGATGCTCTCAAAGTATTCGGGAAAAGGCGTGAGGCATCCGGTCTCTGCGAGGCTCAATAATCCCTGACAGGTAGTCAGCCAACCTCTGCTTAAAAACATCAAATGAAGGGACTACAACTCCCACCACAGTCAATGGCCAGGGATTATGGGAGTCATAGCGCAAAAAGTGCCCCACGAAGGCTTTTTTTAATGGTAGTTTTTAACTGATTGGTGTGGGTTTTTTAATGCATTGTTTGATTCTGCTTGTAAATTGCTTTGAGGGTGTGTGTTTTTTTACAATCAAGTAATATATAAAAATTTATGATATTCTAGATCAGTAGTTCTCAAACTTTTTTCTTGGGCCATACTTTCAAAATAAAAAATTGCTCACACTGATTTTTTTATTGATAATTAATACATTGGAAAACAAACAGAAACATGCTGGGAGTGGGACCAACTCCTAGCAGTGCTTGATTTATAACATAGAACATTTATAACATACATTACTTTATAATATGATCATGGGACATGCAGAAAGTATAAAACGATGTGGCTACATAAGAATGTAAATCATTCCCAAAATGCAATTATAAGTGAGCCTCTTCCATATGTACCTTAAGTATACTTACAAACTGCATAAGAAGCGTGAACTTGCTATTGCCAGGTAATCTCATTTATATTAGGTCTGATTTGAGACAGACAGACTCTCATCTCCTCATCAGCACAAATAAGCCTTTCTCTGTTCTGATCTTTCATATTTGTCAGAGTTGAAAATTCCTGTTCACAACAATATATTGTGGAGAACAGTAGAAGAGAGGTGATTCTGGATCACATCTAGGATTTGTCCTTGGTATCTCTTGGTACTTTTGCTCTCATTTTGAAAAGACATCTATCCATATTCTGCAACTAATATATATATATATATATATATATATATATATATATATATATATACACATTGATACTACACTATACTGTTTAAATGTTTCTTTGACTGCCCTTGAATTTTCCCCTCCACACTTGCCATCCTCTCCTGCCACATCAGTGTGGCGAGTCACATCCTTTGAGAACCACTGCTCTGTACTGAAGCAAATCCTGCCATGTAAAAGATTTCCAAAGTCTGCTCTGATGCCATGTGGATGACTGCATTCAAGATTCACAGAATCATAGAACTGCAGAGTTGGAAAGGATCCCAAGGGTCATCTAGTCCAGCCCCCTGCAATGCAGGAATCAATACAGGAAACGCAACATCTGGACATGCATTTGTCCTGGAAGACAGCACTTCCCGCCTGGGAATTATTTTGAATTTTTTAATAGAGTTTGCAGTTAAACAGACAAACAAAAATCAAAACTAACAAAAAATTATGAAGTAAACAAATAAATGTATTCCTGCATTGCAGGGGGTTGGACTAGATGACCTTTGGTGTCACTTCCAGCTCTACAATTCTATTATTCAATTCTGTGATTCTATACATTTGGATAACTGCATCATCCATGACACCTGCCCAGGTGACCTTATATTGCTGCAACTCAATTAATGACTTATGCTGTTAATTATTTTTTTTACTGGGTGGTTTTTTTTTTTTTGGCCATGAAGGACGAATCTAGACGGTGGTTGGCCAGCTCACCCACCCATCTCCTGTTGCTTTTTCAGGGGCAAGGCCCAAGAGGATCCAGAGGAACCGCATGAGCAGCCTTGAGCTCCTGAGATTCCCATCGGAAAAGGTAAAGGGAGGCATCAGTTGGTGGTGGAGAAGAGGAGGAAAAGGGATCTTGAAGACATGCCTGTTTAGGCCAGCATCCCCCTGTACTTGAACTTCCTGATTGATGGGTTTTAATCATTTTTTTAAAAAACAAGTTTTTAATTTTTATGCTTTTTAAGTGGCTTGTTTTATTCTACATTTTAATTCTGAATGTTTTCAGTTCTTTGATGGAATTCTTTTACCACATGTTTTACTTACGGACGGATTTTATACCTGTAAACAGCTTAGAAACCATTATAAATCAGTAATGACAGGCAACATTCAGCCTGCATCTCCTTCCTTTCTGGAATGGCATTCCTCTCTAGAGTGGCGGGGCATGGGGGTGGGTGAGGGAGGGAGAAGGAGCAGCCCCTGTCGCCTCTGTAATGTGGCTCCCAGAAGATCACCCCTGAGGGAGTTTGGCCTCCAACAAGAGGGAAATGCCTCCTGCCTTGCCTTAAGGTGTCACCATCTACAGCAATGACCTCTTCGTCACTTCTCCTCAGGACCAGAACGGAGACGTGGAGATCCCTGGGAAAGAATTCATGTCGCTGCCAGTCAGATCCAAGAAACACAGGGGAAGCCAGTCCATCCCAGACAGGAAGATTCCACCACCCAACGAATCCCCGTTGGAAACCAGTGACGTACGGGTTCAGCTGTCCCAACTGGTAAGGAGATGCGGCGGGCGTGAAGAGTACCCCGCACCTAAAAATTCACAAATTGCTCTTCTTCCTAGGTTCACTGGCGTCTCCTATGAAGGACCCCATTGCGCGAATGCCTTTCGTTTCATTCTTGCTTATTTCATAAAATTTATACACTGCTTGATTGTAGGAAAAACCTCAAAGCGATCTACAAAAGAGATTTTTTTAAATCAAGAAAAAATTGCAACAATACTTCCAAATATACAGAAAGTTAAAATGCTGAACAAGTTTTAAAACACACTTTCTAAGCATCTGGACAGGCTTGTCTAAACAAGAATGTTTTTAGCAGGCACTGAGAAGAGTACAGCGGAGGTGCCTGACTGATACCAAGAGGCAGGGAGTTCCAAAGTGTAGACACTCCCACACTAAAATATAGATTCCTTGCCAATGTAGAGCGGGTGTTTTGTGGCACATGTAGTCGTGCCAATTCTGCTATTTGGAGTGGTTGAGTGGCCACCTGTGGGGCAAGGTGACCTCACAGGTAAACTGGTCCCAAGTTCTTAAGGGCTTTATATACTAATAGTAACACCTTGGCAAACAGTGCACATCTCTGAGCAGCAAAGGCATCATAATTCTGACAATTGCTCTCATCAGCAATTGTGTTGCAGCATTCTGCATTGGCAGCAGCTCGTGGTCCAAGTGCAAGGGAAGCCCCACATAGAGCGCATAGCAGAAATCCAGCCTGGACGTGTTTTCAGGTCATATTTAGGAAAGTTCTTTATGCTGCGCATAACTGAACGACAGAATGACCACCCGCAGGAGGCAGTGATGGTCACTGACCTGGATGGCTTTAAAAGAGAATTGGGCAAATTCATGGAGGAGGAGGCTACCTGTGGCTTCTGGTGATGACGGCACTGCTCTGCCTCCACAGCTGGCAGCAGCAATGCTTCTGAATACCTGTTGCTGAGAAGCGCAGGAGGGGGAGAGTGCTGTTATGCTCAGGTCCTGCTTGCTGGTTTCCCACAGGCATCTGGTTGGCCACTGTGAGAACAAAGTGCTGGCCTAGATGGGCCATTGGCCGATCCTGCAGGCTCCCCTAATGTTCTGGTTTGGGGAAGCATGTGGCGTCCTCCTATTTCTCTGCTGCTGTGGTTTTGACATTTGGCATTCGCCTCTCATTCTCCTGGCTGAATTTGGTCTTATTATCTCAAAGGTCACCTTGAGCATTCTTGGAAGGAAAAGGAAGGAAATTAAACAGGTTTATAAATAAACACACCACGCACCAAGGGGCGGTGGTGGGGCAGGATCTGCCTCTGCCTTGGCAACAATTCAACAGCCCCAAATAAATATGACGGAAGTGCGTTCTGTTGAGGAACCCTGAATTTTTTGAATTTTATTGATATTGATGCTGTTTTGTGCTATTTTTAAGTCACATTTTAATCAATGTTTTATATTTGCTGTTAGCCACCCTGAGCCTGTTTTTAAACCGGGAAGGGCGGGGTATAAATAAAAATTTATTTATTTATTTATTTATTTAACCCCCTGCTCCATACTAGGTTAGATTCAAGCGCCTGTCTTGTGCCTGGCGCTCACTGCATGCTAGATTTCCCCAGATGTGCAGGAAAGGTGCAGGAATCTCCCACCTGGGCGGGGGCTTCCAACTATATCCAGCCATTGCTCTTGTGAGGAATTCCAACTGGCTTTCCATCCATTAGCTGGGATTCCTACATTGCAAGGGATTATGCTAGATGGCCCTTGGGGTCCCTCCCAACTCTACAATTCTATGGTTCTATGCCTTGGAAAGTAGTGAACTCTCATTCACTGGGGGGTGGGGGGTTAAGCAAAGGTTGGATGTCTGTCTGTCAGGGATTCCTTTGCTGCGATTCCTAGGCCACCCGCCTCCCTGGCAAGGCCATGTATAGTCAACGGAAAGCGCAGAGAAGTCACACTGACAGCTTGCAGATGTGTGTTCCTCAAGATTGTTTAGATACGGAGCCATTTTTGGAGCATGCTGTTAGCATTATGCTCTTGCCGGGACTGAGATGCCCCTTGTGGGAAATAATAGGGGGCGCGTGCGATGAGGCGGCCATCTTGCGGCACCCACTGTGCAAAACCTGCCTATCTCTTTCTATATCGGCAGCGCGGGCGAGACCTCCTTGGACCCCTGCAAAGAGGGAGCTTTGCACCACCCTCTGCGATAAGGCAGTGAAAATGACAATGGCTGGGCCATTTCTCAGGAACCATCACTTCTAAGGAGATAAATAGGAATGAGGGAGAATCAATCCAAGGCCTCTGAAACTGCAAATATTTAATTTCTCGGGGTGTCTGGAATGCTTCACTTGTCGTAGCTGCTTCTAATATGGCCGTTGTCTGAAATTAACGCCTCTTTATAGAATCATAAAACTGTGGAGTTGGAAGAAACCTCAATAGTCAGCTAGTTCAACCCCCCAGCAGTGCAGGGACCCTGATGTCCAAGGAGTGCAGAACAGCAGCTAAAGCCCCCAATACTGAACTGCATTACATGGAAAACTAACCCATTACATGGGAAATAACCCATTATTTAGAAGGGAAAATAACAACGACCTCTTTTTTGTCTCTGTTTGGTGGGATTTTATTGACTACATTTTTTTAAAAAAAAGACATCTGTCTCTTCCGCAAGCCTTTCAAGAAATCTGGGGTAAGCAACTGGTAATTGGCTGAGAATTTTTCTCGATGTAATATAAAGATTTTCGCTCTTGGTACTCCTTGTGCCTCTGATGGTTTCAATTATGGGCTTACCTTTCTGTATATCTTGCGAACCATGCGCGCCACACACCACTTGCTCTCACATTTCTTATTTTTAAATATTCATAAAAAATTATTACACTTTGTAGCTGAGATGGTCATACATCAAACAAGTTTGTTGTCGATAAAAGTAGTGAGGGGAAGAAAAAGAAGAAAAGGAAATGATATGAAGGAGAAAAGAGTTAAGCATAGCGAGAGAGAGAGACTTTATGCTTGGAAAATATCTGTTTCCAATGGTAGAGCAGATAATAGGAATAATAGCCTGGGTAGAAAATTCATAGAGAGAGATGATATTTTGCCCCTCCAAGAGAGTTGTAGTGTCTGCCACCTTTTCAATTTTCATCTGTTTGCATGCTTATATTATTGTAGTTGTGATCAATGGGTTATTTGTGAATCTGGGTGCAACCAAACCCCTTAGTAGCTTATTGGACTTTTTTATTGAAATCTGAAGGCTTTGCAGAAGGTATTTATCACTTGAATTGTCAAGCTTATTCAGAAGCCAACTGGTTTAATAGTATTGATTATGTAACTGGATGTTTCTCCAAAGGTGTTTGGAAAGTCCATGTATTTCGTATTGATGTTTCTAGTTTGGTAAATGATAATGCTGCATCATTTGCATACAGTGAGGTTTTGAATTCTTGCAAGCCAAAGTTAATTCCATGAAGTCTTTGGTTGGTTCTTATCAAACTTGCTAATGGTTCTAGAAACCTTTTGCAAACAATAACAAAGATAATGAGCACCCTTGACATGCACCACAATGGTAATTTTAATGGCTTTAACAAGTAACAATTGGTAATGAAAACTTTCACTCATGGGTCCTTATATAAGATGCCAATCCATTATTTGAATCTGCCACTAAGATCATTTATTGAAGGGTTCTTATTGTTCTTACTATAATAGGCCATGCAACCCTATCAAAGCCTTTTTTGCATCCAAAACAAAAAAAAGTGATTTTTGCTTTCATTTCTTTCTTAATTCAACCAATACTTCTGTTTTGTTATATTGTAATTTCCTATTTTTTATAAAATTAGTTTGATCTGGATTTACATATTTATGTACACTTAGCAATTATGGCGGACCATTTTGGCATCTTAGTTTAGTGAAGAAATTGGTCTATACGTTAGGGGTAGTTTAGGATCCTTATCTTGTTTAGGAATAAAATTAATTATAATTTCTGATCATGAATCCTGGAGATTTTTTAATGAGAGAGATGTGTTGTTGTATAGTAAGATGTTACTTTATTGGGGAAAGGTTTATCAAATTTGCCGGTCAAGCCGTCTGGCCCATATGCAGTGAAAAAAATATGTTATGTACCTCTTCCTCAGTGACTTTTGATTCTAAGACTTGTGAGAACTTCAGCTGAAACTTTAGGCATCAGAATGTTTAGAAAGGCTTTATCAATCTGTTCTTGAGTTGGTTGGGTTTTCTGGTGTATCTAAATATTGATAGAATTGTTGAAAAGAATTTGCTATTTCTGCTGGAGAGTTGCCCTTTTATTTTTATGTTGTATAGATGGAACTAAGGTTTTTGCTTGTCTATCTTTTAGTTGATAATGAATGCAATTTAGATGGTCTTTGTTACTATGTTCAAACAATTGTTGTTTGACCAAATGTGTTTTTTGAATTTTTCAGTTTGAAGTTATTGATACATCATTATTATGGAATTTAATAGTTCCACTGCCTCCAGATCATGTCTTCGTTTGTGATTTATTTATTACATTTATATACCACCTCTTTCTTCTAGTGAGTTTAAGGTGATGTACCTGATTCTCCTCTTCCCCATTTCATCCTCACAACAACCCTGTGAGGTAGGTTAGGCTAAGAGATGGTGACTGGCCCAAGGTCACCCAGTGAGTTTCATGGCTGAGTGGGGACTGTTTCTTTTTCTATTATTGTTTTGAATTAAATCTCTTTCCTTTTGGGTAAACTGTTTCCATTCATATGGGGGGAGGGTTAATAAAAAATTAATGAATGTGGGCTTTCACTGCATCCCAGACTACCAGTCAGGTTTCCTCTGGCATAATATTCTGACTAAAAATAAATAAATTCAAGATGTTGTGCTATCATATCTCTAATTCTGCAAAATGAAGTTGTCTAACCGCCATTGTTTATCAGATCAAGCTTCTGCAAATTATTTATTTATTGAAACTGGGGGGTGATTGGGTGGATTCGAGTTTCATTCATCTTTGCTTAGTATATACAGAAATATAAATTATAAACATGAGAATAGAAAGTGCAATTTTTATCAGTAGGATGGCGGAATTTACAAATTTATGTTAATCTGTGTTCTTCCACCTCTCATTTCTTATGATGGTACTTTTATTAAATCCTAGAAACATAGAATTGTAGTGTTGGAAGGGATCCCAGGGGTCATATAGCCAACCCCCTACAAGGCAGGAATTGCAACTAATCACTTTCCACTCTACATATTATCACAAATATCCAGAGAACCAGCTTTATCGTTTCTACTTGTGAATTTAACATCCCATGCAAACCTTGGTTTAGCTTTTATGTGTTTGTCCCATGAAGTTCTGTTTTGCTGTTTGAGTTAGGTGGATAAAATTCAATAAAACGCTTTCCGAAAAGAATAAAATATCACCCAATAAATTATATTGTATTAGGCTCAGTCACAGGCTACCTGGAGGGTTGTATTCTGATGTATAAACCTGCCTAGGCTCTGAGATCCATGGGGGAGGCCCTTCCCTCCATCCTGACTCACTCCTGGGCCTATTTGGTGGGGGGGCGTGGGACAGGGCCTTCTCAGTGCTGGCTGCTTCCAGACAACTTTGGAACTCCCTGCCTAGAGAAGCTAGACTAATTCCCCCTTAACTGACATTCCACCAGCAGGCAACTGTTTCATCCTGGCAGACCTTACATTGAATCAATTCTAGAGTTGGAAGGGAGCCCAATGTCATCTTTTTTTTTTTTTAAATGATATGTATTAAAATTTCAGAGGAAAAAAAAGGGGGGGAAATTACAGAATAACAAAAAGTCAAAATACAAGAAAAATACAAAATACAAAATACAGAATAAAAAAATAAAAGACACTTAAAAAGAGAAAAAAGAAAAATGGGTCAATCTTTCCATAGCTTACATTCATATCCTTGTTTCCCTGACCTCCTCATACCTCCCTTTTTTGTATTCCAGTTCAATTAGTTAAGTCAGCAATTTCTTTCCCTCTTTGTTTTCTCATGATCCTTTAACTTAATATACTATAACTTTAAATTTTCATCTATTAACAATCCTTTTTTACATACACCTTTATAGCATTACTGCTTAAACCACCTAACTTCATTCCAACATCATTCTAACATTCATTAATTTTGCAATATTTCTGTAAATAATCTTTAAATTTCTTCCAATCTTCTTCCACCGACTCTTCTCCCTGGTCTCGGATTCTGCCAGTCATTTCCGCCAATTCCATGTAGTCCATCACCTTCATCTGCCATTCTTCCAGAGTGGGTAGGTCTTGTGTCTTCCAATACTTTGCAATAAGTATTCTTGCTGCTGTTGTGGCATACATGAAGAAAGTTCTGTCCTTCTTTGGCACCATTTGGCCGACCATGCCCAGGAGAAAGGCCTCTGGTTTCTTCAGAAAGGTATATTTAAATACCCTTTTCATTTCATTGTAAATCATCTCCCAGAAAGCCTTAATCCTTGGGCACATCCACCAAAGGTGGGGAGCCCAATGTCATCTAGTCCAACCCCCTGCGATGCAGGAATCTCAGCTAAAGTTCCCTGTTTTTAAGGAAAGGGTTTTTAAGCTTCTTTGCAGAGAGCTGGGCTAGATGACCTCCTGCGGAAGTGAGTTCCAGAGTTTCACTCTGAAAAGAGGACTTCCTTGAATCTCTCAATATTCAGTTTTGTTGGTTGTCTAGTGTTAAGAGAGAGGGAGAGAAACTTTTCTCTACCAGCTTCCTTGCTCAGTTTGCAAGCCTGCCCTTTCCATTGATGGATCCATGTGGAGAGGATGTGAGATGCCTCCCGGTCCCTGCAGTCACTGGCTCCTTACTGGCCTATCTCCAGCAATTGGGGGGTGTTTGACACGAGAGTTGTGGGCTCACTTTGACATCTGGATTGAGGGTGGCTGGTGGCTGATGTACATACCGAGTGGCAGGCTGGCTTTTTCCATGTGGATGGCAAAGGGCATCCTTGTCATTGACGGCTGCCTGGTTGCAAATGTTCGCTCTTTGCTGCCTCTCCTTGCAGAGATGAAGCCTCATCCCTGATCCCAGAATGAGGCTTGCTAATGATTTCTTAAAGATGCTTTTGGACAGTCCTAAGAACATAAGAAGAGCCTGCCGGATCAGGCCAGTAGCCCATTTTGTGCAGCATCCTGTTCTCATGGTGGCCAAATGCCCCTACGAAGTTAGGTATCTAGATGGACAACCTCTGAAGTGGTAGGATCCATAGGAACACACAAAGAGTCTTCTAGATTGAGAAGTATACAGTGAAGGCACCTGCTTGATATCAATAGGGGGGAGTTCCCAAGTGCAAGTGCTGCCACCCTAAACAATCAAGTTCTTACAAAAGAGGATCAGGGATTACCTGTAGCCAGTTCCATGGACTGAAGTAGACAAATATATGGAGTTAAAGTAAAGGTAAAGGGACCACTGACCATTAGGTCCAGTCGTGGCCGACTCTGGGGTTGCGGCGCTCATCTCGCTTTATTGGCCGAGGGAGCCAGCGTACAGCTTCCGGGTCGTGTGGCCAGCATGACTAAGCCGCTTCTGGCGAACCAGAGCAGCACACGGAAACGCTGTTTACCTTCCCACCAGAGTGGTACCTATTTATCTACTTGCACTTTGATGTGCTTTCGAACTGCTAGGTGGCAGGAGCAGGGACCGAGCAACGGGAGCTCACCCCGTCGTGGGGGTTCGAACCACTGACCTTCTGATCGGCAAGTCCTAGGCTCTGTGGTTTAACCCACAGCGCCACCTGCGCCAGGTCCACAGCGCCAGTGGACCTATATACGGGCATATATATGCTTTTGCAGGCAAACTGGTCCCAAGTTGTGAAGGACTTTATATCCTGATAGTAACCCCATGAACTTGACCCAGTAGTATATTGGCAACAAGTGCAGATCTTTGAGCACAGGTGTTAAATGCCGGCAAGGCATGCCTGGTTTTGCACCTGTTGGTTAAACTGAACTAAGGCAGGTTCGTAATGAGTTCATACAAAGAAACTGCCACTGACCTGGGATGTCAGTAAGGAGCAAAAAGCACCCTTGCCTGGGGGGGGGGGGGCTGATTAGCTGTAGTTCTTGAATTGCAGGAGATTGGATGGGTCCCTTCCAAAACTACAGTGTGATTCCATGAATGCAAAGTGGGCATCCGTAGCAGAGAGCTGCCCACCCAGCTGGGAAAGCCTGTTAGAACACAAATGTCTCCCAGTGTTTCCAGAACACTGCTTGGGGTGCAGCTTGGGGATGCCTGCCGCATCTTGAGAGAGGCACCATTCCTGAGAACAAGGGCAGCCATAGTAAGGTGCTGCTCTGAGTAACAATGGAGTGTGCGGCTTGTGGGATCTTTGGTACTTGGAAGAGAGTTTCCTTCCCCCCACCCCCCCACCCCATCCCTGATCCCATAGGGGTCCAAAGGTGCTCTGGCCAACAGTACCTTTTGTGGCTACTCAGCTGCGAGCCATATATTCCCAGGAGGCAAAGGTCTTGATCCGCTCCATCAAAACCAGAAGGAAAAAGAGGAGGATTTGGGGCTGGAGTCCACCTCTCCCCATAGCTGGAGAATGGTAGTCAGCCAGCTCTCTGGAAGGCTCCCTTGTCTCTATAAAGAGAACATTGCCTGGGGGTGTTTTGCGTGGGGCTGGTGCAAAATGCGAAGAATGTGCAGATTTTGGAGTTTGTTTCTGGTTTGAGAGTTTTTTGTTCTTGTTGTTCTATTCTTCCCTCTTTGCTGCTCCGGCTGCCTGACTCAGCCCATTGTAAAAAGCCTGTATACTTTGTTAAAAGCCCACAGATTTAGCATTGCAGGGGACTGGACTAGATGAACCTTGGGGTCCCTTCCAACTCTACTACTCTATGATACACAGCGCTTAGTTAAACAATGGAACTCAGTCCCCAGGAAGCAGGGATGGCCAACCTGGATGGCTGCAAGAAAAGATTAGACAAATTCATGGAGGGCTATTGATGGCTGTTAGCCCCTCTTGTGGTTTCCAGCAACTGGTATTCAGAAGCATTGCTGCCCCTGTTAAGGCAGAGCATAGCCATTGACAGCCCTCTCCTCCTCCATGAATCCGTCAAATCCTCTTTTAAAGCCACTCTCAACTGGTGGGTCCCTGACTCCTGCGGGAGGGAGTTCCGCAGTTTAACTAGGCACTACCTAAAGAAGGACTTTCTTTTACCTGTCCTGAAGCTCCTTGGGAAACAGTCGCTGCCTCCCAGGGTTGCTGTTGTGGCGAGTCAGCTAAGACGAGGAGAACCACCAAGCCTGTCACTTTGAGTTCCTTAGAGTAGCAGGTGGGATAGAAATGGAATAAATAATTACCTCCCAACATTCAGCTTCACTAGATCCCCACGAGTTCTGGAGTTATGATCAGGCTGTGTTTTGTGTGTGTGTGTGTGTGTGTGTGTGTGTGTGAGAGAGAGAGAGAGAGAGAGAGAGAGAGAGAGAGAGATTGGGGGTAGAAAAGAGCGAGGAAAGAAAATCAAAATATCACCTTTCCCCCAGTGCAATTCTTGCTCCCATCCCTACTCTGAGGCTACTGGGGGCGGTGTCTGGGCTCCTCCCCGACTGCGCTGGGCCTGGCAGGCGACTGGCCGCCTGGCGAGGTTTTGCCTCTGCCCCCGCCCAGGCGCACCACTCACGCGCCTCAGCTGCGAGAGGAGAGCGGAGGTTCGAGCTCGCTGCAGCGGCGGCGGCACTTCGGAGCCGGGATGCCCGGAGCCCTTTGCTGAGGAGAAGGCAGGTGCGTCCCGGGCTGGGGGGAGGGGGGGCTTGGAGGGGAGGGGGCTTCCCTCCCGTATGAAGTTTGTAAGACTCCTCCCCCCCTCCTGGATCTTCCCCTTTCTCCAAAGGGGCCAAGAGAAGAGGAGCATCAGTGCCCGCCCCGGGAAGAAGATGCTAGCAACAGCCCGGGCAGGTGTGCTCAGTCGGATCCCCAGGAAGGGAAGATGTTGTCTTCCCAACGGCACCTTGCTGCAGCGCGTTCCTAGGCTGGTAGCCCCCTTCTCTGGGCGACTGCTTTCCCGCCCCACCCCCATGATAGCAAGTTGGCTGGGTGCCCCAAAGATGGGGAGGGGGGCTTCCCCAGGCAAGCCCACAATCCCTTAACACAGTCGAAGTCGTGGGTAACCAATGAAGCTGAAAGTTGGACTTAGAGTGGATAAAGTAATGCATTTAAACTGCAACACTCCCTCCTGTGGGAGGCAGGTACGGCTACCTATTTAGATGGCTTTAAAAGAGAGATGGACAAATTCAGGGAAGAGAGCATTAGTGATTACTAGTAGCCACAGTCGCTATGTTTTGCTTCCATAGTCGGAGGCAGCAATGTTTCTGAATACCTGGATACCTCAGGAGGGGAGAGGGGTCTTGCTTCCCATGCAGGCATCTAGTTGGCACTGTGAAAACAGGATGCTGGGCTGGATGAGCCAGTGGCCTGACCTAGCAGGGCTCTCCTGATGTTCTCATGGAACCTCCAGCTCCAGAGGTAGTCTATCTCAATTCTTAAGTTCTTTGGGGTATGTTTTTAAGCATTGCTTTTGGTCTCCATCTGAGGATTCTTCCTTTGCCCCCACCCTGCCCCCACTGATGACAGTCGTTTAGAGCAATGGATGAAGGATGGCCAGGGTTGGGCTCGCTTTGGTCCAACCCTGTCACACACAACCCTGCAAAATGTAGCTGCCTCTTCTTTTTCGCCAGAAGCAAGTTCTCAGAAGTTCTCTCACCCGCAAGGGTGACCAAGATCCTGGTTGGACTAGATGACCCATGGGTTCCCTTCCAACTCTACAATTGTAGGATACTATGATCCAGAGTCTAGAGCAGCCTTTCGCCATCCTGGTGCCCTCCATAAGTTTTGGACTGTGACATCCATCTGCTCCTTCCAGCACAGCTGTTTGGTCAGCTGAGAGCCAGCCAAGTGGGTGAAGACTGGAGCCCTCATTCTCTGGACTCTTGTGGGTGGCAATGATCCATAGGGTGCTCCTGAGACTGGGTGGCCAAGCAGAGGGAGAGTTTTGTTCGTTCTTTGCATCACACGGCCAGCCTCTTCTGGAAAACGCTCAAAGCAGGGCATCAGGCTCCATTTGCCATCCACCCTGTTTTTCAACAACCCCGCAAAGAAAGTCAGGCAGAGGAGCGGCAACTGACCCAGAGCCACACCAGGCAGCTTTGCGGACTGTACATCCTCCCACTAAGGTTAATGGCACTGGGGTGTGTTTTTTAATGCCCGTGCCACAGCCTCAGTCCCTACACAGTGTCAGGCCAATTAGTGCTTCTAGATCATGTTATCTACACTGGCTGGCAGCTGTGGCTGTTCAGGATTTTGGGCAGCAAACATTCCCAGGCCTACCTGGAGATGCTGCTGGGGATTGAACCTGTATGCAGAACAGGTGCTGTCCCCATTCAGCTACAATCCTTCCTCTAAAAAAAGTTTATGGTTCTGAATTAAATAGGAAGTAGGAAGCTGCCTCAGAGCAACTGGTCAGGCAATTGTTCCATCTCGATCACGACTTTCTACACTGTCTGCCAGTTGCTCTTTGGGGCTTCAGGTAGGGGGCTTTGCTGTCCTACCTGGAGACACCATTGTGGATTGAACCTGCAACCTTCTGCATGCAAGGCAGGTGCTTTGCCCCTCTGCTGCAGCTAAAAATAAACACAAGATTCTAGTCCTTATGGGTCTGAATAAAGGGCTGAATTAAACAGAACTATAGGAAGCTGCCTTATACCACTTCACTAGACCATTGTTTCACATTGGTTTGTACTGTAAATTATGTTTTTATGCACTCTGGCTTCAGTCACGGTGCTCCGTTGTGCAAGAAGCGGTTTAGTCATGCTGGCCGCATGAGCCGGAAAGCTGTCTGAGGACAAACGCTGGCTCCCTTGGCCTGAAAGCAAGATGAGTGCCACAACCCCACAGTCACCTTTGACTGGACTTAACCATCCAGGGGTCCTTTACCTTTTTACCCTTTACCAGTACTATACCCTATACCAGTACTGACTGCCAGCAGTGGGTGTCCAGGGTTCCAGTCAGGGGGCTTTCTCCTAGCTCTACCTGGAGATGCTGAGATTGAACCTGGGGCCTTCTGCATGCAAAGCAGATTCTCTACCCCTGAGCTACAGCCCCTTGAAATCTCTCTCTAGAGTCATACACACACACACACACTTCTAATTTGGCCCATGGAGTGTAGGTCAGGGTAGTGACCTGAGCTTGACTCTCCAGCTCACACGTCTTCCAACAAATCCATTCCAGGTTTGCTGGGAAATCATAGAATTATAGAAGGGAACCCAAGGGTCATTTAATCCAACTCCCTGTAATGTAGGAATCTCAACTAAATCATCCATTGCAGGTGGCCATCCAAACTCAGTTTAAAAAGCTCCAAGAAAGGAGGTCCGTTCCACTGTCAAACAGCTCTCACCATCGGAAAGTTCTTCCTGATGTTTCATCAGAATCTCCTTTCTTGTAACTGGAAGCCATTGGTTCGGATCCTACCCTGAGGAACAGGAGAAAACAAGCTTCCATGTGACAGCCCTTGAAAATGGCTGTCACATCTCCTCTCCATCTTCTCTTCTCCAGGCTAAACATGCCCAGCTCTTTCAGCCGTTCCTCCTAAGGCATAGTTTCCAGACCCTTGATCATATTGCTCACCTTCCTCTACCCACCTTCTAGCTTATCCTTATACCCCTTAAATGGTGGTGCCCATAACTGGACACAGGCAGAATATAGCGTTACTATGACTTCCCTTGATCTGGGCACTCAGCGTCTGCTAATGCAACCTAGAGTAACATTAGCCTCTTTTGCCGCTGCATCACACTGTTGGCTTAGTATAAGCTTGTGGCTCATACTAAAACCCCTGTATCCTTTTCAATCCACTGCTGTCAACCCAGGTGTCCCTCGTGTTTTATTAGTGCATTTGTTTATTCCTGCCTAAGTGTGGAACCTGACACTTGTCCACCTTGAAATCCATTTGGTTTGTTCAATAGGGGCAAATGTAAGGTTCTACATCTAGGCATGAATAACCAGATGGTTAGGTTATAAACAGCACTCAAGTAGCCAGGGCTGGACTTAGATGTAGCAACGGCCATTGGACCAAACGTAGAATCCTAAATTGTATTTGGAAGTGACCTCGAGAGTCATCTAGTACAACCCATTGCAATGCAGGAATCAGTGGCCTTTCTGTTTAAGACAAGGTTGTTAGTGGCTGTAACCACCTCAGCCCCTCAAAGGGCCTTGAATTGCAAAGGTGAGGTTAACCTTCAAGCTAGTCACGGATTTGGGGGAACCAATGGTGAGTTTGTGGACGAAGTAGTTGAATTCTGAATCTGGTTTCACTTCAGTTTGGGTGGGCAGGATCCTTTCTCCCCAGAGCCCTGTTGAGTCAGGATGGCATGAAGCTAAACATGGGAAGATTCAGGATAAAAGGAAATGTTTCTTCACTCAGCGCATGGTTAAAATGCGGAACTCCCTCCAGCAGGAGGCAGTGGTGGCCACCAACTTGGATGGCTTTAGAAAAAGAATTGGACAAATTCGTGGAGGGGAAGGCTATTGATGACTACTAGCAAGGATTGTTAAATTCTTTCTCCCTCCATGGTCAGAGGCAGTAATGCTTTTATAAATACCAGTTGCTGAAAGGGAGAGGAGAATGCTCAAGTGCTTTGGGGTTTCCTTTGAGGGCATCTGGTTGGCCACTGTGAGGACCAGACGTTGGAGTACGTGGGGCACTGGGCTGATCCACCAGGATCTTCTTTTGCTCTTATGTCAGAAGATGCTATATTGAACACTGGAACTTCTGTGACCCAGTCTGTCTGCAACAGTGTTCCACAAGAGGGATGGCTTAAAAAAAAAAAAAAAAACTGGGCAAATTCAGGGAGGAGATGGCTACTAGTCAAGATGACCCTGTGAGCTTAGGAAGTGAGAGGGCTCTTGTGCTCTGGTCCTGTCTATGGGTCTCCCATTGGGGCATCTGGTTGGCCACTGTGAGGACAGGGTGCTCGACTAGATGGGCCCACTTTGCCCTGATCCATCAGGAGCTCTTCTGGGGTTCATGCAGATTGTTACAGTTCTGCTATTCAAAACTGAATAATTCTAAACTTTCAGATTCTAACACGGAGAAGAAGGGTTGATTCACCAGAATCACAGAATTAGAAAGGACCCCAAGGGTCATCTAATGCAGGAATCTCAACTAAAACCATTCCTCACAGCTGTCGATCCATCCTCTGCTTAAAAACCACCAAAGAAGGAGAGCTGACCTTCCTTTCCTTCTAGATTCCTTCCCTACCTCAAAAAACCAAGGCAATTTAATCTCATTCTCACCCTTTTCTTGAGTCGGCTTTCTGTTTTAAGTGCCATAAGGCCGGCAGCTAACTTTAAATACTTGTGGGGGCTGCAGGAGGCGAAGTGTGGGGGAAACTCACTCCTAGGAAGGGTATTTATAATCAGCAGGTGATGCCATTGGAGGAGGATGGAATTGGAATAGGCAGCACAACAACTTAACTCCTAGTGGGGCATGAGGCTTAACTGGGCTCAGAAGAAGGATGTTTTGCAAACTTGCAAGACCTCCTCCTGCTCTCCAGATGCGTTGGACTACGATGCCCACCAGCTGCCAGGCAGCGCAGCTATCAGATGACCCTGGGGCTGGTGCAATTTGTAGGGGAAAGTGTTGTTTACAGAGAACCAGCCTGACAGAAGTTGCTTTAGACCCAGGCATACTCTAGGACTGTGGGATTCTTTTTGACCTGCACATAGTTTTCCGCCAGGCTCAAGAAAAAGCAAAAATAGAAGGAAAGAGAAAGAAGTTGGGTGTTCCTGCTCAGTAGGTGGTGGCATACCTGTCAACGTTTCCCTTTTTTTAAGGGAAATTCCTTTATTCCGAATAGGATTTCTCGCAAGTAAAGGGAAAAGTTGACAGCTATGGGTGGTGGCAGCAGGGGTTGTTGCCCCAGTGCAGTGGGTGGCCAGTCACCTGCCCAGGCCAACCATGATAGTCAGTCCCCAGGTCACACAGGAGGCTTCTTTGGGCTTGTCCTGGACAAATATCTACTCTACATCCCTGCAGTGTAGGAATCCCAGCTGAAGAATCCCTGACAAAAGGCCACCTGCCCTCCATTTCAAAACATCCATGGAAGGATATGATAAATAATAATAATTAATAGTAATACTTCAGTTGTGAAGCTCACAATTTCCATTTCTCATCCTCCCCCTGCCATGCTGCATGAATTCTGCCCCATTCCTGCTCTCCCAGACTTTGCCACAGAGAGAAAAAAGGAGCACAGATTCTCTTCTGGGCATTTGGGGCTTTTCATTTCTCATCCTTCTACTCCCAACCCACCATGGGCACAGACCTGCTGCGATTCCTGCATTGCAGGAGCTTGGGCTGGATGACCCTTGGGGTCCTTCCCAACTCTACAATTCTAGGACTCTGTGACAATGGGGACAACAGCAAACACCAACACAGCTGTGCAAATGCCCCCAAATTACAGCTCTTCAGAGCAAAGCGATCGGTGGTTGACCCAAATGAGCACCTTTTGCCAGACAGCCGGGTTATTTTTATCCCAGCCTCCCTGTATGCAGGGAAGCCCCAGAGCTCTTCCTGACAGCTTAACGCCCAAAGAAATGGCCAAAAATGCAAGCAGCTGCATGGATCCGTTATTGTATGCATACACACTCTGCCCCACAGGAACAATAGAATCGTAGCGTTGGAAAGGACTCCCAAGGGTCATCTAGTCCAACTCCCTGCAGTGCAGAAAGCACAACTAAAGCATCCCTGGCAGACAGCCACCCAACCTCTGCTTAAAAGCTTCCAAGGAAGGAAAGTCCACCACCTTCCGAGGCAGTCTGTCCCGAGGGACTCCCTCTGTACCACTGTCGGAACAGCTCCTGCCCTCAGGAACTTCTTCCTAATGTTCCTTTCTTGTCATCTGAAGCTTCAGGTTCCGGTCGTGAACAAGCTGCCTCCATCTTCCAGGTGGCAACCCTTCAGATATTTGAAGGTGGATCTTATGTCTCCTCTCAGTGTCCTCATATCCAGGCTAAACATCCCCATCTCCCTCAACCATTCCTCATCAGGCTTGGTTTCCAAGACCCTCCATCATCTCTGTCACCCTCCTCTGGACACCTTTCCAGCTTGTCAATATCCTTCTGCAGAGGGTCTTTTTGGGGTGGGGGTTGCTCAAGAGATACACAAGTGGTCTTTAAACCTGGTTGCCTCTCCGGGAACCATCAGAACAAAAGAGGGAGGGAGTTATTGCATAAAAAGCATAAGAAAAGCTTGCTGCATCCAGCCAGTGGCACATCCAGCTTAGCATCCTCTTCTCACAGCGGCCAACCTGATGCCCGTAGGAATCCCTCAAGCAGGACCCAAGCACAACAGCCCTCACACACACACCCATGGTTTTTAACAACTTAATAGCTCTCTTCTCTATGGATTTTTCTAATGTTGTTTTAAAGCTGGTGGCCATCACTGCCTCCTGTGGGAATTCCATAGTTCTTAACTGGGATCATAGACACTACCCTAAGGTTACCAGATTTTTTTCAATGAATCCAGGGACACTTTTCAACTTCAATGGATTTTGTCAGGGGATTGATTAGTAAATCTGGGGACTGTCCCCAGGAAACGGGGACATCTGGTAACCTTACTCTACCCCAGAAGCCAGAGATTCCCCAAACCAGCAGGGACTGGGTTAACAGCACAGCTTGCTAAACACAGGGAAATAATTCGTCTTCTAGCAATGCTGAAGGGAGAAAATAAAACACACACACTCACTTGCCTTCTATTTAGGGCAGCATCGAAATTAGCCACCCAGTGGAGGAATCTGGCCTTTTGAGCTGCCTGAAGGCTGATCAGGAATTAAGAGAGAAAATAAAAAAATTCTCCTCCTTGCCACCCAAGGGGGGGGTGGTCTGCTATTGAAAGATGATTCCCACAGCCAGTGGGAAGAGGGTGATAGCAGAGGCAGATTTAGGGTAGTGGTAGGTGACTCCCTAATGAGAAGGACAGAGACAGCAGTGTACAGAAGCAACAGGATGTCCTGGGAGTTGTGTTGTCTTCCAGGTACAAAGGTTAACAACAGGGCAGAGAAGTTGCCGAGCTGACCACAAGTCACCTTCCTTTTGATTCATAGGGGGGTACTAATGACACTGCCAGACACAGACTTCAACATACAGCAAAGGGACTATGAGAGTCTGGGCAGGAAGCTGAAGGACTTTTGAGCACAGGTGGTTTTTCCATCACTCCTTCCTGTTGGAGGTCATGGCCCAGGAAGAAAGAGGAAAATACTGGAAGTAAACCACCGGCTGTGCAGGTGCTGTCGCCAGGGAAGGTTTGGCTTCCTGGTCCATGGTCTCTGCTTCCTTAAGGAAGAACTTCTTGCCAGAGATGGATCGTACCTGACATTGGTTGGCAAGAATGCGTTTGCTAATCCTCTTGCAAACCTGATCAGGATTGCTTTAAACCAAATCCTGAGGGTGTGTGGGGGGGGGAACAATATTACAAACCACAGGGCAATACCTGGTACTGGGAATAATAGCTTCACTGATGCACAGGAAACTGAGGTTTCCTTCTAAAGGGCAGGGAACTACAAGAAGGAAGCAGCTAGAGGGAATGACTCAAATGCACAGAGCAGGAACACCATCGGAGCGGGGGCTGAGGGCTACCTCAAATTTTTGAGGGAAGGGCCCCCTCAAAATTGTGTGACTCCGCACGACATGCTCACCTCACTCGCACAAGCTGCAGGGTGTGCTGATGTCACTCACACAAGCCGCATGGCATGCACACAACATGTCAGCACACCCTCCAGCGTGCGCACATGGCGTGAGAATGCCCCATGGTGTGGGTGCATGACACCAGCACTTTCTTGGTCAGTGTATGCCAATGGGGAGGGGAGGGGTACATTGAGATGAGCAGCTAATTTTATTGTGCTTTTGAATTTATCCCAAATTTTCCTGCCTGTTTCTCACCTCAACATCTTGCAAATTAAGTGTCTTCCCGCTTATAATACGTACTAAAAACCATCAGTGCCATGCTGATATAGTGGCATCTAAGGTTGATCTTGTCTGGTTCATACACTGAGCCACCAGGTCCCAGAATTTATGCTCCCTTTGCTCAGACACTGCCAGCCCTAATTCTTGCCACTGTCATGTCACAAAATTCACATTTTTATTCTTTAGAATTTTCTTTTATGCCACTCTTATCTAACTCATATTTCCCTTATTAATTTCAGAATGTTCTCCCCCCAAAAAACAACAACAACATGATAGCTCGTAAAAGATCTTGTTTTGTCTCTTTGCATTGCCCATCAACTCACCTTCTTTGGTATTCCTATATACCACTTGTAGCGCTGGGATTGATCAGATAGCATCTGATGACTGTATTAACATACAGAAAATCCGAGAGACCAGACTCCACAGCGCTGATCACAAAAGAGACTGGACTCCACAGCGCTGATTTTCCCAGCTTAATTCAGTGGGGGGGGGGAGAGGTCCAACCCTCACTTCCTCATCCCTTTAATTGCTTCTTAACTGATGGAAGACTTTCCTGGGAGCATCCCTGTAAATGCAAGGGGCTGATATGCTATAGCCAAGTGTCTTGTAAGCAGATAATATCAGATTTTTGCAGGAGCATTGTCAAATCTTTGTCTCATTTCCTGTTGTCCCACCGCGCCAGGTTCCAAGTGACAAGGGAAGCTCCACATAGAGTGCATTATAATAATACAGTGTTTTAATGATTTTAATACTATTTTTGAATATATATATATATGCAATCTTGCCATCTGATTTTGAAGAGCATGTAGGAACTGGGATGCATTTAGACAGCTGAGTTCTGGTTTTGATGATCCACTTTAAATATGGTGGAAAATTGAGACTGGAAAAAACTACTGTTATTTCTTCTTTGTAGAAAATCAAGCGGGCGCCTTCAGACGAGGAGTGCTTCTTTGAGCTGCTGAGCAAATTCCAGAGCAACCGGATGGATGACCAACGCTGTCCCTTGGAGGAAGGCCAGAAGGAGGCCGAAGAAGCTACAGTGGCCACCCTGGTGCCTGCCCTGGAGGAGAGGACCTGTAAGCTTTTGTTGACCTGCTCCCAGGGCCCTTGCTGTGCTGGGATAGCTATGTGTCCCCTTCTGTCTTAAATAAGGGCAGATAAAAGGAAGGATATCTTCATGCAGCACTGCTAATCTGCGGATATTCTTCCTGCGGGTACCATTGAGGGTCACCAACTTGAAGGGCTTTAAAAAAGTATTAGACACATTCATGGAGGAGAGGGCTATCAATGAGGCTATCAGTGTTGGAGGGTTCATGGCAGAGAGAAGAAATTCATGCAGCACAGTGTTAATTTGTGGAACTCCCTCCCACAAGAGGCCATGATGACCAGCAACTTGGATGAACACATTCTGAACTCTCTGCTACATTAATACGTCTATCCTTTTATCTGCCCATAAGATAAGTCCTGCAGCTGGATCAGGCCAAATATCCTGTTCTCACAATGGCCAGCCAGATACCCTAAAGGGAAACCCACATGCAAGAGCACTCTCCCCTCCTGGGGTTTCTAGCAACTAGTATAATCAAGAAGAGTTTACTGCCCCCAACTGTGGAGGCAGACCATAGCCATCTTGGCTAGTAGCCATCAATAGCCTTCTCCTCCTCCTAAAGCAGTCCAAGTAGGTGGCCATCACTGCCTCCTGTAGGAGGCAGTTCCACAGATTAACTCCGTGCTGCAAAATGAATCCTCTCAACATTCATCTTCGTTGGATGCCTGCAAGTTCAAAGTCGACACTTCCTTGCATCAAAATATTAAGCAGGGGTTTGTGTGCTTGGATCAAGAGAGGAAGCTCTGGAAAAAACCAGGCACAGGAGATGCAGGCAGAGCGCCAAAGCTGCGAGGCAGGCAGGAGGCAGTGTTGAAAAGGTCAGGCTGTGTTATGACAAGGAGCGGGGTTGAGCAAGGCTCTCTCGCTCCTAAAAATAGAAGGAGAGCTTCTTGTCGTCCGTGCTGATGCGGGAGCGCCCCTGGGGGCTCTTGCTTTCCTCCACAGGGCCCACACCTCCTCCTGCTTGCTTCAAAGTATTTGGACACATACAAAAGCACTGAGGGACCCATCTAGTCCAGCATCCTCTTCTCACAGTAGCCAACCTTGACATCTGAAAGGGGGGGCATTCCACAGGGGGAGCGCAACTACCGAGAAGGCCCTCTGATTGGTTCCCTGTAACTTCACCTCTCACAATAAGGGAAGGTCCTCAGTGTCTGGGCTGGACAATGGAGGTAGAGATGCTCCTTCAGGTATACAGGGCTGAGGCCATTTTAGGTCAATGGCCAACACTTCTAATTGTGCTCAGAAATGTACTGGGAACCAATGTAGATCTTTTAGAACCATTGTTAAATGGTCCCAGCAGCTGCTCCCAGTCACCAGTCTGGCAGCCCCATTTTGGTTTAGTTGTACTTTCCAAGTCACCTTCAAAAGTAGCTCCACATAGAGGGCATTGCAGTAGTCCAAAGTGTGTGGGGGGGAGAGATAACCAGGGCATTTACCACTCTGGAAGACAGTACACAGGCAAGTAGGGTCTGAGCCTGCGTACCAGATGGAGCTGGTAAACAGCCGCCCTGGGCACAGAATTAACCAGTGCTTCTATGGACAGCTGTGAGACCAAAATGGCCTCCAGGCATCACACCTGGTCCTTCAGGGGCACAGTTACCCCATTCAGAAGTAAGGAATCCTCCCACCTGCCTGCCTCCTGTCCCCCAGAAAAAAAGTACTCAATCCAGTGACCACCATCCACCCCGCCCCCCAACTGACTCTGTTCACACATCTATCTAAGCTAGCGGGCACATCTTATGCCAGGAGTTCTGCAGAGTAACTATGTGTATTGCAAGCTGCTGAGCAAGGGTTGTTGCTGGGACTAATTCTGAGCAGTGTGTTCCACAAGATGCTGGTATTTGCTGATAAAATCCTCGATTACTTCAGAGCAAGCAACCTGGAATAATTTCTAATCACTGCACTACAATTTGCTATCATTATCATTATCATCATCACAGAATTATAGAGTGGGAAGAGACTGCCAGCAGTCATCCAGCCCAGCCCGCTGCAATGCAAGAATCACAACTAAAGAATCCCTGATAGGTGCCCTTCCAACCTCTGCTTAAAAACCTCCAATGAATCCTGAATTCATAGGGACTAGAGTCATCTAGTCCAACCCAGGGTCTCCCCAGGGTTCTCCTTTTTAATGTACTCAGTTATACTGTAAGCAATTTTTTAAAAAAAATCTTTATAAATGACTTAGATATAGGAATTGAGGGGGATGCACACTGTATTTGCAGATGATGCTAAACTGAGAGGGGAGGCTAATACAGTGATACCTTCAGTTACTAACTTAATTCGTTCCGGAGGTCCGTTCTTAAGCCAAAACCGTTCTTAACATAAAGCACACTTTCGCTAATGGGGCCTCCCGCTACTCCCGCCGCTAGCGCACAACTTCCGCTCGCATCCTGGGGCAAAGTTTGCAACTAGGGGCATCTACTTCTGGGTTAGCGGAGCTCATTACCCGAAGCATTCGTTAAGGAGAACAGTACATAACCTGAGGTTCCACTGTACCACAGAAGATAGAATGAATTTCAGTGAGATCAAATGTCAGATTCTGCACTTAGGCAGGAATAACCAGATGCACAGGTATAGGTTGGGGGACACCTGGCTTGACAGCAGTGGATGTGAAAAGGGATCCAGGGATCTTAGTAAACCACAAACTTGACATGAGTCAACAGTGTGATGCAGCAGCAAAAAAAAGCTAATGAAGTTCTAGGCTGCATCTGCAGAAGGAAGGAATGAAAACTGAGCTTTCCAACTAAACTATTATGGTTATGATTATTATTTTCTTCATTGGAGATCTTAAAGCAGAGGCTGGGTGGCTACCTGCCAGGGACACTTCAGCTGAGTTTCCTGATTTGCAAGCGGTTGGACTAGGTGGAGACCCTGGGGATCATCTATTCTGTTTCTGCAATAACATTTCTTTCTTCCTGCACTGGCAGCCCAGTCCTCAATGGCCTCCCCACAGACTGAGGAGCTCTTCGACCTCATCGCCAGCTCCCAGAGCCGGCGGCTGGACGACCAGCGGGCCAGCGTGGGCAGCCTGCCAGGCCTGCGCATTACCCCCAACAACCTCAGCCACCTCCGCAGGGAAGGCGGCACACAGCAGGAGCCAGGCGACGAGTTCTTCAACATGCTCATGAAGTGCCAGGTATGTTTTGAGCATGGCTAATCACTTGACACCATTAAACCCACTTCAGAAACTGTCAGTTCCCGGCTTTTGAAAATCTTGGGGCTTATTTTTTTGCTCTGTTCTTTTTTGGGGAGGGTTGAAGTTGTGGAAGGGTACTCATCCAGCTCTGAAGGGGTCCTGTTCAGAGCACTGGTCCATAGAACCACTGAATTGCAAACTCAAGTGAATTGCAGAGTTGGAAGGTACCCCAAGAGTCATCTAGTCCAACCCCAGACAATGCAGGAATCATCGCTAAAGCATCCATTGATTTAAAAATATCTATACCATGATACATTTTTAAATGTCTGAGTGCATAAACGCAAACTCATGTGAAACTTTAAAATCAGAAAGAATCTGACCATTATGGGGAAAAGATGTATTCTCAATTGCTTGCATAGGCCAAACAAAAGGGGACAGTATTCCAGAGGGCAGGGCGGATGACATAGGAACATAAGAAGAGCCTACTGGATCAGGCCAATGGGCCATCTAGGCCAGCATCCTGTTCTCACTTTCACCAAATGCTGCTTAGGATCTAGGAGTCCCGATAGACTGCCTCTGGACCTGGAGGCTTCTAAGAATGTCACAAAAGCATTTCTAGATCAGGCCAATGGCCCACCTAGGCCAGCATCCTGTTCTCACTTTCACCAAATGCTGCTTAGGATCTAGGAGTCCCGATAGACTGCCTCTGGACCTGGAGGCTTCTAAGAATGTCACAAAAGCATTTCTAGATCAGGCCAATGGCCCACCTAGGCCAGCATCCTGTTCTCACAGTGGCTAACAGATGCCTCTGTTGGGAAACGGGCAAGGAGGATCAAAGCACAAAAGCGCTTTACCCTCCTATGAGTCTCAGCAACTGGGATTCGAAAGCATTACTGCCTCCAACTGTGGTGGGCAGAGCATAGCCATCATGACTGGCAGCCGTCATTAGCCCTCTCCTCTGTGACATTAAATGCTCAGTTTCTTCTTGTTATAAAAAGAGCCGATCAACAACACTCCTGCAGGTGATCTCAGTGATGGAGCTAGGATGTTACAGTTTCAGGCAGTCCCTTAGACCTAAGATGTTCAGGGCTTGACCCCAGCTCAGGAGATGGCCACCAACTTGGATGGCTTTAAAAGAAAACTGCTGAGGACTATTCGCCACAATGACTCTGCTCTGCCTCCACGGCCACAGGCAGCAATGCTGCCGGAAACCACAGGAAGGGAGAATTGGTGTTGCACTGGAATCCTGCTTACTGGTTTCACATTTAGGCACTTGGGCGGCCACTGTAAGAACAGGATGCTGGACTAGGCAGCCAGAGAAGATTATAGCATAGAATCATAGCATGGGGCGGGGGGGGGGGGGGCGGGAACCATTTGTCATCTAGCTCAACCTGCTGCAATGCAATTTCTGGGCAGTATTCCACCAGCTACTGGTCCTTGCTGATAAGGTTCTACATGACTTGGGAGCAAGTGACCCGAAGGACCGTCAGTGAGCGTTGGTCCCAAATTAACTACGCCAGTGTGACGTGGTGGTTAGAGTCTGGGAGATCAGGGTTCAAATCTGCCATTGGCCATGAAGTCCATGTTGGGGTAGTCCCTCACTCTCGGTCAACCTACCTTACTGGGTTTTTGTGGGGTGGGGGGAGAACCACGTATGTCCCCTTTAGATCATTGGAGGAAAGAAAATGCAATAAATAAACAATAATCCCAAGGATCATTTAGCCCAGCCTAGGACTTGCCGATCAGAAGGTCGGCGGTTCGAATCCCCGCGACGGGGTGAGCTCCCGTTGCTTGGTCCCTGCTCCTGCCAACCTAGCAGTTCGAAAGCACATCAAAGTGCAAGTAGATAAATAGGTACCATTCTGGCGGCAAGGTAAACGGCGTTTCCGTGCGCTGCTCTGGTTCGCCAGAAGCGGCTTAGTCCTGCTGGCCACATGACCCGGAAGCTGTACGCCGGCTCCCTCGGCCAATAAAGTGAGATGAGTGCCGCAACCCCAGAGTCAGTCACGACTGGACCTAATGGTCAGGGGTCCCTTTACCTTTACCTGCAGTGCAGGAATCACAACTAAAGAACCCCCAACCTTTGCTTTAAAACCTCCAAGAAAAGAGAGTCCACCACCTTTGGAGGTAATAATAATAATAATAATAATAATAATAATAATAATAATATAAATAAATAAATAAATATCCCGCCCTCCCCAGCCAAAGCCAGGCTCAGAGCGGCTAACAACAGTAAAATAATAAAACATTCTAAAATCATTTCATTATAAAATCAGTTCAAATCAAATTAATGGCAACCATTGGGCTAGAGTTCTGTGAGGATTGCCAAAGGCTGTGCCTTGGCCAAAGGCCTGGTGGAGCAGCTGTCTTGCAGGCCCCTCGGAAAGATGTCAAGTCCCGCAGGGCCCTAGACTCTTGTGAGAGAGTGTTCCACCAGATTGGGGCCACGGCTGAAAAGGCCCTGGCTCTGGTTGAGACCAGCCTAAACTCCCTGTGGCCTGGGACCTCCAAGATGTTTTTGTTTGAAGACCGTAAGGTCCTCCGTGGGACATACCAGGAGAGGCGGTCCCATATTGTAGGATCTGAAGGGACCCCCCCCCCCGCAAGGATCATCTAATCCAAGCCAGTCCTAAACCGCCTGACTCTCTGCTCCTCTCTGTGATGTCTCCCTCCTTCACTTCTTCTTCTCGTTCCTCCTCCCCATCCCTAGTCCTCTCGCATCGATGACCAGCGCTGCGCAGCCCCCGATGCCACCCCACGCGGTCCCACTGTGCCAGATGAAGATTTCTTCAGCCTCATTCAGAGGGCCCAGGCCAAGCGCATCGACGAGCAGAGGGTGGACCTGGTCTTGGGTGAAGAGGAAGCCGAAGAAGATGAAGCACAGCCCAGCCCCAGCTAAGACCGGTCCCCCGTGCAGGGTCTGGACTGAGCCCTAGTGCTGTGAGGACGCAGGCGCTGGGGGGGGCGAGACATTGGGGAAATCTCAACTGTAGCAGTCCCGCCTCAAGGGAGCGGCTCTGAGCAAGGCCCATTTCTTGGAGGGGGGGCTGTTATCCTAGAGGTGCTGGGGGTGGACAGTTGAGTGTGCCTCTACCACCAGGGGTAGTCTACCTCTAAGCTCCCAGAGACATTCATAAAAATGTACAGTTGGAAGAGTGCCCCTAAGGTTCAACTAACCCAGCCCCCTCCAATGCAGGATTCACAGCTAAAGTGTCCCTGACAGATGGCCTTCCATTGGTTTCAGGGAAGAGGACAGGAGCAGTGGGGGAGGGGTTGCTTTTCACTCCTTCCCACATCTCCAAGCCCAGTCGAAACTGGAAATCAAGCCACCTGCAGGAATGTCTCTGCCAAGATTCAATATATTCACTAATTTATTCTATATACGATGTGTGTTAGACAATATAATTTTATTGAGGGGAGGGGTCCTTTATCTGCATGGTACTTTCCCCCATCCCCATAAAAATCAAAGAGCTGCCAAATGAATTCTGTGGGGGAAGAGGGTGCTTATTAAACATTTTTGGATCACAAGGTCTTTTGGTGTTTTATTTCAGCTTCCGACTCTGAAACCAAGACAGAGCTGGGAGGGGGTGGGGAGAAGAGTCTAATTCGCACCACATGGCATTTTGGGGTGGGGGCAACAGAGAAGGGTCACTCCCAGCTTCCCTGCCATTATTTGGCAAAGGGCCAAACCACATTCCAGGTGGCTCAAGCCATCCCTTCTGATGGATCCTGAAACCAGAATCCTCTCTTGGGATTTGGCCACGAGCCCCCACTTGAAATACTGTTTTGCCATTTTTTAAATAGCTGCTTCTCCTTACAAAATCACACCTCACCAGGGTGCAACTTGGAGCCTGGCCCTCTTCTGTGGATTTGGAGGCATAAATTGTAGGGTGCGGAGGGACCCCCAGTGGTCATCCAGCTGAGCCCCCTGCAAGGCAGGAATCACAACTAAAGCATGCCTGACAGGTGGCCATCCAACCAATCATGACATCAAATGCCCAGCATATGGGTGGCCCTGCCCAGCTATCTGCATGATGGAGATAAAAGAACAGGCCCACCATGCCAAGCACACCTGGTGCACAGCTTTGCATATAATTAGGGTTTTAAAAAAAAAACACCCTGACGTTCAGAACATCAGAAGTGTCTGCTGGATCAAGTCAATGACCCACCTAGTCCAGCCACACTTGCCTGCCAGAAACCAACAAGCAATCCAAACACAAGAGCTCTCTGCCCTCTTGTGGCTTCCAGAAACTTATATTCAGAAACATTGCTGCCTGCAACTGTGGGGGTCAGAGCTTGGCCATCATGGCTAGATGCCATCAACATCTCTCTCTTACTGCATGAATTTCGCTTATCCTTCAAAGCCATCCATGTTGGTGCCAACAGCTGCCTTCTGTGTGAGTACCATAGTCTAAGAAGGACTTTATCTGACCTGAATCTTCTAACGTACAATTTCATTGGATTTCCACAAGTTCTAGTGCTATGAAAGAGGAAGAAAAACTTTTCTCTCTCCACTTTGTCCAGGCCGTGCATAATTTTATAAACTTATCTCGTGTCACCTTTTCCTCACCTTTTGTCCAAGCTAAAAAGCCCCACACACTGCAACCATTTTTCACTCCACCACCTCCCTTAATCATTTGGGTTGCCCTTTTCTAAACTTTTTCCAACTTTAATATCCTTTGTGGAGCTTATAGTGTGCTGACATTGCACTCAACACTGCAAGAGTCAAAGTACGAAGGGGTCATAAATCAAACACAATCAGATTCTTCCTCCATCCTTTCGCCTGCGCCGTTTTAAAAATCTTTTCTGATGTTCTGCTGCCATCTGGTGGAAAATCTCACACCCCACACAAAATACCTGGGCATCTTTTCTTGAGGCTGCCAGGCCTCATCTGGAGCAACCACCTGCTACCCTCCAGGGACTTTGGACCATGGTCCCTCCCATAAAGCAGATTGCTGTATTAGGAGCTGATGGGAGATGTGGTCCAAAATGGCTTGAGGGCACTTAAGGAAAAATGTTCACCGTCAAGCCATTTCAAAAAGCATCAATGTGCTTGAGGATTTATGGCGCTTCTCCTGGAACAGAGCCAGGCCAAGCCACCCACACCCCTTCTTCTCATTGAGTCCTCTCAGTTTGGGAAAGGTTGCCTCTCGTACCTTCCATCTACAAGGTTGAGAGTAATGGCTGTATTGGCTCAGCACACCAACACCCTGCAAATTTCAATCAGAGAAGCACAGATCTATAAGGACTAGAATCTAACTTTATTTTTAGGCAAGGTACTGTAGTTCAATGGCATAGCATTCACTTTGCATGCAGAAGGCCCCGGGTTCCCTTTTGTTCAGAACCATGAGAACTAGAATATTCCCCAAACCACATTGTGCAGCCTCAGTCCTACTCGGTGGCCTTGACACACATCTGTGCGAGTCAGGAGCAGTTGTGGCTACTCAACTGCTTCAATCAGAAGAACTGGCACAACTACAGGTGCCACAAAATTCCATTTCTGCATTTGTAAGACACTTCATGTAGAAACACCTACACTTCGGAACTCCCTCTCCTTTGATATCAAGCAAGCACCTTCACTGTATTCTCTTTGTTGCGTGCCAAAAACATTCTTGTTTAGACAAGTCTCTCCAGATGCTTAGAATGTTGGTGTGAATCTTCAGGACCCTTCCACAGCCGGCATGATCCCCCGCGCAGTGCAAATTTTGTGTGTGTGTTTTAAAATGCTTTTGCTTTTGAACTTTTGAACTTAAAGAAACATAACACAAAATCAAAGTTATCCCTAACAAAAAATAAATAAACAGAAAAAATATCAATATCTGTTACACTTTATCACAGTCTTCTTTTGGTTCCAATGACTTCCTGCCATTTCCATATGGCTTTAAATATGTATTTATCTAACGCACTATTCATCTCTGTTTTTAATAATTACTTGTCAAAGATATTGTACTTTCTTAAACTTGTTCAGTGGATTACAGAAGCTATTCAAAGGCTGCCAAAGACTTCATACTATTACAATCCTTAATGTAATTTTTAAATAAACCCCATTTATTAAAAAATACTTGGTCTGCATGGACTCTTATTTCTCCTGATAGCTTAGCCAACTCTGCATTCCATTAATTTTTGTTGCCACTCCGACTTTGAAGGTATTTTCCCTCCTTTCCAGTTTGAGGCTATTAGAATTAGACTTTGAAGGTATTTTTCCTCCTTTCGAGTTTGAGACTATTAGAATTATTGTGGCCACTGTCGCATATAAAAATAATTCCCTTACATTTTTTTGTATATCAGGACCTAATATTCCGAGAAGGAAAGCCTCTGGGTTTTTTTTTATAAACATAACCTTAAGCATTTTTTAAAGTTCCATATATATTTCATCCCAGAATTCCTTGATTTATTTATTTTTTTGCATGTCCACCACATATGCAGCATAGATCTCACTGCTTCTCCACATCTACAACATTTATTTGATACATTCAGTGCAGCAGATCTTCAAGAAAGCCCAGGAGATGGAGGCCAAAGGCTGGAAGTACCAGTTTACTGCCAACTTCCTGGAGAACTACAATGAGTCTCTGCAGGACCTGCTGGTGTTGCGCCCTAAGAGGGGCTGTGAGCTGAAGATCCGGAAAGCCAGTGCACGGAGGAACAGCACGTCCCCAACCTCTGCTATGTCCCCATTGCTTCGGAGCAAGAGGTGCTGAAGGTGCTCCAGAGGGCCCAAGCTCAAGGCCATCTACAGCATCCTCTCCGAGCCAGCTTAGCCCAGCGGTTCCATTGACCAACGCATTGCTTGGATCCCGAAAGCAGAATATTGGGAGTGCAATTAACAAGAGGGAAAGAAAAAATAAGTGGTAGGAATTTACACACCAAATGGAAATAAGACACAATATTTTAAATCAATTGAGGAAAAACTGTTGGAACATCAATGAAGAGATTATTTTAATGGGTGATTTCAATGGTGTCACCTCAGTGGAATTAGATAGAACAGAAACCTTTTTTCAAATGGTAGAGAACCTAAACCTAAAAGATGCATGGAGACATAAATACCCGAATGAAAAGCAATATACGCATTAAAAAGGTAAAGGTAAAGGGACCCCTGACCGTTAGGTCCAGTCGCGGACGTCTCTTGGGTTGCGTCATTGGCACAGCGTCCGATCAGAAGTGAGGGTGGCAGAGGCGTCTGGTCTCTCTGCTTCTCTTTGCTCTTAAGAAGCAGCCACAGATAGTGACCATCTCAAGGAGACACAGGCCATCAACAGCAGCCTCTCTGAGCCAGCTTAGCCCAGCGGTTCCATTGACCAATGCATTGCTTGGATCCCCCAATCGCTTCCAGCGAAAATTTAATAAATTGTTATAAAAAGAAAAGAAATTGGTGTATGTAAAAGTTTTATTGTAAATTTTCCTTGATTTCATTTTTTAAATTTTTGTAAACTACTTTTAGGGTTATTTACAATCAAGAAGAAGTGAGGGGCCAGGAAGCTGGAAGAGATGAATTAAAGTATCTGAAACAACTGCAACAAAGTCTTTTTGTATTTTCCCCCCACTCGAAGGAGAGTGGAGCAATCCAGTCACATCAACGTCCTCCTGCATCTCCGTCGGGAGGCTGATCTGACGTTCCTGTCTGCTGAGGGTCCTCCAACAGGATTTCCCAGGCATCTTCACCAGCCACACGCCTAACTTTCTCCCCCCTAGCTGCGAGGATTTCCTCCACGTTCCTGCATTGCAAAACAAGCAAAGGTTTTATTAAAGAGGCAGCAGCCCCACCCAGGGCAGAAACTGGCAGTCCGAGTTTGAAGTGGGGCAAAAGTCTGCTGAACTGGGGGTATCACCCTCTCACGCCTCCATTCTCTATATGTAAAATGGGAGCAGCGGCAACTGAAAATGTTACCTGTAACAGACTAACATTTATCACAGCAAAATATGCCTTTTTAGCAAAATGGTCGCCAATTTTGAGCCCAGCCCACTTGCATTACATGTGTGCGTGAGGGAGAATCTGTGTTTATACAGTCATAGAAGCACAGAAAAATAAGGCTAGGGCAGATAACAACAACAACAACAACAACAACAACAACAACAACAACACTGGGCAACAATTTTTTACTTTTTGAATGTTGTCTGGATTTCTACAACTGATTTAGGGTATTTTTGCACTGCTGAATCAGGAAATGGCATCCATTTCTCTCCATCAGGTCAGGTTTTTGTGCTATGTTGGTTTTAAAAAAATCAGATCTTGTGACAAAATCGATTACATTTTTGTGGCATTATCAGCTGATTTTTGTCAACACATATCATCCTAAATATGTTTTTAAGAGAAAAAATGTTTTTCCAACAACATATATTGATTACCTGATAGAAACATTGATTACTGTAAACTGAATGGTGGGCATTGATAAAGGTAAGTACAGGTAAATTGCATGTTGCTTCACCGTTTTTCAAACTTCGAGGCTTGAACTTTCGTTTCTTGGAACTCCTGGAATGCTCAGCGGCAGGGAGGTCTCTCTTCAGAGTCCAACAGTAGTCAGCCATCATGACTGCGTCCCAGCGACCCTGATACCTGGTCTCCATCTCTTTCATGTCCTGATGGAATCTCTCCCCCTGCTCGTCACTCATTGAACCCAGTTTCTCAGGAAACTGGTCCATATGTGAAAATAGGTAGTGCATCTTGACGCTCGTGTTGCAGCCCAGGTTTCTGAAAGCAGTCAGCATGTTGTTGATAAGTTCTGCGTAGTTTCTGGCCTTATCGTTGCCAAGAAAGTTCTTCACTACCAGAACAAATGCCTTCCATGCTTCCAGTTCCACTTTGTTCACTGAGTTTCCGAACTCTGGATCTCTGATGAGCTGACAGATCTGAGGACCGTCAAAGATGTCAGCTTTCAACTTCTCCATGGTCAGTCCTGGAAAAGCCTGGCACAAGTAAGTGAAGCAGTCACCATCCTTGTCCAGAGCCTTGGTGAACTGCTTGATTAAGCCGAGGTTGATGTGCAGCGGTGGGAAGAGTTTTCTGTCTCTGTCCACCAAAGGGGCGTTGATGACGTTCCTTTTTCTGCAAGGCACCAATTCCTCCCGCACAAGCCAGTCCTTCTTCGTGTAATGCTGAGCACCAATTTATGGAATATTTTGAGGTTTTATGACTTCAAACTGATCCCTTTTCGACATAATCACACAGAACTATCGGACCTGAATACTTCTTGTCATTAAAATAATCATTTCCAATCAAAACAATTAATCAACATGGCATTTTACCCCCACCAACTTCTTCTAAAATGCTCCACACAAGCGTACATGTGAACAAAAACGTAAAAAAACGGTATGTGGCCATAGCTCAAAAACTTGACTTGATTGAGCAAAACCAATGTGATTTTTGGATTCAGCGCATCAGATTCGTCCTAAATCAGCTGAAAAAAATCCAGACAACAAATTTGTTGTTGACCAGTGTAATTTATTTATACCCCGGCCATCTGGCTGGGTTTCCCCAGCCACTCTGAGATAAAACAAAGTTCTTCTTCACTGACAAACTGGAACGTGTCCAGAGGAGGGCAACCAAAATGGTCAAAGGCCTGGAAACGATGCCTTATGAGGAACGGCTAAGGGAGCTAGGCATGTTTAGCCTGGAGAAGAGGAGGTTAAGGGGTGATATGATAGCCATGTTCAAATATATAAAAGGATGTCACATAGAGGAGGGAGAAAGGTTGTTTTCTGCTGCTCCAGAGAAGCGGACACGGAGCAATGGATCCAAACTACAAGAAAGAAGATTCCACCTAAACATTAGGGAGAACTTCCTGACAGTAAGAGCTGTTCGACAGTGGAATTTGCTGCCAGGGAGTGTGGTGGAGTCTCCTTCTTTGGAGGTCTTTAAGCAGAGGCTTGACAACCATATGTCAGGAGTGCTCTGATGGTGTTTCCTGCTTGGCAGGGGGTTGGACTCGATGGCCCTTGTGGTCTCTTCCAACTCTATGATTCTATGATTCTTCAGGCATCACATCCACAGTTGTGGAACTCACTCCCACAGGAGGCAAGTGATAGCCAGCAACTTGGGTGCTTTAAAAAAGGATGAGCCAAATTCATAGGAGGAGAGAGCTATCAATGGCTAATGGCTCTGCATGATGGAGGCAGCAACGCTTCTTGGATACCAGATGCTGGAAGCCACAGGAGCAGGGTGAGTTACTGAGCTCAAATTCTGTGTACAAGTTTCCCATTATGGACATCTGGTTGGCCATTGTGAAGACAGGAGGCAGAACTATATGGGTCCCCTTTGACCTGATCCAGAAGGTTCTTCTTATGCTCTTGGCGGGGGGGGGGGGGGCGGGGGACAGTGTGAAACAACAACCCATGCACATGTATTCAATAATGCTTGGTGGGTTGTTGGATACAACCATGAATGATTCTAAAACTTAAGAGAGTAGATCCATTAATTTCAGTGGGCTTATCCTGAGCATGACTGATGTTAAATACACAACCCTCAATTTTTAAATCGTTTCCATCTTGCACACTGAGGATGAGAACTCTTTTCTCAACATAGTCCATGAAGGCCAAGGAAGCTATATCTACAAGAATGTAGGAAAAGGCCTGCAGTTGTCCTCACAGTGGCCAGCCAGATGTCCTAATGGAAAAAACCCCAAAAAGGTTCCCCACTTGTCATTCTTAGGAACAGGCATACAGAAGCACACCACCTCTGGTAAAACATAGCCATATATAGATAACAGAACTATGCAGTTAGAAGGGACCCAAAGTGTCATCTAGTCTAGCCCCCTGATATGCAACCCTCTTCCTGTCCATCTCCTTTTCTGTGCCGTGTTCTTTTAGATTGTAAGGCTATGTGGGTTGATTGTAAGCCTTTTTTGGCTGAAACGTGGGGTGCAAATGCTCCAAATAAATAAAATCAATATGCACACTTTGGCAAACCTGCCTACTATGGGATTTAGTCCCATCCACCACCAATATACAGACCCTCACCCAGGAAGAAAGAGATCCACTGAAAAGTCATAGAATGGTAGAGTGGGAAGGGACCCCAAGGGTCATCTAGTCCAAACCCCTGCCGTGGTGCTCACTCACCTTTTCCCAGCCAGGTCCGAGAACCAGCCCAGGTTATCTGCAATGATGTGATGGTTTTGGCAGCCAGGACATTTCACAATCACCACACCGTGGTGATATGCTGCCTTGGAAATGGTTTTGGCTGACCGTGTCCCACACACCTGAAAGGGAACCCCAAAAACAACTTGACCATTGTGGGCAGAAAGCATCCCCCCTCTTCCCTCTGCATTACTGCCCTGTCAAATTCACAAACTCCTGCTGAAAGTCTGAAGCTACAGTTGCCAGTCTGTAGACAACACTGAGCTAGATGAACCCCAGTATTCCCTATGGAAGCAGCACACTGCTCCTATTGTCATGAGTTTTAACCTGTAGCTTACTGTTATTTTAACTTTCTCAAAGTTTTAAAGTATCGTTATTTTTATTTATTTTTTTATTGTTTTATCTTTTTCGTAAATCACTTTTATTTTTACAATCAAGCTGTGTATACATTTTATCAAATAAATAAAATTAACATTCCTGCCTTGTTACCCCAGGCTCTCTCTCTTAACTATATGACCCTCTGGGCAGAGAAATCTTTCCCTGCTTTCCTTTCTACTCTTCTCCACCAGAGGACGCCCTCCTAAGTGCGACTTGGACTACTACTCCCATCAGCCTCATCACACAGGACTTGCTTGCTGGGACTGATGGACGTTGTAGTCCAAAGCGAATCTAGGCTGCTTCCTTCGTTTTGGGGAAGGGGCTTCTCTTTCGCCCGCTGCTCCAAGAGCCCCTGCGCCCCTCAGCCCTCTTAATCGGGTTTTAATTTAGATTCTCATCACTATGAAGCGCGGTAAAGAAAGGCCCGGCCAATTTTCCAGGAGCAAAGATGGCCGCTACGCCGTCGCCTCCCACACTGCGTTTCCATCCCTCGCAGCAGGTCCCAATCCGGCCTTTTCTCTTGCCTCACCAATCATTTCAAACATATAAGCACACAAACTCACGGACCTTACACGTGTACACGAGCCTGTACCCCGACGCGGCCTTCAAGGCCTGAGTTGCCTCCTCTTCCTGGCGCGCTCCACCGCTCAGGCTGCGCTGCTGGAGTGCCGTGGCGAAAAAAGAGGGCGGCGGTGGAGGGAAAGGGGCCGTTCGCCAAAGACCCCGACCGAGCTCCCGCGTTGTTCCGCGCCTGAGGCGCCCCGTGAGAGCGCCAAGGCGCCGCAAAAGCCCTGAACAAGCCGCCGTGGTCGCCATCTAAGCCCCGGGCAGCAAAAAAAAAAAAATGATCACTAGGCAGCCGCGATCGCCATTTAAACTCCGGGCAGGAAAAGGCGGGAGGGAGTTTCCGGGCTTTTTACCTCAGAGCTCCTTTGAGAGGATTTTTAAAACCATGCTTAAACCACTGGCCCACCCGTATTGGCCACACGGGCTGAAAGCTGCAATAGCTGTCTTGGATTTCGGACTCCGGGGCCTTCCCCAGCCCTAGGTAGAGATGCTATTGCGGAATAAAGCAAGATTCTAGTCTTCATCGTTCTGAACAAAGGGCTCAGTTATAATAGGAATCCACCTTTGAGCAAGTCAGACCGTTGATCTACCTAGCTCAGTATTGTCTACTCTGACTGGCAGCATCTCTTCAGGGTTTAAGATAAGGCTATTTTCCAGTTTTACTTGGAGATGCTGCCATACCCATCCACCCAAAATATAGCAAGAGCCTAGTCCTCACAGTTCTGTTCTGTTAAGGGCTGCAAAAAAGTAGGTACATAGGGACGGCCTTAGAGTGAGTCATACCCTTGGCTCAGCATTGCCTGTACTGACTGGCAAGGGCTGAACCTGGGACCTTCACTACTGCTAAGCTGTGGCACTTCATGAAAGAACAAACCAAGGATCTAGTCCTCATAGTGAATAAAGGGCTGAATTAAACATCAGCATAAGAAAATGCCTTCTACCTAGTCAGAATACTGGCCCCTCTAGCTTAATATTGCCCACACTGGTGATGATGATTTATTAAATGTATATGCTGCCCTATACCTGCAGGTATAGGCAGGAGCTGTCCAGGGTTTCAGGCAGAGGATTTATTCCCAGCTCCACCTGGTGATGCTGCTGGGGATTGAACCTGAGGGCCTTCTATGTGCAAAGCAGGTGCTCTCCCACTGAGCTACAGCTACAACCTCTTTTCCATTAAAAAAAAATGGTGCATTTGATTAGTGGGTGGCAGGGTACCACCCTCTGCCTTGCTACAAAGCAGAAAATACAGAATTGCAGAGTTGGAAGGTACCCCAGAGGTTCATCTAGAGTCCAACCCCGTGCAACACTCCAGTTCAGGCTCCTTTGAGTGCAAAGCTGCTTTTCTCCATGGTTCCCGCAACAAGAGCTCTCTCCCTCCTCTGAATTGGGGTCTCTTGTAAATCTGGGGCTCATATATATGAGTGCTGGTGTGCAGAGTAACGCCAAATCCTATACTTCTTGGTGGCCAAAGGAGCAAGTTGCTCACCATAGGAGCCAACTCCTAGGGGCTGAGGACCGGGTCTGTGGCCTGCCCAAAAAAATATTTGAAGGGGCTACCCCCCCCCAAGTTGATGGGCATTGCCATTCAAATGGTGTCCATGCAGCACGTCATGTGTGCCCCCCCCAAAAAATTATTTTATTCAAGTTGGCACCCCTGTTGCTCACCATGCTGTCTGATTTTGAAATGAGCATAGGGATTTTGAAATGAGCATAGGGATTTTGAAATGAGCATAGGGATTTTGAAATGAGCATAGGGATTTTGAAATGAGCATAGGGATTTCTACCTTTCTTGGTTTTGGCAGAGTTGCCCCATCAATAGGTGTGGTTATGCTCAGAATACAGTGGTGCCTCGCAAGACGAAATTAATCCGTTCCGCGAGTGTCTTCGTCTAGCGGTTTTTTCGTCTTGCGAAGCAACCCTATTAGCGGCTTAGCGGATTAGCGCTATTAGCGGTTTAGCAGCTATTAAAGGCTTAGCGGATTAGCGGATTAGCTGCTAAAAGGCTATTAAAGGCTTAGCGGCTTAGAAAAGGGGGGGGGGAAATCTCAAGACTCGCAAGACATTTTCGTCTTGCGAAGCAAGCCCATAGGGAAATTCGTCCTGCGAAGCGCATTGAAAATGGAAAACCCTTTCATCTAGCGGGTTTTCCGTCTTGCGAGGCATTCGTCTTGCAGGGCACCACTGTATAGGATATCTGTGGGCACAAACAAACCCTTGACCTTTCATCCCATGAAGCTGAACCTTGGAAGATTCAGAGCAGATTTTTAAAATAACCAGCCTTGTATAACCAAATGCTTAAGTCTACTTTGTGCATGAAGGAATTAATGCCATAGAATAAGCTGTCCTGCCAGGCTTAGCAAGGTCACTTGGTTGTAGCTCTGAAAATGGAGCTTATTCTTTTGGATTGCTATTGAGGACACTGAAGTGGCCAGCTAAGGTCATTAAGTTACAAAGAAACTTATCTGACAGTTCAGCAGCCTCCTGTATTAAATTCCAACTCTCACCATGCACAGAACCCAAAGAATTGGAAGGGGCCTCAGGGCTTCATCTAGACTGCCCCCTCAAACCCACAGTTTCATACTCGAAGCCACAATCCATATTTATACAGACAATAAGTAGAGTTTAACTGACAGTTTCCAAAGTCAAACAGAAAGGAAATGTTAAGTTCATTTTATTGTACTTATTTGACAAGACTGATCTGTATATCACTTAAAAAACCAAATTCTTCTGAATGGTTTGTGTATGGGAAGTTCCTTTACCTATAGGCAAGCTCCACGTACTATATTGATGTTATTAATTTGAACCTTTTCCAATGTAATCCTTCTGCATTGTCCTTCCCAAGGTGACTTTCAAAGAGTGACAATTATCCAAAGCAGTGAACTCAGCACAATTGAATGACAGCCATGAACCAACAGTACAGCAGGGCTAAAGCAGAAGAATGTGGCAAGCTTAGGTAGGGATCAGATTTAACCATATTTTACTATGATTGCTCCTGCCTTGGGCTATCTCTCCTGAAGGTTGTGATGCCTGGGTGAGCCTTCTGGTGCACAGTCCCTTTTGTGGTGTGCTGTCACCAAGTGTAGGCCCAACAATGCTGTCAGGCCATCATCATTTTCAGGTGAGTTTCAGGGTTTTTTACAAACTGTATTGAAAAATGTTAAAGCAATTACCAAGTCTTCCAGGACAAATGCATGTCCAGATGTTTGTTTTTTTAAAAATAATCATTTTAAAAATTAATCTTTATTAAATTTTAAAGCATGCACAGATGTTGTCTTGAATGCAGTAATTCACATGGCATTCAAGCAGACTTGTAAAATCTCTTACATTACAGGTTAAGTTCTCATCTAGAACATTTAGATAATTTCTCCATACTGGCTGCTGTGGGAAGGGATAATTTCTCCGTACTGGCAGAAGGGAAATCGCTGTACTGTTGTTAATAAAAGATTTAAATCGAGACCATACAAACCCATCTTCCTTTTTAATTCCTCTTATGACCCTCTGATGGTGAGTTGTGTTCCATAAGTGCTATATTCCACACATCTTGGGTCCAACTTTCTGTGGTGGCGTTTCAGTTATGTACCAGCAAATTCAGATGATGCAAATGAAAGCTGATTTGGAGCTCTTGCAGATCACACCCACTTCCCCCAAAAGACTGGACTTTTTGCTACAAGGAAAATGTAGTGTGTGGAAAGTGTGATATGATCATTCTTGGCTTTGACACAACATCTAACCTCCCCACAAACAAATCAAAGTGAAAGCTCACTAAAGAGCCAGTGTCTAATCTTCCTACAAGTGAATCAGGTTAACAGCTCATAAAAAGTCACCTATAAATGCCCTGTGTCCCTTGGGAACTAGAAACCTTGTTGTTGACTGGGTTGTGTCCAAGACAGGCCCTCCAGGATCCACAATTTCTTTTTCTGCAGAGCACATACCCTCAGGAGCCTTCAGTGTCTGTGTTGTCACTGCCTGACGTGTTCTCCCAGTCCACGGTGTAGTACTTGCCCTTCTGGGCTCTCCTCAGGGCCCTCTTTCTGCAAAGTTAAGGTCCAAACTGGTTTAAAGTGTGGGGGATGGGGACTTGTTGCGCCTCAGATGTTGCTGAACTACAGTTCCCATCATCTCTGTGATGGCTGATGGGAGTTGGAACCCAACAAACCCTGAAGGGGGTGTGGTGTTCTAACCCACCTTTGGAGGCAGGAGTGCCCACAGTCCTTCAGTCTAAGGAAGGTGCTGGACTCACCTTAATTGGAGGTTTTAAAGCAGAGGTTGGATAGCCATCTGCTAGGGATGCTTTAGTTGCAATTCCTGCATTGCATTGGGTTAGATTAAATGGTCCTGAGGTCCCTTCCAGCTCTATAGTTCTATTATTCCAGAACACCAGGGGAGCTGGGCTGAAGCTGGATCAAGTCACTTGCCCTTCTAGTCCAGCATCCTTTCCTCACAGTGGCCAACTGGTGCTTCAATGAGCAGCCTGGAAATAGGATCTAAGTGCAGCAACGTCTGGGATTCCCATGAATTTGGGGGTATTTAGAAGCATTACTGTCTCCATCAGTTGAGGTCAATAACCGTTGGTAGCCTTATTCTCCATGAATTCATAGAAGCATAGAGTTGGAAGGGACCCCAAGGATCATCTAGCCTAAGCCCCTGTAATTATAAATAGAAGTCCATAATTAATCACAGCAGCCTGATTATTACTAACCATTCCCAGAGGTTGGTGGTCACCTCATCTCATTTCTCACAAGTCTGCCAAATAGATTGAGGAAGACCAAAGAATAAGACTATCCATGGCAAGGAGCCACAATTACTATGCTTTGCCTCCACTCCTGGAGGCAGCAATGCCTCTGAATCCCAGTTGCTGGAAAACACAGGGCAGGGGGAGAGAATGCTCTTGTGAACACATCTGAAGGTCACCCTGTTTAGGGAAGTTTTTAATGTTTGATGTTTTCTCGTGTTTTTAATATTCTGTTGGGAGCCACACAGAGTGCCTGGGGCAACCCACTCAGATGGGTAGCATACAAATAAAATTATCATCAACATCATCATCATCACCATCAAATCCTGCTTGCATGTTTCCTGTTGGGGCATCTGGTCAGCCATTGTGAGGACAGGATGCTGGATTAAATAGCCTGATTCAGCAGTCAGGCTCTTCTCCTTCCTGCACTTTGTAGCAGCAACATGGGGATGGGTTTGCATTAGGCAAGCATATGAGGCATGTGTGCTTTACCTCCGGTAATGCTCAAAACTGTCCTTCATTCGCCGGCGCCCCTTCTCTGCCACATCCCCATCGAGTGGACTGCTTTCCTGGAAATGCAAAGCAGAATTGGGGCCTGATTAATTTCAGTCATGCTACTCCTCTAATTTGCATGGAAGGCTTCTCCACAGCTAGAGCTGAACTCAAGGTAGGCTACAATGAGGAGCATCAGGAAAGGTGATCTGTGTTAGATCCATGCCCAGAATTTGGCATCTTGGAATTCCTGATGGGTGTGCAGGTGGTAAATGCCTGGACCCCTGGAATTTTATATTGCTGTGGATACTGGAGTGGCGTGTAATAGTGTCACTAAGGAAAATTAACAGCAATAATTTAAGACTTTTGAAAAGCTAAAACAGCAATAGTCTCAAAACAGATTAAAACTCACACAGTATATATTGTATGTGTAATTCTGTAAACAGCCTTATGTGGTATATAAATGTATTATATAAATAAAGATATAAAATACCCCTGGGGATGGAAGAAGCTGGATTTTGCTGGATTCCTGGTTGGACGATTCTGCAGAGAGATAGAGAAAGAGAGAGAGAAGGAAAAGGGTTAATTTTATTGACCAACTATTACCTACTGTTTAGAATTTAAGGCCTAGTGTACCAACGTGCATCCAGGGATTTCTGGTGCAAGATAGGCATATGTAAAGCCATTGCATTGCCCACTTGTGAATATTAAGATCCTGGCTGCTAAACAGACCAGAGACTCATCCAGCCCAGCCTCTTTTACCCAGTAAACAACCAGATGCCCACCTCAAGCAAGACAGGAGTGTAGGAACAATGCAGTCATAAGAACAGAAGAAAAGCCTTGCTGGATCAGACCAAAGGGGATTCTTCTAGTCCAGCTTCCTGTTCTCACAGTGGCCAAGCAGATGCCCATTGTGGGAACCCAAGCAGAACCCTAGTGCAAAAGCAATTCTCCCCTCTTGTGGTTTCCAGCACCTGGTATTTAGAAGCATTGCTATGTGTCTCCAACTGTGGCAGAGATGGCTACAGAAAGAGGTATCCTTGGTTAAAACTGTCTGTTGAGTTGCAAATGCAGGCTGCTGGCACTGTAAGCCCAAATTATTTTTGCAAGCCCTGGCTGAGAAGCATTTCTGAAGTGGGATACCAGAAACAACCTAAGCAGTAGAGAGCAAGACCAGCAGCCCCTGGAAGAACTTGCCTTTGTTTGCACCTTTGATGTCTTCATCCGGGTTTCCATGGGAAGGAAGCTTCATGCAAGGAAAGGAGAAAGAGAGTTAACATAAGAGCCTGCTGGATCAGGTCACTGGCCCATCTAGCCCAGCATCCTGTTGTCACAGTGGCCAATGAGATGCCAAAAAGAAACCAGCAACTAGGATTTGAGTAGAAGAGCTCTCTCCTCCTGTGGTTTTCAGCAATTGCTATTCAGAAGCATTACTGCCTCCAACCATGAAAGGCAAAGTACAGCCCTCTCCTCCATGAATTTGCACAATCCTCTTTTAAAGCCGTCCAAATTGGTGGCCATCCTTGCCTCCTGGGGAAGCGAGTTCCACAGTTTAACTAAGAAGGACTTTATTTTATCTGTCCTGAATCTTCCAATATTCAGCTTCTTTGGATGTCCCTGTGCTCTCTAAACTAAAAAGTCCCGAATGCTTCAACCTTTCTTGATAGACAAGTCATTCAATCCCTTGATTATTTTGGTTGTCATTCTGTGAACCTTTTCCAATTCTACAAAATCCTTTTCAAGAATGGGAAATAAGAGCCTCTGTTTGCAAATGATCAATACTGATTTATTCTTTACCCATGAAGGAAAACAGAAAACAAAAGCAATCAGAATCAGGCACATTTTCACAGAACTTCAGCACAAGGACCCCCAGCTAATCAGTGACATACATACAGAAAAAAATCCCTTGAAGAAGTCCTCGCTACTAATAATCCCATTGCAGCTCAGGACAACATTTTTTTGCCCAACAGCAACAAAACTGTAACCTTCAGAAGACTCTGACTGCTGGAGGAGGCCAAAGGGGGCCTATCTAATCCAGCATAATGATCTCACATTGCCAAACAGACATCCCAAAGATGATAATGATGATGATGATGATAATCATAATCATAATCATAATCATAATTTATTTATGCCCCGCCCATCTGGCTGGGTTTCCCCAGCCACTCTGGGCGGCTTCCAACCGAATATTAAAAGCAATACAGCGTCAGACATTAAAAACTTCCCTAAACAGGGCTACCTTCAGTTGTCTTTTAAAAGTAAAATAGTTGTTTATTGCAACTATTCTAGGATATACTGACTGTCCATGGAAGCTCCATTTAGGAATTAGAGGAATCTAATACTACAACTGGCTCAGGCCAAAGGGGACTCCAGCCTTCTGTCCTCAAAGTCGCCAACCAGTAGCCCATTATGGAAAACCCCCAAGCAAGACACAAGTACAATAGCAACTCTCCCTCTTGTGATTCCCAGCAACTGGTATTCAGAACTAGATTTCCCCTGGGCACTTAAGTTCTGTGCTTACAAAAGACTTCCATGAGAAGGGCCCTGCAGCTGGATCACGCCAAAGGGGGCTCCATCTAGTCCAGTATTCTGTTCTCACAGTGGTCGGCCACGTGCCTCGTTAAGGGGGCTCCTAATCTGGATTTTGTTGACAGAAAAGGAAACGAGCTTACCCTGTCTTTTGAATTTGGCACCACGTCCTCCACTTGATGTCAGGTGATGGACAAGTGGGCATAATTTCATTTATTGGTTTATATTTATTGACTGATAAAAAATATATACAGCTATTCAGAAAAAATGTACAGCATTTATACATAAAACCATGCATAAAATAGGTTAAAATCATAAAATAGGTTAAAATCAGAAAAAAGATGTATTCTTCATTCCCTGCATAAGCCTGATGGAATGCAAAAGTTTTCAGCAGGCGTTGGAAAGTTGAAACAGAAGGCATCTGCCCAAACCATTTTGTTGGCCAAATATTTAGGCTTGGTGGGCTGGATGTTTTCCACCTAAGTCAGTTAAAGGTTATATGCTAACCGGACCCCTGACCCTGACCCTCAGCCCCAAATGAAGCAGACAAATGACATCAGAACAGCAGAGGCACTGAGCCAAGAACGTTGATCACAACTCACTTCTTGGGAGCTCCTGGAGGATTCTTCGAAATCTGAAGTCTGGAATTGCAAGATCATTGTAAAAAGTTAGGAAGTGGAAAGAATTAAACTACACACATGTGTGCACATTTCCAGAGAAACTACAGCATGAACAAGTGTGACGCGTCCCATTTGGCTGCCACACCACCAGCACCACTGCCACACCACTCACTTCCGCCAGCACTGCCACTGCACTGTCTAGTGGCACTGGCATAGGCACCTCCTTAAGAAAAGCCTGTTGGATCAGGCCAGTGGGAGTACCTATTCCAGCATCCTGTCTTCACAGTAGCCAACCAGATGCCCATTATGGGAAAACTGCAAGCAGGATTTGAGCACAAGAACACTTTCTCCTCCACCTGCGGTTTCTAGCAACTGGTAAATTCAGAAGCATTTCTGCCTCCTCTTAACATGGTGGAAGGGAACAGGCCAACCAGAGGCAGCACCTGGAAGAGTTAGCCTACCAGTGCCGAAGGGTCGAGGTGCAACCTCTTCAACTTGGCTTCAGTGCTGAGCAGCTGCCCCTCTTTCTGGAAGAGCTGCAGCTGCAGCTCATCGCATCTCTCGCCCAGCTCCCGAATCTGCTTCCGGTAGAGATCCTTGTCCATCAGGCTCTTGGAGAACTGCTTGTGGAATCCCTCTTGGTTCAGGAGGGCCTAGCAAGGTGTGGGTGGGTGGGGAGAAGATTATGATTATAATTTTTTTTTTATTGTTATGAGTTAGGAATGTGACTGCTCTGAACTCTCTCCATCTAAACCCAGGTTGTATATATGTATAAAAAAAACTATATATCATAAAAACACCACAGTCTCCACTGTGCCTCACTGGCCAAAAGGAAAAGCAGACCCTGGTAAATGCACCTGGAACCCCTGAAATCTCATACCACTCAGAGATTGGGGTGGCATGAAACATTATTATTACGCCCTTCCTCAAAAAGGAGACCAGCTGAGTGAAAAATGCAGTAAAATATTCTTTCATTAATTTTTATTAACATTATTTTAATTGATTACCGTATTTTTCGCCCCATAGGACGCACTTTTCCCCCTCCAAAAATGAAGGGGAAATGTGTGTGCGTCCTATGGGGCGAATGCAGGCTTTCGCTGAAGCCTGGAGAGCGAGAGGGGTCGGTGCGCACTGACTCCTCTCGCTCTCCAGGCTTTGCGCAGATCTCCGCAAGCCGTGGGAGCCCGCGCCGGGCTCCTGCGGCTTGCAGAGAGTTGCCTGCATGCCGAAGGCTGGGCACGCTGAGCTCAGCGCGCCCAGACTTCGCGCGGCTCTCCGCAAGGCGCGGGAGCCCCGCGCGGGGCTCCAGCGGCTTGCGGAGAGTTGCTTGGATGTCGAAGGCTGGGCACGCTGAGCTCAGCACGCCCAGCCTTCGCGCGGCTCTCCACAAGGCGCGGGAGCCCAGCGCTGGGCTCCCGCAGCTTTCGGAGAGTTGCTTGGATGTCGAAGGCTCTTCGCGCAGCTCTCCGCAAGGCGCAGGAGCCCAGCGCCGGGCTCCCATGGCTTGCGGAGAGTTGCCTGTTCTGGGGTCGGGGGAAGCTCGGGCTTCCCCCGCCCCAGCCCCGCGCTTGGGGGGGAAATAAAATTTTTCCCTTTATTTCCCCCCCAAAAAACTAGGTGCGCCTTATGGGACGGTGCGTCCTATAGGGCAAAAAATACGGTACCTGTCCTTACGCCTAAGGTCCCAAGGCGGGTTACAACCATCCAAAATACATCAAAAACAATGTTAAAAGACTTACAATTACTATTGTTCATTTGGGGGCAGAATACCAGTTGCTGGAAGCCACAGGAGGGGAGAGGGCTTTGTGCTCAGGTCCTACTTCTAGGGTTCCCTTTGGGGCATCTGGCTGGCACTGTGAGGACAGGAGGCTGAGATAGGTGAGCCCCTTTGGCCTGATCTAGCAGGCTTTGCTTACGTTCTTATGGAACCTCTAGGCCCAGAGGCAGTGTATAGTGATTCCTAGCTTCTTACGGGTACTTGGCCATTTTTTGAGTGGGGAGGTGCAAGGGGACATTGCCCTGGCAGCCCCTACCTGATCTCTTTCAGAAGCCACCTCCTCCATCTGTTTCAGGATGACCTCAATGCGGTCCTGGTATATCTGGGCATCATTTTGCAGGGATGAACACTTCAGCTCCAGCATCTCCTTCTCTCCCACAAGCTGCCAACACAAGCACAGAAGGCATTGGAAGGCCAGCAATAGAGATTTCTCTTGTGCCACAGAGGTTGGAAGGCAACCTGTCTTGGAGTCTTCAGTTGGAATCCCTGCATTGCAAAGGGTAGGACTAGATGACCCTGTGAAGTCCCTCTCAACTCTACAACTTTATGAATTTGCACACACACACACCAGAATAATATGTGGATTGCGACATTAAATATCATTTGCCGTTTGCACTTCCCCATATTCTGGAGCATTACTGGGGGGGGCGAATGCACCAGAATGTGTTTTGAAATGCATATTTCAGGATAAAATCTGTCCATATATGTATTTAAATGCTGTTATTTATATGATGGAAATTGGTAAGAAGATATATTAAGTATATTTAATCCTCTGGCACCCCACATGTGTGGGTTAACATCAAAGGAAAATGGATGCAAGCCTATATTCCAAAGCATGGGGCAAGCATAGACTTTCTGACAGGAGAAAGCCCCCTAGCAGAATTTAATTCTCAGGCAGGTTAGTGAAGCATAGGAATGGGCTATTAAACCTCATTTATACAGTTCAGCATCATGAAGCAGCTGACCCCCTTTTATCCCTCCTGCAATGAAATAAATGCTTTACTTACTTATCTGAGGACACAGCCATGCATTATACTATGCAGCAACAATAAGAAATGCATGTAAAAATATTTTTGGGTAGAAATGCAGCAAGATAGCTTCTGACACATGTCTGAAGCTGCTACATTAAAGATGGCGTTCATGCAAATGTGGAACAGGTATTATGTGGCACCTGTAGTATCAAATCATGTGCTTCCTCATTCCTCTCCCCACACACATACCCCACACCCCCAGAAAGGGGCCCCCAGCCAGCCACCTACTTTATCCCACTTGTCCTCTGTCCGCCGCAGCATCTGGCGCAGGTCATAGATGGTGTTGACCAGCTTCTGGTGTTCCCCCAGCATCTGTGTCCGCTCTGCCTGCAGGGCCTGAATGGAGATGTCCTCCTCCTCAGAACCACCTGTCTTGGTGACCTTGGAGCAGAAAGAGAAAAATACGTGTGAGGCCCATATTTCTCAGTAACAGAGTATTTGCCTGGCATGGAGAAGATGCCTAAATAGACTATGTGTGTGGCAGCTTTCTATATTTCTAATTCAGCCCTTTATTATGAATTGTGAGGACTAGAATCTTATTTTTTTAAGGGAAGGAACTGTAGCTCAGTGGAAGAGCATCTGCCTTGCATGCCGAATGTCGCAGGCTCAATACCCAGTGACATCCCTAAGCAGAGCTTGGAATATTCCTTACCTGAAACCCTGAAAAACTGCTGCCAGTCAATTTCCACAAATGTTCTGATGTAATATAAGGCAGCACCCCATGTTCCTGTTCAAGTCACTCCTTTATTATGAACCATGAGGACTGGAATCGTATCTCCCTGGCTGGAACCCTGGGGAACCCCTGCTGCCAGTCAGTGTCAACAATACTGAGCTAGATGGCCCAAAGACATCATCAAAATAAGGCAGTTTCCTCCAAGTTGACTGCACCCTTTCCTGACCTGGTCTTGGTAACCTAGGGGTGTGGGCAAACTGACTGCTGCAACTAGTTCTAGGTGGGGCTGCCCTTGAAGACTAGAGAAAGTTTTACCTCCCTTGTTAGAGGAGTATATGCCTCTGGATAACAGTTCCTGGGGATCCCATGTGGGGAGAGCAGTGCTGCTGTGCTCAGGTCCTGCTTGTAGGCTTCCATTGAGGTATTTTGGTGCCCACCTTCAAGACAGGATGCTGGGCTATGATGGTCTGGTGCAGCTGCTAAGTTCTTCTTAAGTTGGCCTGTTTTTATAGCAGAAGCTTCATGCTCAGGAACACTCTACCTCTGAATACTGGATGATGGGGAACAACAGCCAGAAAGTTGCTGTTTCACTCAGCGCCTGCTTTGGGGGCTTCCCATTGGGGCATCTGGATGGCCCCTGTGAGGACTGGATGTTGGACTGGATGGGCGTCATTGGCCTGATCTGGCAGGGCTCTGCTTATGTTATTATAGAACTTCCAGATTCCCAGGTTCTCGGGGACATTTGGCCACTGTGAGAGCAGGACGATGGGCTATGATGAGCCCTCCTGGGTCTGATCTAGCCACCGCTGGGCTCTCCCTCCCTTTTCAAATGTCTTTTTCATTCATTCGTTCATTCATTTACCTACCTACCTGGCACTGTGCCTACCTGCAGGGTGCTCTCCAGCTCCTTGTTCTTAGCCAGGAGCAGTTCCTTCTCCCGTTGTATCTCCCACACCACCTCGTGGCTGGGACGCTGTTCAATGGCGTGCTTAAGCTTGAGGGTGTGCTTCCTCTCCAAGCGGCAGTCATCCTCTGCCTTCATCAGGCTGTGCCTCAGACAGTCAATCTGAGCAGAGGGAAGCAAAGCCCATGGAAGCAAAGACGAAAAGGAATAATAGAATTGTCGGGCTGGAATGGACCACCAAGAGTCATCTAGTCCAGCCTCCTGCCATACAGAAATCCTGGCTAAAGAATCCCAGACAGATGGTGGAATTGAGATGTTTTGGGAGTGGAATGAAACCTTGGATACAGAGATGTAAAGACATCCCTAGCTGGCAGTGATAGAGCTGAGAGAGAAAGGACTCTTGTGTACAACTTGGAGTAAATTCTGAGGGAAAAGCTATCAAACCTCTGGTTTTTTTATTGGGAAAAGAATGGAAGGGTCGTTTTAAAATCATTATGGAAAACCCCAACAAATATAACAGGAAATGAGAACGGAAGGTACAGAACTGGGTACGAATTAATGAATACCTAGCAAGGGAAGAACTACGGAATGCTATTTTAATATATGAACACAGCAGAGAGACTCTTGTGTGAACAAAGATGGAAAGACTTATTGTTTAATATGGAGGAATTGTTATTGAGGTTATTGGAGACAAAGTTGATATGTTTGAGTAGAGAAAAACCATTGACACTTATTAACAACAAAAATTAGAGAGCACCTTTTGGACTTTGCGTAAAAAGGAAAATAAATTAATTTGAGACATTTCAGTCAGAAGATTGGGAAAATATTGCTCAACAGAAAGTAGATCAGTTGGATGTCATTCTAGAGTGGATTTTTGAATAAATTCTTTTACATAACTGACAGAAAATTGGAAGTCCTTTTCAGTTTTCTTCTTCTTTTTCTTTCTTTCCTTTTTTCTACTTTTTTTTGTTTTCTTTGGTGTCCTCTGCTTTGAGCCGTTTTGGGAGTCCAAAGATTGCACACACATGTAGGTAATGGATGGTGAGAGGTAGGGAAGGGAAGACCTCCCAGAATAAGAGACTGGGAGCAGAAAGGAAAGCTCCCAGGTGAGTGCTGGGAGGTTTCGCCACTTTCTGTGTGAGGCAAGGGTTAAGAACTACTTTTGAAAGAGGACCCTGTGTTTCATTTTCTCTTTCTCTTTCTCTTTTTCTGTTTTTATTTCATTTATTTTATCTTTTTTATTATGAAAAAAATCTTTAATAAAATCTTATTTTGGAAAAAGCATGAATCCTGAACAGATGGCCATCTGATCTCTGTTTTAAAACTTCCCATCAAAGGCGAGTCGGCCACCTTTTGAGGTCACAGAATCATAGAACTGTCGAATTAGGAGGGACTCCTAAGGGTCACATAGCCTGGAAGAATCCCTGCAGATGCCCATTGATGCATTTCTTCTCCATCACCCCGAGCCACGTTTCAAGAACCAATCCTTTTCTCCCTGCTCTGCTTTAACTACTCCACCCTACTCCCACTCCTCAGCTGCCACAGATCGTAAGATGGTTACCAACCTCCAGTTGCAGGTCCCGGTTCTTCATGAGTGCCACATTCTTCTCCTCACTCTGCCGAGCATAGCGCATGGCCAGCTCATAGTTCTCATCCTTGCAGCACTTGAGCTCCCGGCTCAGGCTGTCACGCTCCTCCTTCATCTTGTGGGCCCGCTCCTGGTGCTTGCGCAGGACGCTGTCCCGCACCCTCATCTCCCTGATGACATCCTCCTTGGCCCGGAGCAGGACACCCGTCTCCTGGAGCTTCCGCCGCTCCTCACGCACAACATTCTGGAGCTTGGAGATCTCGCTCATCAGCAGCTCTGTCAGGCTGGACTCCCCAGCCGTGTCTGTGGGGAGGAAATAGAATTGTAAAGTTGGAAAAGGCAGTCAAGGGTCATCTAGCCCAACCCTCTGCAAATCATGAGTAGCATTCAATCAACTCCATACTCTCAGCATGTCATTTTGGGGTTGCCAGGTTCAGCATCTCTCACCTATTAGGGGTCATGGATAGGCAAGGGAAGGGTGTTTAAACCCACCAGCAAAATTTACTATACTCACCTATAATCATTGAGAAAACCCGGGTGGGCTCGTTGCCTGTGATTTTCTTGTAGAGCTGAGGATAGTAGAGCTCCAGGCTCTCAAGAAAGGCCACGAAGCCCTTCTGACCTGTCCGCTGAAGAATATCAAGGAGTACCCCTGAAAAAAACACAGAAGAAAAGGGTATTTAGCCTAAGGTATCAGAAACTAGGTTAGAGGATGTGTGGGAGATACACAGTCAAATCTAACAATGCCTATTCTAGCTAGTTCACATGTGAATGAGTTAAGACCATGGGGCTATATTGGTGATAGGCAGACTCAGACCATAGAAATGTAATTGGTACATTTTCCCTCCTCTCCTGGAAGAGAAGAAGCAAAAAGTATTTGCTGCTCCTTCTCCCCCCGCCCCTTCAACCAGCCATAAAGGGGGATGTACCTCCACTTGCTCCAGCATCAGGCACATGCCTGAAGCTGTTTCTGCTGTAAACACAAGTATTTTACCTGCATGTACTTTTAATGCTGTTGCTACTAACAGCAAATGCTTAACTGCTAGTAAACTATATGTTTTAAGCTTAGTTTTCAATCTGTAACCTGTTTCTTTGATAAACAGGGTAACAAAGGGGAGATCAGCCTAATGACTAATTCCTGTGCTTTCAATTAAACTGCCTAAAATGAGATTTAAACCCTGCTCTGCCCTGCACTTTTAAACGTAAGCAGTAAACTGATCCCTTTGTCTGTTAATCCACACATGCGGGGGATAGAATACAGTATAGTAAAGTATATTCCCTCACCTACCTAATAAAATAAATCAGGATTGCTGTGAGTATCCCAGAACCCAAAAAAATTTCCTGACACTGGCCTGGTTTACTCATTTATTTATTTCATAAAATTTATACAGCACCTGTTGTAAAAACAATCAGACCTCAAAACAGTTTTCAAAAAGATAAAACAAGAAAATCAATAAAAATTTAAAACATACAAAAATAGACTAAAATGGATTAAAAATTACACCTACTTTCTAAACATCTAGACCGACTCGTCTAAAAAAATGTTTTTAGCAAAAACAGAAATGAGTACAAAAAAGGTGCCTGCCTGGTATCAATAGGCAGGGAGTTGCAAAGTGCAGATGCTGCCACAGTAAATGACTGAGTTCTTACAAATGTGGAACAGGTAGCGCCAATTCTGCCGATCTGAGTGGTCAAGTGGGCACATGTGGGGTAAGGTGATCTTGAAGGTAAACTAGTCCCAAGTGGAATAAGCCTGGTCAGATCATGGTACGAGGGGCAGATCTGCACCATACCATTAAAGCACATGGCTTTCCCCAAAGAATCCAGGAAACAGTAGTCTAACAGCACTGAAAATAGTAACTCTGTTAAAGGGGGAAACTACTGTGATATTTTTTTGTGGGAAGCTATGTGCAAGGCTAGTGGTGAGTGAGCTATTGAAAATTTACCTGCTTTCCTTTTCCTGATCACAAGGCTGGGGTCGTTAAGGATCTGTTCCTCATCATCGTGGTTGATGACTTTGCACTGGCGGAGGTAAGGGGTTATCCTGGATGGGTCAACCACTGAAATCAGCTTTACACGGTAGTTCTCCAGGTTATTCCAGCAGCTTTCATTGTCATCATCTGGCTCAGACATGGCAGAGGGCAAAATAAGGAGTGCCTTCTGCTCTTCAAAAAGTGCTGGAGATGTGCCCTGGAAGGTCAGCGAAATAAGGTTTCCATTCTGTACTTGTCACAAACGGTTCCATTTCTGTTCTGCTGCAATTCAGCTTCTGCTAAATCTACATGTAGTTTTTCACTATCTATTATGGCCAAAACTAACATATTGTTACAGTATACGCCACCCCAATTTCTGAGCAGCGTTGAGATTCCAAGGGTTCCAGGCACTCACCCAGGGTTCAGTTTTGTTGGAATGAAGGTCATCAGAGACCAGAGGTGCCAAGTTCCATTTGGGGGTCCATTAGTCACAGTTTTGGAGCAAGCACGGAGCAAGCAGTGTCTCCAGCTTCCAATCTGCTTCCAGCTCAGTTCATAGACACCTCTCTGGCTCTTGTTCTCCTGCCTAGCAGCTATAGTAATATTTGGTATGTTTGTGGGTTTTATGCCAGTGTCACTTGAGTAGGTTCTCTATTTATTTTATATCTATAATGTCTCACATCAAATGTAAAAAAGGACTATGTGACTTGAAAAAAGACAATGCACATTTTTGTGAACCATGAAAATCTTTAATAAAATTATTATTATTATTATTATTATTAAAAAGCAAAACAAACACACAACTCCTAAAACAGAGAGAGGGCTTCCCTCTGCAGAGTGGGACATCCTCAGCCTGGCCCTTTTCTGCTTCAGCTTCCTTACCTACAGATCAGGAACAACCATAAGATGTGTCACCCACACCCTGGTTTAGATTTGCGTGTTTGGAGAAAACAGCAGACAGAGAAAGAGCAAGCAGGAAACTTCCCCTAAGTGCTTCTGACCTCAAAGGTGGCCTTATGACACAAAGGACACCCTTCTCCCTCTCCTGACTCAGTATTTCTAAATCTGGCAATTTTAGCTTTTCCCACTTTCAGGTGTTTTCCTGACTTCCATTCTTCACATTTCCAGTTTGTTATATTTTAAGTTTCTGTGAGAATTCACCAGCGTTTTAGTGCTGGAAGATTCAGGGGAGAAGAAAAGAAGGACTTCTTCACTCAGAGCATAAACTCTGGAACTCACTTGAAGGGCTTTAAAATAGAATTGAACAAATTCATGGAGGATGAGAAGGCTATCAAAATTGTAGAGTTGGAAGGACCTGAGGGTCATCTAGTCCAAATCTGTGCTGATGACTACTAGCCGAAATGACTAAGCTCTGCCTCCACTGTCAGAGGCAGAAATGCCTCTGAATACCAGTTGCTGGAAGCTACAGGAAGGGAGAGTTGCTCTTGTGCCCAGGTCCTGCTTGCCAGTTTCATTTTGGAGCATCTGGTTGGCCACTGTAAAGGCAGGGTGTTAGGCTACATAGGCCATTGGCCTGATCCAGCAGGCTCTTCCTATGTTCTTAGTGCAACTTTCTCTTAATATGCACATGCTTTGCAGGCAATTTGGCCTACCACACAAACATATTTGCAAAGCAATTTCCCCAAATATGACACATTTCTGTGCATCATTCTGTTTTTATGCACACTTATATGCATTTTTATGCACACTTTATCTTGATCTCTACCTTTTTGTATCTATTACTTGTCTGGTGAACTGCATTTCACGCTTCAGAGAAGTGCTTTTTTTAATTGTTTCAGAATCAAATCCCCCATCCTTAGACCCCTACTCAGAATTCCCCACTACCCACCCCTTCCCATTATTAACTGAGCATTTCTAGGGTGAAATCTATTAAACTGTTCCATAAGGAAAAAAGCAAACAGAGATCACTTTTAGAGTTTGGTATCCCTGCTATGGTGATGAATGTAGAGGAGGATTCTTCTATTTTTTATTGTCATATTTAATGCCTATTGATGCAACACAAGAAGCTGCCTTATACTGAATCATACTCTCTAGTTTTTCAGGCGGAGGAGTCTTTCCCAGCTTGACCTGGATTGAGCCTAGGACTTTCTGCATGCAAAGCAGGTGTTCTGCCAGTAAGCTGTGGCTGCTTCTTTTAACACACAGTAAAATATTGGTCCTCATGGTTCTGAACAAAAGGCTAAATTAAATAGGAACATAGGAAGCTGCCTTACACAGACTGAATTGGTTCATCTATTTTAGTCCATCTGCACTGACTGGCATGCGTCTCTTGGTTCTACATGCAAAGCAGGTGCTTTCCCACCTGAGTTGCAGTCTTTCCCCTAAAACCAACTTAAGATTCTAGTCCTCAGTTTTGAATAAAACAGGAATATAGGAAGCTACCACACTCAGAATTAGGCTCAGCCAGCTCTGTGCTTTCAACACTGGCTGGCAGCAGCTCTCCATGGTTTCAATTAAGGAGTGTTTCCCAGCCCTACATTAAGATCCCATTGGGACTTTTTGCATGCAAAGCCAGTGCTTCACCACTGAGCTACAGCCTCCCTCCCTTCCAAATTTAATAAACAAGCCTTGCCCGCAACCCGAAGCCAAATTCAAAATACTACTCAAAAAGCAACACAATGCATACCCTCCAACATTTCTCTGATGAAAATAGGCACGTATTATTATTATTATTATTACTACTACTATTACTACTATTATTACTATTATTATTCATACCCCACCCATCTGACTGGATTGCCCCAGCCACTCTGGGTGGCTTTCAACATATATAAAAACATAATGAAACATTAAACATTTAAAAACTTCCCAATACAGGGCTGCCTTCAGATGCAGAAGGCTCCAAGTTCAATCCCCAGCAGCCTCTCCAAGTAGGGCTGGGAATGTGTCCTACCTGAAACCCTGGAGAGCCACTGCCAATCAGTGTAGGCAACAAAGGTCTGACTCAGAACAAGGCAGCTTCCTATGTTCCTATATTCCCACACACCTGTCCTAATAGAAATCTCAGGAAGCCTTTGGCTACTAGCCATGTCCTCTCCTTTCCCCAGGCCAGCTCCACTCCAAAAAGATGTGTGAGAGAGGTTGTGGTTCCCCTCTTCCCTTTTCCCATGCTCAAAGCAATGAACTTCCACTCACCTCCTGAACAGAGGCTCCCCAAAAAAAACCCTGGGAGTGGCCCAGCAGCCCCTCTGCCACGCTGAGACTCTTGCTTGGGTAAAGGAAAGAAGGCCAGCTGGCAAGCAAGGCAGGGCACAAAAGGGGAACTGGCCAAGGCAGCGAGAAACAGAACACCCACCCACCCCTGGGGAAGAGGAAGTTGCAGGCCAGGACAGTGTGGGAATCAGAATTGCATTTCCGTGCTATCTGGAGACAAACCCGTGGCCTGGTGAGTTTCCAGTGTTTGTCTTGCATGTCTGTCAAAAGCTGTTGCAATGCAGGGGTTGAACTAGATGTCCCTCTGTACAATTCAAAGTGTCCAGATTTGAGTGCAAACCATCTCAGCACACACATCATACATTTAACACACATGGCTAACCCCCTCCCCTCAAGGATCCCGGGAATGAATAGTTTAAGGATGCTGGGAACTGTAGCTCTGGGGCAGGGGGTAAAGTATAGTTCCCAAGATTCTTGGATGAAGCTGCAGGGTTTCAATATAGTGCTACACGCCACCCCAATCTTTAAGTGGTGTGAGATTTCAGGAGTTCCAGGAGCTTTCCCAGGGTTCCTACAGAAATCAGGAACAGCCTTCCCCCCCCCCCCCCACATACTAATAAGAATATGTTGTGGATAGGATCTATGTTATCTTATGGTTGCTTTAAATATGCACACAATTTTTTCAGGGCAGAGGTAATTATAACATAACTATATAATAATTTCTTGTGTTGTATTATACATTAATATTATATATTTTAATATATTATTATAATAGTATATAATATCATCAAATTGTAGGGTTGAAAGGCTCATCTAGACCAAATTCCTGCAATGCAGGAGTCCCTGACAGGTGGCCATCCAAACTCAGTTTAAAAACCTCTTAGGAAGGAGAGTCCACCACCTTCCAAGGGAGTCAATTCCACTGTCAAATAGCTCTTACCAACAAAATGTTTTTCCTGATATTTAGTCAGAATCTCTTTTTGCTACTTGAAGCCCTTGGTTCAGGTCCTACCCTCCAGAGCAGGAGAAAACAAGCGTGCTCCATCTTCCATGGGACAGCCCTTGAGATATTTGAAAATGGTTATCGTATCTCCTCTCAATCTCTCTTATCCAGACTAAACATACCAAACTGCCTCAACCATTCCTCATAAGGCTTTGTTTCCAGACCCTTTATCATCTTGGTCACCCTCCTCTGCCCGTTTCAGCTTCTCAATAACCTTCTTAAACTGGGGTGCCCAGAACTAGATAAATACCATATATTATAATATGTAAACTTTTACATTATTAAAGTATGTATTATATAATGTTCAGGCCCAGGAGTAGAGCTCTTGCCTGGGCTTCCTCCTCTACTTCCCTCTGCACATGTTCTCAGTTCAGCCTCACTGGCTTCTTGCCAGCCAGTGGAATTTGGATCGTAAATCATTTTCAGATTTGGGGCCTGGCCAACAAGATGAGCTTGCGGTAGGTTTCAGAAACAATTATCATAGCTTAGTGGGCAGAGCAGCTGCTTTGCATGCCTAAGGTCCCAGGTTCAACCACCAACGGGATCTAGGTAGGATTAGTGAAGACTACTTCTCTGAAACTGCCAGTCATTGCAAAAAAAGCAACAACAACCCTGTGCTAAATGGACTCTGCAAGGCAGTTTCCTACATAATCACTTTAAACAGCTCTTTATTCAGAACCATGAGGATTAGCATCTTAGCTTTTTCTGGAGGGATTGCCCCTTAACTCACAGGAAAGCTCTGTGGGCAGAGCAGCTCCTTTGCATGCAGAAGGCCCCAGGTTCAACCCCCAGGGGCAGCTCCAGTTCTAGAAGGTAGAGAATCACACCCTCCCCCCCCAAAAAAAAACAACAACCCTAGACAGCCACTGAGAATCCGGGTAGAGGTTTTTTTCTTTAGAAAAAAGGAGTAAGAACTTTTTGCACAAAGCATACAAACCTTCCTCGCTCCCCTCTTCTGTGGTCCAAATATCACAGAATCATAGAATTGTAGAGTTTTAAAGGTCCCCCAAAGGGTCATCAAGTCCAACCCCCTTCAATGCAGAAACCACAGCTAAATAATCACTGGAAGATTTATTTTTTATTTATTTTTAGTTCATAGAATTTATTGCTTGATTGTAAAAACAAAACAAAACAAAAAACCTCAAAGCAGTTTACAGGAAAACAACAAAATCAATTAAACATGTACAACAGTACAAATATACAAAAAAAAAAAAAAAGATCCTCTGGTCTGGTATTTTTAAAGGGCATAACAATAGAGAACTATTTAAACCCCCACCACAGCCATCAAGAAATCTTATGACGTTGGGCTTTATGGCTAATACATCTGTGGCTGCCCAAAACAAAGGGGGCTGCTCTCCCACAGTGAATGAAAACTCCATTAATCAGTTGGAAAAGGGAAATATACAGGATAGTTCATTCTCTCCCACACAGAGGACCACAGACACAAAATTATTACAAATAAGTGTAAGTCACTGTGTAAACCAAAAGAGTTCCAAACTGGCGTGCTGAAGTATTGCTAGTGGTAGGGCTGAGGTAGACCACCCTCTCTGTCTCTGAGGTGTTGGAGATGCCTAAACAAAAAGCAGAGACAAAGATTCACACTTGGAATTACACTAGAAGAAAGGCTGATGGGAAGGGTCAAAGCACTTGTTACTGATGGAGCAACACTGGGAAGGGACATAGCTCAGTGGCCGGAGCAGTGGTACCCAAAGTGGGCAATAACACCCCCCTGGAGAGCAGGGTGCTGCTAAGAGGCAAGGGGAAGGCTGAGGGCACCAGAGCTGATGATTTAAGACTCCTGCTAAGTGACTTTAAATTAGGCAATGGGAAACTTCATCCAGCTTTAAGAATTTACTGAACAGTGAATTTGTTCCTAAATGTGGTATCTAAGACTCCTAAGTGACTCTCAGACTTGAAAAGCTGGTATCACTGGATCAAGTTCATCAGTTTTGCTGAAGGTCTGATTTGATTCTGAATAAATGTACAATTAATTGTGACTGTTTTGAATCATGTAATTGTAGAATTATAAGGGACCAAGGTCATTAGTCCAACCCCTGCAATGCAGGAATTGCAGCTAAACACCCCTGACAAATGGCCATCCCAACTTTATCTTCCTTAGTGGGTTGTGCAAACCATTATTCCAAATAATGCTTTTTACAAGGTAGGGGCGCTGGAGATGAGTTGATGGAAAGCAGAAGGCAGGAACCACTGGGTTAGAGCACCTGCTTTGCATGCAGAAGGTCCCAGGCTAAACCCCACCGGTAGTGTTTCCAGACAGGAAATGGGGAGAAAGACCCCTAGGCATGAAACCCTGAACTGCCAGAGCTGCCTGTCAGTACAGACCACACTGAGCTAGATAAACGCTAAATACGTTCCAGTGTGCTGGCTTCACTCTTTTGTAAGTACATGCTTTCTGGGTGGAAGTGAAAAAACTTAGCCAAAAAGAGAAGGTACCTTGATCCAAGGAGCTACTGAGCTGATTCCTCTCACCGCTGCCTTTGCTTTTTCTCTAGCCGGGAGCTTCTCCGAATCCCAGAGGAGCTGAGCTGGTCCAACTCTGCACTGCCCATGCCTGCCTCCTGCAAGAGAGAAAGAGAGAGAGGTGCATGAGATAATAATATAATTCTATTAAAATTCTTAATGTGGTGGATGGGCTTGATGAAGTGACACTAATTTCCAAATTCCTGATTTAAAATCACTTAGCAGGAGTCTTAAATCACCACCTCCAACACCCCACAACCACCTCCTTTCCTTTTAGCATCTCCCACCCCAAAGTAATCTCACTAACTCCCAGGAGATAGTGCTACTCACTTTGGAAACCACTGATATAAAGCCTTGAATCCTAGAACTGTATGGTTGAAAGGGACCCCATGGATCATCTAGTCCAACCCCCCGCCTCAAGGATAAATTGTTTAAAATAAATAGGCTTACCTCCTGCTCCTCCGCTGCCTCCCAGGGCTCACCCGCTGCTGCTCCACAGGATCCTGCCCCAGTCTCACCACCTTCTTCTTCTTCTTCCTCGGACAGTGACAGTGACGCACATGAGTCTTCCTCCTGGCTGCTTTTGCCCCACTCATTGCCTGATAGGGTTGTCGTCACCCTGGAAGGAGCCAGTGCTGCAAGGGCAGCTGGGAAGGTGAAGGCGGCCAGGAAGCGGCTTCTCAGGAGCTGGTAGGCAGGGTTGTCCTGGAGGTTCTGCTGCACCATTGCCCGAAGCTGGGTGTTGCGATCTGGCTGGCCAGGCCCCTCCACCTCCTCTCCGGAGGCCACGAGAGAAACCATGCTGTGCTCCAGGGCCCCTTTGTTCAGCAGCAGCATGGAGAGGGCTTTCAAGCTACACAGGAAAGCAGGCATGTAAGGCAGGCTAGGCTGCAGCATTGCTGGCCCTCCTTTGGCCCACTCCTTCGTCACCGCCGCTTCTTTGAGAGAGATGAAGCTGTAGTCAGGGGTGATCTTGTCCTGTTGCAGCGGGGCAGGGTGGGGTTGAACTACTGGGTCCTGGACGATTCCCAGGGTGGCAGGGTGGGAGCTGTCTCCGGAGACCTGGTTCTGGAGGGGTGCCGGCTTCACGTGAACAGGACAGGGCTGGGCATTGCCCAATGAAATGTCAGGCAAAGGGGGTGCCGTGGAGCACAAGGTGGCAGGCAGGAGAGGAGGCGACAGGCCACTCTGCTGAAAGCCCCTGTGGTTCTGTGGGCTGTCACAAGTGGCCACCGGGTGTGGCTTCTGTGGCACAAAGGCCACTGGAGCCATGCCTGCAGCATTTGGAACCATGAGAGCAGAAGATGCCTTGGCCACTTGGCCCAGGTTTTTGGGTGGTTCTTTTGTGGGTGGCAGTTGGTTTCCCTGGTTGGGAATGCTGACAATGGTCATGGGGACAAGGCCCTGCGTGGTCAAGACCCAGGTGATGGGAAGGACCTGCTGCCCGGGGACTGCGCTGGCCCCAGGCTGGGAGACCACTCCTGGTGACGCCAGTGCTATGGGCACTGTGTTGGCTGGGCTCTGCTGCGAAACAACATGAGGCAGGCACAGAGCCCCCTGGATACCAGCAGGATTCAGAGAGGTGGGCAAATGGGTAGCTTGCCCTGCCGGTGCTGGGTGCGCCAAAGGTGCGGCAGTGCTTGTGCCGGTTGCAGCCTCCCTGCTGTCTTGATTGCCATTCCCAGGGGGATCCTCTCCCCTCCCTGTTTCCGGAGATTTCACTTGACTTCCCAGCGATGGGACCGAGTGCACTGGAGGGAGTGCTGGCAATGGTGACCCCCTGGTGTATGGCAGCTGGCTTGCCACCTGGGCACCGGCTGGAACCATTGGCTGCTGAATGATTACCGAGGGGTGCAAGAGAAGCTGTGGGACCTTCCGCTGCCTCTTCTCCCGCAGCAGTTCAGAGACAGTCTTGGGCTTGGAGATTGGGCAACACGGGGAAAGGGCCCTCTTCGAGGAAGCAGGAACCAGCCCCTCTTTGGCCTTCAGGGGGATGAGCTTCTTGCTTGGGTTTTGGACGGCCATCTGGACATTCCTGGACTGGGCTGGGCAAAGACAGAAGAATGTAAATCCAGCATCCTGTTCTCGCAGTGGCCAAATGCCCTATAAACCTTGGGATCAAGGTAGCCTGCCTCTGGGCCTGGAGGCTCCATAAGAAGATATGGAGAGCCTGGCTGCTGGATTAGGCCAAAGGGGGCACATATAGGCCAGCATCCTCTCCTCACAGGAGCAGGTGTCATGGACCAGAAATTGGCTTCACCCGCTGAGCAGCAGCTTGAAGAGGCAGGAGGCAAAGTGACTTCACCTGCTGCTGAACAGCCTTCTTGTTCCTGATGTGAACCAGCAGGCTCCAGCTTTCTTAGGCAGGATTTCCAGCCTCAGTCAGTTACTGGAAACAACATTTGTTGTCCCGGACAGACCTTGCTGCTTCTTGCTTTTCGTGACCTTGGACTCTCGCCTTTCTTGACCCCTGGACTATGTGAACTGAGATACTCCTGACCTTAGGACTAGACTGAACCTTGCATACGGACTCTGCCTCTAGGCAAATATCCCCCTGAGACTTGGCTGGTTGGCTGGCCTCTCCCGCTACTAAGCTCTGCCATGGCTGGGCCACACGGGACTATGGCAGCAACCAGGTGCCTCAACAGAAAGTCCACAAGCAGGACCAGAGCGCAACAGCAACTCTCCAGTTTTTGTTTGCCAGTCTAGGACCTGGGAGGCCCAAGTTAAAATCTCCCACATGGGCATGAAGTTCACTGGGTGTGACCTTGGGTCACAGTCACTGCCTCTCAGCCTAGCCTAACTCACAGGGTTATTGTGAGGGGGGTTAAATGGGATGAGAACTCTGCACACACCACCTTGAGCTTTTTGGAGGAAAGGTGGAATATAAATGAAATTCACAAAAGAGCAGCAAGGATGCTTCCGACGGCCGTGTTTTCCATGTGGAAAAAATGGCAGCCACTTTCTTCTCCCCTGATCAGGAAACAGGTTAATGGGCCACTCCAGGCCAGGCCAAAGCAAGGGGTTTGCAAAAGAGGAGATGGGCAGCTCTTCCTAACCCGAAACACCATTGTGTAGACTGGCTGGACTGTCGAGACTAGTTTGGAACAACAGAAAAGGACAAATACCTTTTGGATCTTGCACAGAGGGGGCCTGCAAAAGAAGGGAACAATTAGTTGCTTTGGGTGGCAGGCGGCTTTGGCCCATGTCTACCTCCTTTCCAAGAATTTCTCCTGCCCAGTTACCAGTGAAATGGGTCTAGGGGCACTCCAGATGCTGGCCACTGAGGATGGAAGTTGGGAGTCCATCATCCTCAGCAAACAGAATGACCAATGGTCAGGGATGATGGGAGCTGTAGTGCTACTGATTTAAATAGGAAGGAGGCAGCTGTCTTATACCAAGTCAGATCCATTGCTCCATCCAGTTCAGTATTGTCTACACTGACTGGCAGGCAAGACTCTCTAGGATTTCAGGCCAGGGTCTCTTCCAGCCCTACCTGGAACTGCCATTGGGGAGCTTCTGCATGTGAAGCAGGTGAACCACCCACAGGTCTATGTATCTAAGCCATGACAGAGCTTCAAGCAATCAACCCAAAGTCTAGTTGATCTGGAAAACTCATGATATTAGCTGCCATGAAGAGTGCGGCAGTCCCTGCTCGACAACCCCCAAGCTGATTCCAGCAATCAATGTTGTTCAAACGTCCTACAAATCATAAAACTGTAGAGTTGGGACCACAAAGATTCATCCAGCACAACTCCCTGCAATGCAAGAATCACAGCTCAATAATCCCTGACCGATGGTTACCCAACCTCTGCTTTAAAACCTCCAGTGAAGCATACAGACACAGCAGAGCTTGGAAAAGGAGATGTGGCAGAGATCACATAAAGCTGCCCTTGGGTTTGGTTTGGAAGCTCCAGTTGATAAAAGAATGCTGTGGCCAGATGGCTGGTGAGAAGTTCTGGTCGAGAACAGGGGACCCCCTTGTTAAAACGGCTGCACCAGCTGCCCATTTCCCATTGAACCAGGTCCTTGTATTAATTTATAAAGCTCTGATCAGTTTAGGTCCTTTATACCTCACGGATTGCCTTAACCCTTATAATATCACAGCTTGATCTCTGAGATCATCTACAGGAGCATCGTCAGTCATTCCCTGAGTTGGTGAGGCTTACTTGACAGCAGCAACAACAAAGTGAAACTTGAGTGCCATTGGCCCAGTCCTGTGCAACTCTCTGCAACTAGAGATTCAGAAGGCACCTTCTGTGCCAGCTTTTAAATGCCTGCTGAAAACTTCACTATTCCTCCAGGCTTATGCAGGCAATTAGGAAGACATTCTTCCACACTGGTTAGGTGAGGTCTGTTTTTAACTTTTCAAAGCGTTTTTTTCTTGTGTGGTTTAATGTCTGTTTGTTTGCTGTAAACCACTTTGATAGATTTTTTTTAATGGCACAAATATTTTTATGATTAAATAGAAATCATACCTGCTCTGTCTTCTCTGCCTCCCCAATGGCAGACTTCAGCAGCTCCCTCTGCCGCGTCTTCCTCCTGTGGATGACTTTCATGCAGCCATGGATGTCAATCTGGAGCAGCTGCAAGAGTCCCACAGGCAGAGTCAGACTAAGCAGAGAAAAGGCAGGCTCAAAAGAAAGCAAATAATCCAATGCAGCTTACGCTTGGTGATGGCAAGAACGTAAAAGCCCTGCAGCCAAGGGGACCCATCTAGTCCAGCAACCTGTTCTCACAGTGGTGAACCAGATTCCTCAATGGGAAGAAGCCCACAAGCAGGAACTGAGCATAACAGCAGCAATTCTCCCCACTCGTCATTCCCAGCAGCTGGCATTCAGAGACATGACCTGCCTTGCACACTGGAGTCAGTATATATAAAACCTAAGAAGAGTCTGGCTGTGAGATTAGGCCAAGGGTGATCTAACTGGTCCAGAGCCGTCCTAAAAACTTAGGAATCAAAATAGACTGCCTCTGGACAGTCAGCGCATGGCTGCTGGATCAGCACAATTTAGTCCAGCATCCTATCCTCACAGGGGCCACCCAAAATATATTAAAATAATAATAATTGTCCAGCACCACCTTAGAGACCAACTAAGTTTGTTCTGGGTATAAGCTTTTGTGTGCATGCACACTTCTTCAGATACACTGAAACAGAGGTCACCAGACCCTTATATATAGTGGGAGGGTGGGGTGGGGTTTTTTTCTCAGAAGGGTAGTAGGAGATGGGTGAGTGACTCAATGGGTAGGATAAACCTGTTGATGACTGTTAACGACTGCAATTAGTCCTACAAGAAAAAGCAAGGGATAGTATGCAGATGATTAGCATATGTAATGAGACAGGAATCCAATACCCATTGAGTCAATGCATCTACTACCCTTCTGAGAAAAACCCCACCCTGCCCTCCCACTATATATGTTTGGTGACTTCTCTTTCACTGTATCTGAAGAAGTGTGCATGCACATGAAAACTTATACCCAGAACAAACTTAGTTGGTTGCTAGGGTGCTACTGGACAATTTTTTTACTTTTTTAATATATTTTGACTGCATCAGACCAACACGGCTACCTACCTGAATCAGGGGCCGCCCAGACACCTCAAAGGGAAGCCCCCAAGCAGGACCCAAGGACAACAGCAATGCTCCCCACCTGCAATTCCCATAAAGTGGAATTCAGAAACATTTACTGCCTCCAACAGTGGAGGTAATTCATTGTCATTGTGGCTAGTAGCCACTGTGAGGCAAATAGACTAAGGTTGAGCACCATCCAAGTTGGTAGAAATGACTACATCTTGTGGTGCAATGGGTTAGTGCACCTGCCTGTTAAACCAGAAGGCTGGTAAGTTCAAGCCCACCCAGGGTTGCTCTCGGCAGGATTACTGCAATGCAGGGGGTTAAACTAGATGACCCTCCAGCCAACTCTACAATTCTATGATTCTAACTGTGCCCTGTCATTCCATAGTGGTCTTTCCTCTGAAGATTTCTAGAAAACACGTCAAGGAGCCTTAGCTGATTACCAGACTCTCCACTAAACTAATTCTGGTGATACACACATCATTCCCACAGAACTCCCCCCCCCCACACCTGGATGAAGAGGGTGAAGAGGGGTGTGCTTGTGAGGCAGGCAGCCTGCAGCCGCTTGGAGATTAATTCCACTGGAAAGAAAGAAAAAAGTGAGAGTCCATCAACAGGACCAGAACCTTGAGCCAAAAAGAAAAAGCACTTTGTATATTCTCCTCCTCTCTTCATGCCATGCTTCTCATTGCTCAAACTGAAATATTATGTCTGTAGGGATAAAAAAAAATTAAGAACATAAGAGCTTGCTGCACCTGGCCAGTGGCCCATCTAGTCCAGCCTGTTGTTCTCACAATGGCCACCCACACCGCCCTATGGGAAGTCCACAAGCAGGAGTTGAGCACAGGAGCCCTCCCCCCTCCTGTGGCTTCAAGCAACTGATATTCAAAGGCCCACTGTTCTGTCAGTGGAGGCAAAGAATAGCAACCCTGGCTAGTAGCCATCGAAAGCCCTCTCCTCCAAGAATCTGTCCAATCCTCCTTTAAAGCCACCCAGGTTGCCCCATCTGGGAGTAAACTCCACAGTTTAACTCTGCACTGCATGAAGAAGAAGGACTTTATCTGTCCTCAATCTTCAAACATTCAGCTTCATTGGATGTCTGAGTGCTAGCACTGTGAGAGGGTGAATAACTTTTCTCTCTCCACTTTCTCCATGCTGTGCATCACTTTATAAACTTCTATCATGTTGCCTTGTATATACATTTTCTCTTAAAAAAAACAACATCCAAATTATAGGGGAGTCACTCTGTCCCCTTGATCTGAAATGTTTTGCTATGTGCGTGAAGTTAAGCTTTCCCAAGAAAGGGCTTAACCATCATGTATTCAACATTCACTTGTGCACACACACACACACACTTCAGTCAAATACAGAAGAAGAAGAATCTGCTCAGAAGCTGCTGGTGGTCGGACCTTTAGACCTATGAGCAGCTTCTGTCTTGAGGCGCTGGGCCCAGTCCTGGACCAGGCTCCCAGCCCAGGGAATCACGGCCACCATCAGCCGTCGGAAAAGGGTGGTCTTCAACATCCCATCCTTCTGTCCCTTCTGGGGCTGGCCTCCTTCTCTGCTGGCTGGTGCCAAGGATTTTGCAAGACATGTTTGGGATGTGAAGGCAAAACGCTTCTTCCTGTTGATTTCTTGCTGTGGAAAGAGAGAGATAGAGAGGAGTAAATCCTGTCCTCTGCCCGAAGGATACTCAGGTCCACTAGGGCCACAACGGCTCATTTCTAGAGAGACCTGAAAGGAGCCAACACTTTTCAGCATTCAAAAGTTTGGGAAGTGGCTTTACTATAAAAGCTGATCAACAAACTACGCACTTCCAGGTCACCAAGTAAAAAGGATAAATTTGCAGAGAGAGGTCTGGTGTGATTACATATGCCAATAAGGAAAAACATGGACAGAAGTATGTTCAGTTTTCTAATTTTATTGTACCAGCCTGATGTGTGTTCCTCTTGCTGTTGCTTGCCCAATGAGGTGTTTTCTTTAAGCTGCTTTAATTGTAAATATTAAAAAGAAAAGAAAAGAGGGAGGCAGAACCATGTATGCCATTTTGAGTTCCTTAGGGAGAAACAGTAGGTTATAAATTTAACAAATAAACTCTGGAATACAGTATGTTTAAAACTGTTGAAAGCCGCCTTGAAAGCAAGAGGGTATCTTGGTAGAAAGAGAATGAAACAGATTCATCCAACCAAGCAGGCCTCATTAAAAGCCATTTGAACGTATTTTTAGAAACAACAACACATTCACATGGGGGAAGGTACGAAGTCCACTGCCCCATCATGCTGGCTTAACTCTGACGCCCAACAGCCAATCTGAACTGAATGCCTCTAAATATCATCAGGCATATTGGCAAGAAAAGTGTGGGGATCTACCTATCTAATTTACTGTATTTATATCCCAACTTTCCCCCCAAGGAGCTCAAGGTGGCATACATGGTTCTGTCCTCCTCCTCCACAACAACTCTGTGAGGCAGGTTAGGCTGAAAGGCAGTGACTGTGACCCAGTCAGTGTCACAGCAGAGTGGAATTTGAACCTGGGTCTCTCCCAGGTCCTAGTCCTCTTTTAATCCCCACAACAACCTTGAGAGGTAGGTTGAGAGGCAATGACTGTGACCCAAGGTCACCTTGTGAGCTTCATGGCTGAATGGGGGCGATTTGAACCCTTGTCCCTAGTCTGACACTCTAACCACTTCACTACACTGTCTCTCAAGGGAAGTTCCTTATCCTAAACCTAAGAGAGCCAGGAGGAGCTTCTGAACCATGGGAGGGAGACTTACGTTTCTCCGCTGCAACTCATAGCTGTTTCTCCTCAACACACATTTCACATAAGCCAAAGACACCCTCCAGGAGTCCTTCATCCTCCTGGGATTCTGCAAAGAAAACAGGAAGGAGAAACACCCATCAGCCAAACACAGATCCCAATCTATTTTCATTTAAGAGAAAGAAAGTCACAGACAGAAAATCTTTATATTTTCAAAAGAATTGGTCTTATATATGATGTTGGTTCAGGGACACGGGTGGCGCTGTGGGTAAAACCTCAGCACCTAGGACTTGCCGATCACATGGTCGGCAGTTCGAATCCCCGCGGCGGGGTGTGCTCCCGTTGTTCGGTCCCAGCGCCTGCCAACCTAGCAGTTCGAAAGCACCCCCGGGTGCAAGTAGATAAATAGGGACCGCTTACCAGCGGGAAGATAAACGGCGTTCCGTGTGCTGCGCTGGCTCGCCAGATGCAGCTTGTCACGCTGGCCACGTGACCCGGAAGTGTCTGCGGACAGCGCTGGCTCCCGGCCTATAGAGTGAGATGAGCGCACAACCCTAGAGTCTGGCAAGACTGCCCGTACGGGCAGGGGTACCTTTACCTTTATGATGTTGGTAGCTCAAATTGTCATTACAACTCAACAGAAAATAGCCCAAAATCTTACACGGGGTTCTTGGTACCACTCACTCTGGAATACAGTTATAACAGAGAAAATAATAATACATAATTGGATATTTTAATGAGGACTAGAACCTCCAGGCACCTTTTATAGATATGGAATTCCTTTATGACCCTCATAACACTTAGCAATGCACCCTCTAAGCCACTGCAATCTGCCAAATCCAATAGCAGAACTCTTGGTAAAGGCAGAATTCTGTGGCTCTTTTCTCTTACAAGTCACTTCACTGATTTCCTAGTATTGATAAAGAGTGACTCTCCATGAAGAAAAATCTCCTCAGGAAAATCTGAGTGACAGCAGAGGCCTGTCACCTGACCTGCATTGGGAGCAAGGCAATATGGGAACTGGAGGGGCCACCTTCCCACTACAGGGTAAGTGCAGCTCAGAATCTGCATATTCCTGCCTAGTGGAGTGAGTGGGAGGGACAAGATCCCCTCCTCTCTGTAGGAAAATAATAACATGAGCACAAAAACTGATCTTGTGGGCCTGGAAGAAATGGAGAAATGGACCAGCTGCAGAAAGCTTTTCCCTGCCTGATAGCAGAAAGGTCATTGGGATTTGCCACAGGAATGGAAGCCAGCTCATTTACAGGTCTGGGTTTGATTCCATACAGGACGAGGTACTGGAAAGAAGTTTCTCCCTCTGACTTTTCTTGAGCAATGAACAGATGCAGAAGGAACTTTGCTTCATATACATACAAAGCTGGTCATTTCCCTTTAACATGAAGTAAGTTTCTAAACCTCGTGGCTCTGAGGAACAAAGGAAGCTGCTTTCTACGGAGTCAAACCCTGGAGTCTCTCTGGCTCAGCACTGTCTCTAAACTGACTAGCAGCGGCTCTCCAGGGTTACAGGCAGGGAGCATTCTCTAAGCACTGAAGTGCATCCCTTCCCCTCAGCATAAAGACTATAACAATCCTCAAGGTTCTGATGGAATATGTCCACCGAGATCAGTTTTTTCAACACTGACAAGCAGCAATTGCTCTCCAGGGCTTCAGGCAGGGGTTTCCCCCAGCCCTACCATTGGGTACTGAACCTACACACAAAGCAGACACCTACCAGATACAGCCTTTCCCCTAAAACTAAAGTAAGATCTTGGTTCTGAAGAAACAGAAACCTGGGCCAGATGCTCTGCCTCTGAGCCAGGGCCCCTTCCCCACGTACCTTGCTGCCTTCCTCCACCAAGCTCTCCTTTGCTCCAATCAGGGCAGGGGGCAAATCACTGGGAGGAGCAGTGGCAGGGGGACAAGCCTCTGCCTTCTGGGGCTGTTCTTCCTCCTCCCCCGCCTTCAGGACCCTGGGGAACATCCCATGCTTCTGGTCTACGTTGAAGCCCTTGGACAGCAGCGTGACAGAGGCCAGGTTCTCTGATGATATCCCCTTCCTGGTAGGTACCCAGAGGTCAATGCTGGGCACCTCCCAGTGCCCACCAGCCATGGCCTTGTGGGTCCTGGCTGCCTCCTCCTCCACACTCTCCTCCTCTTCCTCCTCCAGGGACAGCTCTAGGTCAGAATCTTCGCTGCTGGACAAGCAGAGGCTGGGCTGCCGGGGCTTTCGGTGGGTGCAGCCCTCCTGCTTCGGCTTCCGCCTCCTCTTCTGGAAACAAGAGACAGAAAAAAGAGCAACCTCAGATTAATCGCAAGAACAGCTGCAATGGCCAGTTCACATTTCAAGAGGCGTTGGTGGCATAGTGGTTAGAGCGACTGTTTCCACAGAGGGCAATGAGATACCATAGAGGGGAGCTAAGAGGCAAGGAGGTGTAGGGGGGCCCTGGAGGTGGAATTAATAGGTATCAGACTTTAAAAGCTGGCGCCCCTGAATCAAATTCATCAATTTTGCTGGAATAATTAAACAAGATGGGTTCAATCTGATTTTGAATAAACATGCAAACAACTGTGAAGGTTTTGATCTTATTGGGCGATTATCTTTCTTAATTGGCCGTGCAGCACACATGGCACACACAGCTTTAGATAAATTCATGGAGTAGAGTAGAGTCCCTCATACAGAGCACAGTTAACTAAACTCCAACAAGAGACAGTGATGGCTATGCTCTGCCGCTATGGTCAGAGGGAGTAATGCTTCTGAATACCATATTTTATTATTTCAGGGAAGGGCTAAAGCTCAGTGGTAGAGCATTTTATGTGCGGTAAGCCATCCAGAGTGGCTAGGAAAACCCAGCCAGATGGGTGGGGAATAAAAATATATTTTTTAATCTGCTTTGCATGCAAAAGGTCCCAGGAAGGATTTCTATGACTGGAACCCTGGGGAGCCCCTGCTGCCAGTCAGCGTCAACAATACTGAGCTAGATGGTCCAAAGGCACCATCAGAATAAGGCAGTTTCCTCCAAGCTGACTGCACCCTTTCCCCACCCTGCCTTGGTAACCTAGGGATGTGGGTGAACAAACTGCTGAAATGAGCTCTATTGAAAACTGCAGAGAAAGTTTTACCTCCCTTGTTAGAGGAGTAAATGCCTCTGAATAACAGTTCCTGGGGATCCCATGTGGGGAGAGCAGTGCTGCTGTGCTCAGGTCCTGCTTGTGGGCTCCCATTGGGATATTTGGGTGGCCACCTTCAAGACAAGATGATGGGCTATGATGGGCCCCCTTTGGCCTTATCCAGCAGCCAAGCTTTTCTTAAGGTGGCCTGTCATGACAGCAGAACCTTCATGCTCACGGACACTATACTGTGGTACCTTGGGTTACATACGCTTCAGGTTACATACGCTTCAGGTTACAGACTCTGCTAACCCTGAAATAGTACCTTGGGTTAAGAACTTTGTTTCAGGATGAGAACATAAATCGTGCTCAGGCGGCGCAGCAGCAGCGGGAGGCCCCATTAGCTAAAGTGGTGCTTCAGGTTAAGAACAGTTTCAGGTTAAGAACTGACCTCTGGAACGAATTAAGTACTTAACCCGAGGTACCACTGTACCTCTGAATACTGGACAATGGGAAACAACAGTCAGAGAGTTGCTATTTCACTCAGGTTCTGCTTGAGGGTTTCCCATCGGGGCATCTGGCTGGCCCCTGTGAGGACTGGATGCTGGATGACTGCCGTTGACCTTATGCAGATGGCTCTGCTTATATGTTTTTATATTTATGGGAGCACTTCTAAATCCCAAAAGGACCCTAGAAGTTGAACTTACCCGATACCCCAGCAAAACTTTCCATTTGCTGAGGCACTGAGTCCCCGAGCGATGGGGCAACTCTGATGCTATCTTTGCCCAGCGACCTTTAGGAAGAAGAAGAAGCAGCAGGTCAGCTATTTCACCCACCATAAAACACCTGCACTGGGGTGTTGTTGGTGTTGCTGAACTACAACTCCTCTCCTCTTCCCTGATCATAGGCCATGCTTGCTAGGACTGATGAGAGTTGTGGCCAAGCAACATCCAGAGGGCTAAAGGATCCCAGCACCTGGTATATCTTAGAATCTTAGAAGTATAGAGTTGGAAGGGTTCCCAAGGGTCCTCTAGTCCAACCCCCTGCAATGCAGAAATCACAACTAAAGCATTCCTGACAGATGGTCATCCAACCGATGCTTAAAAACCACCAATGAAGCAGGCTGAGGGGACATGTAGCATGACAATAGGGCAGCACAACTATTGTTACTATTATTCAGATGCATGACCTCAACAAGCCTCGGACAAACCCCCATGAACCTGCTAATGTGGGCAGCAGGAATACGAATAATGATAGGTCTGGGAAAGAGGAGGTACTGGCCTTTCTACAGGAGGAATCCCCAGTAAGAGACTCACTCAACCAAGAAATACGTTTGCAGACCAAGGGACTGGATCCAATTATACGCTGAATCAACATGTATGACACTATAGATATTTCATCCTCACCTCTGTCCATAGAACAGACTTTGTCCACAGTTATGGAGGAGGAGCAAGCAAGATCAGAAACTACACAGATGTCTGGGGGATTGTCTGAACTCAATCAGGAGACGCACACTGGGAAGCCGGTCACCCCGAGCGCTGAGCTGCCCCCAGCCAAGGACCAACCAGAAACCTTCCCGATAGATAACATAATGCCAAACCTGCCGGATGTATCACAAACTGTTAAGCAACCTATTCTCCACCTGTGTGGGACTGCCTCAAAGCCCATCTGCAAGAAGTTAATATTTTAGTTCCTCAACCTTCATCTTGCCCCGCAAATGTTGACTTGGCTATGCTGGCACTAGAGGACACCTCAACAGAAGAAGAACTCCCGGGAACAATTTCTGGGACGGACATTCCCATTGATGCTCTGCCCTGGCGATCTTGCCCCCAAACTTGGCTACTTGACTTTGAACAAGGAGTTGACAGCAGCCAGTTCAAGAAGCGCCAACACCAGGGACCATGCTCTAACAACTGGCACCCCTGAGGAACTAGAGGAATTGCTACAGGTGCCGCCCAGGGCCCCTAGTGATAGTCAATCTAATGACACCCACTTGTGCCAAGGTAGGGAACCCAGTGCAACATTCTTCCCTGAAGTTGCAGTGGAACGTGGCAGGATGGTCCTCAAAGTTATGCTATCCTGACTTTGTTAAGTTAATAAGAGAGCACGATATAGTTTGTCTACAAGAAATTTGGTCAACACGGCACATTGACTTTGCCAGCTATAACGTCTTTGCACTTCCAGCAGTCAAACTCCACAACAAAGGCAGGGTCTCGGGTGGCTTGCTAACCCTGGTGGCCCCCCATATAAAATGTGAACACATTCTCTTGGCTATGCAAATTGCAAACTTTTAGCAACAAAGATAGAGCTGGAGAGCCAGGTCATGTTACTGGTCAATGTGTATATTCCTCCCACCTCTACTGCCATAGCCAAGAACCATCAGTGGGATCTCCTTGCACACGTGCTCAAGAATTTGGGCACCATTTGCCCTGATCTACCTATTGTCCTGACAGGGGATTTTAATGCCCACCTAGGCCAAGGGAGGGAAGTATATACAAAAGCTTGGGAGATCTTGGACTCTACGGCTCTTCCTGGCTTCTGCTTATGGGAACAAGAATCATGGGACTTAGAAATCAACCTGGCAGGCCTACGGCTCACCAAGCTGTCTACCACCAGAGCCTTGGTGTGGCTCAATGGGCTGCCAGATTGGGAAGGCTCTGAGAACTTTACCTTCCTCTCCCCACAAGGAAATAGTGTGGTAGACTATATTCTGGTCCCCACTAAATTGCTGCCCTATGTGATTTGAGTTCCACATAGGCGATCCTATGCTTAGTGATCATCTCTCCCTTCAATGTAAATTTGTCCTTCCATCGAGAGTGCCATAAAATTTAATCAATCCACTCCTCCAGGTACCATGTCCTCAGTACATAAGGATTCGAATTAACGAGCATACTCTATCGTCTTTCCAAATCTTGGTGTATTCTGATCGTGTGACTCACTTGATCTCGGTAGGGAGTGGTGAACTTTCTCCTGTAGCTAGAGTCGCTTGGTTTGAGGAGCTTATGGGCATCCTAATAACCGAACTGCCCCATTCTCACTTGCACAGGCCACCTAAGAAATCGGGGTTCGGCGAGTGGACTGATAACAAAATCAAAGGCCTTAAAGTAGAGGTTAGGAGAATTTACAGAGACAGAGGTTATAAACTTCTTATTACAGGGGAGAGACCAGGAGCTCACCAAGACAGTAGCTAAGTTCCTCTATTTGATTTTTTGTCGCCGAAGTACGCTACAGGATCCTGCACTTGCTGGAGACCCACAGAGATGAAAGATATTGCTCACCTCTTCTTCCCTTTGGCAAATGACTGTACTGTTGAAATGGCGACGAGATCGCACTGGCCTATTTATTCTGAATGTATTCTGAATTTCCTATGTGATGCCAATAAAGTTTGCATGACTTGACTTGACTATTATTCAGACTGCACACTAGCCATGAAATCCCAGGAACTACAATTTCTGTGCCCCAAGTTTTAAAATTACCCAAGGAAAAAGAGTCTGCCACTTTCCAAGGTAATATAATCATAGAATTGTGGAGCTGGAAGGTACACCAAAGGGTCATCTAGTCCAACTCCCTGCAAGGAAGAGCAGCCTTACCCACGCCATATTTCTCAGTCAGCTCGATGAGCTTCATTTCCTCCTCCTCACTCCATTTGCCCTTCTTGATGTCACAGTGCAGGGCATGCAAATACCTGCAGCAATTGGGGGGGGGCAAGAAAAAAAAGATGTTGCAGAGTGTTACACTCCTTCTGTCCTCAGGCCACTGCACCTCAACTCAGTCAATCAATCTGTCAGTCTGAACGCTACCCTCTGGAGCAGCAGAAACAAGCTTGCTCCATCTTCCATGTGAGGGAAGGGGACACTGACCTGTCTCGGCACTGGATATCATTCCTGCCAGGCACCTCCATCCGAATCTTGTACCAGTCCTGTGCTCCGTATTTAGCAACAGCCTTCAGCAGCACCTACGGGAAGGGGACACACAAAAGCCGATTCTTCACATGACATTTATTATTATTTAAGCTTAGTGGTCACTTGCTACCTAAAAGGCATTTGAGCAACTTGAATTGAAAAACACAGAAATGCATTAGACATGCAGTCTAAATAAGCACTAATGTCTCTCTTCTATGCTGGAGAGAGGTAGTGGTGGTGTAGTGGTTAGAGCCACACTTCCTAATGTGAGTGGTGGGATGACCTAGAGCAAGGAGGCAGACAACAGCGCTGGAAGTGTCAATGCCTATCTGTGGAGAGTAAAGCTGCTCTTTCCATGCCTGGCAGGGCTCTAAGTCAGTCTACCTTTTTTAGGAAAGTGTTTCCCATATTGTTTCCAGTATCACCTGCTCTGTTATCACTGGACTTGAGCCCAAACAATAGTCTAAAATACAAAGAGCTTGTACACTTTTTATTATCGATTAGTAGTAGCTCAGCAATGGAAACAACCTACTGAAATCCCGTAGTGATGCTAGATGATGTTGCTCGATCAGAAAGCCTTACCCACCCAATCTCGGTGAGACTAGGCTCCCTTTCTGAATGAGACAGAAAATGCTTTTGCTCCACCTTCCAAACAGGAATGCTTGTGGAGAGGATATTTAATTTAACATTTCTCCGATAAATTTGAAGGATATATAGTATTTGCTGTCTCTGAAGACCCATCAGTATATCTCTCTCATACATCTCAGTATAAAGCACTTTCCCATATATTCCTATTTAATTCAGCCCTTTGTTCAGAACCTTGAGGACTAGTATCTAACTTTATGCTAAAGGGAAAGGGCTATAGTTCAGTGATAGAGCACCTGACTGGCATGCAGAAGGTCCCAGGTCCAATCTCCAAGTAGGGCTAGGAAGCAACTCCCTGACTGAACTATTAGGAGAGTCGTTGCTACTGCCACTCAGTGTGGGCAATACTGAGCTATATGGACCAAATATCAGCTTATTAGGTTTACACTAATCCCCACCCCCAAAGGCAACAGGAAAGGGCCTTACAGCATCTTCCTCTGGAGTCCAGGCTCCTCGCTTCAAGTTGGGGTCCACTCTCTTGGTCCACCTATAGATCAGCTGGGCAGAGTCCCTGCCCTCCATATAATAGGCAACTGTAGATGGATAGAAGAGGGTGTCTCATTGGTTTCTCATTGTCATCAATCGAGCCTCATCAACTTGGGGAGCAGCCAACAATGCTCCAGTGGATCTCAGTGTTCAAACTGGGCTATCATAAGTGTTCAAGTGATCCCAGAGGTACACTGGACCTAAGCTGTTCAGGGTTTTGCAAAGTAATACAAGGTCATTTAACTTGGCTTGGTAGGAGATGGGCAGCCAATGCAGCTGTTTTAACAAGGGTGTTCCATGTTCTCAGCCAGAAGCTCCTGTCTTCAGTCTAGTCACAGCATTATGCCCCAGCTGGAACTTCCAAGCCAGAACCAAGGGCAGCCCCACACAGAATACACTGAAGTAGTCCTTCCTCAAGGTTACAAACGCATGGACTACAGCAGTCAGGCTCTCCTCATCCAGGAACAGCTAGGCTACAGTCTTGACATGGAAAACTATGAAAGAAGGGGAGGTACTGGCATTGCGAGGAGGAGGGTCTTTCTCCCAGGGACACTACTTACTTTTCCGGTACGGAATGTGCTTCCCAACCCTCATTTCTTGGACCAGCTGCAGGAGTATCTGGTCCTCTTCTGGGCTCCACTCACTCTTCTTGAATTCCTTATTGGAGGCCTGGAACTTCTGCAGGCATTGGAAAGCTGTGCGCTGTGTCTGGAGAGTACAGGAAAGCAAAGAGGAGGGGTGAGGAGAGGAAGCAAAAGTGTGAGAGGGAAGAGGAGGCACAGGTGGAGCAGCTGTCCATGTTAAGAGTTCCCCAAGTTGGCCTTCTCAGGGAGAAAGCGTCTGGTGCAAAAAGCACATTAAGAGGGCACTGCAGGAAAATAGGCCAAGCATCAACATAGTACTAGGAGGGCTCTTCCACTTGTGGAATGCCTTCCCCTCACAAAACTGCCAGGCACCAGCCTTAAAAAGGTTACTTAACCCAAACTTTTAGCAACTGCTAACCTCCCCACTTAATTTCTAAAGGCCATTGTTTATGTTCTAAGATTAGTTCTTTGTTCACTGATCTACTCCCTATCTGGATGCATTGCCTTAATGCTTTGGGGGCAGGGGGGAATAGGATTCCACAGGAGGGCACTAATAGGCAAGGGGACAGCAGGGTGTGCAAATAACAATCAGACTAGTATCACTGGTTCAACTGCATCAATTTTCTTGAATTAATTAAACTTCATAGCTTTAACTGGATTTTAAATGAATGTGCATTCAACTGGGACTGTTTTGAGCTTTATTGTGTATTATTCCTGGGTAGGCATAGCACAACACTATTCTGAATACAGTGGTACCTCAGGTTACAGACTCCGCTAACCCAGAAATAGTACCTTGGGTTAAGAACTTTGCTTCAGGATGAGAACAGAAATTGTGCTCCAGCAGCGGTGCGGCGGCAGCAGGAAGCCCCATTAACTAAAGTGGTACCTCAGGTTAAGAACAGTTTCAGGTTAAGAACGGACCTCCAGAATGAATTAAGTTCTTAACCAGAAGTACCACTGTAAAGCTTTTTACAAGGGTAGGGTGGGGGGCACCGGGGATGTGTTTGTGGAACCAAGGGGATGGGGCCCTAAAATGTTTGGGAACCACTGCTCTAAATAAATAACAATGAATAATATTCGCACAGCAGCATCAGTGCCTTTCCCAGACTCCTTCCCACCCCTAGTCAAGAGCCCGATCCATGGGCCTCACCCCCAACTCCAGGGCGATGGCTTCCCAGTCCTGGCAGTTGTGCCTGGTGGCAATTTCCTTCATCTTTTCGACCTCCTCCTCATTCCACTCCCTCTTGCTGATGCTGGGGTGCTCGAAGTTCTGCCAGTACTTCCTCAACTCCTTCGCATTGCGGGTTCCTTCAAACTAGGGAGATGCGGGAGAGTAAAAGGGACCGCACAGCCTGCACCACGAATAAAAAGGCCACAGGCCACATGAAGCGCAAGGGGCCACCCTCCTTCCATAGCTGCCCCATCACAAACAATTTTTAAGCAATGAAGGGGAGCCCACCTCACCCCTGCCCACAACGACTCACATTTATGTTGGCGATCTTCTCCCAGTCGTGCTCATCCAACCTGTTCCCCAACAAAGATCCCTCCGGCAGTTGGCTAGACTCCGCAAGATACAGAAGCGACATTTAGGGGAGAAACCAGCACCCAAGGCAGCAGGCTGAGCTGTGCTACTGCCCTCTTGCTCTCTCACCAAGCGCTGCAAGATGGGACCTTAACTCTCAGTTCTGGCACCCTCACAGGCCCAAATTCCCACTTGGTGGAGCCGCAGAAGAGGGCCGTACTGATGGCGGCTGTTCCCAGGCTTTGGAACTCCCTTCCTAGAGAAACTAGACAAGATCTGCAACCTAGCTAAATACAAAGGCAGAATTCTTACATAATAACAATGATATCTAGTTAGGTTTAGGGATGATCACGTGTGCTACAGTCACAACCAATCAGATGCCATGGTGAACTTTCTTGTAAGATGGTTGAAAAATTCTACTTGGTAATGGGAAATGTTTTATCACTCATTGGCATAAGTCTGGGGCACAGGTGATGGTGCTACTAAAGGTGTTGACTCATTAAAAGAATAATCCTTAACCCTTGTATATTTTGCCAATTTTTCTGCTTCAACAAACAACATGCTTAGGCACAGGGAGCCATTTAGGGTCATTGAAATCTAGAGAATTTCAGCAGGCCTCATAAAATGGAAGGCAGGTAACATAAACAAATTTAATAATGTCCCTTGATAAATTTAATAATTTAATAATTTTGCTAGAGAAAATAGACAACATCCCTCCTTGTTGTTTTCCTGCTAGCAGGTGAAGATATTCTGACAGGCCTTTGCTAACTGACTGTTGGTTTTTTTTAAAAAAAATGGAAGGGCTTTTAAATAATGCTGTGCTATTTTTACTGTTTGTGTTTTAAGAAATTTGTTTTTTATATTGTTTTATTTCTATCTCAATTCAATTACATCTTGACAAATATATTTCATACGTTTTTCATTTTTAGTATTTTGCCTGTGTCATTTTAATTTATGTAAGCCGTCTGGGGAAAAGACAGGATATAAATAATTATGAAAATAATAATTAGCAGGCTTCTTACTTGATATCTTCTATTTCCTGTGTTGTTTCCTGGATCTGCTTCCACAAAATCTGCCTCCCCATCTCATCCTCCAATTTATCCCGCTTCTCATTGAGATAGTCAAGCCTGGTCAGAAACATTTCCAAAACATTTAAGAGACATTCACATATGTGTGAAAAGAAGCATGCAACGAATGCACTGGGAACAATACTAGAAAATCTGGACATCAAACTTTGTATCTCTCGACCACACCCTAAAACTCATGTCAAGTTCAATTTCAGTTCCTTTGCACACAGGTCAAAGCTAAGGAGTGTCTCAGATAAGGAAAATTCATTTTTAACCTAGAAACCTTGGGGTTTTGTGTTGCTACAAAGAAATGAGCATCAGCCTCAAAGTGCTGTGCATATTCACGAGGCAAATGCTATTTTTGTCAAAGACGAAAGCACAGCCCCACTGTGTCTGAACTATGAGGAACGGCAAGGTATAGATGACTCACAAATTAGCCACATTTAACCTGTGTGATTTCAACTTTACAAATCTAAAATTGCACAAATTAAATACACAAAAGGCAGAGAACTGAAAAGCTCTTTCCATGTCAGTTTTCCAGGTGCGGAAAGAACTCTTAAGCTCTCAGATTTGCTTGCCAGGCTCTGGGAGACTATTGAGGGATCTCGCAGGAACTCAGACAGCCAGAGCCCAGGAAGCAAGGTGGAGAGCTTAAAAGCAGTTAAGCGCTGTCCAATGTTTTAAAATGGCCATTTCCCGGTTTTCAAAGGGTTGTTTTGTGCTATATGGGATTCCACCTTCATGTGATATCCCCAGAACGTAACCCCTCCATAAGCCACAAGTCAACTATCCAAACGTTTTTGAACAAATAAAGACAACTAAGAGGTAACAAGAATTGGAAAATCAAGACACTTCTGGGCTAGATGGAGCAAAGGCCCTGATTCAGCACAGAATACTTTGCTCTCCCAGCCCCACTTCTTTGGGAAAGGGGGGCGTTTTGCGGGAGCCCCCTTCTGTACTTACTTCAAGAGCTTGGGCTGAAGCAGGTGCTGCAATTGGTCACTCATGACAGACTGACGGAGCAGCAGCTTCTCTTGGCTTTTCCCTATGGAAGACCAAGGTGGGGGGGAGGTGTTACAGAAGGTCACCAAGTAGCGGGAAGGAAGGCCAGGAGTCCAAGGGGAGGTGAAGCCATAGCCAACAAAAGGCAGAGTCTACTCTCTCTAGTCTGTCCCCATCTCTCTCTCAGTAGTAGCTGCGTTCCTCTTTGGGATTAGTGGGGTGGAAGACAGGGAGCCCAAGCCAATGAGAGTGGAACCAACTCAATCTAGCTTTGTCCCCATTCTCCTCCTCCCAGCTGAGGGGGCAACACTGGGGCTGAGAAGGGCAAGCTGGCAGGCGGGTCCATGATTGTAGGAGTATCTCCCCATTCTTATTCCATCCCTGAATTCATTTTGGGCAGCTAGAGTTTGACAGCCTGAAATCTGTGTGTGAGCTTTACTAAACCTTTCCTAATAGAACAGACACTCTTTTTAAGTAGAAATGTGCACACGACTGTGTACTGTTACAGCTTATAGCGCAACTGAAAGGAATGGAAGGTAAACAGATAAGATACAACAATAAGAGAACAAAATACTAGCAGATCAGCCAATCATAGTAGTTACACTAAGTCCTGGGTCAAGAAGAGAACAAAGATATCAACATAGATAACCAAAAGCAGTTTTTCATTTAAAACATGTATCTACCGGCGTTTCTTTGGGGAACGTGGGTTAGGGAGCACCCTTTACAAATTCCTCTAACATTCTGGTGTTAGCAATAGAATGAGAAGGTTGGGTTGCACTGCTCAGAACAGCCAAATAATCTCTGAGAGGTTTAATAATGATGCCAACATATTGTAACTGTTTAACTGTGAAGGGAAGAATTGCTGAAATTGTCTGATTGATTAAGTGGTCATCAGCTGTGTAGCTGGACACATATAGAAGCATCCAAGGGCAGCCTCTTTCTGATTTTTCAGAAGGCTAACCCTATGTATATTTGTATTAATAAGGCCTAATTTCTCACTTAAAGCCTGTGTCTACTGGCATTCCTTTGGGGAACTGTATATAAATTCTTCCAACATTCTGCTGCAAGTCATAGATGAGAAATTTGGGGTGGGCAGGTGAAAAGAGCCAAAGGATCTATTGAGTGGTTTAAGAATGATGACAGTATGTTGGATGGAAAAAATTGTTGTAATCATTTGGTTATTTTGTAATTACATGTGTAGCTTAGCAGTGTACAATAGACTAGATTTAAGAGCATGGAAATCGCAGCCTGCTCCTAGTTTTTCAGGAGACTGACTCCTACATACGTTTGGATCAATAAAGGCCTAATATTTATTTTTTTCACATTTAAAGTCTGTGTCTATTTGGTGTTCCTTTGGGAACCCCAACTGGGGCACACCCTTTATAAATTTATCCAACAACAGCACCCCACCCCAGACTGCTGTTATAAGGCAAGCTGGTGGGGGCTGACCAAGGACAGACTGAGGTTGGTGGGTCATTTGCCCCATTTCCCCAGTGGACTAGACGCCTTGCTGCTGATAGGAAAACTCCAACCATCGTCATTCGCTCCCTTGACTTCTATTTGTTGGAAACAGAGAAGGAAGGTGGTGGGCTCTCTCCTTTGCTGGAGTTTTGAAAAGCTGGTTGGTCACCTGTCACGGATTCTTGAGCTGCGATTCTGGCATTGCAGGGAATTGGGATAGATGACTCTTGGGGTGGGGGGGGTGGCGGCCCTCTTTTAACTCTACAATTCCATGGTTCCAGAAACCAAGTCAGCTCATGCTGAAGGTTTCAATCAATTCAAACCTAAAATAAGTATGTTGTGGTAGCCCCCCAAATCCCTCTTACATTTGATAGTGAGCAGCTCCGCAAAAGACTTGATCCCTTGTTTTGCTTTTTCCCTGGCGTCACTGTTGGCAGGAGGGCCCTAAAGAGGGGGAGAGGGAGAGAGAAAGGGCACTACAGATGTCACAGAAAAATACCACTTTGGTCCTCAATCTCTGTTGTCAGACAAGCCCCACTGGTGGTTTTCAAAAGTGTGCACAGTGTCAAAAGTATCTGCATGGGTCATGGGTTGCTCTGGATACGAACAGGATCCGTTCCGGAGCCCCGTTCGCATCCTGAAGTAAATGTAAGACGTGACTGCATGACGTCATTTTAGCGTCTGCGCATGTGCAAGCGGCAAAACTCGGAAGTAACGCGCTCCGTTACTTCCGGGTCGCTGCAGAGCGCAACTCGAAAATATTCATCCCAAAGCTACTTCAATCCAAGGTATGACTGTATTTGTTTGTTTTAAAAAGTGCTGCTTGAATGTAAACAAACAAACAAACAAACCTCAAAGCAGTTTACAAAAAAAAACACCATTAAAATTATAAATAAGAAGAATTTAACACTTTCCAAAAGTTAAAACAGTGATAGATTAAAAACAGATTCAAACTTCCATCAGATTTCCAAAAATCTGGGTGGGCTTGCCTAAGCAAAAAAGTTTTTTAGTGGGCACTGAAAAGACTACAGGGAAACACCTGTCTGATGTCAATGGGCAGGGAGTTCCCAAGTGTAGGCACCGTCACAGTAAAGGATGGATGTATTGCAGATATGGAACAGGGATTACAGGGTTACTGTAACAGGGCCAGCTCTCCTGATCAAAGCAGTCAAGTGGGTGTATATGGGGGGAGCCTATCCTATTCTATGTGTTGCTGCTCTACAACTCCCATCAGCCCCTGCAGCTGGCATGGCCAGAGATCAGGGGCAATAAGGGGAAGTCCAGCAACAACTGGAAGGTCTCAAGTCAGTCCCCCTGCTATAAATGAGCTCATTGGTACCTGGTTAAAAACAAGTCCAGATTGCAAACAAAGAGCAGTATCAAGCATCAACCAGAATTTGGCCACTTCATCTTCCAAGATGCATGGTGGTTAGAGCATTAGGCTAGGACCTGGAAGACCAGGGTTGAAGTCCCCCACTCAGTCATGAAACAATAGGTGATGTTTGTCCACTCCTTCACTCAGTCTAGCCTAGTTTGAAGGGCTGTTGCGGGGATTAAATGAAGACTATGAACTGGGACAGAGCAGGGTTCAAATGGCCAAGCTGTCATGAAGTTCACTGGATTTGACCTTGGACTAGTTACTGTCTCTCAGACTAACCTACCTCACAGGCTTGTTGTGGGAATTACATGAGGACTAGGACCTGGTAGAGAGCAGGGTTCAAATCCTCACTTGTCCTTGAATCACACTGGGTGTGGCCTGGAGACAAGGACTGCCTTGGCCTCACATACCTCACAGAGTTGTTGTGAGGATAAAATGGAGAGGGGCAAGAAATGCATATGCCACCTTGAGCTCTTTGGAGAAATGGTGGGATATGAACGTAATCAATCAGTCAATCTTGCCATAAGACAAGGGGGCTGGAAACTAGGGAAGGAGACAGGGTTGTCCACCTCTATCCCCAGGAGGAAGAGAGGCCAGCAATGGATACTTACGAACCCTGACGTCATGTCCTTGAAGTACGGCTTCATGAAATGGCCCAGAAACAAATTTGCTGGCAAGGATTTGCTGTCGCTTGACTTAGTGCCTCTTGTCCCAGCCAGCTCCCATGTCAGCTTTTCCTGCAAGGCATTGAAAAGAGAGACAGAGAAGAAGAATAGAATTGTAGGGTTGAAAGTGCACCAAGGGTCATTGAGTCCAACCCCCTGCAATGCAAGAAATTTAGGGAAGCGGTTCTGAAACCTTTTGGGGCCACTACCCCCTTGGTTCCATAAACTCAACCTCACTGCCTCCTACCCTATAAAAAGAATTATTCGGAAGAGCAGCTTGCATGACCCGCTAAGGAAGATAGCACAGTAAGATTCAAAACAGTAACAATTGCACAATCATTCAAAATCCAATCAAACTACTGAGTTTCATTAATTAACCCAAAAGATGAATGTGATTCAGTCATATTAGATATTCCATTAAAATATTTGTATGCATTCCTACTAGTGAAAATGTAAGGGAATTGATAGCACAAAATATTTATTTATAGCTACACACAGGTCTCGTTCACTGAACACAATGTGCTCCCTGGGTTTCCTGCAGGCATCTGGTTGGCCACAGTGAGATGAGGGTGCTTGCAGAGTTAGGCCATTGGCCTGATCCAGCAAGCTCTTAGGCACTTATTGTTTTGTTGTTTCTGTTTTAACTATTTATTAGTGCTTTTATCTAGGTTTTTTTTTTAATTGTGTGAGCTGCCCTGAGATATTTTGGTGAAGTGTGCATATAAATTTAATAAATAAATAATAAATAAATAAACTCAGAGGCACAGCTGTGATGGCAGAGCATAGCCACCATGGCTAGTAGCCACTGAGAGCGTTCTGCTCCTCCATTAATTTGTCCAGACCTGTTTTAAAGCCATCACTGTCTCCTGCTGGAGAAAATTTAACCCTGTGCTGCAGTGAAGAAGTCACTTCTGTTATATTTCCTGAACTTTCCAGCATTAAACTTCCTTGGATGTCAACAAATTCCAGTGTTATGAGAGAGGAGTAAAACTCTTCTCATCCACTTGCTCCATGCACTGCAAATTTTATAAACTTCTATCATGTCGTCTCTTCCTCACCTTTTTTCTAAACTAAAAGGTCCCAACCTTTGCTCATAAGGGTGTCGCTCCATTCCCCCTTGATCATTTGGGTCACAATTTTCTGAAGCTTTTCCAACTCTGCAATGTTCTTTTTGAGGTGACCAGCCTTCCAAATCTGGCTGCACCACAGATTTGTATTACTATATTGGCAATTTTATTTTCAATCTGCTTTGTTCAGGCTACAACACAACTCCACAAACCCCCAGAGAGAGCTGAAACATTCCAGAGTATTCTTAAAGCAGCCCCACCACAACACCGACCTGCTGCTCTCTGTTCTGGGCCAGCCAGAGGGTGATCTCCTCAATCTTCTCCTGAATCACCTCCTGGTAAACCATGTTCATGTGCAGGCAGGTCTCCAGGGACTGAGGGAGATGGATGTCCACTTCACTCCCCACTCCAGCACCTTTCTCCCCATCGAGGTCTACCTCCTGATCCAGAAGGAGAAAAGGAAGAGTTGATCAGCTGGCTGGAAAAAACAGACTTTACAGAAGGTAGAGAGGCGGGCAATTAGATTTAGTTGGATGCATCAAGGGAATGCCCCTTGAAATTCCTACAGACAGTATCACCTTCCTTTGCAAATGTCAACCATGTTTTCTCCCGAGGTTTCCGCAACCAGAGGGACCGCTTCTGCGCATACGCGCACGCAAAACACTTCTGGGTTTTCCGCTTTCACAACCCGAAGCTTACGTTACCCAAGGGTAATGTACGCCAGGGTGCTAGTGTATTGCTTAGTTACCAGAGGGACTGCAATAAACTTGGTACATCTTATCATGTATAGTGGAAATATAAGTTGGTGCAAGATTTACGGGATTTGATTTTCATGGAAATAAATATACCAAAGACACTATGGCTTGTTGTGCAAAATTAAATTTTGTGAATTCTTCTGATGATGCCAATGTAGATATATTGGCAAAAGGTCTTATATATGACCTTGCCAGCTCAAACTATCATGACAACTCTATGGAAAACAGCCCCAAATCTTACACTGGGAGCTCAATAGCCCTGACTCTGGAAGATAGCTAGAATGAACAAAATTACGCCTAATCTGAGATACAGAACTAACTGCCAGACACTTTTTATATGATCTGGCATTCTTTTACGACATCTACACTTGCAAGACAACCTTCAATGAAAGCCTGGCAAATCTGGAACTAGATCTGATAATTTGATAACACTGATAGCCCTTTCTTGGATTTTTTTTATTTTATCCCATATGCAACTAGACTTGGTCTACATGCCAGTTTTATCATTTTGCTTTAATTGTCATCTGTTGTTATAATTGTTCTCTCTCTTTATATACACCTTAATAACTGTACCAAATAAAAATACTATTTTCTTGCAGCATAGAATCATTGAATTAAAGTGTTAAAAGGGACCCTGAGGGTCATCTAGTCTAACCCCCTGCAATGCAACTCATTCATCTTTTTTTTTATTCCTGTGAAGCTTCTGCCAAAATGACTACACATACACACACACATAGAGGGATATATGCTGTCGTTTCTGCATTGCATAGAGCTGGACTAGATCACAGACACTCTGAATGTTTGACTGTTCCTCACAAATAAACCAGCAATAACAGCAACAGATGTATCCACACAACCCACCTCTGGATCTGAACTACAGCCAAGCATTTCTTCTAGCTATCAGTCAACCCTCCTGGTCCTTGTAACATCTGCAGTAGCATCCCGTGAGGGAGAGGAGGAAGACTAAGAGGAAGACTAAGAACTGCATTCACCCCTCAATGGTAATTGCAGTGAGTTTTTAAATAGTTTTTAAATGGTTTTCTAGGGGAAGTTCTGGATTTACGTAATTTTGTTTATAAGCATGAAGACTAAGAATGTAAAATAACATGCAAGTTACCTGTAAAATAAATTATACGCAAGCCACTTTGGGAGCCTTTTTCACTGAAAGGCCCAGTGCCCTGCTTATGTATTTATTAAATATCCAGTTAAATTTCTAGCCCACACTTTCCTTTCAAAAAGCCCAGAGCTTGAGACACATTTCATGTTTCTTCTCACAAGTGATCTCATGAGCAGAAAAGTGAACTGGAATTTAATAACAGCTTAGTGGGGCCTAGATGGAACTTCCACAAAGAAGGGCAAAGTCCTTTATCCACATGGAGACTAACTTTTTAACAACAACAAAAAAGGATGTGATTGTGTATGTAACATATAAACCTCCAAAACAGGAAGATAATATTTGAACCAGGTACTTGCCATATTGTCATGAGTATCGGAATCATCACCATCAAGGTCATCTGACAGGAAATGAAAAGAAATATTAGACAGAATACAGGCAAAGAAAGCAAAAATTTCAAACAGTCATGGCAGGAAGGCAGCCTAACTGTGACACTCTTGGTGTGTAGTGGTTAAGATAATGTACTAAGTAGGTTCACATTGCAACTTGTGGATAGCGTTAGAAAAGCCATAATGTGCTACACAGGGAGACTAACAACAGCATATCCTACAGGCTTGCTGTAAGGATTAATCAGATCATATTTGTCGGTAAGGCCCATGTTTAAAAACAAAGGTGAGTGCAAACTTAAGATGCATGTGAGAAGAACTCTGAGGGCTACTATCAGATAAACATTTATGATTGTAGGCAGTGGACATTCCCGGGCTCATGTGGGGATTGAACCTGAGGCCTTCTGCATGCATAGATAAATGGCATGATGAAGAATGACATGATGATGAACAACTGTGGTGGTATTCTGGATGTATTTGAACTAAAATCCCACAAACTCTAATCAAGTAACAATCCCACCTACTACCAAGGTAGCCTCAAGGTCCTTGTATTAATTTACAAAGCTCTGAGTCACTTAAGTCCAAGGTACCTCAGGGATCATCAAAACCTTTATAATATCCCAGCTGAATCACAGAGATCACCCGCTACAGCTTTGTTGGTTGTTCCCTGAATTGGTGAGGCTCATTTGACATCAAGGAGTTTTGAGTGTCATCAATCGAGTCCTACAAAACTCTCTGCCACTAGAGATGTGGCAGCTGCTGAAAACTTTTCTATTCCACCAGGCCTACTAAACAGGCAATTAAGACAACATCCTTCTACAATGATTATCTGATGTGTATCATTAATCTTTTATGGGTTTAATGTCTGTTTTTTTTGTTATAAACCACTTTAATATATTTAATATATTACACTGTGGCAATAGAAATATTTTTATAAATAAATGTGGATTGTAGAAGACATAAGAAACACTCAACAAGCATTGCACCTTCAATGTCAGAGACCAACTCAGGACTAGAGCTTGAGACTTGGGACTCGATGCTTGTGACATTGGGGCCCAGGCTCCTTTCCAGCTCTTCAATCTCCCAACAGATTTTCTCTCTTTCTGCTTCTACATCCATCACTTATATCTGCTACCAAGAAGAGATAAAGACAAAAAAAGAACTATAAATAAAAGATCAGATTCAAAAGAAACATTCATTAGCAGCGATTCCTGTATTGCAGGGGGCTGGACTAGATGGCCGATGGGGGTCTCTCCTAACTCTGCAATTCTTTGGTTCTATGAATCTGTGCACACTTAGGTCCTCCTACACATTAAGCAGTACCAGAAGCACTAATCTGCAACAGGAACATGAGAAGCTGCTTTATGCACGTCGTTGGGGGGGGGGGGGGGATTCAAGTTTCTGAAGGACTTGGCTTTCATTGTGGGCGGTACCCATAGCTCAGTGGTAGAGCACTCAGGTTCAATCCCAGGTATGGAAGGCTCTCCAGTAGCACAGCTGAGAAAAGACCACAGAGAAATGCTGTAAATCAGAACAAATGCTACATGAATGCATGATTGTTAAGACTCAGGTGTCAATATAACGTAACTTTTACTTAACACAGGATTGTCAGAAGCTGCCAATTAATTATTATTTGGTGATAATTTGAGTTAATGTTATTATGTACTACTATATTCTACTGAATAAATTCTACTGAATATTAATTTTATATGTTTATTTTAAAATCACATTTTTATTATGACTTACTTGTATTGTGTAATATTGTGTGTAATTTTGTTGTATTTTTTTGTTCTTCCAACTTGTAAACTGCCTTGTGTATAGCAATACAGAAACGTGGTATTCAAATTAAAAGTGGGGGAAAATGAAGTCAGACCACTAGCTCATCTATCCTAGTACTGACTACACTAACTGACAGCAGCTCTCTAGGTTTCAAACAGTTTTTTTACAGCCCTACACAGAGATGACAGAAACTGAAGTCTTTTGCTAGTATGTGTTGTAAATTTCCACTTTAAAGATTTCAGTTGTTATGGTCTGAATTTAAACACCAGCCTAAGAAGTTGCTTTTTGCTGAATCAGATCCTTGGTTCCTCTAGCTGAGTGCTGCCTGCACTGACTGGCAGCATCTCTATGTCAAGCTGCACTGCAAGCCCCACGAAAACCTTCACGCTTTGCCCCTTTGCAATGGCAAGACATTGGCATCAGTCTGTCTCAAGAGAAAATAGATAGTGCCTCAAGGGATGAAGTCAAACTGCTGCATTAGAAAGTGATCTCCTGGGGCACAAGCTTGGGCAGTGTGTATGGAAGCCTTGGGCTGCCCACATGACATTACCCCACTCTCAGTCTCACTGCTGTGGTTCAAAAGAAAGCAGAGCAATATAGTTGGCACCAACTTGGCTGCAAGAGTTGCCCAAAGGAGGAGTACAAGGTGCAATACAACCGCCTTAGGGACTCCACTCCAAACTTGTGTACAGTTTACTCCTTAGCCTTTTATTCTCCCAAAAATATCCCACAAGACAGCAGAGGTTTAGGTTCAGTTTTTCTTCTCCTAGAGGGGCTACCTTCCCAGGGGCAGATGAGCATTGTCTGCCACTCACTCCCCTCTACAGCATGTGCAGGAAATTGTCTTCTTGTCCATTTGACCCAATATTGGTCTCTTCTGCTCAACCCATGGTAGCCTGTGTTCTCATGCAGAGGGTTTGAGTGCCATCGGCTACCCTAACCTGGTTTAGCACACCAGTCAAAGCCATTTATGGTGGGTAGCTACTGTTGTATGCTGCCAGCTTCTAAGAGCCACAGGAGAGGTGTGAGTGCAGGGTAGGGACCAAAGGTGGGCAAACCACCCCAGAAGGAGCATGTGTCTCCCACTAGATGCATACCCAGCACCCAATACACTACACAAGGACAAGAAAACCTGGATGATCAGAGGAAGTCTTAGCTGCACCAGCTAGGAAGGGGACCCTCTGCCCACAGGCAGCTTGCACCAAGAGGCAAGCCCTCTACTCACCGCATTCTCACAAGCAGCATCTGCCCGGAGGGAGTAGCGAAAGACTGGGCTAGCAGGGCAGCAGGGGCGTCTGGGGGCCCCTTATGCTGAAGAGGGGAAGGACGCTAAACCCAAGCCGAGACACTCTGTAACCATCTCTGCCAATGAAGCCAGACAAGGCACTAGTCCACAGGGAGGTATTTGTTCCCTCTCGTAACCAAAGTTGTTCGTCCTGATCGCCTAAGAGGAGTTCTGACTAGCCACAGGCTGGCTAGTAAGGCTGGTCGCAGAAGAGCCACAAAAGACAGCAGTGGGAAGACCAGCGTGCTTGCCACCAAGGACCTGCCTGAACCGGAAGCAAAACAGAACAACTCCTTCCGCTCTGCCGGCAAACCAATAGATGCCCGCTCGCGCATTGGCGCCGTAGCCAATGCCAGGGCAGCAAGGAACGTACCACGTGCTCGGTTCTGCCTAATGACCGTGTGGCCTACTGAGTTTGAAAAAGGAAAAGGAAAGAGTACCGTAGCTTGGCCTACAGTGCGAAGTTTGGTTGATAGGAGGAGAAGCCAGGCAAGCGCCAGTATCACGTGTGAATACTACAGCCAATTAGGAGAGCAGGTCGCTCTGACCCCTCCCCTCCTTCAGTAAAAGGTGTGTCTAAGGCGCAGCAGCAGCAGATGCCGCCCCATTTTCTCCCGCATGCGCAGTGGCAGGAAGAAACGGGGGGGGGGGGCTCCAGGTGGGAAGGAAGCGACTGCGCAGACCGCCTTCTCCCCACAATTATCATTATCATTATTTCATTTCTATACAGCTTTATATTTTTAAGAAGGTTTACAAGCTACATTAAAATATCAACTAAAACAACCCAGAATAAAACATTACCTGAGAAAGTCAAATATAACGTATACATTCAAAGCAACATAATTAACAGGAAACTAAAATATAAAGATTTCAAAATAAAACATTACAACAAATGAGGTTCAGTACATAATGTACATGTAATTTGTGACTCTTCAAAATGTATTAAGAGGTTGAGTCCCTTTCTTTTTAATTGTTTCAATTGCTTTTTAATTGTTAATTATGCTATTTTAATTATTCCTTAATCAATAACCAACTAATTTATTAACATATAATTAGGCAGTACCCCACCCCACTGGTTTTTTTTTTTTAAATTTAAATCCTTTATTAGGCATAGCACACCACACACTAACAAACAAACATCATATACAGACTGTATAAAATACGGGCTCAGCGAACACAATTTATCCCAGTCCTATTCTTAACTCCAAGAAATAAATCGATGTACATAGATAATATAATACAACAACACAGCAACATCACCTACCATTAAAAACCACTAAGTCTCTTTATCATGGCCCATTCTTTCTTCATGGACAGGACTTAAAAATTCAGCCACTATTAAAGTGGTTTGATCATCGCTGTCCGCCAGCAGGTCCTGAACAGTTGGTTGAGTAAAAATCTGTCTATTAACTTTTAGGGCCTCAAATAATTGTTTTCTGGCATAACTACCAAAATCACAGGAAAAGAATATATGCTCTAGAGTATCGGGTTCCTGTTTTCTGCATTTGCAGAGACGCTCTGATTCTGGGATAGCTAAGTATCTTCCTCTCACTACCACCGAGGAAACATGTTGAATCTGGCCAACATAAACAGCCTACACGATTCATGTTTCTTCAGATTTGTCATGTATCCCTTTGGAAATCTCTACACAAAGGGAGATTTAAGTGGATAGGAGAGCAAGTGATGTGCTTTGCAGCCTCAAGCATGGCGAGAACACTTTTTTTCTGTAAGAGTCTTCCTGATAATTTCCCATATGTCTTTGGGATCAGAGATTTCAAAATCAATTAGAGTGAGCCCTATCGAATCCAGTTTTCTCCTACAAATCAATGATAGATTGTAGATTGCACTATCACTTAAAAGATCATAAAGTAGAGAATTAGGGGATAGGGCTCTATAATGGAGGAAGATCCAATATTTCAAGGTCCTCAACCATGCTCTTACTGATAAAGGCAATATTCCCAGCTCACAACATATTGTTTCATATTTTACAGAGTTTGCAAGTCCTAATAATGACCTCAGAAGGGATGCGTGGAATTTATCCAACCTCTTGAGGTCACCTGAAATCCACACTGGTGTGCCGTATAGAAGTTGGGCACAAAGTTTCATGTCAATCACTTGCAATACAGCTGGAATAAATCTGTTTCCTACTGGAGAAAAAAGTAGGATTTAATATGGTGGGCTGTCACTTTGGCCTTAACTATTGCAGCACATATATGTGTATTCCAATTCATATTATTTTTAAATGTGATTCCCAGATAATTGAAGTGCTTAACTTCCTGTATTGAATGTCCATTAATTATACAGCCTTTTGGGTTCCCTCTCTTTCCAAATTGCATAATCTTTGTCTTATCATAATTAATTTTGAGATTATTGAGAGAGCAGTAGTTTGAGAAACTCTTAAATAATTTTTTTAAACCCAAAACAGAGAGTGAAATAATTACAGCATCATCTGCATAAAGTAATAAAAAAGTGGGCTATTGTTTAAATAAGGAGTATGAGTGGTTGCGTTTTGAAGAAATAATGGTAGGTCAGATAAAAATAAATTAAATAAGGTAGGGGCCAAGATACAGCCTTGCCTAACTCCTCGATTATTCAGAATAGGACCTGCAAGTCTACCATCTTTTGATACTTTAACATATATTTGGTTATTAGAATGTAAACTTTGAATCAGTGTAAGTAGATATGGGTCGATACCAAGGTGTTCTAGTTTAGTCCATAGTTTGTTACGGTCGACCGAATCAAAGGCACTTTTTAAATCCACAAATGCCACAAAGAGTTTTCGTTTATTTCTCATGACATATTTATCCACAAGATGACTTAACACTAGACACTGGTCAAGAGTTGACGCGCCTGCCTTAAAACCAGCCTGCTCTTTACCAGGAAGACCTTTTGTCAGCATCCATTCTTCTAATTTAATAAGCAGAGATTTGGCATAGATTTTACTTATGCATGGTAACAGACTTATAGGCCTGTAATTCTCTTGACAATTCCTATCACCTTTTTTAAAGATCGGTACCACTATTGAGTTGTTCCACGACTTAGGTACAAGGGCTGAGTGATAGATAGAATTAAAAAGCGGCACAAGTTTAATGGCCCACCATTCTACATCTAATCTCAACAGGTCTATTGGAATGCCATCCATACCAGGTGATTTCCCTTGCTTAAACGAAAAAATTATCCTTTTCATCTCCTCAACAGTAGTTTGAAATTGTGTGGTTTTTGCCAAAGAAAATTTAAAATTTTCCTTTTTACAAACTTGGTGATCATAAAAAACATCAGTAAAATGTGAAATCCAAGCCTCATCGCTTATATTAGGGAAATCAGTGATATCTTTTATTGAGAGAAGTGACCAAAAGGTTTTGGTATCTTCGATTTCTAATGCAGTAACAATTTTAGACCATTTGGCTAGTGCAAACTCAGATTTTTTTTTCCAGGAGCATGTTCTTAAAAGCATTTTTCATTTCAAAATAAGTCTTCCAGAGACCTTGAGAGTTGGTAGTATAGGCTTCTTTTAGACAAATTCTAAGTTCTTTCTTATAGTTAATACAATCTTTATCAAACCAGTTATACTTATTTAAAGGTTTGTTGCTGAACTGAAGGTCTAAAAAAGAAGAAAATAATTCCTGGATAGTCTTATAATAACAATCGTTGTCCTCCAGGGGCATCAAATTTTGGTTAGCCACAGGTTCGAGAATAACTGGGTTATTTTCAAATACAGCCAATAAATCCTCCCTATTTTTATCACTTATATAAATTCTTTTGGCATAAATAGTCTTATCAATACTAATAGGAGGACTAATATCATTATTTCTAGGATTCCTGTACATCTCTAAAACTATTGGGAAATGGTCACTCTCTGAGCGAGGTACAACTGTAAAAGAGGCAACTTCATTTAACATTTCAACGGAAACTAGAGAATAGTCAATTACGCTCCTACCCCTTTTGGAGCTGAAGGTAAAATTTCCTGGAATATCCGACCACATTGAGCCATTCAAAAATGAGAGGTTAAATTCTAAAACCAATTGTAAAAGTTTTCCTCCCGCTTTATTAATAATGATGTCCTTTGAATTCCTCCCTATTCTCAATGGAAGTGGGGCATCTTCAGCTAGATTTGAGACATAGCGTTTATAGAGAGCTATATTATCTGATCCAATTCGAGCATTGGTGTCTCCCATTACAATCAGGGGAATATTTGGAGATTTACTACGTATTAAATACAGCTCTTCAGAGACTATATTCCAACCATAATCTGGTCTAGTTTCCAACTCTATGGGAGGAAAATATATATTTAAAAGAAGAATTTCCCTGTAAACAATGGTAAATGATAACAATTGTGCATACTGTCCAATATTTCTGATATAATTAATTTTAAGGTTAGAAGACGGTTTTCTTTTAACAATGATTTTTATTATTTCATTATTTAAAATATCACTGCTCATTTCAAGAAGTGAGGTTACAGGAACCAGGCAGAGGGCCTTGTTGGTGCTGGCGCCCACCTTATGGAATGTCCTCCCATCAGATGTCAAGGAAATAAACAACTACCTGACTTTTAGAAGACATCTGAAAGCAGCCCTGTACGAGGTTTTTAATGTTTGTGGTTTTTTGTGTTTTAATATTCTGTTGGGAGCTGTCCAGAGTTGCTGGGGCAAACCAGTTAAATGAGTGGCATATAAATATTATTATTATTATTATTATTATTATTATTATACTATTATTACTATTGTCCTCCAAGGAGCCCAAGGTGATGCTGAAGTGGTGTCCCCACAGCCTTGTGAGGTAGGTCAGATTCAGGAAGTGAGGGAATGGTCCAGGGCTCAAGGAAGCTTCCTTGGCACACTTTCTTTTTTGGCAAGGGGTGGTGGGAAGAATAATCTGACTCCTGGAATCCTCAGGCTAATAGAGAAGGCTTCTGTGACGGTTGGTGTCAACAATATGCCACAGAGTGGTCAAGATCTCTGCTTATTTTATTATTTTGATCTCTTAGCCAGTCACCCTCTTTTAATAATTTTAAAGTGCATATACATAGCAGGCCACACTCAACAAAAAAGCAATCCTTCACCATTCAAAATTAGGAAATATTCTGTTAAAATATACACACTTTATTTCATTACACAGAACAATCTCAAAGCTATCTTGGCTGCCTTAATTAATTCATAAGCAAAAGGTCCTAGTGTGATAGGAATTTTGAGGTCTTGGATATATGGTAATGTTCATAACCACACGTACATAGATCAGCACAGGAAGACCGACCTGAAGCCATTTTGATTCCTAAACTGAGCAAATGTTTTCTCTGCAAGGTCAAAGTGGAAAAGCCTCCCCATTGTCTTTTCCTTCACAAATCCTGTCTTAAGGGTATGTCTGTGTTTGAATAGGGTGTGAGCCTGTGACTTGGCCCAGGAACTAAGTATTTATCACTACAAAAGAATGGCCAGGCTCCCCAGGCGATCCAATCAAGTAACCTGCCAGACAGGAGATAAACACTTTTCTGTGATGTAGGTGTGATTTATCTGAGGGGAGGTCTTAGGTTACACCCATTCTGTAATGTATGTATGATGTTTCTGGGGGTGGTCTTGATCTACAGGATGGGAATTTCAAGTCTTTATAAGGCCTTGCATGCCATTTTTCTGGGTCCTTCCTCTCTCCTGCGGGTGAGGGGAGCACCCTGTTGCAACAGATCAATAAAGATCAAGCTTAATAGCTGCTTTGCTTCTCAATATTCTCAGGTTGGCCTCTGTTATTCTCTCCTACCAATAGGGAACCTATGTAAGGACTCTATATAGGCTCTTGGATACCCCATAAGGGAAAAGGGCAATTTTTGTTTACAACACTAGGACAGGTGATGAATAATTTGATCCAAATCTAAAAAATGAATGAATATACTTTTTGGACAGGGTGGGGGAAGGGAACCAATATATAATCCAGGGCCAACTTTACGTAATTTATTTCCCCTTATTATCTTAAAATTGTAAAGCTGCTAGTCGGGGGGGGGGGGGGGACACCAAACTTCACTAGGGCTATGCAATGTCTATTTTTCCATATTGTAGTATATTGTTGTTGTTTAGTCGTGTCCGACTCCAGTGAGCACTCAGGGCTGATTACCTTAAAAATGGATATATCACCAGCTAAACATCATAATAAACTGAAATAACAGCTCTCCAGGGAACAAGCCTGGGCAATGTATATGGAGGTCCTGGACTGCCCCGACAACAAGACTCCCCTCTCAGCTGTGCTCCTAAGCAAAGCAGTGCTATACCTTTGGCACCAATTTGGAAACAGAAATTGCCCAAAGAGGTGTACAATGCACCATCCAGTGGACTTGTGTAGGGTTTGTTCCTGAGGAAACAAATCAGAAGCCCTTAAGAGACAGCAACCATTTCTCAGAACCAGCATTAGAAGAACCACTATTGAGCACAGAAGCTCAGTACAGTACTACCTTTTCATAAAAGGAAGTCTTTGTGCAATTCTGGGGTTATACCACTAGAGGTGCATTGGGGAGTTTTCTTTAGGACTGAAATAGCATAGCATTACAGTGGTGCCCCGCAAGACGAATGCCTTGCAAGACGGAAAACCCGCTAGACAAAAGGGTTTTCCGTTTTTCAATGCGCTTCGCAGGACGAATTTCCCTATGGGCTTGCTTCGCAAGACGAAAATGTCTTGCGAGTCTTGAGATTTTTTTTCGCTTCCCCCCCCTTTTTCTAAGCCGCTAAGCCTTTAATAGCCTTTTAGCAGCTAAGCCGCTAAGCCGCTAAGCCTTTAATAGCCGCTAAACCGCTAATAGCGCTAAGCCGCTAAGCCGCTAATAGGGTTGCTACGCAAGACGAAAAAACCGCTAGACGAAGATACTCGCGGAACGGATTAATTTCGTCTTGCGAGGCACCACTGTACGTAAAAATAAGAACAGGAGTAATGGATTGGAAACAACCTTAAATACATCAGAAGGAATATACCCTACAAGAAAAGCAGGTCCTACAGGCAATATATTACAATATATATTACAATGTATGGAACAACCAATCTCAGTGATCACAGGTAGGAGGAGGAGTTATGCTAAGACCAGACCATCTCATTACCAAGGAAGCAGATTTAGTCGCTGTTTGAGAACTATCCCTGCCTCCGGGTCTGGTCTTGACTGGATGGATACTGGAATCAACAAGTGAGACCCACATGACCTGTAGGTGCTGCTGTGCAATGCCAGATCAATGATTCCTAAGACCACTGCCATCCATGACTTGATCATGGATGGAGGACTTGACCTGGCATGTGTAACAGAGACTTGGTTGGATGAAGCAGATGGGCCTGTCCTTGCCGCTGCTTGTCCACCAGGTTTCTCTTACGCACAGCAACTCAGGTCATGTGGGCAGGGAGGGGGAATTGCAGTGATTTTTAGGAAGTCATTAGCTTGCACCAGGCGTCCTATTGGGAAGACCCAGTTCTCTGAGTGCATCTTCTGGAAGTTGGGCAATAGGGGCAGTACAGGATTCCTTTTGGTGCACCGACCTCCCCACTGCACAAAGGATTCCCTGCCCAAGCTGCTTCGGGTTGTGGCAGATGTTCTCCTGGAGACACCTAGTTTGGTTGTCCTAGGGGATTTTGATATCCACACCAACACGACCTTACAAGGGGCTGCTCAGGACTTCGTGGAAAGCATAGTCTCCATGTGGCTGTCCGTGAATGAGTTTGGCCCAACTCATAGTCGTGGACATGCCTTAGACCTGGTGTTCACCTCTATGGATGTGGGTGATCTGACACTAAGTAAAAGCAGAACAAAAGAAGTGTCATGGTCAGATCACTTCCTGGTGCAACTGGACTTCTCCATGACCCTTCCCATCTGCAGGGAGGTGGGACTGATTCGGATGGTCCGCCTTCTCCCCTTAATGGATCCAAATGGTTTCCAGAGAGCAGTAGGGGATGTTTTATCCCATGTTGATGGCCTTTCAGCTGATTCCCTGGTGCACCACTGGAATGTGGAGTTAACCAGGGCTATTGACTGTCTGGCTCTGAAGCGCCCTCTCCAATTGCATGGAGCCCAGACAGCCCCGTGGTTTTCTTTTTCTTTTTTTTTTAAATAATATTTATTAAGATTTGAAAGGTTACAAAAAGTAAAAAAGGAAAAATAAAAAAACAGCGTATTAAGCAAAAACAGAACACCACATCACAACACAGAAAAGAAAAAGAAAAAAAAATACAATGAATCTTCCCATAACTTATCTTTCATTTACTTATTTCCTTGACCTCCTCACACCTCCCTTTTTTGTATTCTAGTTCAGTTAGCTATTTCAGCAAATCCTTTCTATCTTTTCCAGTTTTTGTCCTATATTTTATCTTAGTATAATGTAACTTTACCTTCCCTCCTTTCACCATTTAACAATCTGTTTTTTCTTAATCCTTTATAGCATTTCTGCTAAAACCACATTACTTCATTCCAACATCCATCTAACATTCCTTAATTTTACAATGTTTCTGTAAATAAACTTTAAATTTCTTCCAAACTTCTTCCACCGACTCTTCTCCCTGGTCTTGGATTCTGCCAGTCATTTCCGCCAATTCCATGTAGTCCATCACCTTCATCTGTCATTCTTCCCGGGTGGGTAGATCTTGTGTCTTCCAATACTTCGCGATGAGTATTCTTGCTGCTGTTGTGGCATACATAAAGAAAGTTCTATCTTGCCCTGCCAGACAAATCTAGAAATATCTCTCTGCCACTTCTTGAAGCAATCCATTTTATCCAAAATTTGCAATGTTTGAAACAAAAACAGCATCCTTGGCAGTACATTCATTTTTATCACAGCAATTCGGCCTAGCAATGATAACTTCAGATTTGACCATATTTCTAAATCCTTTTTCACTTCCATCCAGCATTTTTCATAGTTATCCTTAAATAAATTCACATTCCTGGCAGTCATATTGACCCCTAGGTATTTCACTTTCTTAACCAATGTTAATCCTGTCTCCTTCTGAAACCTCTCTCTTTCAGTCACTGTTAGATTTTTCTCTAAAACCTTAGTTTTCATCTTGTTCAGCTTAAAACCCGCTACCTGACCAAATTCTTGAATCAGTTCCAGTACTCTTTTGGTACTAGATTCTGGCTCCTGTAATGTCAATACCAAATCATCGGCAAATGCTTTCAATTTGTACTGCTTAGCTCCGACTTGTATACCTTTAACCATTTGGTCCCTCCTAATCATGTTTAAAAGAACCCCCAAAAACCTCCAAGCCCCGTGGTTTTCCCAGAGCTGAGGGCAATGAAACAATCTTTGAGATGGTTAGAGCGCCGGTGGCGGAAAACTCATTCTGAATCTGACTGAACATGGCTTAGAGCTCAACATCAAGCCTACCAAGTGGCGATAGCAACGGCGTAGAGGACCTTCTTCACTGGCTCTTTTGCATCTGCAGAAAACAGCAGCAGAAGACTCAGGTGGTTCGCAATTTAACAGAACCACCTTCACTAAAAGGGCCCCAATATCTCCTGCAATGATTTTGCTAAGTTTTTTACAGGTAAAATTGCTCAGATTCGGAAGGAGGTAGACACCACTGTGGGAACAGGGCTTGGGCGGGAGAGTGCTAGAGTCCTGTCTAGTCAAGTTGTGTGGGATCAATTCCAATCTGTTACCTCTGAGGATGTGGACAGGATGCTTGGACGAGTGAAACCGACCACCTGTCTCCTTCATCCTTGCCCATCCTGGCTCATAAAAGCGAGCTGGGAAGGGCTGGACGGTGGGCTCCGCAGGGTAGTGAATGCTTTTCTCTGTGAGGGAGCCTTCCCAGACCTACTGAAAGAGGCAGTTATTAAACTGCTTCTTAAAATAAACTTTAAAAAAAAAAATTACTTTTATTCAAAATTAAAACAAAACATATCCAGAACCATATCATCCTTATTTCCCCCCATTTTTCCTCCCTCCCCCTCCCTCCCCCACAGAACCCACCCCTGACTTCCCTCAGTTCCAGTCTTTGATTTCTCTAAAAATGCTGTTTTCTGCATATTACACAGTTGTATAAATCCTCAAACTATTTAACTGATTATTATCAATAAAAAGTTTGTGACTGTTTATTCAAAACCAGCCAAGGTGTCCAGTTCGCTTTGTTGTGTCTTCAAATACTTTGTAAAGGGTTCTCATTCATCTTTAAAGTCACAGTTATCCTTGTCCCGTAGCTTGTATGTTAGTTTTGCCAGTTCTGCATAGTCCATAAATTTTTCTTGCCATGATTCTTTAGTTGGGGTTTCTTCAGTCTTCCATCCTTGTGCTACCAGAGCTCTCGCGGCCGTTGTCACATACATGAAGATGTTTTTCAGCTTTTTTGGCATATCTTTCCCTACAATCCCTAATAAAAATGCTTCAGGTTTTTTAACAAATGTTAAATGGAACATTTTCTTCAATTCGTTGTATATCATTTCCCAATTTTTTAAAATTACCTTACAATCCCACCACATATGATAAAATGTCCCCTCCTTTTCCTTACACTTCCAACATATATTTGAACTAGTTTTGTACATTTTCCCTAACTGCACTGGTGTTGTGTACCATCTGTACATCATCTTCATATAATTTTCCTTCAATAGGGAACAATCTGTAAATTTTAAGTCAGTTTTCCATAATTTTTCCCAATCTTCCATCATAATGTTGTGACCTACATCTTCTGCCCGTTTAATCATAACTGATTTTACCTCTTCATCTTTTGTCGCCCATTCTAATAGTATGCTGTATGCATACTATAGTTTCACTTTCCCTTCAATCACTTCCGTTTGAAACCTAGATCTCAGATAACTAAATCCTTTATTGCTGTCTTCTTTATGTGTTTCATATAGTTGTCGATAATGCAACCAACTCTGAAAGTGGTCTTTGATCTCATCATAATCTCTTAATTTCCATTTTCCATCATATTCCTTTAATAAATCAACATATGTGAGCCATTTTCCTTTCTTTCCAAGTGGTTTGAGCAGTAATGCTTCATGTGGTGAAAGCCACCACAGGGTCTTTTGTTCCAATAAGTCTTTGTATCTCTCCCATACTCTCATTAGTGATTTCTTGATTGTTGTTGTTTAGTCATTTAGTCGTGTCCGACTCTTCGTGACCCCATGGACCAGAGCACGCCAGGCACTTCCGTCTTCCACTGCCTCTTGCAGTTTAGTCAAACTCATGCTGGTAGCTTCGAGAACACTGTCAAACCATCTCATCCTCTGTCATCCCCTTCTCCTTGTGCCCTCCATCTTTCCCAACATCAGGGTCTTTTCCAGGGAGTCTTCTCTTCTCATGAGGTGGCCAAAGTATTGTCTCAGCTTCAGGATCTGTCCTTCTAGTGAGCGCTCAGGGCTGATTTCCTTAAGAATGGATAGGTTTGATCTTCTTGCAGTCCATGGGACTCTCAAGAGTCTCCTCCAGCACCATAATTCAAAAGCATCAATTCTTCGGCGATCAGCCTTCTTTATGGTCCAGCTCTCACTTCCATACATCACAACTGGGAAAACCATAGCTTTAACTATACGGACCTTTGTTGGCAACTGGAAAAGCATAGCACTATGTAAAAATGAGAAAAGGAATAACGGACAGGAAACAGCACTAAGTCCCTACAGGCAATGTATTATATGAAATATGAGGTTCGGCTACTTGAAAAGGCATGGAGATTGACCACTGAAATGTGCATCCTAAATAAACATAGGTCAAAAATGAAAAGGGCTGCAACTAGGGCTGTGCTATGTTTGATCTTCTTGCAGTCCATGGGACTCTCAAGAGTCTCCTCCAGCACCATAATTCAAAAGCATCAATTCTTCGGCAAATATGGTTGTAAAAACTTCTATGAACCTTCCCTTTTCCGTACCATAAGTATGCGTGCCAACCAAATCTGTTGTCATGTCCTTCTAGTTCTAATGCCTCTTGCTTATCCAATCTCATCCAGTCCTGATCCATACCAAACAAGCAGATTCATAATACAATTTAAGGTCTGGGAGGGCAAACCCGCCTCTATCTTTTACATCTGTAAGTATTTTATGTTTTATGTTTTTATAAATCTTGAAATCTCTTTCTGCCATTTTTTAAAGCATTCATCTTTCAGGATGACTGGTATTGATTGAAAAAGAAATATTATTTTTGGCAACACATTCATTTTAATCGCCGATATTTTTCCTAACATTGAGAGATTCATTCTGCTCCATATTTCTAAAATTTTTTTTACCTCAAGCCAAAATTTTTCATAGTTATTTTTAAATAGGTTTATATTTCTTGATGTTAACCAAATCCCTAAATATTTAACCTTTTTATGGACTTCAATCTCAATGTTTTGTTCTAATTTGGTTCTTTCTTCTTCCTTCATGTTTTTAACTAATTTAGTTTTATTCCTATTTAGCTTAAATCCTGCCACTTCCCCAAAATTCTGATTTTTTTCCTATTACTTTAGGGAGTGAAGTTTTAGGTTCTTCCACTGTTATCACTAGGTCATCTGCATACGCTTTTAACTTGAATTCACTTTCCCCAGTTTTTACACCTGTAATCTCTTTATTTGCTCTTATGTTTTTGGCAAGTACTTCCAAGACCAGAATAAACAATAATGGTGATAATGGGCATCCTTGTCTTGTTCCTTTTTGGATCTTACAATCATCCATTATCACCCGATTTATAATTAATTTGGCTTTTTGTTCTGCTTTAAATAAACTTTAGACCCAGCCAATATGGCCAACTATTGCCCAGTCTCAAATCTACCATTCTTGAGCTAGGTGATTGAGCGGGTGGTTGCTGAACAAGTCCAGGCACACCTGGCGGATTCAGACCATTTGTATCCCTTCCAGTCGGAATTCGGGTCTCATCATGGGACTGAAACTTCCTTGGTCACGCTGGTTGATGATCTCCAATGGGCTAGAGACAAAGGTGAAAGCTGTTTCCTAGTTCTGCTGGATCTCTCAGTAGCCTTTGATACCATTTACCACCACATCCTGCTGGACTGTCTAGAGGGGCTGGGAGCTGGGGGCACTGTTATACAGTGATTCCACTCCTTCCTCCTGGGCCATGTTCAGAAATTGGTGTTGGGGGATGAGTGTTCAGACCCCTGGGCTCTCACTTGTAGGGTGCCTCAGGGTTCTGTCCTCTCCCCCATGCTTTTTAACATGTACATGAAGCCGCTTACATCAGGCGGTTTGGGCTGGGTGTTCATCAGTATGCAGATGATACCTAGCTCTACCTCTCTTGAAGGTCCTGGGGTATTACCCCATGGCCTGGACCCCACCTCACCAGCCTGGGGCAATGATCCAACAGCACACAGAATAAGATTTATAAAAAATGATTTCTTCTCATCTCTGTTCTTGCTCAAAGACTGTTGCAGCAAAAAGCAAGTGAACAGACTGTTTTTAAAAAATCATGCAAGTAATAGGACATCAGCTCCCCCCCCCCTTTACTCGTGCCAGCCGCTCGAAGTAGCTTCAGAACGCTTATCTCTTGGCTGCTATCTCAGAAGGACACTGCTGCATTCTCGCCAGCCAGCTACTCTGACCTGCTACTGCCTGGAGCCAATTAGGATTTACAGTCAAGCGACATAAACCCAGAAGGCCAAGGGTTACCCACCCCCCTGCCCAAAGTCCTAACCTGGAAAGTGACTTTCTTAAAAAGCAAGTGAATGCTTTCTGTGAACTTTGTCAAAAGTTTTTCTTTTTAGGTACTATTGAAGATGTGCAGCATAGGAATTTGAAACTTTGAAACTTTGGCAGGGCACGGGAACACCATGTCTCTCCTGCTTAGAACTAGCAATCACTTGGCAGATGAGCTGAAAATTACACGCAAAAGCTCTGAAAAAGCAGAATGCAGGAAAAATACTTTAAAAAATCTCAGCTGGCAAAACTTAACCCAAGAAAAAGGACTGTCAAATTGGGTTGCCATATTAACTTCTTGCCCAGTTCCACGTGCGAAGTCTTCCTGCCACATTCCCTAGACCTATACCTTGTGTGAAAATGATATGTTCTGTGCAGTCGCTGCCGTCTTTGTTTTCTCTTCTCTTAACAGGTGGACTTTTGCCAGAATGCCCTATCAACCGGGTGAGGAGGTGATTGGACCCAGACGCCTCTCCAGCCTTGTTGGAAGGGACCCAAGATGCCCGACGCCCACCAGATGACCCGACACCCGCGAAACTACTGCCCTGCTGACGTCACTCCTGGACACTGATGTTTTGCACGGCTCAAGAATCCAGCATGGATTGAAAGAGGACATTTTCTCATTTTCTTTTCTTTCCCTTTGCATATACAGTTTTTATAGAAGGTTGCTGGGCCCCTGGATAGCCTTACACCACCCCTGCAGAGGAGGGTGTTTTTGTGGGACGTTCAATCAGGGAAATTACGCCCCAGCCCCTTTCATTATCTTGCCACCTGGCAGAGCTCCACCCAGAGCCTCCAGAACTTAACTGACGCCCCCCTTGGCCCACAGCACTGACTTGGTAATAGATAGCTGGATCCCTGTGCACAAATGGCATGGGTAAGGCTGTGGGTACCCATGATGGTATTTTTGCAAATGGCAGAAATGGTGGCTTATTCTGCAAATCAAACCAATTGCACCGTCTGTACTCTGGCACCTACAGATGCTCTGGGGGCAACCATTTTTTTTAATGGAATCATTCCATCCCTTTTCCAGGTTCACCGAATTACTGCTAGCTTTGTGTCAAAATAAATCAAAGAGTGCCAGTAACAATCTGACATGTGTAGAGACCTCCAGCTGCAATCGTACCTTCCCAGCCCAAACCGTTACGCCTGAGTCCACGCCAGGAACTCTTTCTGGCTTGGTGTGGGCTTCAGAAGGGGGAGGTAGTGTATCTGCTCAAGAACGAGAACATGTGGCAAGCATGGAGTTTGCTTCCTGACCCGATAAACTCTGCACCCCGTCGAAGGAGGCGTTCAGCTGACCTAGCAACAATTGCAGGAGGCAGCTCCCAAAAATTGGGGCAAGCATCAGTGGCCTCAAGAAAGGATAGTGGCCCGTTTGGGACGAGCCTGGAAAGGCTGTCCAAAAATTAAGAGGGGGGAATGAAGGAGGTGAGGACAGGTGACCCCACCTAGGCCCAAAGTCACACCCTCCCAACCAGGCCTCAAAACTGTCCAAAATTCCTTTCTCTCTTCTAAAAATCCACAGCTAAAGTTTTCCTCTGCTTTTCTCACAAGATGCTGTGCATAGGCAAACCGTTACTTTTATCAGTACGAGAAGGCTTCAAAAAGCTAATGAATAGACTCTGTCAGAACAAGCCTGAGAACTGACTTTTATCTCATTCAGTTGCAACATCTTGGACATGCTGAACCGCAAGGCTCCTCGACCCCCTTGGCTTCTCACCCCCTTTCCTAGGAAGAGTCCAAAAGAGTCCCAAGACAGGAGCTTTCTGTTCATGCTCAGGAAACACATGGGGCAGGACTCTTGAAGAGGAGGAGAAAGGGGAGGGAACTGGAAGGGGAATATATGCTCTGTGCAAATGACTGTGAACTTGTGCTTGTTTTGTGAATCTATCACACTTGTTCCTTCTGCCCCGCCCCCCCGGGAATGGCAGAACAAAGCTCTTTCTCTGGATTTAACCCCCTTGGTGTCGTTTGACTCTTTTCGCCTCTCTCCAGGGACAACGCTTTCCTACCCATGGTTAAAAGGCCCTAGAAAGGCTACACTGGAGGATGGATGGCAGCTAACAGTTTGAGGTTGAATCCTGACAAGATAGAAGTACTGTTTTGGGGAGACAGGGAAAGGTTGGGTGTGGAGGACTCCCTGGTCCTGAATGGGGTAATTGTGCCCCTGAAGGAGCAGGTAAGCAGCCTGGGAGTCATTTTGGACTCACAGCTGTCCATGGAGGCACAGGTCAATTCTGCATCCAGAGCAGCAGTCTACCAGTTCCATCTGGTATGCAGGGAAAAACGCGGCCAGATGGGTGGGGCATAAATAAAACATTATTACTATTATTAAATCATATATGAGTTTCTACTATATCAAAAGGCATGGGAATTGAAAGACTGAAATGAACACCCTAGGTCAGAAATTAAACATATGTTTAATTTTAATTTTAGTTTAATTTCAGAAATGAAAAGGGCTGCAAGTAAAGTTGGGCTACATCTGGTTTTAAAGATTGTGATGTTTCACCAGCTAAATAGCGCAGTATACCGGAATAATATTATATCTAAAATAATGACAGAACTATGTAGAGGCTAATTGAGGTTATGTCCTGCCAACTGCTGTTGCTTAGGTGTTTAAAACAGATAAATTTTTGCTTACTTTAACGTATTGTTACAACTGTGACTCTAAGATACAGAAAACCTTTAAGTTAGCACATTTTTTTAAAGCTGTGGAAGTAATTAATAGCATAAATATCAAAGGTAACGTGAGATTTTGTGCCCACAAATTTAACTATTACTAAATATTAAGAAATCCAATTCTGTGACATGAGGGAGACGCAGAAACACAGAGAAATGCACACACACAAACACACAGTAGGAGAGAAGGGAGCTATGAGGCTTAAACAACAGGGCAAGATTTATTTGCATTTTTTAAACTAAGTAAATAACCCCAGTTTATTTTTCCACAGGTCAAGCTGCTACATTTGCATAAGGTTTACCAGGCTTTGGGAAGGCGGTGTCAGGGCTTTGGCAGCATCCCAGAGCCCTTCCCTCCTTCCCAAAATTGCGCAAGCACTTACTAGACTTCCTGCTTTGGGTGGTGGCAGAGCTCTAGCGCATCCCAGAGCCCTCATGCTGCACTCCAAAAGCCACACAAAATGGACGGACTTCGCAATCTTTCCTGAAATGGCACCCTCTGTGGAAACCTATGTTTGGCGCCCTCAAGTGGATCTTTTTAATTGTGCACCACCTCAGCTAAGAGGCACCCTGTGCAGAGAAACTGACAGCACCTCTCAAATATTTCTGGCACCACTGTCAATCCAGCCCTGCCACTACAGCTGAGCTTCTGGGAAGGAAATTATCGGGCTCTGGCAGGGTTCTAGAGCCGTTCTTGTCCTTCCGAAAGGTGGGCAAGTGCGGTTCTGGTTGTTTATGGTTTTACACCTCTGTTCCCACCCCCAAAAGGATTCTCCTCCACAATCAGCTGAGCGGGTCAGATTTTGCCACCAGGCACAAGAAACATCCACCATTAATGTTGGTTCCGCTTCATTAGCAGCACTGAAGTGAACTCTCTGGAGCACAAATCAAGTCAGTCCGTCTTCACAAATCCCTTCTATATGAGAGGAGAGACCGTTGTCCTTTCAAGTGAGATAAGGGGATGGCTCTCCTGAGGTAATAAAACAGAAGCCCTTAAAAGCCGAAAACTGAAGGGCAACTGCTTTTCTTGGAAACCATCATTAGAAGAAACACAATTATGCACAGTGGTTCAGTTGTATCTTTTTGTACAAGGAAGTGTCTATGCAATTCTGGTGTTCCACCACTAGAGGTGTATTCAGATTTTTTTATGGTCTGAAATAGCATAGCTCTATGTAAATACGAAAAAGGAAAAATGGACGGAAATGGTAATAAGTACCTCAGGAGAAGGTTCCACAAGAAAAGCAGGTTCTACAAGCAATGTATTGTGCCATATATGAGGTTCCGCTTGAAAAGGAACGGAGAGTAAAATTAACCTCCTTCATAAACATAGCTCAGAAATGAAAAGGACTGCAACCAGGGCTAGGCTCTGTCTGCTTTTCAGCATCGTGATATTTCACCAGCTAAACATCGCGGTATACCAAGATAACACGATGTATGAAATAAGGACGGAACTGTGTAGAGATGAACGAGGTAGTGTCCTGCCAACCGCTACTGCTTAAGGATAAAAAATTAACACATTTTTACTTATCTTTAACATATTGTTACAGCTGTGATTTTATAATACAGATAATTTTTAAATTAGCACATTTTCTCTAAATTAAAAGGTATAAACCTAATTCGCAGTATAGCTATCAAATATAAGGTGAGAGATTGTTCCCTAAAAATTTAATTCTATTACTAAACATGACAAATATTCTATGATATGAAGGAGACACAGAAACACACAGAAACATGCACATAAAAAGGGGGAAAGGGAAGAAAGACACTTAAAGAACAGGACAAGGTTGGTTTCCCCCCCAGTTCTGAAGTAAATGAGCCCAGTTGATTTTTCCATGGACTTGGAGCGGCTGAAAGGGTTCCAGCTTTCGGATGGGGGGACAGGGCTCTGACCATCCCAGAGCCTTCGCGCCGTGCTCCAAAAGCCACACAAAATGGATGGAGATTGCAATCTTTCATAAAATGGCGCCTGTGAGAAGCCTGTATGAGCGCCCTCAAGTGGATCTTCTTAATTGTGCATCCCTCAGCTCAGCAGCGCCCTGTGTGGAGAAACTGCTGTCACCACTGTCAATTCAGAACTGCCACTGCAGCTGAGCTAGGCAGCTGGCTCTGGGAAGGACGCTCCCAGGCTCTAGTAGAGAGAGCCCTTCTGTCCTTCCAAAAGGTGTGCAAGCACAGTTTTGGAGGTTTCTGGAATTATGCTTCTGCCCTCCCTCCCAGCACCCGCATTCAGGATCCTCCTCCACATTCAGCTGAGTGGGTCAGATTTCCCCCCCAGGCACAAGATAGACCTACCCTTAATGTTGGTTCTGCTGCTCCATCTTCAAAAAGAACCTCTACACTGTAGGGTTGCCACCTGTCTCGTATAATACAGGATTGTCCTGTATTTCAATGTAAAATGCTATGTCCTGTTTGATACAGTTTTGCCCTGTATTTCAGGTCTCCTCTCTTTCTCCCTTCCCACCCTCTCTCTGCCAAGTTATGGATCCTCTCTAAATGCATGTGTTTGAAAGGGTGTGCAAAAGATCATGTATCATAGCTCTGGGTAGCCAACACAGACGGATTTACAAATTTGTGTGTGTGTGTGTGTGCAGCAAATTCCCGAGGGCTGGTCCTGTTAGGCTGCAATAAATTGTAATTGATTACTTTGAAGTAACTTCAGCACTAGATGAAAAAAACAAATCACCACCCACCCTGCCCTGTATTTTGACAGAACAAAGGCGGCAACCCTAATGAGAGGAAAGACAGTTGTCACTTAACATGAGATAAGGGCTGTCTCTCCTGAGATAAGAAAAACAGAAGTCCTTAAAAGCCAAAAGCTGAATGGCAACTTCATTTCTCGGAAATCATCTTTAGAAGAACCAAAATTAAATACATTGCTTCAAATATATATTTTTGTACAAGGAAGTCTCTATGCAATTCTGGCATTCCACCACTAGAGGTGCACCTCAGATTTTTAAAAGATTGAAACACCACATACAATGTAAAAATGAGAACAGGAGTAATGGGGTGGAAACAGCCTACAGTTTTATTTCACCCAGAACAAAGACCCAGTTTGGCACCCATATGCGCATTTCCATACACACACACACACAGGCTGGGAGCCTCAATGGCGTCAATCTGGAAGCTTAACTTGTGCAGAAAACCTAGATGGCTCCCCTCCCCAAGCCACGGCTCTGATATGCCATACAAAAAAACCAGGTCCTACAAGCAACGTATTATATAATATAGGAAATTCTGCTACTTGAAAAATCATTGAAATAGTGAAATAAGCCTCCTCATAAACATAGGTCAGAAATGGAAAAGGCTGAAACTAAGGTTGGGCTATGTCTGCTTTTAAACATCGTGATATTTCACTAGCTAAACATTGCGGTGTACCGAGATAACTTGATGTCTGAAATAAGGACAGAACTGTGTAGCGGCAAACAAGAATGTCCTGCCAACTGCTACTGCTTAGGGGTGTAAAATGGATAAATTTTTACTTACCTTTAACATAGTTGTTACAACTAAGATTCTATAGAACAGATGATTTTTAACTTAGCACATTTTCTCTAAAATTAAAGCTGTAGATGTAATTAGCAAATGTTAAGGTGAGAGATGGCTCTCACGTATCCAACTATATTACTCAATGCAATAAAAGACAATTCCATGATATGAGGATGACACAGAAAGACACACACACACACAGAGAGAGAGAGAGAGAGAGAGAGAGAGATGGAAGTAACAAGGCTTAAACAGCAGGGCTAAATTTATTTGTATTTTTCAAAACGGAGAAGTAAATGACCCAGTTTATTTTTCCTCGGGACTAGCAGCAGCTTCTAAGCCGAAAAGATGCTTTTGCATTAAGTTTACTTATCAGGGCTCTGGCGGCACCCCAGAGCCTTCCCCCCTCCTCCTCAAAGCTGGGCACAAACTTTCGGCTTTCAGAAGTGGGGGCAAGGCTCTGACCATCCCAGAGCACTCGCACCCTGCTCCAAAAGCCACACAAAATGGACAGGCTTTGTAATGTTTCATAAAATGGCACCCTGTGAGAAGCCTATTGGTGCCCTCAAGTGGATCTTCTTCCTCAGGTCCGCCCACTCTCTGCAAAGCAAGTGTTGTCACCGCTCTAAAATGCTGCACTGCGGCAGACCAAGGCGCCTGGCTTTCTGAAGCTTACCATGCCTTGGGAAGGAAATCAGAGGGCTCTGGGAAGCAGCCAGAGCTCTCATGCCATTGCCTTCCCAAAGTCAGGTAAACTTTCTTCCACCCTTCTGGGGGGCCCTGGTTTTGGTTTTA